TCAAGTGCGCATACGTCGTGAGTTGGACATCCAGAAAGTGTAGCTTGAGTTCCTGATCGACAGCAGAATGAAGCGCGGGTGGAATGCGTGCAGCAACGAGCGGCTGGTGATGAGGCGAAGTGACGTCTTGGTCACAGACGTGGGGCAGCGCGTGGTCCGTCGCCGAGCCCAACTCGACACAAGGGGACTGGGCGGCCGGGATGTATGGTATAGGTGCCAAGCAGACTGTTCAATCACTTGTTCATGTTGCCATTGTGCGCACCTATTGGCGCAAGCCGAGGCAGCAGGTCAGTAGTGGCAGTGGGAAGAAACCAGGAAACGCTGACAAAGCCTGCCCAGTCGAATCCATGATGACACTAGCAATATGACAAATCAGCTGTGAACCTGCTAAGCATCATTGATTGCTGTTTGCCTGCTGTCCGAAGCCATCGTGTTGATGGCCTATAGCTTGCCTGGGTAGGGCCATATGTTGTGCATAACACTTCTGGGCAACAGCCCATATGTTGCGCATAGAGGAAGGTGAACCAGCTGGCCCCTTTGCGGGCCTGCGTATATAAGGTGCGATAGCATACCATGTACTCTATCACTTAGATTGTCTACGAACTACCTTTACTCCGTGCAAGGAGGCGCTATCTACTCATCGGGCCCGACACGACCCGATTCGAACCTTCGACCACCGACAGCAACCAGGGACCGAGTTCACGGGCCCTTTCGGTTTCGATCTACCCCGCTCGCCATACTTGCGGGCCCGACTATCCATCTGTTCTGTTCCGGGCGCACATTCTTAGGAGAGGACCTTGCACGGCCCGACCCGCAGTCTGACACGTGATCTGAAGATCAATATCCGGCAAAGGGCAATAGGCTTGTTTCAAGAGTGGGAAACTCTTGATCAGGCAGTCTCAGGCTGACAGGAACCATTGGGTAGATGCGAAAATCTATTGTTCTACTTGTCATCTGACCGTTATTAGGAACTAAGTTATATCAAGCAACCTGTCCAACTATTACAAAACGTCAATCTGCTCTACTCAAAGCACTTAGGAAGTTTAATGGCTATTGCTCTGAGTTCGAGATTCTCCGACCTCCAGACTGTCAGATCGCTGTTCCACGCCCATTGCCAACCACTCTGGCAGCACTCTGAGAAGACTCCTCATTACATGAAGACATCTGGATGACTCCAACTGAGGGACAGCCTCCATGATGGCTTGAGGATGAAGATGTTCGGCAAGGCATTCGTAACCTTCATATTGTTGATTGGTGTGGAGAGGAGAAGTTGAGACTTAAATCAGAAATTGCTAATATGCAGCTGTGGCTTGAGAGAGAGTTGAATGTTGCAACCCATGCAGTTCAAGGGAATGAAGGTATTGCCTTTTGGTTATTCTTCACCTTCTCACACCTACTAGACCCTACTTTAGACCTCCCCCTTCAAGAACGGGTAGAGTATATATCTAGCCTTTAATGTGCTTGGGCAAGGGGTATTGACAGTAGGGCATCCACTATGATTGCCTCTGTTAAATCAGCAGTGCCTTTGCCTGCAGGTGGGCTCCAGAGGCACCTGTCACGGATAAGACCCAGCCCGTCCGCTCCGGCGCTGGTGTCGGGCCATCGCGGGCCCGTAGCACGCAGCACGTGACGACGGGGAACATGTGCCCTAGTAGGAGGAATGCACACGTGGGAAGCATGTGACCAAGAACGACGCGTTGAGCCGTCGCTGAGCCCAACTCGACACAAGGGGACTGGGGAGGAGTGCTAGGAGGTTAGGAGTAGCGTCTGGCCCACAAGGGATGTACGATCGTCCCCTCTGCGGCCAGGAACGGGAGCGAGGAGGAGGAGGAGAGGCCAGGGTGTCCAATCACCCCCTTTTGCGGGCCCGTGTATATAAGGCGCGATAGTGTACCCTGTACTCTATCGCTTAGATCGTCTGAAGAACTACCTTACTCCGTGCAAGGAGGCGTTATCGACTCATCGGGCCCGACACGACCCGATTCGAACCTTTGACCACCGACCACGGCAAGGGACCAAGTTCACGGGCCCTTTCGGTTTCGATCTATCCCGCTCGCCGTACTTGCGGGCCCGACTATCCGTCTGTTCTGTTCCAGGCGCGCGTTCTTAGGAGAGGTTCTTGCACGGCCCGACCCGCAGTCTGACAGCACCAGCTGGAGGAGTCAGAGGAGCTGCTTGATTCAGAAGGTGCTGTGTTTGAAGGAGCCACTGCTGATGAACAGGACCTGTCAATTATTGAACCTGATGAACCTTCTGAATCAGTTGACATCTTCCAGGAGGTCTTAGATGGCAATGATGGGGAAGCTAATACAGAGGTTCTTCAACTAGAAAACTTTGTGATTCAAATAGAATCCTCTGTGGTATGCCTTTTCTTCTGTCAGGTTGGCCTTCATCTGACCTCATCTGACCTTCTTTAGTCTCCAATGCAGGTTGACACCACCTTTGTTCATGCCATTGAACAGTATCTTTCCTCTCAAGAAGACTCGTTAGCCAGCAGAGCAATATATGTGTAAGTTGACGAAAAATTGCCTGATCCAGGTGAATTTGGGTGAAAAATTAAGCAACAAGTGAAGTTATTTATTGTTTTCCTGTCTTTATATTCCAGGTCAAAAAATGTATTGGAATATTTGAAATTTTCCAGGTCAAAAAAATTCATTAAATAGTCTAATATTTTCCATATCAGAAAACTCATTCTACTATTCAAAGTGTTTTATTATGTCCTTCAGGCCTAAAAATCAGTTAGTAAACTAAACTTTTTCCACTTGAAAACACTTGTTCCAATAGTTTACATTTTACAATCCATTTTCCCTTGGTCTCAAAACTAGTAGAAAAGCCCAATGTTTTTAGATAACTTTGTAACTAAAGAACATTTATAGTAATACTTACCATTTGTAGCACTGAAATACCAATTTGTTGTCCAATAAATTTTTCTCTGCTGAAAACTTGACCTTTTTAGTCCAGTTTGTATGATGAAAACATTTGTTAAAAAACTTTGTCTCTTCCCACTAACGTTTCTATGCTCAACATTTTTGAAACGCGGCTGTGCATGTGTACAGAACCGCGAGTGACGTGACATACGTGACCTCCCATACGTGACTCCCCCCAAAAAAATCATGAAGGTGAACTCAAGGCGACTACAACTTGGTGAAAGGTATTTGCGCTCTTCCCATGCATTCACAAATTCTCTTACATCTGCGGCACAGTCTATCGACAAGGGAATGTGCTTTTCACCCCCCCTCCTCAGTCCAGTGGGAAACTTCTCAATATTTCAGGTGCGGCGTCGTTCTGTGCTTGTTTCTTTGCCTGACTGATCAATTCCTTTTGAGAGTGGCAAGAACATTGCTGCAATAGCTTTGAGTCCCGACGCAAATGTCTAAATTTCCGTCGATGATGGTGCGTTTTTGTGCATTCCAATCTACCAATACTAAAAGCTCGCAAGACGGCCGCGCCGCGCCCTCCTTGTGAACTTCCGGAGTTTGACTGTGCTCCACCACTTTAACTTCAAGAAGCCAGTGAAAGACATGAAATTCTCCCCCGACGGAAAGTTCGTGGCTGATTAGACACTTTTCTGTGGGACCTCATTTGAACTAGATTCGCATGATACGCAGCTCCAGGTCTAGCACACGTCAAACCTGAGCATTGAGACTTGAGGTACGTCGTCGTCTCATTGTCCATCTGGGTCTGAGCTACTCTAGTTGCTTTATAACAACGTCGAGAGACATGACTCGGACTGCTCGATTGTTCACCCTCAATTCGTTGGAAGCCTTCCGACCGAAGACATCTGCTGGGCACAGGGGCGCAGTACTTCTCCAGCGATGGTACAACGGCGTGTTCACTTGCTCTTCCTTCTTGCACAAATTTGACAATTTTCATAGACATATTCAGTCAGTCGCAATGGCGGCTGTTTTCATTGGGAAGAAAAAAGATTCAGAGTCAAAAAGGAGCTTATCGCATCGACCTTGCAAGGCACTGGAAGCAATATCATCGCCAACACACGATGGGGCGTCTACAAGCGTCATTGCTTCAACCAAGCTAACACAAAAAGTCGTATGCACCACATCACACGCATACCCATTGTTGGATTTCCGACCGGTGTCTATGACCATTGGGAAATGTCGGCGTTCTCCAACGTGCATGTCTCAGGCGAGGAATTTTTTTTTTGGTGCAAAAAAGCTCGGGCAGTTGCTTGTTCGGGAATGGCAGTCCGAGTTGTATATCCCTCAAGCAACAGGGCCATTTCCACGACATGAACACCCTCGCCTATGCTCCCGATGGTCGATGGCAAAATCGAAGTCTGGTCCACACATTTTGGCTTCTGCTTTATCACCTTGACGCAACACACTGCACCAATTTCCTCTGTCGCATTCGCCAAACACGGGAGTGTGTTATGTATTCCGCTTCACCATCCAGGCATCTTTCGCACCTCCACGGACTCTTTCAAGGTCTTCGTCTGGTCCGTGCAGACAGGAAAATTACTCGATGTCTTAACTGGGTACTAAGCCCACATCAGCGCTCTCGACTTTTCGCCTTCTGGGGCCAATTAACTCGTCAACGGCTCCCGGGACCGCGAATTTGTGCTTCACGTTTTGGTCAGATGGGGAAGATATTGCTGCGTCTTCATTGGATGGCCAAATGGTGTCTCTTCACGAAGATGCGTCCGGAGTAAGGAAGGAGGACGACCGCGTTTCTGCTGCAAACAGCACATCCAACAGTCTTTTGCCTATACTACGGATGGGGAATGTATCCTTGTTGGTTGCAACGGATGTCGTTTTATACTATGCGCGGGCAAGGAGAAAGTTTTAAACTGTCGTTGACTCGGACGGAACGGGGTTGCTGCATGATTCGATTGCAGGATTACCCATAGACTCTCTGGACGAAAAACGACTCACCCCTCTCCAAACTGTACTCGATGTTCCTAGCGATGCGATGGATTCCTTGCTCCTCACCGAGCACGTTGCCCAAAGCTTGCAGATTAAATTCAAGTTGGGCAGCCATCATTGATGACGTTATCACTCGCCGTCACGGTTTTCACGTGTTTCACCATTCTTTCCCCTCCAACCATGGCCACAAATACCGATATAACGCACCTCATCCGCGAATTCAACGAAGAATGTGAACGCGACATCGCGTTGAAAGGCACCGCCCAAGAGCAAAAGATTGTCGCCAAATATTGTCATCCCACCGCCGCTGACCGCCTACGAAGAGCGGAAGACGGGTTGCGCTGTCTGCAAGGTTCGTTACTGGTCGCCATGTCTTTTCATATGTCTAACTCTCTTGTGCGAATGGTAGACAGTCGTCAGCGAGTTCCTGCCAACGCGCGTGACAAAGAAAACGCCACTACTGGTGAGTAATGCGTATTCGAGTACTATGCACTCCCTGACGGCTCCAGTACCACTTCCACGGGACCCTGTCTTCGAGGCCGCTGTCGGCGAGTTCAACACTGCTGAAGTCTTGGAACGACAGGCGCGACTGGCCGTACAAAAGGCCATTGAGACCCAAAGTGAGGCTGCAGATCGGGTGGTAATCTGCCGAGGTGTCGTCCAGCAACATGTCGCTCGCAAGAAGCAAGAACGCGAGACGTATGCAGCTCAGAAGAAGGACGCGTTGGCACTGCGCGAGCGGGTTCAACGCCTGGCGGGAAAGGCTCGGACGGAATTTGTTCAAAGTATCGAGGGCTTGGACGACGAGAGCATTGTGGAGGCATTGGTTGGCGAGTCCAGCAGTGATGACGATGATGATGACCGGGACCGGGACCGGGACCAGGACCACGACCGCGACCGGGACCACGACCACGACGACAACCACAATGACCATGACGAAGTCAGTACCAAACAAGAAGATCATAACATCACTGGTAGTAGTCGTCACCAAGGTCGTTCCGTCAATGAACCAAAAGAAGGTATGTTCTCCGCTTACTTGTCTTTGTTTCAGTATCCTCATAACGCTCCAAGATCACGTTATCAAAAAGATTGCCAAAGCAGTGGGTACGTGATTCAGATCTTTTATTACTAGCGGTTTACATGCCTTGACTTGCAGTCTCATTTGTTGTCGTTGGTAAAAAGCGTCAAAACGATGATCAAAACGATGGACCCCCCGGACGTAAACGCACGAAGATGGTTTGATATCTATTACAACACTCCTACTCCTACTATACATCATATACTATACAGCCTTATGTGAACCAGACATGCCTTCCATGTAACAACTGTCGGAATGGTGACTGAAGTCATTGTGACTCGGATGTGCATTTCCCACTCCTGGGAGATCACAAATCGGATCGCAGAGCACGGCGTGGCGTGTGGGCAGACAACAAGAAGCCTTCTGCTCATGCGGCGCTCGAGCCAACGGAAAGGTTAGTCCTCCCAAATCGATCGTCCTGTTACTGACCAATCGATTTTATAGCAGCAGGCCGTCGTCAGCGCTTTCCACGGTCATCGCTGGAAAAAACGCTCATCACGAGCTTTCCGCCACCGCCAGTGTCGAAGAGAACGAAAACACCCAAGAAGGGGACGAACCTGAGACTCCTGGTCTTGGAATGTCTCCAGTCACGCCAAAGACCAACGACTCGCAACAATTTCCAACAACGCCAGCCACGAGCGTCAGTGAGGACGACACTACTGGCAAGGATGCGAGCTACTTTCCTGGTGGAGAGCCCAAAGGCATTGATCCGACATCTCTTTTTGTCGGCGGCCTCGATGCCATCGTGTGACTGCCTTGTTCGAAAAATATGGTGGGTTGCAGAGTGTGAGGGTCGTCGTCAAGCCAAGTAAGTCGAAATATTTGGTGTCTAATACGCAATCTGACCAACGTCCTTTTTAGCGAACGCGAAAGCTGCATTTGCGCTTGTCAAGTTCAACAACACGGAGTCTCCTGCTCGTGCTGTGATGAACAAGGTATTTGTTATCTACATACTTGCTCTTCAACAACAAAGGTTTCGATGTCGTTCACCTAGCACAACTCAGTTCATCATGGTCGAACCATCCAAGTCCAACTCCGAGATTGCAACCCTCCCCTCGCTTGGGTCCATCTCTGCCGCTTCTTTTGCGGCCACCATCTCGCCCACTTGATTTGGCGGCCCGAGTTCGCAGGGCTCTATTACGCGGGACCCCAACACTGAAGAATATTTCAGCGCCAGCACGGGTTTGGGGGGGTGCCGTTGTTTATCGATGACCGTCAGTGAAAATCTGGCACCTGGTCGCGTTCGTTCTTGCCTGTCCGGGGATTCGTATGCGGTGTTCGCTTGACCCTCTGTGAATACCCGAAGCGTGTCAGCAATCGTTCCATGCGTGGTGACACGTGGGTCAAAAGAGGAGGGTATGGTCGTCATCCATGATTTGCATGTCCATATCCAACTGCGAATCCCAGAATTCGGGTTGGGCTGCTCTCGGGTCCCATTTGTCATCTACAGAGCGTTCATCAATCCATTTGCTTTCTTGAAGCACTTAGAGTATTATGGGAGGTGACGGCAGCCTGTTATCGCCCGCGTTCACTGGCACACGGCGCATCTGCAGTTTATGTGGCCCTGTGTGTGTGCTTCTCGTGCAAGCTCTTCGGCGTCCCTCACCGTGCGGATTCGGTGTTTTTCCCGAAGCCGTTTGATGACCTCTCTCGGCGTGTTGAAGATGCCATTGTTATTCGTGGTTGTTTGACAACCAGATTGGCATGTCTCTCTGCGACACCGCTATTGCATTCGTCCCGACCCCGTACTTCTCACCGGTCTTTATCATCTTAGCTAAGTCGGAGCCGATGTGCTTGGCGGATGTTTTGGGCTTCCACTTCTGGGTTGGTTCCTACTTCGTTCTCCACTGACTCGTATCTCTTGCTAGTGTTACGTGCAAGGATTTTGTCAGCTGCCAGAGCCCAGGTACACTCGTGGTTTTTCCTCGCGCTGGTACTGGCGTTCCTACTAGTAATGCACCAAGCAGTTATTTCTGCTTCTCTGTTCTGAATGAAGTAACCTTCTGTATCCTAAAGCGAACCCAAAACGTCGAATCATGGTCGCATCTGTCATTACGAAGGATGGAGGAGATCGAGCATGGCTTGCTCATGACAACAACCCGCAACAACGAGGATTGCTGGCTTTTCTTGTTAGGAAGTCATGACTTGACCTTGGACCGCATCCAGCTGTTGTATGCCGCGGCTCGTTGACGCCAGAATACTCTCTTGTTCCGATACTCCAATATCCCACCCTACCAGGACTAATGCAAACCATCCTCTTCACGAAGTGCAACGGATTTTATTGGAATAGAGCTTTGTCCGTTTCGTTTTTGTTATATGACCAGCACAACTCATTCCACCTTATAGTGAGTCCGAGTCTTCGACTAACCACACTCGGTCCTGCCCAGCTATGCATCAGGACGCTGGGCAACCATTGTCTTACTACTTACTGGCCGGACTCCATATTCATACATCCGTAACGCGGACCGCGAGCGATGACATGTGCCGAGGCCCTCCCGGCAAAATGAAACGCAAGTGGAATTCACTGAGATGGTCCGAATACATTTCAAACACTATGCCGCTCGAAATGCAGATTCAGTCCGAGGCCAGTGCAAAGTCTCAGACACAGTTAACATATTTATATCTCGATTTACGACAGCTTGAAGCTTGAGAAACGGAGACCAGGCGCTCCGTGTATCCAGTAGGCGCGACAACTCTGAAGAGAGACCCCGACAGTCGGCGCATCAAATCCCGCATTCCCTACCTGACCTGCCGCATGGCGCTTTGGGTAACACGAATCGAAGATGGCGGCGCCGACATGGACGGGAGGTGGGCTGGCAGCTACACCTGTTTCAATGCGCCTCTTGATTAGGACGAGACGCAAGCAAGTGATTTGCTTGTCCAATGACTCCGTTGAGTTATGTCGGGTTCGAACGTCACATGGCTAGCCACAACGTTGATGTTTGTGCTCCACGACGGCATCCACCGTATTCAAGTTTTGCTTTGATTTTAGTGAGTCATTCTCATTCTCTGTGGAAATCAATACTCGTCTGACCATCAAGCTTGGGCATTGCAGACAGAGCGCCCCGTGTATCCAGTAGGCGCGACAACTCTGAAGAGAGACCCCGACAGTCGGCGCATCAAATCCCGCATTCCCTACCTGACCTGCCGCATGGCGCTTTGGGTAACACGAATCGAAGATGGCGGCGCCGACATGGACGGGAGGTGGGCTGGCAGCTACACCTGTTTCAATGCGCCTCTTGATTAGGACGAGACGCAAGCAAGTGATTTGCTTGTCCAATGACTCCGCTGAGTTATGTCGGGTTCGAACGTCACATGGTTAGCCATAGCGTCTAACATTCCTCTGTTGCTGGTCCTCATACTAGTACTAGTAAATACTTGTTTTCTGAATACAAACTAATATCGGCATCATCATTCACAAGAAGTTGGCATCCTCTACTATTTAAAGTCGTGAAATGGCCGACCCGGAATCGAGCTCCTCTCTCGCCATACTAAACATTAAGCGACCAGCACCATGACTGTCCAGATGCCCAGCATCGCATAGCATATTCGAGCTTCATGCGTTGTGGGTACGCTTTAGGATACAAAAGATTATTCCAGACCAGAAAAACATAAATGACTGCTTGGTGGTTGGCTTGGTGCATTAGGAACGCCAGTACATCTAATTTATCACATGACTTATCATCTTATCTAATCGTGGAAAATTCCTACTTGATGCAGACTGATCTCTATTTATTTTTTTCGCCACTGGGCAGACAAACTACGTAGTACAATGTGGTAGGTAAAAAAGTAGGGCTTATAGCGGTAATGCGTACAGGGGGGTTAGAATACATGAAGGAAATGTGTGATAGGATTATAAGGTGCGATATGGTTTGGGGATTGCGGTGACGACAACAACAAAAGCAGAGAGAAGATAGCGAGCGCATAAATAAAAATGCATGCGAGAGAGATGGGATTCCTCCTGAGGAAGAGAAACAACGGGTGAAAAAAAAACAACAGAAAATGAGAGGAGATTGTTCGTTTACTGATGCGCGGTGGTTGAGATCCATTGGCCGTGTCCGTGGTCGGTGGCAAGCGTCGGGAACTGCGGAGCGCGAGGAAGATGCTGAGGAAGCTCGCCATTGGGATGGAACTGCAAACTCCCTCCAGCCCGATTCTGGTGTTGGCGGCCCGCCATGCCCTTGGGCTGTCCGCCACGGTTGTGACCGCCCTGGTCCCGTCGACCACCAGGTCCTTGACGGCGATTGTTGTTTGGTCCATTATTACCAGCATTCACATCTGGGAATTGTTGGCCACGGAACGGCAGCGAAGGGATGTTGGGCGAATTTCCTTGGCTCAACATGACTTGCGACTGCGCGACCCAGGCAGCTTCGGTCATTGCTGGGAATGGACGGGGCTGCATTCCCATCATGGGTGGCATCGCGTTGGGATATGCATAACCCGGAGGGGCATATTGAGCGAATTGAGGAGTGCCATGAGCAACGGGGACAGCGGGAGGGCCTTGCTGTTGTGGGACTGGTTGCTGAGTCTGAGCTGACACAGACTGATTTATGTGGTTCGACGTCATGTAGTGGTCCAGAGCTTCCGGTTGATAGAGAGGAATGAGGGTTCCAGCTCCATTTTGAATGAAACCAGTAGGCTGCAACGGAGCCTGCGACTGGCTGGGAGACTTCTCGCCAGAAGTTTGCGCCGTCGCATATGGATAAGGAAGATTATAGTACTATCGTGGTTCAGCAAGAGCATAGAAGATGCAACGAGAAACAAATGACTGACTCCGTACATCGGCCATGGACGAGGCGCAGCAGAAGCCGGGCCGCTCGCATCAGAGCCAACAGGGCTAGCAAACTGTTGGGAATGATGGCCTTGATGTGTCGGCATTGGATATCCGGCAGGGTAGCCTGGATAGTAGGACACATATGGAACTTGTTGAGGGAAGGCATGCGGCCAAGGTGCCTGGTAATAGCCCCCACCAGGCATGGGGTATGGTGACCCCGAGCCGAGCGGAATTCCGGCATGGGGCGGCGGTGTCATGGTTGCCGAGGTCGGCTGATCGTACCATTCACCCGTAGCTTGCTCTAGTTTGATCTCCGGCTCAGGCGAAGTATGGCGTGAGACTGGTGCCGAACGAGATTGGGCTTCAAACTTGGACTGCTCAAACTCGGCAGTTGACTGCCGATGCCCGACTTGGTTGGAAGCCATAATATCTCCCTCAGGATTCTCCTGGAAGCGACGCTGGCCATAATTCATATGCGGGTGTCGCCCACGAGCAGTTCCACGACCATGGAATCGAAAACTTCCTCGGGGAGGGTTGCAGTCTCGGAGTTGGACTCGGATGGTTCGACCATGATGAACTGAGTTGTGCTAGATGAACGACATTTAAGCCTTTGTTTAAGAGCAAGTAGATAACAGATACCTCGTTCATCACAGCACGAGCAGGAGACTCCGTGTTGTTGAACTTGACAAACGCAAATGCAGCTTTCGCGTTCGCTAAAAAAAGACGTTGGTCAGATTGCATATTGGCACATAATATTTCAACTTACTTGGCTTGACGACCCTCACGCTCTGCAACCCACCATATTTTTCGAACAATGCAGTCACACGATGTTCATCCCAAGCGTCAGGTCCATACATCTCGAGGCCGCCGACAAAAAGAGATGTCGGATCAATGCCTTTGGGCTCTCCACCAGGGAAGTAGCTCGCGTCCTTGCCAGTAGTGTCGTCCTCGCTGACGCTCGTGGCTGGCGTTGTTGGAAATTGTTGCGAGTCGTTGGTCTTTGGCGTGACTGGAGACATTCCAAGACCAGGAGTCTCAGGTTCGTCCCCTTCTTGGGTATTTTCGTTCTCTTCGACGCTGGCGGTGGTGGACAGCTCGTTATGACCATTTTTGCCAGCGATGACCACGGAAAGAGCTGACGACGGCCTGCTATAAAATCGATTTGGTCAGTAACAAGACGATCCAAGTAGTATATTTGTGAGTACTAACCTTTCCGTTGGCTCGAGCGCCGCATGAGCAGAAGGCTTCTTGTTGTCTGCCCACACGCCACGTTGTGCTCTGCGATCCGATTTGCGATCTCCCAGGGGTGGGAAATGCACATCCGAAGTCCACTCTACTCCGGCTTTGGTCTCGTCGAACGAGCCATTGGCGTTCCAGTTCTCAGGACTCGCCCTGGAATTCGAGAAGACGTCAGTTTCGGAAGGCATGATTGGCGTCGGATGATTGGAGGAGGCTCGTGCGTTATTTTGGACGTCGAGAGGATGGTTGCTGGGAGGACGGTTTTGGTAGAAGTCAGGTCCGCTTTGAGGTTGATGCGCCCATGAGACGGTGAGATGAGGAACGCGTCGCAAAGTCTTGGAAGTGATGAGCGGATGCAAAATGATTCAAATGTGCTCTTACCATTAACGCGCTGACCGAGTCGTCGCGGTGGACCCACTTAACCTCGAAACAGCCTGGGTTCATACCAGGAAGACGGGGCCCATCGTGTGGCTGAGGATAAGATCGCGTGGTCGATTTTACTTCCTGGTCTAAGGCAATTATCAGGTGGGTGTATGATGAACGTCAGGAGTGACGAACCCTCTTCCACGTTCAGCTTGTTGAGCACCGAAAAGTGTTCGAGTGGACCAAAGTGAGCACAGAGACGCTCGAGGGTCTTGCAAAACGAGCTCAGCACGAGAATAATAAGCTGACGTAACCACTGACCGTTTGGTCCAGAATCACTGGCTGCAAGAACAAGACCGGCTCACAGTTGGGGTCGCAGACGGCGCTGTTCTCAGCCTCAATGGCCTCATTGTTGTAAAGGATAGATAGATATCTAACGAAATGAAGGTTAAGTGCAAAGAAGCGAGACGCGTCAGGTCACGTACTTGGTATTACGCGGACGCCACATCCGCATAGCATGGGGGAGATCCAGGGCGATGGCCTCCCCATCGCTTTTGTACTGGATAGGTGGACTGTGATTACGGTTTGGAAGAGGTAGGTAACGGGCACGAGGAACCAGCTGACCGGTAGGAAATGAACAATGTGCGGAATGCTCGCGCTGGCTCGTAGCGTAGGATACGACCAAAGAATGGTTTCGGGACGCTAGTTTGGAGTGTGTGAATCAACGACGCAGCAGCGGTTGCATCCTAGAGCCAAAAGACGCGTGAGAAACGACGATAACAGACAAAGGCTGGGAAGAAACGCGACAACCTCGCATTGGACGAATGCACAGACGCCGCCTTTGGAATCTCGAATGATCTTGAGGTTCTTGATTTCAGTGTGCTCGGACAAGTGTTCCCCGAGCAGACGAGTGAGTTCGTTGTGTTCGATGTTGGTGGGGAGACTAGGAAAACGCATCAGCATGACGACGACGACAACAACAACAACAACGAGAAGGGAGAACACAATAAATGAACGCACCTGCCAACGAAGACGCTGGCGTCGTGGGGAGTCACCGCTTTCTCTGTCTTTTTGTATGTCGATGCGTCAGCGCTGGGTGTGCCACCGATGACCTCAGCGTTGGGTGGCGGTGGGGAAGAAGGAGGAGAAGAAGGGAGAGTGTCGAAACGAGTGCCCCAAGCGCGAGCGTTGGTGGTCTTTTGCGGCATAGCAGAGAAAAGGATGGTAATGGTTGGGGTCAGAGTTGCAAACCTGCTTAAAAAAGAGATACTCGATTGCCTCCAAATGTGCATAAATCATTTGTGAGCGGCTACTGTCATGTCAAGTTTCGAGAAGAACATTCCTTCCATTTCCTCTGATTCCGAACCGCCCACAACAGCATTCAACGATTGACTTTGCTTTAGACCCCGCAGCAAACACAAGGCAGCCCAGGCCGCCGCAGCCAAAATAAAGGGAAAACATATCTCAGCATATTAGCTAGAAAGACAATTCGAGGTGTCCAGCAAACTTCGAGCGGGGCCGAGTTGAAACAAACCAAAAAGGTTATCGGACGTGAACCACAGCTTCTCTTTGATGAGCTAGTTCAGCTGTGCGTGTCTTTGCTGGCTTTTTCCCGGGAGAAACATGGACCGAGGACATACGATGAGTCGGCTGAGTTGAGTTGGTCGCAAATGTCGATATATGGGTACATTTTCTGGGAGATCGATTTGCACCGGATTTGTGCAAAATTGTCGATAGGCCCGGCGATCCATCGAGATTGACGGCGGACCGTCGGTCTTAGCCAGCGATCCACCGTCGATATTAAAGCTGCGAGGCACGACTTCGAGAGGTAAAAGCAAAAGACGAAGAAGTTGGTTTGTCATGATCACATCAAGTCATTTCTCGACATTTACACCCGAGAGCCAGTACACGAACAACAAAGGATACATATGGGAACTAGCGGCGGACCCACTATCACGCCTTGAGCACGAAAACACACACAGCATCACGCCTGAGAGCACTAGAACCATTGGCAGTCCCTGCAATCATTTCGATCCGCTGGGCTTCGAGTTGGTCGCTACTCGGAGGAGTCGAGATAGTTCGCAAGAAGCATACGCGTCTTCAAATTTTGTGCTTCAAGGGCAGAGCTTGACTCACTTGGGAGTCAGAGATCATCGGCGGAGGAGACGGCGCATTCAACTTGAAGATAGTGAAGAAGAAAAAAGCACGTCAATAGTGACTTCATAGCTGAGCCTTTCTGCAGACATAGCCAATCGAAGGTGCACCACGACCCAATAATTGAGCCTGGTGAACTGCAGCAAGGAACCGCAAACAAGTCATGGTGAAAGTTTGGGCGTGTGACCGCCGTGACAAGATATTTCCTCGAATCAACAGTCATGTCGGACGACGGCTACGATGGCGGAGGTGGTGGTGGGGACGACTTCGACTTCGATGACCACGGGTAAGGGCTCACACATAGCTCCCAAGTAAGCAATCACCCGCTAACTCACCTCCCTCCAGATTTGGGGGCGACGAAACATTTGTATGTTAGAAAACGTTCCCGAAAACAGACAGTATACCGATCTGCGCGTCTTTAGGATGACAACTACGACCTTCTTGCCGGCGAGCAGCAAGACCAGCAAAACCTCGAGGGAGACGGCGAAGGCGAGGGCGGCCAGGCAAATGGGATCAATGGCGAAGACCACGAAATGGGCAACGCCGAGCCACAACAGCAACAGCCGTCAGCGGGGAATGGGCTTGCTGGGGAGCGGCAACCGAATAAAGTCCGCGTTACAACACCATATCTCACAAAATACGAACGCGCTCGGATACTTGGGACCCGCGCCTTACAAATTAGGTAGGCCTGCCTCCAAAAACGACCCAAAACTTGCTCAAAATCTGCTAGCATGAACGCCCCAGTACTTGTTCCACTAGACGGCGAAACCGATGCCCTACAAATCGCCATTAAAGAGCTCTCCCAACGCAAAATACCCCTCATCATCCGCCGATATCTACCGGATGGCAGCTTTGAAGACTGGAGCGTCTCTGAACTCATCACCGACTAGGGCTGTCGCCGCCTCCTGTACTTGTCTTGCTTTGTGTGTATCCGCGTTGAAAAATTGCCGTTAAAAGTACAAAAAAATGACAAATAATGATAATAATGCTATAGCTCAAGTGGGCGCACTGTGCTTCGACCTCTCCTCAACGGCTTCGCCTTGGACTTGACCGGACTCTCCATCGACAAGTCGTCAAAGACATCCAAATCCATCGAACTTGTTTGAGGGACACCAAACAACAACCCTCGCGCTGAATCATCCAACCCCTTCATGGGTGACAACGTTCTCCTCTTCGACGGGCTCGATTCGGACGTATAGTGCGAGTTGGTTTGCCTCCTTTTGCTTGGCGATAATGGAGGAGTTTGCGTGAAGAATGCCCCGCTTTTCGCAATTGTCGCAGCAATATCCGGAGTGCTGAGCACCATGTCGGTCGACTCGTGAGTAGGAGGCACATTTTCTCCGTCGTTTCGCGGCTTCTTCTTGGTCTCTATTCAATTGGTCAGCGGAGGTCAAAGCAAAAACAGCAAAAAAAATACGAACCTTTTTTGGTCCTGTCTTTGGTCGATGCGACCACCTTGAAGTTGAGCGGGCTGCTCATACTCACATCCCCGTTCTCCGCCGCCACCAGCGTCTTCTGTACTTCCCAGTCTTGTGGACGCGACTTTTTCCACTCCTCAAGCACGCGCGCAACCCACTCATCCGTCGTTCCCTCAACGTGAAAGTCGATAATCCCATTCCATTCAGACGATGGCGGTGTCCTGTTGACGAAGATGACCTTGCCCGCATGCTTTTTGCTGTTGGGTTTAGGACTATCGGTTGAGTGGCCGTGAACGGTCCTAGCAAACTCCTTGACGAGTTTCTTCAGACCGTGCACTTTCAGTGAAGTGCCCATGATAATGAGCATGTCGGGCTTGCGTGTGAGGTCAGACGATTGTATCAGACCAATTTCGTCGCCGAGAGGATGGGGCTCATCGTACAAAACGATGGCGGGACGTAATGAGCCGACTTTGATGGTTCGCGCTGAACGGGCGGCTCGTGCTTTCGCTAGAATAAAAATTATGAGACGATGATGGGACGAGGGAACCGAATGACAAACCTCGTCCAAGACATTCCGGACAATCTGGCGCGTCGCCTTGAAGGAAAATGTCCAAATACTCCCGTGAGCAAGGATACTCGGCAGAGCACGACCTGCATCGGACGCGATGAATATCGCCATGGAGTTGGACGTTCTTCACATCCTTAGTCCGTAGCTTGGACTTTCCCTTGCCCTCGGATTTCGCTTCGTGGCTCCCACTACCCAGCAGCCCAACCCTTGCCTCGAAACCGTCAATGTTTTGTGTATACGAGCGGAGTAGCTTCTTTTTGCCGTCGAGCGTCTGAATAAAATGGTGTGTTGGGCCAGGTTCGGCAGCGTCGATCGACTGTTTGAGTTGGGCGATGAATGTGTGGAAGACAGCGGTTGATGTCGAGTCGCGGAATAGCGACGCGTCGAAGAGGTCGCGCCCCTTGAGCACAACGTCGGGGTATTGCTCCTTTACAAGCGCGTAGAGACCGTCAGAGGAGCGGAAATCCTGCTCGACGATAAGCTCGCTGGCCATGAGAACATGAGACGACACGTACGGGAATTCCAGAAGAGCATGAGATCCCGGCCCCCGTAACGACGACAATTTTTTTGCATTTGGCGACGGAGAGCGATAGACTCTCCAGAGCCCGTTTTGTGGCCACGTCCCGAGCGGCGAAGTCGAGGTGGGTGATCATGGTGGCAGAAACGAAAGTCAACAAATTCACGATCACTGGTCTCGTGATTTTGTATTTCAGCGCGTGGTCGCGTCCAATGACATAATCCGGGTCACAGACAAACAATGCGCATCCCTTCAAATAACACACACAAGAACATTCCAGTACATTACTTAGGTTATTAACAGGTTGTGGTACTTTTTATTATTTACTTGCGAACTTCACGCTCAGAGCCTGGCGTGCGTTCAAGGTAGCGAATGGGCGCTGTTGCAGAGCAACTCGATTTCGTGGTGGAGTCCAGGGTCTTGTAAGTTCCGAATTGCTCAGTACCATAAACGTGGCTGAAGTACCACACTTCAGTCAGAATGGTTCCGTTGGTCGAGCAGCCGAGGTAAGGGACAGCACCAGTCTGAGATTTCAGCGCAGTCTCGATCTGGGTGCGGGTGTAGCTTGTAGTGTTCGAGGGTACGATACCAAACCTAGAGTGAATAGTGAGTTACGCAACGTAGAGGTTTAACTCGCAACTCACGAAGCGAGAATATCGAATGTCGGATATTGTTTGAATGCGCGGACAACAGCATCGAAGAAGTCGACAACGTCCTGGTGCTTCTTGTACTTGGGACCATAGCAGGCGATGTCGAAAGTGCTCGTGCAGGTAGCATGCTTGGAGAACTACGACCAGTTTAGTTTCTGCCATTGGACCCAATCATTTCATGGATACCTCATGAGCCCAAAAGTCGGCGTTCGGCGCACGCTGGTTGATCCAGTATTTCTCCACTAGCAACTCGTCAGAAAAATGAAGAGTAAAACAACAAAGGAGACGAACTGTAGTCGAGCAGGTCATGTCTCCCGAATTTCTTCACGAAGGTATCGATGCTAGGACCAGTCCACGCAGAGAAGTTTGTGCTCTTGTCTGGCGTAGGGTCAAACTGGCGGGTTGCATCACAGTAGCTCTCGTAAGAACCTGGAGACTGCAATGAGAAACGACAAAAATAGCAATCCTGATTGACGCACCATCGCAGTTGTCCGGCCAAAGACCGTGAATCGTCCAGCTGCTCTTGGGCAGTTTTTGCCCCTTCTTCTCCAGACCAGTGTAGGTCGACCAGAATTGAGTCTGCAACACGAGCCCGCCCGGAGTTGGCGAGCAGCAGGTGTTTTTAATCGCCGTCGTATTCTCGCAAGAGAAAACTGAGGGCTGGGCCGCGCATGCAGAGAAGTCGGGGAAAGTGTTTATGACCGAAGACTGGGTCGTGAGGGTTTCAGCCAACACAGTGGTCGTTGCTGCAGCGAGAAGGAGAGCAGCGGAGAACATTTTTCCAAAGAGACGACGGCAGGTCAAGTGAAGGGACGAAAAGTGACTGCTGTCGAAAAGGCGCCTGGCATAGACTTATATAGAGACGGAACGATAAACGTTGCTGGATCCCCGACGCGTCGAGCACATGGAAAAACGGAGAAATCCATACGGGTCACTGATGCCAACCACGATTCTCATGTGCGTGACCAGTGCTTGCGACAGGTTCTTATCGACCCCACAAAGCAGTAAAGCACGTTTACTAGCCAAGCCGTCCAAGGTCAATCTACCAACGAGAGAAGGGCATCGAGACTTCGGCACACTCATATTGGTAGCAACAGTCTGAGAATTATTGGCCTTGCCGCAGAACATGCCCATGTGTAGTTCTGTCGTGTCTGAGTGGTGCCTGAAGATTTCATTGAGATTCACCAACATGCTCAACAATCGAAGTCAACTGTCAAGGCAGGAATCTGAATCAACTCAGTCAACTAATAATCTAAGAAGTGTTACTAGCATAAGCGTAAACTATCAATGCACCAGTTGGATGTGGGCGCAGAACTTGTAAATCTACATCGATAACTACAAAGAAAGTGTGGGATAATAATACAGTTCCAGAAACTGCAAGGAAGTCTAAGCATAGCGTAGCGTATCGGCATTAGGTTCGTTGTCCGTCATTGGGAATACTATCGTATGTCGGTGGTATTTCGTCTGGCCCTACCCTGCCTCCATCTTGGTGCACAATAACACCGCTCGCGGCAGATGAAGAAGCCATCGGGCCACCAGAGTGTTCACCTTGAGGAACACCTCTGGGCCCAGAGCGCAGATAATTTTGGATTGCGGAGTCTTGTTCGTTTCCGGTCGGGTTTGCGACAGCAAACGAGCGAGAGCCCATCGCTTCGCGTTCTTTGGCACTCCGTGGGCTGTATGCACTCGACCCAGACTCGCTCGGAGGATAGTATCCACCAGGAGCAAGAGCTTGTTGCGGAGCTGCTGAGTAATAACCGCCAGCAGAACTCATCGTCGGAGTATAGCCATCATGAGAGTATTGAGACATCGGCGGGGGCGACCCGCTGGGCATGGGTGGGCTTTGTGAGCGTGAAGAGGCATCGAAAGCTGAGACGGTTGGGGTGTAGGTGAAAGGAGTCACGATGCCCCCGCCAATGGCGCTGTGGGGCAGTCTTCCGCCCATACCATCATCTTCCTCGTCCAGATTGAGGTTGGGAAGGGTACCCCCGGCCTGAATCATATCGGGTCCTCCGGAAGTGGGTCGGCCTACACGCGCAGGATCGAAATCACCATCGAAATCCGTCTTCTCCCGAGAGCGACGGCGGTACCAGAGTAAGGCACCCGCAGCGATACCCAACACAGCAAGACCTAAAATTAAAAACATGAGCACTTTCCACAGGCACGACAGAAATACATCATACCTCCAACGACACCACCCACAATTGCACCGGTATGGGAAGATGAACGGACGTTGTCGTGAGAAGAGGCTACAACGGTAGAACCAGCAGGGATTGTCGAGGTGATCTGGGACGGATTAGCGGGAAGACAAGTGCGACAGGATGCACTTTACTTCAACAACGGTCGTGAAAACTTGCCCATTTGATGTGTGGCTGTCAGACATGATGAATAATAGGGCCGCGTGCAGAAATGGGTACATACACCATAGTTGAAGAGGATACGGTTGTGGAGGGGGCAGTCAATATTGAAGACGATGAGATTATTGGAGAAGACGAGGATTGCACAGGCAGAGAAGAGCTCAATGGCGCCGAAGGTGAGACGGAGGGCGGGAGAGAGGACACTGGAGCAGAGCTGGAAGGGGACGGCGAGACCACCGGGCCACTGGAGCCGGAGGGGGACGGCGAGGGAGCATTTGAGTCTGTAAAGGTGAAGGGTGAGTTAGCTGAACGCGATAAAGGGGTACCCATTGAACTTGGGGATGCAACAGCGGGGGAGAGAGATGAAGAGACAGAGGTCATGGAAGAAGGAAAGCAAGGAGAAGAAGGGGTGGTGCGGCGCACAAACAGCGCGTGAACCGAAGGGGGAGCTTTCACAAGGGGTTACGAGACAAATCTGTACTCACTACCACTGCTAGCCATTGGAGCGAAAACCCCACACCCACACTCTGGCAGAACAGAAACTGCGAATGCCGACGCGGTTTGAGACAAAACGCGACGTCACAATTTACGTCGCGCCATCAAGTCGAGATTTTTTATCTAAATTTGATGATCTAAATGATGTCCTTATCTACAACAAACTAGAACCATGTCCGCAGGACCTGCCGTCTCAGAAACAGTACGAGAGCCAGATTTTGGCTATCTACGTAGTCTTCGTCGTCTCCCAATCCTCTGGCCTGAACTGCATCGTGGCGGAGGCGTGTCGGTGATCTGAATCCGTTTCACATCCGAACCTGAAAAGGAGAGCCTCGAGGAGCCAGAACTAATGATTTCTTGGTCAACCAGGCAGCTTTAATGTCGAGCCACGGAGGTATCCGAGCACGAGCATGATAGAGTGCTTTAAGTTGATGTGCAGTGTTGCTAGCAAAATCATGATGGACGCGGGCCCAACCTTGAAAGTTGGCGGTGGGCATTGGACAGCAGATTTATATGCAGGAATGGAATAAACGGCTGGAAATGTTGCATTCGTGAACCTGATTCTGGGGTGACGGCGAATAAATTCACAGCGGCGTCTTTTGGAGAGTTATCCTAGTCATATTGATCTAGTTCAAGTAGTCAGTGGCAGAGAAAGTGGGTGTAATGTTACGCACCCTGCGCAGAAAGGCTAACTCGAGATGACTGTTGAGCGTCCGTTGACTTGGCCCGGGGAAACTGGAGAGCCCCGAGACCGCTTTCAAGTTGCCACCCGGTACTGAGTCCTCGATAAAATCGAGGATGGAGTTAGGAAATCCATGCCTGAATAGCCGCCGAGGGCTAGGAGAGCCACAGGAGGATGGGCGAATTTTCTGAGCATGGTGGATCAAAACAAAAAAGATTCCGCTACCACTTGAATTTCACCTTCGACCGACCTCCCACCACGCTGGTCATAATGATACGCCAATTGCTCGCACCCTCTGGACAATCGCTCATTTTCTGGGACCTCAGGGTTCCTAGGAATTACTCCAGCCTCCGATCGACTGGACCCTTGACTTGCAAGATCGTCAACCACAACAACCACGAAATTTACCTGAAAACATCGTCCACGACTCGCAAGGGCTGTCCGTCACGATTTTCCACCCGGCTCCCCTATGGACCAAGGAATTATCGCCCATTAAAGGATGCACGAACCAAGCATTTTAATTTTGAAACGGGCGGACTTGGCTAGAGAGGATATTCATGTTGTGGCTGGCGGACTGTTGGGATTCCGGCACTCTTTGGACTGGTGAGCTCTGCGACTTTCCTTTGTCTGCTGTCGAACTCAGACAATTATTTCTCTAGCAGAGGCTACCCGTGCTTTCGATATTTGAGGTTGATATTTGTCGGCATTCAGACTTGGCGGTGGGACAGAATGGCTGGATCTTGACGCAAACAAGTTACCAAGGCTGCGACCGTGTGCTGGCTGAGTGAAGACTCGCAAAGTCGGATCAAGAGCATCGCTGGAAACGTTGCTTGCTGCTGGCGGACTTGTTTCAGTGCTGGTCATAACTGCTGGGTTTTCAAGTAGCCCCTCATGGACTCATCGACTGGCTGAACTCAAACCACGAAGAAAAAAAAACAATGGTGAGAGCTTTGTTGAAGAAGTGATCTTGACTCACAAGTGCACAGCCACCTCGCAAACTTAATGAAACGAGAGGTTTGCCCAAGAAATTGCCGCGCAAGGCTGAATTGACGCGTCTTGACTCTTCTTGAGTGTCCCTATGGCTTCTATTGCAGGATAGTAGTCATAGCGTGCTCTTGAAACCGTTGGCGGCGGCACAAAAGCCTAACGGGCACCTCTGTTTGTCAGCAGAGCGGGACTTGCTATTTGCTGGCGGTAACGCGAACAGTGGCTTCTTTCGTCGGCCTTGAAGCGCAGCTCGTCAGGGTCGAACTGAATTGCAACCCTGACTGGTTGTCCAAGTCCGTGGCCCAAAGTCAGATGTTTGGATCGAGTATGCCGTGACGACAATCCGTGGACAAAACGAGGTTCTATCTGTCCGTTCCATAATAGAAAGCCGCGCCCAATCCAATCTGCGGCTGATCTCAGCAGAGAACGAACCAAACCAGGCCCGAAACAAACCGAACGAGAAGGACCGAATTAATCGATGTTTCGGCGTCGTTCATTTTCCTGCTAACAAAGCTTTCCGTGAACCTATCCCGAACCACCACCTAGTTTAGCATGCCCCGGAGCTGCACCTCCTCCACTAATTCGATGACGTTCGCGCACAAGTCCAAGGCAACCCTTTTCATCGTTATCCGTCGTGATAGTACTCATTCTGTTTTCTAGTTCGACCCTCATCGCCATGGTGTTGAACGGATTTGCCTCACGCGAGCAGAATTTGATATCCAGGACATGGACGGCCGCAAAATCGTGAAAATCAGATTCACGAAAGTGTACCCAGTGGCAAAAAGCCGAGAGGTCGTCCGAGTTGGCGGTGATGACCCAGAGTCATGCGACAATGTCGTGCTAGTAACCGTAAGTTGTTTGCGAGGCACTCTGTCCTTCAGAGACTAATGGTGTTGATCAGGACACTTATGAAGGGGATTTCTTCGTGCATCACACATTTTGCTGCTGAGTGGCTACATCGTTAGATTCAAGAAAGGGAAGATGGCCGAACAAGTTTTGTACTTATTAGCAACCATGAACTGAACTGTATTATTGCAACAAGAACCAGAAAAAAAGAATGCTTCAACACTTGAGAAGTCACAAACATGGAGTGAAGAAGTGACAATACATTTTGTCGCTATAGAAGAATCATCTGGAATGTCCTACTGCTAGTACACCACGTCCCCCAAAAGGAATCATTCAAGATAGAATTACTAATCATTATCGACATACGAAGCAGCATCTCCAATGATCTCAACACCATCCGAAGCGGATAGGCGTCGACTGCGACTACGACTACGTTTCCGCACAGTGCCCGGAGTCTCAGGTTCCATCGGAGGTTCAGCAACACCCTTCTCAGGAACCGGTGGCGGCGAAGGCATCTTAATGATGGGAGTAGGGCCAGAAAAATCCCGCCCAGTGAGCCGGGCGAGAGTATCCATATCTAAGGACAGTCAGAGTTGAATGTATCATTAGGTATACTTACCAATTGGTGTTTTACTCTCAAGACAACGATTAATACGTGCACTGTCCTTCTTGTCCTCGGCTTTGAACTTGTTTTTGCACGCTGTGCGACTGCGACCTGGAAGGACCAAAGAAATCAACTCGTAGTTTTCGCCATGTTGGGCCAACGCCTGTTACAGTTAAGACACCAAGATATGAAGGTTTAACGATTGACCTCAAAGAATAACTCAGTCTCTTCAGCACTCCAACGTGATCCTCGACACTTCTTGGTGTACGATGCAGAGTTGACGAACTTGGTGTTATCAGATTCAACCACATGAACGTAGTTGGTCGTGTCGACTTCTTCAGTCCGATCAACAGCCAATGAGTCCTCGTCTATGATTGTCTCTCCATTCGGCCCAATCCGCACTTGTACATGGAAACGGCTAGTCGTCAGATCTTTCGAATAGTCGAACCCGCTGCCAGATTCATCAACGATAATAGGTTCTGAGGGGTCAGCTACAGCATTTTCTTCGGGTTGGTTGACTTCGACTGGAGCAGCGGGAGTTACGGTCGGCGCTGGCGCTGTCTCTTCATCGTCAGCGTCCTCTGGCTGCCCATATTTCTTGCGCTCGGCGAGCATCTTCATTCGAGCTCTCTTGTCTTTGCTTTGCTGCTTCCAAGCAAAATGGTTGCGCTGTATCTCCATCGCCTTACTGCTGACTCGTCCCTGACCATTGTCTTCGCACAATTCAGCCATAGTGATTGCAGTGGGGTCAAGTTCTTCCCCCGGATCTGCATCGGGGTCGAAAGGAGGAAGTTTGGGTTTCCTCTTGCGTCGTATTTTCGGTAGTGATGGCGGTGAATCACTCTCCAACTCATCGATTTCACTTTCAGTGGGTTGCACTTCCACCACCTTTCTTTTGCGCAGGACTCGTCGTTTCGGTTCGCCGGGAGTATCATCATCGGTACCGGTCTCAGCTGCCGCCTGCTTCTTGGGCCTCTTCGCTTTGGGAACTGACTGCCCGTCTTCGGTAGCCTTCTTCTTTCTTTTGCGCGGTATTTCTGGCGACGAAGATTCCTCCTCTTTTATCTGCGTCTTCTTTTTTCTTGTTTGCGGCTTCTCAGCGGAGGTCGTCTCGCCTTCAGTAGTCTCTCCATCGGCACCCTTTTTCTTCCGTTTGATCGTCTTCTTCTTGGTGGGGGATTTGGATGTCTCGGCTTCTGTGGTCTCTCCATCTACAGCTTTCTTCTTCCTTGGTTTCTTAGTGGTGGATGACTCAGCTTCTGTAGTCTCTCCATCTACAGCTTTCTTCTTCTTCGATTTCTTCGTCGTGGATGTCTCAGCCTCCGTCATCTCTCCATCTACGCCTTTCTTCTTCTTCGACTTTTTGGGAGTTTTCGTTTTCTTGGTGGTGGATGGCTCAGCTTCTGTAGTCTCTCCATCTACGCCTTTCTTCTTTCTCGCCTTCTTGGTGGGTGATGCGGATTTGTCAGCTTCTGTATCTCCCCCGTCTCCATCCTTCCTCTTTCGTTTGCCGGCTTTCTTTTTAGCAGGAGACGCAGCCTCTTCAACGTCGTTAGAGGGAGGCGGGTCAACTTGTGTCGGGTCCTGACTAGACTCCCCTTCGGGGGGAAGTGAACTGGGGAGCGATGCCTGTGTACTAGAGCCAACAAGAGTATTCGACGAAGGGGGTATTTGGGACGATGCGGTAGCAACAGAAGGAGGTTTTGGTCGAGGAGGAGATGGTGAGAGAATAGTCGGTGCTCTGATTATCGACGGAGGTGTGGCAGGCGGTACTATAAGCGCAGGAGGAGATTCAGGCGTAGGATTGAGTAACGTTGGTGGTAGAGGCAATGAAGAAGTAGAAGGACCCGGGACATTCGGTTCGGCGCCGTCGTCAACTGGTACAACTGATTCGCGTTCAATTGGCGGAGCAGGGGTTGCTCTTGGGACACTGCTTGTTGCGCGAGCCCTGGCCTTGATAACGGGTTTGAAAACCGGCCCGCCCTTTTCTGCGCGAGTTCAGTGAGGCAGACGCGAAACACGAAAAGTAGTTTACTCACGGACGCGAGAGGTCATGGATGTCAGAAGCAAGTCACACTCGATGGCTTTGTCTTTACCAACAACCACGCAACGTCCTCCATTTCAGCCTCAGCCCGACGATGAACCAGAACTAACGAGCATCTGTGAGAGGTATTCTCATAGTTTCATTTGGTTGGACTGAGCTCGAACCTGCTCAGCGGTGTGGTTTCCGCATCTCTCCTCCAGTCGCGGGACAACTGGCTGAACTCCATTTTTGAACTCTACACTGGACGGACGCGACCCAATTGTCCTCCCCCTACTTCCTCCCCGTGCGGTGTTTGCACTATCGACATCGGGCCGCACATATTCTGCGATACGAGCTTCTATGAAGTCCACTATCCTCCTTCCCAACTTGAAGGATCAGCCTCTACCTCTGCTCGACCATCCTGGTCAGCATCTATTCCGATGCCCAACTCGGATATAGTCCATGCTGTAAATGCAGCGGCGTCAAGTAATCCCACTTTCGCCAACTTGCTTCACATTGCTGCAAGTGGGCAAGCTACTCCGGACCAACTACAAACACTCGGTCTACTCATTCAGTCGCTTCCTCCTCCACGACCGCCACCACTTGCGCCTACTACTGCGCTGGCTTACGATATCGTGTTTCAATATGCAGAAACACCTTCTCAGCAGTGTATCTTACCTCGCGTTCCCGCTGTCTGGGAAAAAACTGGTTCCAGAGGAGATTTCGCTCTGACGCTTGCCATAAAGCCTCCTAATTCAGCTGTGCCTGACCTTCAAATCGTCACAATAAATTTCAGGCAACCACATCCAACCTTGAGCGAAGCCATTTCACGCTGGGTAGGGAACGCAAGAGAAAATCCTCAGATAATTAAGAGGGTAAAGGTATGTCATCAGTACAACCTCGCGGGTTATTCTACATCTCCTTCCAGGAGCAATCAAGGAGAGTCTACCTCACTCACAGAGTGCCTCGCGACCAGATTGTCGCACAGCTAAAAATGGTGCCAATAACCTACTCAGGCTACATGCCCGAGGGTCTTACCTTCTCTGCAGTCATCAGTTCCCAACTACTCAATGACCTCAATCAAACCGCAACCAGTGGTCGAACCCCCTCTGAATCCACCTCAGCGCAAACCTCGCAAGCCACGAACGACCACTGAGACAGAAAATAATACTGCGACACCGTCTCAGCTCGAAGCACCCGTAAAGAGAAAACGAGGGCGACCCAGAAAAACGGATATAGTCAAGTTATCTTGTACAACCTGCCAGGCCACCGATGTCCCGCTTGTGCTTGGTGGCCGTAAATTCTCTCTCTCTTGAGGTTGACGTTATATTCCAACTGATTTTACATAGGATTTTGTCGGCCGTGCGTGGAGGCGGGCAAAGCCGTTGATCGAGAGGCCGTACAACATGTCTTTTCCGTGGATCCATCACGCGCCACCCAGGAGTCCTGACGCTCCCAATCAAGCTCTTTCTTACAGTTTGTTGGAAACCGAGCCGATACCAGGGAAGAACCATTGATTCTATGGACTCGTAGATGTAACATTGAGTACTATTACTCCCAGTCAGATTCTTCCTGCCCCGCAGATGGCTGCAAACAGAGTTTGGTTAATTTGCTGCTTTTCGATTGTGCATCCTCTCCCTCGACCGGCGTCCCCTTCTTTCGGGCTCTGGGAGATTCAGCTTCAGTATCACCAAGTCGGCGTTTTGGAGTTGGTAAGCTGGATATGGAAGAGTGGTTTACTTCGACAGGATCTAGCGGAAGTAGGTCCAGGGTGCGACGCGCCAATTCGAGAAACTCATCATATGCTACCGAGGCGGCCTCGATCGAAAACACAGGGAAAGGCTTGTAGTTGAATCTGCTTTGCGCTGCGTCGACTAGAAGAACTTGTCGTAAAAAGAACTGCCGCAAATCATTCGCCAGGACGTCGAAATGGGGTCCGTACTCAGGGCCGAATCGGGTGGCTCCGTACTTGATCTCGCTCCTAATGATCTCGCCTTTGCTGTTGCGCAGTCCTGTAACAGAGGTGCGCGGATTCAGCCAGGCCTCAATAAAGTCCGGAAGAGCATCAACATCGTGAATAATTCCTTCTGCATTGTAGCCGAAGAGGACCAGCACCAAAACGTAAAACATGGATTCTAGGTCGTCCATGTTGTCGTGGTGGCCAGTATTGTTTGAGCCATTCAATAATTTGAACGATTGATAAGCGCGGGTGCCCTGGAATATATCAGCAGACGAAGGAGGAGCGGCGCAAAACCTACAGTTCGGTCTTTACGAGCTTCTCTCTGGCCAGACTCGTCGGTGAGAACAGTAACCAACTGTGACATTCGTTTTGCCATATCCCAATCAATGATAACTGCGGTTTCGCCAGGATACGGGGATAGACGGACATTAGCGAAGCTGATGTCACGGTGAAGAATGCCCTTTTCGAGTAGACTGAAGCGATGACCTATAAAATGAACTCTCAGTAGAAGTAGAAAAAAGGATCAAATTCGCACCTTCTGCGATGTCGATAATTGCCTGGATCAGTTGCTGTGGCAAGGCATGCTCGAGAGTTTCCCTATATTCCAAAGTGGCAATGCGCATGAACCATCGGTCAACGATGGGGATTTCAGAGGTAGAGCCCCCTGGCCCTCGGCTTATGTGGATTGAGTCCCGATCGTCATGGAAGCCGAACATTTGCCCAACACCTCGCACACCGGTGAGTTCTTTGAGGAGTTGAGATTCCGTTTCTCGGCCGTCAGTCCGCCAATAGTCTTTGACTACGTATCTGCGTCCCTTGTATGTAGCTCCCCAACATACGGTGCCGCGAGAGCGAATAGAGTGCCGGACGAAAAGAGGAGCTTCGTCAAGATCGAGAACGATCTCGAGGGTATTTTTCTCCCATTTCGCTGTTTGGAGGCTATAGAGTTCGTCAGGTAAGAACTTCATTTTGCGCTGCCCATTCTCCCAGTAAACAGAGGTGTCGAATCCCATATGTTCCTCGACAAACGCAGTCTGAAGGAGCACAATCTTGACGAAAAACACTGGGTTCTTGTGATAGTCGATGCAACGCGTGTAATAGCAGCCAGCTCGATCAAAGCGAACGATTCGGAGGACCTCTGGAGTGATAACATTAACGTAGACAAATTTGCGGTTGGGTTGCTGGATGAAGACTTCGCGAGCGTAGACCGCGATTTGCCCTTTGACATGATTCGTCAGTGAAGGGACAAGTTTGCCATCCCAGAGCGCCCCAACGTAAGGATACTTTGGCGAGGTTGGAATAGTATTCGCGGATGTAATACAGCCTCCGCTAGCAAAGATGGTAATGTCAGGCTCCGATTTGAGGAGCTTGGTTCCGGCTTCCGGGCGAGTGTGTGGCATATAGACTCGATGCGTGTCAACGGCTTTGCGCATTCTGGCAACATTCCCAGCCTCGTCCGACTCGATGTCTTGACCCCCTAACGCGAGGATGGCGTTGAAAATTGCGACGAGTGGCTTGTAAAGTTGGCTCTCGTCCTTGGTCGAAGGGACTTCGTGCCACCTTTCTTGTTCATCGTCGTATCCATGGTATGATTTAATCCAATCCCTGATGCGCCGATTCATACTTGTAGCATTGCTTGAATCGAAGACAGAGCTGAGATGGGATTGGAGGGGAGTATCATCGCTCTCCTCGAGCCATGTCCCTTCTAACTCGGCATGCATTATATCCTGCACCTCTTCGACAGCATCGTAGTTGCCCTCCTCTGTGGCAGAACTAGCATGCGACGGAGTTACCAGGGCTGGGTGTGGTTTGGTTGGCCGTGGGGGAGTTCGAGGAGGATTGGACACCGTGCCACCGTTGGTGTCGCTGCTAGAGTCAGTAGATTTCTGGATCCAAGTATTTGTCATGGCCAAGGCGGGGAGGAGGTTAGGTGTGCTCGTTTTTTGGTCGGACGAAGACCAGTCCCAACAGTGATTCGTGTTTTCGGAGTACGAAAAAGACGTTTACTAGGCATGATGGTATGAGCAGGAAGAAGCGATTGAATGCGCTTGGACCAACCAACTTGACTATTTTATCCCTTCCCACAACATCACAGCACGAAAGAGACGCGTCGTGCACGTGAGTATCCACCCATCAAACGCGTCAGACTCACTGATGACTTTGCCATCACAAGTTGGCATAATACATAAGTAGTACTGGAGGACACCGTTAGCAAAGATGGCAATGCTCAGAACCGCGTTTGGATTTTGGAACGTCCGAAAGCAAAAAACAATAATGATACAATTACAGTTGAGTATGCTATCCGAATGAGGAAAACCAAATCTAGATCAAGTGAATATGTTAACCGACCAGCCAATCCACCACGCCACAATCGCAAACTGCGTCAGGACGATGGCCAGCTCTACGACGACAGCCCACCATTGCACGATTATGGTTATCCAGAACGGGCCCAGCATAACGAGTCTGAGATATGGGTAGGGAACAGACAGCAGCCAAAAATTGCAGATCGAAGTAACCGCCCCTTTTGTTTGGAGCACCAAACCAGCGACGGAGCCCACGAAGAAGACCAAGAGGCCCACCCAGTGCCGTAACGACCGACGGGGAAAGCGGTCGATCGAGTAGCGTTTCGTTTGCCCAGTAAACTCGTTCCGGTACAGCGGAATGATGAGAAAGTGCTGAATATCGTCCCCGATGGTCTTGCCATATGTCCGCCAAAACGGGGTAACTGTGTCAAGAAACAATGTCAAGACATCCATGGCGACATCCCAGAAATATTGGTATTGGTCCTTGTAGCTTTCTTCCAATGCGACGATGGTCGATATCTGGAGAATTTTTTTCAGCCAACCTCTAACGGCATAGAAAAAAACCTACCTCAGGGTAAATGACGGAGGTATGCGACATGGTATCGTTGTAGGCGGTTTTCACATCGGCGTGGACTACCTGGACCTGCCTCAGTTTATCGAAAACCTCTGTCGCCCTCCATGCAATATCCCGCCGTTCCGCTTCCAACGCATGGAGGGTGTCAGACAACGCAGTGATTGGATTGTCGAGCACGCTCTCCGAAATGATGGGAGTGGGCGACACACTGGAGAGATAATCGCGAAAAATTTCGCGTTGGCGAACAACTCGATGGTGGATGTCGTCCACAGCCCGCCAGCCCTGATACTTCCGAGTTGCTCCGGTGACAGCGGCAGGATCGTGACTAAAAGCGTCAACCAGCTCGCGGGGAAGATTCTTGTATGGGAGTTGGAGAGAATTCGACAACGATGTCTGGATTTGGTCGTATTCTCGAACTCCAGCAGAGATATGATTTAGCAGTTGCCGTATCCTCGTATTCTGGGCGGTCGTTGTCTCCAATAACCTGTAAAGTCTTAAGTACAGCACATAGAAATGGTGGCGAACTGACCGCTGCTTGAGCTCATATTCTCTATTAGACGCTTCCTCGTCGGCTTCGTGCTGTCGCTTTTCTTCAAGTCGAACTCGTAGTTCTTCTTTGGAAGGAAGCGATATCCGCACTTTGGGTTGAGAGAAATGGGAATTTATGGCAGTAGGAGGGAGATCGGTGGAGAGGCGTTCAACTGAAGAAGATGGCTCATTTTCCTCGGGTCTTTGATCATCTGGGATCGGGGAAAGAATCGACCGTAGCTCTAGAGATCGTGAACCTGACTTGATAGTCGTGCTGGAGAGAATGTCCCGGTTTAATGGTGCAGGAACGTGTTTTTTCCTCCTTGCGCCGTCGTCCGAATGTTCGGACAAAGAAGATCTGTCGCTATCGACTCTTGGCCTGAATTGTGGACTCGAAGGAGAAGCGAGCACACGAGGAAGCGACAGCAGGCTACTGTATCCCGATTCCACACTTCTGCGAGATTCACGGTCTATGGATTTGCGGCCGAACTCAATCGAGGGCTCCAGAGCTGGCGGAATTTCTTCTTCCTTGGAAGGCTTTCGACCTAAAGAAGGTCCCAGAACGAAGTACGACGAGCCATGAGGGGATGGGTAGGGTTGGGGAGACGAGATCGACAAATTCGGCGACGAGTTAAGAATCTCCACGTGATTTGGAATCAAGGGAGCTCGGATAGTCCCGCGAAGATGCTGAAGATACTCCTCTGCAATCAACGCAGATATATGCCATGGCGATCTTTGCTTCTGTTTCTTGGACTTGTCGTAATCTCGAAGCCACGTCAATGGCTCTGCTTGCTCGAGCGAAGCTCGAATAGAGCTATTCTGGTTCGCGAACCACTGGACCACGTGGGCGGGATTCAGAGAACCGGCCGACTGGGCGTTAAACACAAGGTTATATCGCCGTCCAAGCTGGTCTCGCACATTGGCGGCCCTCTCCAGCGCTTTGGGTGACATCCTACTCCGGAATTTAGCAAGCTTTGCTAGAGAAGCAATTGAGAATTGAATTTTTATTGTCCAGAAACCTCATGAGCATACCTGCATGCATTGTCTCACGCGTTTCGACCGTAATGTCCGATGGCTGCTTTTCCCTGTCGCGTTTCTTTGTAATAGACATCGTCCACCGTCGTTCTGACTTGTCCTCCTCGCCACCGAGACCAGACCAATCCAAAGTAGTGCCTTCATCTGACGAAGAAGGAAGCGGGTGATTTGTTACTTTGTTCCCGCCCCGGTTTGGCGGCGTTGACTCGATAGTAGGGAGAGGTATCACGGAGGGGAAGGCCTGCTTCACCGGTGACGTTCGAGCAGCCGACGTGGCAGCCGATGACGATGCGGCAGCGACTTCTGGGTTTGGATTTGATTTCAAGCGGGCCTCCCGCCTGGCTTTGAGTTTGAGTGCGCGCTGGACGTCCTGAAGTATTTTGGCATCTTCAATGGAAGTCAACCGAGGAACCTCGATGCGTGTGAGCAGCGATACCTTGATGGGCTACAGAAAAGTAAGCGTTGACCCAGGTAATTATGACAGAATACACACAAAGGTCGTATTCATCGGAGAGCAGGCTAATAGCGGAGTCCTCTATAGGCGCTTCCCTCTGTGAGTGCCCGAAACTTGTCGCTATAGGTCTTCGCCGAGGATACCCTGAGCTGGGGCCAGACGGAACGGGGTTGACGGAATGTACTCGACGACGGCCATTGGAAGGAGTGACAGAGTTGGTACGAGCTAGAGGAGAGCTGCGTCTAACAGCAGAAGTCGGGCGAGGCGGACTCTCTAGCGAATCCGGGAATACAAATGCGCTCGCTCGTTGCGCTGCTGGCGCATGGATGTTGTCCATAGCATGATCGGTGATCGCTAAGAGCACTGCCACACACACTCTTCTTCAACCTTGACTTGATGTTTTCATGGCTTCCGCATAGTCCTGCAGCCAAAGAGGCTCAAGCCCCCCAGGACACGGCTCATGACCGAATACTCGCTGACATCTTGGATGAGGCTCCCACCTTAGGTATGGACTTCGAAAAGGCCTGCATTCATTTCTTAAACTGTGGATAGAACCCATAAACAACAGTTCACCCGGCCCTCCAACCACTATCTACGACCCATTGGATGGCTCTATTCTAGGAACAGTCGTCTCCCCGGATAGCAACCTGCAACCAGATGAGATTGGCAAATCAAATGCTGCAATGTGGTCCCATTTGTCGCAGGTCATGGACTTGCAAGTGAGTTCACTGTCCATTGTAAGGTGCATATTCATGACATCACAAGAACCAAATATCACGAATGCATTTAGACATGGAGGAGGTTGGGATGGCCACAGAAGCCAAAACTAAAGGCAAGACCAGGTCGCGGGCGACGAGCATTAGTCGTGTGATTGTCGAAGATGTCGAAGGCGAGGAAAGGATTGGAGGGACGCGTGATGAAGAGGCCGAGCGGAACCGGCTCAGAGAAGAGCAATTCGCAAAGCTGTCTGGGCAGTTTCACGGAAAGAAACAAGCAATCAACGAGATAATGACCAAGGTTCGTCTCTCTCTCTCTACCAGAACCAACGGAACCTCTCTAATTCTTGCATCCCAGCTCGACGCACTGTCACGAGCAGTCACTGACTTTCATGCTCTGCAGGCACCCAACATTGAATTTGGAACGCGGCAGGAGTCCCTTCCGGTCACAAGCACAGACTCGCTCGCCAGTCCAGTTCTCTCAGATCCACGTTCCCTTACTATCACTGAGTCGAGGAAAGCGTCGGTGTCATCTACGCCTTTCCTGCGCCATGTCAGCGAGGTAGACACACCACAATTTGTCGAAAGCCCTCTTTCCACGGATCTCGCTCTACCACCCTAACTCTTGTATCACTAGCCAACCAACATGTACAACAAGCAATTCATTACTCGGGGTAATCGTCGTATTTCCGTGCAGCGTCTTCATCGTTTGGATACTGTCGTTGTAACTCCGGACTCAAGCGCCATCGGCCGCGATAACTAGATTTCTCATGAGAACGAACTCGGCGTTTCTGAACTTGGCTTACGCTTCAGGATGCGTATATGCATCGCTGAAATACCGGCCCATAATGCTGACCTGTTCTAGGAAAAGCATCGCGAGTTCTGCCGTTAGCTCAACCGGCTTCGCGATATTGTCCTCTGCGACATCTTCATGAATTTCAGTTACTTGGGGCCGACAAATCAATTTGGGAGACGACTCACATCGCTGGGTACCTTCAAGACTGATGACGTGATAAAATGGCTGGTCAGCCCCTCGATCCAGACGGCCGACCTGCATCAAGGTTTTCCATTCGTCGCTTGCCGCACAAACCGGCTAGATAAGATCACTTGAGATGGTCTAGGCCAATATTGCAACTTGGGCACTCACGTCCCAACCAACTATACAGCCCGTGTAGCCGTACACTCGATGCTTGAACGTCATTCCGACATAATGCGCAATTTTGATATCGTCCGTGCGCAAGTGGAGGGCTGCAGCCTCCGACTTTTCTGTCTCCATAACACTTGCACAGATCTTGTCGAGCAGCCGGACATTGCCTCCTTGCAGCAGAGGCCTCATGTCTGCGAGAAAAGTTGAGCAATAAAGCGGGTCGAGTGAGGGAACGCGGGAGAGCATGTGCGATACCAGCTGTGGCTCGTCGGAGAGGAGAAGATGAATGCAGACGGTAACGTAGACCGCGGCTTGTGAGGGTGAATCGCTGTTCTGCAGGGAGGAGAAAATATTGCGGGCAGCGCGAAGGAGCATGGGGGCAGCACCGCACGGGGCCACATAGCGCTCTATGTTGTCGGGAGCAATTCCCAACCGCAAGAGCATCGCTGGGAGATCATGTCGTAGAGAAACGAGCGATGAACCGAAAACGTCCACCATGAAGTCATCAGCGCCGGGTGGGGAGGCGACATGTACTAGGACCCGGCCGGGAAATTCTACGGGTGACGCTGGTATGCCGAGGGACCTGGCCAGAGAGACGAACACGTGAACAAGGTAGATGGGGAGTGTTTTCTTATTGGTGTCTAGGTAGGCATGCGGGAAATGGTTCAAGACATTGTAGAATCGTGTAGCTAATACCGAGAATAAGCAAGTTTCCAAGACCCGCAGCGCCACCACGTACATTCGACAGGACCAAAACCCTGGTCTTCACTCATGAAGTGGCAAATCTCGGTGCACAATCCTGAGAGGTTATACCCCGGAGATTCGGGATCTATTTCGCAGGATTTTTTCAAGAGGTACATGCGACATTGTTCATTCAATGCGGCAAGCGAAGACGAGATCTTGTTCGATGAATAAGAAGGTTCAGTCAGCAGAGGCCGGAAGGGAATCAAACCTCTTGGAATGATTTGCCAAAAAAGCAGGACAATGAAGAGAAAGCATCCACGAACGACACCGAATTCCCGCCGTCCACAAGTCCGCCCCAGTGTTTTATCGCAGAGCTGCGAAGAATCATGTTCAGCACGCCCTCAGCCCAGTACCGTCGCGTGAGGGCATAGGTCACAGACGTGCCAAACAGCGCGGGAGCAGGCAGGATGCATTCAACTTCGAATGCATCCCAGATGTCGAAAGACTTGACCGCCAGAGTTGCCGCATATTCATAACGGTGTTCTCGGTCAAGGACCATTTGTTCAAGAAGAGCCAGGGCTTCGCGGTCGCGGCGGCGCCTTTCAGCATATTTGAGGCGCCAGTCATCGTTGAAAAGGGTCGTCAGCTCAGCTTCTGTGTCCCGATTCGAATGCTGGTATCGCACCCGATAGTGGGCTTCCCACAGACCGGGTCGGGCAGCAGCTTCATGCAACAGTCTGTTTGTTTTCAAACAATTTACAAGCGTCGAAACAGCGTCAAGCTCTGCGCGTTGCGGCTCCACCGACTCCAGAATGGCAATGTAGATATCAAGAGGGAGCATTAGAAAGATTTGGAAGCACGTGACACAAGAACGCTTAGAAAGATTGCACCCTGATCATGCATGATTCAGAGTTCACAAGCCAACCACAGAAACCTAAATGATAACTCGACCTATATGATTATTCATGTCTAGATCTACGGGTGCTTGCGATTAGATTAGCTACAAGTGTGAGGATAATATTGGCTACAATCAACGTCGTCCGCGACTTTTAATGCCGTCCTGGAATATCATCTTCTATTCTCCACCTCCCGACCTCCCTCATCGCCTCTGCATCACCGCTTTCCAGCTGCGGTGCATTCAGCAGAGTGCTCACCATCTTCCACGGGTCCTTGCCCCCGCCATAACCAAGGACCTCTCTTTTGTACTTTTCTCCCGTCGCCCGCTCCAGGGGGTCCGCCGAAAAGACGTTGCGCCACACCCGAGATGCAATCGCGCGGTCGAAAAGATAGGAGTAATAGGTCGCGGCGTAGCCCACCAGGTGCCCAAAGTGGGTCTGGAAAGACGTGCCGGGCACGTGTGGAATTAGTCCACGAGTATTGTGCAGCCGCGCCAGCTCCGCTGTCGAGTCAAAATTGTGTTCCAGAACCGTTGGGGAGTGGTACATTTGGTCAAGGGCAGCGAGGAGGATTTGCGAGTAGGTATCAATCGAATGGCACGGGTCTTCATGGTGGTTCCCGCTCTGCCTGTCGACTGAGGTGCTTTCTGCATCGAACAGAGAAAGCACAGTTGGGGACGTTAGGAAATGCTCCATCAGTATTGAGGGCAGTTCCACAAAATCAGTCGCACAACGGGTTCCCGATACATTCTGGTAGTCAGTTCTGCCAACCATAGCTGAAGAAGGAAATTTTAGAATAATCATACGATATTTCGTAAGCGTCCACTCACAATGCATCGCATGGCCCATTTCATGCCATAAAGTTGTAACCTCGTGCCATTGTAAAATAGTTCCAGCTTGAGCTGCTGGTCGCGCAAATTCGCAGAGCAGAACAACCAACGGGAGTTGATAGACACCGTCTTGATTTGGGAGTTTGTGTCGTTTGACAGCCTCGAATTCCCGAGACAATGCAATTTGTCCCTCCAGCTCGGGGCTCACACCATCTCCAAGCTCGTCGTCATCGTCCGTTCTACGTGAACACCGAACAGTATAATGAGCGGCACCGTTAGCCTTTCCTGGTCTCGCAAAGAGGTCCGCATATATCCACCCAATGACGCCATTCTGCTCATCCACAACTTCGAGTTTTGTTACGTCTGGATGCCATACTTCGCCAGAAGAAACGTCCACTGGCCGAAGAGAAATTCCATACAGATGACGGAACAAACGGGAGAGTCCCATGAAGACGGTGCCTAATGTGAGGGGTGGCAGGGCGACCGGTGGAGCGGGGGGTTCTGGAGGGCAGTAAAAGTCGCGATCCCAGGCTTGAATGGTTGGCAGTGATGGAGTATTGAGATGGTTTTGTTTTCGCACGCTCAGTGCTTCCAGAGCGCTTCGAGCAGCAGGACGTGTATGATCAAGCAGCGCATCAAGGAAGTAGCCCACGTTTTCTGGGAACATTGAGGAAGAACTCCAACTGGAGAAAAAAAGAATGCATACCTGGTGATTTAGCCATCTTATCGTCCAGAGTCATCTGAGCAAAACTCGATTTGCCAACGAGTTGTGCGAGCTCGGCCCGTGAGCGTAGCAGGTTGTCCAAAACCTCGATTTGGTCAGGTGTACTTGAGTTTGACGCGATATAAACGCGTCGGCGAGCTTCCTCTGCTGGGGCGTCACGCATAATCATCTGTGCTTGAATCGAGCCGGGATAGACAAGAAGGTCGCGTTGGGTAAATCGTGCCTGCAGTCGTAACCGCACTCCCAAGCCTTGGTCTTTTAGACCAGCAAGTTCAGAGGGTTTTATTGTGGCGGGCGGACCGAAAGTAGTGACACCTTGCAAAAACTTTCGTCCGAGAAGCAGGATTTCAGACGACAGCGACACGAATTTATCTCGCTTCGCTGGCGGCAAGTCGATGGCCGAGCTTTCGAAGTCGCGAGAGAAAATGAGCGCGGTTGCATGCGCCTCTGGCGGCAATGTCTTGACGATGGTTGGGTCACTGAGCACGACCTTGAGTACCTGCCCAGTATTGAGATTGTGAGAAAGAACAGACAGGTCAAGCCACGCACCGAATAAAGCTCTGTGTGGGTGTTGAGCACATTCATATAGTTGCACAACTTTTCGTGCGCAAAGTTGGCTGCCTCAATCCATTTCACGTCAGGATGCGCATTCTGCACTAACTCTGCGAGGTCAATGACGCCGCAAAGCAGGTCGCTCAGCCTGTCCAGGTTTTTCACCACAAGCAGGAGCTCCCTCCGTGACTCCTTCGCTCGTAAAATCCGGTCCGTCAGAAGTTGGGCACGGATGACGGTGGCGTCAGCAAGTGCAACCAATTCATTAGGTGTGGTGAGGTTGCGATGGCCGAAGAGCCCAGTGGAAGATATGGTGGACTTGTGGGTAGTCCTTGGGCGGTCGAAAATCGTTATGAGTGCCTTGTCTTGACTTGAAGCTGGAATTGTGTGTGCGTAGCGACGATGGACACCGTCGTTCTTGGCAAACAGGCAGCCTCGGAAGCGAAAGACACGTCGAGCGGGGCTGGAGAGAACATGGTGGGTAAACATAAGGCAATCGCTTGACCGCCCCGATGATATTCGTCTGGTCGAGACCAAACAGGCATTTTGCCATCACGCCGGATTACGCTGACTCTCATTGGCTCAGACACAAGCGGGCATCCGCCTTCAAAATTCTAAAGCAGCGAATGGCTCAACTTTCGTGTGGTACATAGGTACAATTGTGTCAAGTACTGAAAATCTAACTACTGTGAAAAAAAATGCAAATGTAAAGGAAAAAATGTGTAGTACTGTATTGTTAGGGTTATGACCCTCCTCTCCCATTCGTCGACTCCCCATCGACTTGCATATCCGATTCCTGTCCATTCACAGATTCGCCTCCATCCATAGACAATGCTCCGTTTTCAGATGGCTCTGGTGCTTGCGCTGCCTCCGGTTCTGTACCAGGTTCAACGGCATATACCCAGAATTTCGACCGTTTTTTGCCAGCAATTTGTTCCAACGCCACCTCATTTGGTCGAAGGGCAGCGACAACCGAGCTTTGCAGCTTTCCATTGCCGTTTGTGACACCGTGCGATGTCGTAGAGCCGCCATCACCTGAACCCGTAGACACGGCACTGTCTTCTGTCCGGGCACGTTTACTTGGTGGCTCAATATCGAGCTGGGTTTCTGGAGGGGCTCCGAGGCGAGTCGACCTCCTTTCCCCACGCCATGAAGACCATGGATCTTCCTGCGCTTCCCGTTTTCCGTTGGCGTTGAGAACAGCTGTCCGTGTAGAACGCCGACGACCAGCATGTCGACCATCTTCCTCTTCATCTCGGAAATTCAAAAAATCGTCGTCTTCAAATTCATCACGTTCCGCTTCCTGATACGTGTATTCATCCCCTTCATCCTACACAAAAGCGTGAGCTTCTGTTTGTCATTAGCGAGATGGCTATGCGGCAACCCACCTCCTCATCGTATCCTGAATAAACGTAATTGGGTTTTCGAGTTTGTCGTCGGGTTCGGGTTTCCCGCAATAGTTCTGCCTCCGCCGCACGTGCTAGAGCCACCTGTTTCTGCTCTAGTTTCTTGCGCGCCTTTTCAACCCGCTACATAAAGGTAGACAGTTGGCTGCAACTTCACTCATAAGAGCAATTACTCACCACTAATTCAGCCTCGATTGCTTCAGTTCGACTTTCGAGCGTTTGTATGAGGTGTAAATGATATTTCTCCATCTTGGGCCGTTTTTCGCCTTTCCCATGAGGCGGTATAGCGTCCTGGAGCTTCTTGATAATTGCCTTATATTCGTCCAGTGTTGTTGTGACCATATGGAAGGTTGCAGTGACCTTCCAAGGGTTGGTCGAAGTATATAATCGCGGTGAGTCTGCAAACGTTGGGTGAGCAACATTTCAAGTACGGCGGCTGCACGCGTTCGAGTTTGGGAACACGTAAACCCGATCGAAATAGCATATTTTAGAGATGATGTCTTGTTGCCAAATCTGGTACCTGCCACACGGAAGAAAGGCTACACACCATCAGCAGCCCAGTATCGGGTTCGTTCCAAGTCTTGCCCTAAGGGTACCAGCTGAAGCTGTTTCTGACTAAGTGGGTCGGAGTCCTCAGGTGGGGCACTGGTTGCATCCTTTTTCTTGTGCTTGTTAGATGACACGCCCCAGGCGCGATCAACCGTCGCCCTAACGTCGGCAGAGTGTGTCAATTGAAGTTCCACTAGTTGTCGAAGGATTTTGAGCTGGAATACGCGAAAAAAGTAACATGTCAGCAACATGGTGGCGGAAGTAGGCGCCTATGAACACACTTTGAAATCCCAGTCGGCAGTAAAGAAGCCGCCGTCTATAGACTCGAACGGGTCTTTGTTGGCTCTAATCGTGTCGTCCCAGAATATAGATCTCTCAGAAGATTTGAGATACTCGGAAAGGACGGTGGCCACAGTTGTGGATATTTGATCAATGCTGACGACGCAGAAACAGACGTCAGGGCCTCGCAGTGATGCCAGGACATGCTCTCACCTCAAGTTACGCGTCTGGGGGCGAAGATTGAGAATGAAGCCCGCGAGTACTTGAGTCAAGATGGGATTGGGCTCCTGAGAAAGCAAGGCCTCCTCAAAGCTACAGAGCGGCAGGAAGTGAGCGAATGACATTTCTCTATGGTAGGACGCACTCCATCGGTGTCTCGAGGCCCTCAATTTTTTCTCGAAGGTTGGTGAACCGGCAGATGAAGGAATAGACGAAAAGCGATTCCCATCGGCCACTGGGGTGGGTCGAGGGAGATGTGGTGCTTGTCGGAGGGCAGACATGTCCGACTACATTGGCTTTGGCGGTCGCAGAGGACGACGAAGCCATCCGACCGGCAAAGTGTTGGTGGAAGTTGTGGGGAAGCAAGGAGAATGGGTGACGACTATCCGACTCGCGCAGTGTCACAAGGAGTTTCAGGCCATGTACAAGTTCATTTACAACCATGCCCCACCACAAATATCCTGCTAATGCACCCTATTACACCCACAAACGTTCCAACATGGTCCCAACCTCCATAACCTCCAAGTAGCCACCGAAACGAGTCCTTATCCAGGTCCGACCTAGTGCGGAAGTGAGTCAGAGCTCGTAAAACGATCGTAGAAAGTGTAAAAACCTTGGGAATATCGTGGTGCTCGCTGAGGGATTCGAGATGAGCGTTAAATTCGCTGACTCGGTCTTTGTGGCTCTTTGCAGCAACTTTCGCCACCTTTTCAGAAAGCTGTTGGAAGCATCAAAATTACCGCAGTAAAACAGGTAAGCCTAGCGGCTCAAGATTTGCGTACACGGCGTCGTTGGATTTGTTCGAATCGACGTTCAGCGTCGGTCTTTCTGTCAGATGGAGCACTAGGAGCAGGAGAGTTGCTGCCACTTCCAGGCTGGCTGCTCCCAGATGCAACAGCTTCTTCACGAATGAGGTCTTTCAACCTCTCCTCAGACTCAGGTTTGGTTTTCGACTTTTTCTTCTTCCTGGAAGAAATATCAGGAAAGATCGGAGCCAAGAGGAGCACTGACTTCTTTATTCCCCCATCTGCGACACCCTTGAGTTTGAGCGACCCCCCAGGTCGAAAGTCGTAGGAGGAGTCGCTCATCAAGCCTGAGAGCAGTGACAGTCACGCCTAACACGGTTCCAAGCTCAGTCTGTTGAAGCTATCCAGTCGGGTTGCTCTCTCATCCTTTCTCGGTCGCTAGCCTCATAGAGTCCTCGCGTGTGGACTTATCATGGCCGTGTTGAGCAGCCCTCTCCACTTCATTGCTCAAATACCACCAGTGACGCGTGCTTTTACGGCGGGGACTGTCTTCTTCTCTCTCTTGTATGCATACTTGAGCTGGACGGGGTCTCTATACGCACCATATTTGGTTCTTGTTCCGGGATCCAGTCTCTTTTATCCATGGACATTCGTGACGTCTGCGTTAGTGGAGACAAGCATATTTGAGGTCTGTCTGCCTTCATTTGCACCAAAAACACTATTTATTCCCTTCTCAGCTAGTGTTGTCATTAGCCACAATGCCTCTATCGCTCAGATACCTCGAACGACTGTGGGGATCAGTGGAAATTCTAAAATTCATTGTCGTCTCAGTGGGGTTCTCGAATATCATCGCATTCGGTTTCAACTGGATAGAATTCGTGGTCCTCAGGGATGCAGAGCTTTTCCTGTGCGTGCTTTCTTTTCCCAACCGGATTCAGCACTGAAACCATCGCAGCTATGGAATGAGATATCACGGCCAAATGTCTCTTCAGATTGCCGTCCTCGTCGCATTCACTCAGCTTATTCCTGAGCACCAAGTTCAAGTTCTTGGTGTTTTGAAAGCGCGAGTCAAAGTTGGGCTCTAACCACTCAACTTTTTGTTTGCTGATTGCTTTCCAGAGTTTACCGATGGCATATTTGACTCTGTCCACTGTCCTGTGCATATTCGGCTTCCAGTGCCCGTGGATTATCATTCAATTTGGGTGGTTTGTCGGCTGGATATACCTTCGCTTCTACAAGAAAAATACGGCAGATACTGTCGGTGGCGTCGAAACTTACGGTGACCGAAGTGAGACGTTCAGTTTGATCTCCTGGTTCCCTCCCCCATTGCAGTATGCATTTATTTCCAGATTTCCTGGATTTCTCTCATTTGCTTGATTAGCTATCCGCTGGGTGTCCTTGGGAATACAACGCATTCACTTGCCACGCGCTTCCACCTCATTCCATCCGCTGGCAATGACATCGAGACTGGACTATATAACCAGTCTCCTGCAAGTGCTCGTGCAGAGGCTGAGCGAAGACGGTGCGTCAACAAGCATTTTTTTCGTATTTTGTTGCCAACACTGACATTGATCTTAGAGCAATGGCTCTGAAAGCGCTTGACCAACGAATCGCCAATACTTCTGCACCCTCTACGGCCAGCAGCTCTTCACCCCCTCAAGCGCCACGTGCCCCACCTCCAGCCGCTGCCCCGCGCTCAGATGATCCAGCAATGCCATCGGCACCACCTGCCCCACGCTCAACTGAACGAACTAAAAGTGTTGGAGAAGTCGATGTCGGAGAGTCCGCAAGATCAGAAAGTCGGTAGTCTAAGAGCTTCTCTGTAGATGCATGCATTCACCAGCTAGCGTACGGTTGTCCCATTTTGTTGCTAACTTAATCACTCTTTACTCGGAATCAGACACTTCGTCTTCAACTTCCTGCAAAGCGCCGAACCTCCCAGTACTAGGCTGCACTTGATCGACCTCTGAACCCTCGGAATCTGTCTGCTCATCCTCACTAAATGGAGGCTCTTCCTCGCTCTCTACAACCTCGACCGCTTCCTCCTCACTTTCGTCCTCGCTTGAGATTGTTTCGTCAGGATGCAGCCAAATCCCTGTCCCTTCATCGTCGAATTCTCCATCGACATGCTCTGGTGGCAAAAATGCCCAGGAAATTCTACCTTCAGCAATTGCGCGCAGGATAGCGTTGCCGGCGCGGTGGATATCAGGACGACCACTTTTAGCAGTAAGCCAACCCTTGGCCTCAGCATACCCGATGAGAATGTCCATCGCAGTCAATGGTCGATTGGAAGGATCATTGGCCGCTGGTCGTTCGCCTTCCCGCCAAGTTCGCTTGTCGACAATCTCAGCTGGTTGAGGCTTGGAAATGCGAAGAATCTTTTCGAGAGGAAGGAGCTGGGCGGCATAATGTGTGCAAAAAGGAACGGCAGCGACTGAAGACAAGAGTTAGATGTGGATAAAAAGGTGCCAATTAGAGCTTACGACGTGAGATAGGTAAAATCCCCGAGAGAACTTGGATTTCCAGAGGTACAAGATTTGGCATGACAAGGCCAGGACAGTCCACCAGGCGAACATCAGGAGTAAAAAACAACGTTTGGAAGTGTTTTGTCTGATTTTATTAGACTGGCCCTGAAGAAGAAAGACACCCATACCTTTCCTGGTGTTTTCGATGCTCTCACTTTGCTTGTGCCGAAAAGTGCATTGAGCAAGGATGATTTTCCAACATTTGGTTGCCCTGTCGCATAGTGAACGCCTCACTATAGCATACCAAAACACTGACCGATCAAACCAATGGTCAAAAACTGAGGTTCTTCTTCTGAAGAGTCGTCCTCGCGAGGGGCTGCGGGACCGCCTACAACACTCCCAACCTTGTCTCCTTCCGCCTTCAGAAGACGATCCCAGTCAATGTCCCGTTTGACTTTGGGTTTCCATTTCTCGAGGCGAGCTGGATTGGCTTTAACTGCTTCAGGAGGTTCAAGCATCGCGGTATGTTTTTCTTGGATAGCTTGAATAAGTCGGGAGCGGAAGGTTTCTGGTAAATGCGGTCGATGTTGTCGACGGCCCTGAACAGCATAAGCTCCATGGTCGCATTCAAGTCAACAATACCTGTGAAACATATGTGGACTCCTTCTCGACATATGATTCAACTTGTACGACACTGAAATTAGGGTGTCGCGATCTAAGATATTGCGTCCAAGCTTCTGCTCTCTCTGGTCCAGATATGTCGACCTTGGTGAGTACCAGAATGACATGACGGTCCTTGAGATAATTCTGTAGGGACGGAGGAAAATGAAGCAAAGGTGCTCTAGAGTCCATTAAAACCAAAAGAATTTGGGATATTTCTGTGACGCGCCACCTGTTCCTCGACTTAGAAAGCTGAAGACATAAAATGTGTTTATGTCGTACAGTTGGCGCCACACTTCCAGATTACGCTCAAAGACTGTGGTAGATCGAGGCATCGCGGACTTGTCGCTGGTTGCTAGTCAAATCTAAATGCAAGGTGGCATACTCAATACCTCTGAGGTTGGGCTTGCCACTGTTCAACAACTTGATCCGTCTCCGCCAGCCACTGAAGAATTGAAACTGTCTGAATGGAGTCATGGACTTCCAACGAACCTTGCGGAAAAGACCCTCCTCGTTCTTTTCCACCTCAAGTTTACTCATATCAAATCTCCACTTGGGACGACGGGGACACGTCAAATTAGAATCATAGGTGGCAAGTAATCTCGAGTGACGAGGGATCGGTCGCAACAAGGGCAGTTCCGATGCTAAGACTTTTGTAGATTCGAGAAAATCGGATGGTAGGGAGATAAAGGTGGACTGAAGTTTGCGGGAAGATTGTATCGCCTGCGAGACGGGTGGACCACCGCGACGACGAGTTTTGGTTGGTTTGGGTGGAGGAGCCTCAATATCGCCTCTCTTGATCGCGCGTTTCAGTTTTGTGGCGGCCTTTTTCTTGGTTGTGGATGTGGGTTTCTTGCGTGGGGGCATCTCTAGCTTCGCGTAAGCACAAATCGATTCAGTGTAAGATGACCGTTTAGGTGAAAGAAGGTGAAGGGCGTCACAAGTGATCATCGCGCGTCATGTTTTTTCCCCCAATCTTTGAGTCCTAGATGTAATCTTCTCCAGGTTACTGGCAATGCAAACTTGTTAGGAAAGCCGGAGCGAGAATAGTATGGAAAGTGACCAGCCATCACAACAATTGCTTCTAAATCATGCTCAACATAACACCGGGGAGTGTTCTTACCACCACCACTATTTGTTTGGCGCGGTCGATGCAGCCTCCGACCCGTACTCCGAGGAAATCACTCTTCGATAACAAACATGGCCAACGATATCATACCTTTGAACACAAGAAAGCACCATACCCTCTCGCCTATACCAAGAGTGTCTTTGAACTGTGCGCAAATAAGGACGCCGGCAGTCCATCTTTTATTCATGACGGTTACACAGGGAGTCTATCGATATGCGCCTAGTCCATCATATGAATGATGGCTCTGTCTCCTTCGTCGACTTCACCGACGAGAATTGGACCGCGGAGGGGTCTTCTTCCACTCCCCAAAGGTCGCTCGATCTAGGTTGTGGTGTATGTTGGCATGGGAAAAGCTAGCAGCGCTCTAACTGACGCGTGGATAGACTGGGGCGTGGGTCATCGATGCAGCCAAGGAATGGCCTGACTGTGAATTCGTGCGTGGTCTATCTTGCTCCATACGCGTCACTGACAATTCGAAAGGTCGGCTTCGACCTCATGGACATCCAAATACCGCTTACCAGTCTTCCATCCGACTATGCTTCTATTTCAGAACGCGTATCTTGGGTACATGGCAACTTGTGGGTCAGTCCTCGTCAGCTTAGTCCCGATTAACCACTAGCAGTCTAACCAACAAACTCCCTTTTGACGACGACGATTTTGATCACGTTCACATTGCGGTACGCTAGCCTATATAGACTAGCGCGTGGGCACTCACTTCAGCCACGTAGGGGATCGCACAAGGCGTCCCAGAAAACAAGGTCAATACCTTTTTTTTCTCCTTGCAGCACCTTATTGACAATCCTCAGTGGGGACCGTTGTTTGAGGTTTGTTCGACGCTGATTAAAACACTCAACTCAAAGCGAATGCAGGAAATCAATAGAGTGCTAAGGCCGGGTGGTGTCGTGGAGATTGTAGAGGATGGTGCGCTACAGTCGCATCTGATACTGACACTAAGCGACTAACTTTACCAAGACATCATCTTCCCACTTCTGCCGAAATGGTTTACTGCCCCTCTCCGAGCACGTCCACGGAGGACAACCTCCGTTCATTTTCCCAACGGCACACATCGTGGCCTATACCCGTTCGCAGATACCCAGTCCGATGACACACAACACGATCACGCGCTCTTAGAGTCGCTGTACAAGTCTGTATTTGAAAGTCGCTTCATAAACCTTAACCCCACAGGTGCGTTAAATAATTATTTGTACACTCATCTTAACCAACCAACTCTGAACAGCCATTCTCCCCAGTTATTTCACGACATACTTCAGGCATGTTACTCTCGGTCCTGTGATATCTTTCTTCATGCCCCCCGTTCCGCCATTACAACCTCTTCCTCCTCAAATCATCACATCCTATGTGATCGACCCAAACTCAGACACGTTAGATTCTCGCACATCTACCGTGTTTGCGTCTCCCAGTGAAGTCAGAGGGGCATCACTGTCTTTCTCATCTTCTTCCACGACCACAACCGATTCCTCAATATTCATGAGCACTCGGCGAAAGTCGTCTTCTGTTTCGACTTACGAGAGCTCGGAAACAGCTCCCAAGGAGACTAATGGGGTTCCTGACCCACCAGCAGTCCCGCCAAAAACATACACATTGGATATGGCTGTTGACGAAGAGCCTGCATCTCCGACTGCATCACGAAAACTCTTACGAAAGCAACTTGGTGCTCTCAATGAGCGATCGCTTGCCATGCATTTATATCGATCCTACCAGTTCGTCCTCGCATGTCAAGAGGAAATGTGGGAAGAGCTGAAAGATCGGTTACGAAACCGTAGAAATGAGCTTAAACCATTTGGCTGGGACGATGACGAGGAGTTGGAGGAGTTACAGAGCCGCAAGAAGTTTGAGCTGCTTGTCGACCGGTACCGGACGTCAGTCAAATCTAACTCCCATGTTGTTGTTACTGACTCATGTTGTCTCAAGCGACATGCAGAGCCGAACTTCTGTGTGGTGTTCATTGACGGGAATTGGATGGCCGTTTCCGCCACGGGAACCGCTATCTAAAGCGGAGCTGATTGAAGAGGAGCGGATTCGGGCAGCAATGCTGGAAGCACGCCTTTATGCAGATTTGGAGGAAGACAGTGTCCCATGTCGTGCGATGAGGGTACTGGTTGGTTATAAACTTTGATGAAGTGCGGTCTTGAAAAGACAATGTAAGAATACGATTAGCCACAACGCAGCCTTTTTGTTGGAGGCTGTCGCAAGCCATCAAACACTGCCCCAAAAGGGAATATACATAAGCTAAGCCTGACCACGCTAGAGTCACATCCTTGTTCCCTAACCACCACCTACCCCGCACACAACCCCACGTTTGAGAAACCATGATCAAGGTACGCGCGCCATTCAGTGCCTAGATAGCCACTAAGCTCGCATAACAGATTTGGAGCATGAAAAAGAATGAGGACGCGGCTGCGAAGAAGAAGCCCAAGACGAGTGCAGCTCAGATTCGAGTGCAAAAGGGTGTGCAGGCCACTCCCTTCGTTTTACTTCCATTCGCTGACTACTCATGAAGATTTGACCGAACTGGACCTGCCGTCGACGATGAAAACCCACTTCGCCGATCCTGCCGATCTCCTCAACTTCACGCTGACCATTACACCGGACGAGGGTGCGCGAGTCCCTATTTCGTTCTGCCGCATCGACTGACAGCAATAACCAGGTATGTACAAGGGTGGCGCGTTTGTCTTCTCCTTCGCGATAAACACCAACTACCCACACGACCCCCCAAAAGTCAAGTGCACCCAAACAGTGCGTGGTCTCCACAGTTCTGTTGCTGCCTCGTGCTTACCACATTTCTAGATTTATCACCCTAATGTCGATTTGGAGGGCAACGTGTGCTTGAACATCCTGCGAGAAGACTGGAAACCGGTACTCAACCTTAACTCGGTCATGGTGGGGCTGCAATATCTCTTCCTCGAGCCGAATCCAGACGACCCTCTCAACAAAGGTCCGTTGTCGTCGTGTTATCATGCTTGGGCCGATGCTGACGGATCGTCTTTCATTACAGAGGCCGCGGCGGAAATGAGCAGAAACCGCGACCAATTTATCTCCAACGTCAAAGCGTCGATGAGGGGCCAACATCTCAAAGGCGTTCAATACGCTAATGTCCTTGTACGATGAGAGTCTTTCGACCTCCTTCCCTTGTTTGTACTACATCTGCATTCATCGGCATAGACACCTCGCAGTAATAGATTGTGGATTGTGGAAATGCCTTCCTACATACTTCATGCTATATAATCTCTCATTTTCAGCTACCTCGATAAGTGGTGAACGAGTAAGGGCTTATCAAGAGCGGAATGTGATGATGTTCGGCAGGGTTCTCCAGGTCAAAAGCAATCTCCACCCAAGGGTAGAAACACTTGCGACCAGAACGTTCAAAGTACTCCTTGAAAGCGGTAAGCCTCCGTTGGAAAAGTCAGGGACAAGGGCGTACTTTTGGTTTGAATATAATTTTATATGTGCCTGCGGGAAGGGGTTGTGGGGGGAGGAGATCAGAGCATCGACCATCCGCATTTGTTTCTCTGCCTTGTGAGGAGGGGTTCTTGGCGTAAAGTCGAGAGTATCTACCCGGTTGCAAGGGATGTGAAACTGCTATTGTCTTCGTTCAAGCTTTGGAGATGGACACTGACGCCCTGGGCGGGTTTTCCGATAGAGGAGTCGAGGACTGCCCTGCTTGAATATCGCAACGAAGTTTGGGCTACGAGCACCGACCATGGCAAGTAACTGGCGACTTAGACATGGACGTCTAATCCGAAAGCTGATGTGATCGGAATCGGATAAAATTTTGTCAAGGACGGTCAGGATGACTTCGGCCCCGCCCTTCGCAAAGCATTTGGCGTCCAATGGTGCTGACCTTTCCCCGCTTTGGGCTGTATCTGACCCCAGGAAGACAAGAAAACGCGCGACAAGGCGGTGAAATCGCTCGCCACCTTTCTCGCCATGGACGAGCGGGACCCGATCTCGAAGCCCGACATGGACAAACTATGGAAGGGAATCTTCTACTGTACTCCCCTCAACCTCATATCAGTTCCGTTTCTGACTTGGAAGAGCCAGGTTTCTGGATGTCCGATAAACCGCTCGTCCAACAGGCCCTCGCCGCCGATCTGGCCGAGCTGCTGCTCACAACAAGCTCCACGACCTCCGCGCTCTCTTTCTTGTCTGGATTCTGGGAAGCTATAGTGCGCGAGTGGAATGGAATAGATCGACTCCGGTGCGTTCTCAGCGCTTCTGCAAGACATTCTTTTCAACCATGTTAGGCTCGACAAATACTACATGCTTGTGCGGAGGTTTATAAACGCCACATTCCGACTGCTGGCTGGCGCCGACTGGGCTGAGGACGTGTGCAACACATATAACAAAATGCTCACTCGCGAGGGTGGTCCGCTATGGTAACGCTTTCTTTCTTTATTCACACACAAGTAATAACGCTGCTCTAGCCCTAATGACCAGCGAGTTCCCTCTGGCCTCGCATATCATCTGGCCGACATCTACTTAGAAGAGCTGGACAAAGCCGTCGCAGCGACAGAGCCACCCCCACTTCCCGCCCCGCTGTCCACCCTGCTCTCGCCGTTCATCTCTCTGGCGGCACAAACGCCCACCAGCATCACCTACAAACGGATACAATCCGAGGTCTTCTCGCCTTTGCTGGAGGCATTAGCAGCGGACGACGCCCCACCCGCGAAAAAACGGCGTTTAGATCCAGACTACGCGGCGCTGCTTGCCAATGCGTGTTTCGACCAGCCGTCAACAGGGAAACTCGACCCGACCACGCTGCGGCAAAAGCTGTTGCGGAGGATATTCGATGTGGCTAGCGAGCCAGAGACGCGGGACTCGAGTCGGCGGAAGATGTATGCGTTGTTTAGGCAGAGTACGGGCGAGGAAGACTGAGTACGAGAAAAAAATCACATCTTTGCGTGGACACGATCACGTGCTCGCGACGCGACGCGCTTGAGTGAACTGTCTGCAGCAATCCGGAGGTCCTATTCAGAGCCCACAGTGGTCTTCCTGCCCGCCACGGGCGAACGTCATGACTTCTGTGCCTCTGTTCAGTGCTGCAAAAAATAGGAGAATATACAGAGCGAATGACTAAAGCCGAGACTATACTTTCGACGAAGCTCACTCGCATGCTCTTGTCTACAAATGCACGAGAAAAAGATTGGTCGTGTTTCTATTCAACTAATCACTCCCCCTTGCTGGGGAACAAGGTTTCAAGTTGTGAGAGGACGAATGTTCGCCAAGCTGCCCCAGAAGGCCAGCGCCAGGTGGTCGCGACTCCACTGTTCTATACCCTGCTCAAGACTGATGTCGCCCTTTCCGCGGTAAACCACGAGAGAAGAGTGTACGTCCTCGGTATCGTGGAACGAAGCGGTCAGGCCGGGATAGAGTTGAGTGTAGTCTGGGAATAGGTGTTTGCGCTGGGCGAGGCGAACGCAATATTCGTGGTAGTGCTCGTGGCGCTGCCGGTATGCGTCATACCACTTGAGGGCGTTTGAGGCAAAGTCTGGAGGAGGCGGGTTAGATGGCCTCGGATAGGAGTACCAGCGTCCGTAATGAGAGGGGTCGGCATCAGCTGAGTTCATGAAGCCAAGGAAGAGAGTAATATGCGCGAGCTCTTCACAGCCGAACTGATGACCGAGCAACGGGGAACCTATGGGGAGCACCGGGAGTTTGCGGTGGCAGTGGTGGAGTGCTGACTCAGAGAACCCGACGATGTAACAACATAACCCGCCAGTGAGATGTGCTTCGGGAGGTTTGCTGGGGTCCATCACGTCCAAAAGAATGTGGCGCAGCTGACTGCGATCCATTAGCCCGTTGAGCTCGATCCCCGCGTCGTGCATAAACTCGAAAGTACGCGCAATCAATAGCCTGTTCTTTTCGGTGTTGTACTTGGTCGACCTTAACTTGGTCCACGGAATCCCGCACCACTGGGTGAGACTGAACAGCACCTGCCCAGCCCACTCGCCCGTCTCCATCACAAAAAAGCCGTAGTGCCTCGGTGTTATGATGCCCATTGTCGACCAGAGGTGCCGCGATGAGAATTGCGCGTCCTTCGCCAAACGTCGATAAAGGGCGTAGTGGTTAGAACTTGTGTCTTGTGTCGCCTCGCGAGCATGGAAAATGAAGCGCAGACAAAACCGCGAACCGTCATAAGAAACGCCTTTCGCGTGGTAAATCTGATGCGGTTCGAATTCGCCATTCCCCCAAGATTGCGCATTCAAGAGCGTCATGCTCATCCGTGCGTGGTCATTGGGATTGGTGGCAAACAAGCACTGCGGTGGGATCATAATTTTGTGCGTCGTTTCGGGTAAGCTGACAAAGGAGCCGCATTTTATGGGGAGACGCCAACTCTCTGCGAGGAATTGGGGAAATGGTTCGATGCCATCCGAGTCGAAGCGAATCTGGAGGGAGCGCATGAGGGCCCCTGAACTGACTGTCACGGTCACGATCATCAGGCAAACACTGCTGCAAAAGCTGCTACAGACAGAAGATATTCAATGGCCACTGAGGCTCAGCCAAACTAGGCGAAAAAAATCCTTGTACTTATCGGCGTCTTTAGACGGGAACGATCACGTGCTCGCGACGCGACGCGTCTCAAGTGAGGCGTTTGCAGTAGTCTGGGTTCCCCACAGGGTTTAACGCCCACGTCGGGAACACGGTGGTCTTTCCGCCTGCCCCGCCGACTGCAAATGAGTACACGAACGTCATGACCTCGGTGCCGCCATCTAGCGCTGCGGAAATCAGGAAGTTGTATTTGCGGTAGAACCCCGGTCGGTAGTTGCGCAACTGGGGGAGTTTCAGCAAGCATTTCCCAGTTGCTCTGGCAAAAGGTAACGAACATAGTACTGGGAAAAGATGCAGAGCAGGAAGGTCATGAACACGGAGGAATTGATTCCGCCTAGAAAGGTTGTCAGTGATAGCGCTGGAACTGGTCATACCTACCTGAAAGGTAGCCGATCTGGGTGCAGATCATCGGCGTGATAACTCCGTCGAAATGTGCGTTGGGGTAGTATCGATGGAGGATGTAGAAGGGTAGGGGGACAAAAAGCCCGATGATGATGCTGAGAGGGACCATCTAGTTGATATAAGCGCTCAATAATGACCGAGTTGAGAAAGAATACCCCATATGTGCTTGAGGGGGAGTAGAGCTGTTTCGAAAGCGCGCCCCACGCAATTGCGTCACTCTAGGATCTGATCAGTCTCACAAACCTTGTTAGAGGATTGTACATTGAACGACTGGATACCAGCCCCGCTCCTGTACAATATATGAGTATCGTCGATTGGATTATCAATGAGCTACCATGTGTTCGTTCCCTGAACCGAGAGCAGGATTGTGCGGTGGGAGGACACAATGATGCGCATTAAAACGTAGTTGATGAGAGCGCCGACGATCGAGCCCACACATTGCATTGTGAACGTGACGCGTGGCGGAAGCTGCAGTACTCTGGTTAAGGTAGATCTTCATTAACCAGTGCAGTACCTTCGTGTATTGTCCCATTTTGAGGTCGCGCGTCATAGATCGCCCTTGCTCGGTGGAATTATAAGCCCTGGAACGGAAATAAAGGTCACTTGTGTCAAGGTCTTAGTGAATGGGCCGTACCACAGCGTAAAATACATGTTGGCGATGGGTTTCCCGGGGAACAGGCCTGCAGCCAACATCTATAGAGACGAGATATGAGTGGTCTTGAACGAAATATGTTAGTTGAGGTTGACATACACGGGCGATGTCCTCTGTTCCCGGAACATAACTAGCAAATTGAACTCGTGAACCCCAGTTGATGACAAGACGTACCACAGAATCGAATAGAGGGTCGAAATGATGGGCAGGAAAAACGCGGCAAAACCAACTGCAATAAAGAATCCCCACCAAGGGAGCTGCGAATGCTATAACATCATCAATGAGGTCCTCGTGCAAAATGGGGCATTAATTGACTCCGGTATAGTTCGTGGCCATCCCCATCGCGAGCGACGCAACGAAAACACCTGCATACCAGGACAGCGGCACCTCGTCGTAGACCTTCATCTTGAGATAGTGCGGGTCGTCACACTTCCTGCCCGTCTTGACGGCGTTCCACACTTGTTTTCCGTTGAACAGCAACATATGCGTAATTGTTGCCCCGAACGATAAACTAGCGCCTATTTTCGCAATAGTATAGCTCGCGCTAAACAAGAAGTTGAGAGGAATTTATTCGACCGATGAGCCCAAACCTAAACCACGGAAGTCCCACTGTCTCCAGTTTCTGTGTGTTCAGCGTGAAGTCGTCATTGAGGATCAAATCTTGATCGTAGATGGTCCCATTTTCGAAGAACAGCAGCTATTTGTTGGTTTGAGATCATGATGAACGTCCTGAATCTTCGTGAACCACTAACCTGGGAGATAAACGGGAAGTTTTGGGCATGCCACACTGTTGATATGTAGCCCGAGATCAGACGAAAAATATTTAAGAAGGAAAGTAGATAACCGTTAGTCGCATATGCTCCAATGAAAGACACACTAGCAATACACATCAGCATTGTTGTGTCATGTGGAAATCGAAAAGGCAGCTCACATGCAAATGAGGACGCCAGTGAACAACGACAATTGTGAAGCAAGTGGTTGGAACAGAGCACCATATGCAGAGCCTCCAGAGCCTAAATCATCCTGCGGATGAATACGTTGTACATGGAAGAACGAGATGGTGCTGACCAACGTAGTTCCAGTCGAGACAGATTGAGAACAGCCCCAAGCCCTCGTTTCCTGCCGCACCACCGAATATCCTGGTTACCCATGCACTGTCTTGACGCGCCAAACAGAAGACCGAAATACCAGTCAAGGTCGGAGCGATGTATTCTAAACTTCATTTAGCGGATTATTTGAAGATTTGTCCAGCTTTTACCCGGGAACCACTCCCAAACGACTTTGGATTCGTTAGACTAAACCTTTCCGAGTTGGTGCACAACTCACAGCTGGACAGAGAAGAATGAGACAATGAACGAGTAAGCTATTAGGCGCTTACATTCCAATAAACAGAACCCAGAAGAATTTGACGCGCTTCCTCTGGAGGATACTATCCTGGCCTCTAAACAGGACATCAAACATCTGGATCGTGGGGACGAGGTTCGGAAACACAACGTATGTGGGGTACACCAAAAACGTCCGCATCATCCCTTGGCACGACCATAATATTTTAGCACCGAAAGCGGGACGTAGTCACGAGGGCTTACCCGCCAGCCCGTAGCCCACCAGCTGACTGCTGAGGAGGGTAAATATAGCGATCGCGGGATTCGGTTTGAAGTGGTAGAAGAGATCATCAGCGGCGAAGATATTGACTAAGCGTCATTTTAGATGGGGCAGCAATCAACGCGAAAGGATAACGCACTTGCAAGAGCGCCGTGGGTAGATGCCGCGGCCATAATCAGGATACCGACGTTCTCCTTGCTGGATTTTGGGTTGAATGCCTTAAGCAGATAGACGAATCACTTGCATATTGAACGGTCCGGGGTTCATGAATCGCCAGAATGCATTATTGGACATCTTGTATCGTCTATGGCCCGGGCCAGGAATGATTTCCGCAAGGATTCTGGAGGAGTTAGAACGACTGAAGATGATCATAACGAACAACATACTTTCCGAGGGCGAAGCTCGCGACCTGAAGGAAGAGCTGGCTGACATAGACTGCTTGGGGACGGAATGCCTAGAGAGATGAGCCTACACGCAGTTGCCGCCACGCAAGACCTTACGAATATTTCACCCAGAACAGCGCCGAATGCAGACAGCCCAAGAGCAAGAAACCACAGCCGGAATGTCCACACAGGGAGGGTTGGATCGTCATGCAAGGAGATTAGGCGGGTGCTCCAGTCAGATGCAGTGACTGGGAGATTGAGATTGGTCAAAACTTATGGGAGGGCAGCTACCGATTGGTTTCTCATGCCCAGCAGCATCCATGTCGATAGCGCGGATGTCCTCAAACACTTCTCCGACATCGTCGACTGGTACTGTGTCGACATAGTCGAGCTCTTTCGAGCCCTTCTCGTCCTTTTCGTCAAAAGACGGCGAAGTCGGAGTTCCAGCACTCGGGAGGGTTTGAACAGCGTCCATGTCAAGACCCAAGATGACGAAAAGGTGGAGACTGCTTATATAGCACGCGCAGAGATAAGGGGTAGCAGAGGAAGACGGGACGCTGGAGATACCGCGAGAAGCAGTGGGTTTGTGATCGCGTGGTGGATTGCGGTCCGCTCTATTCCGTACAGTTTACATTGAGAGAGTAGGAGAAAGAATATGCAAGACTATGCCCGACTCGGCATGCGGGGTTTGACCGCCGCTATTAATGGTCTGCATTGTATTCAGTGGAAAAGATAGCGGTCACAGAGGGAAGGACATACGATGGCCTGTGGTATGCCGTCCATGCAGCAGCGCCGAGCGCAACTTCTAACGCAACCCAGACTGAAAGGGTCTATATATTTGGTCAGGAACAGGCCAACACGGGGTAGTTTGGTTGCGTACACTGCGGCGAGCGACAATAAGATTGAACATGATGTTTCTGAGGGTGGTGGTGTCCGTCGTTCTTGGAGAGACTTGCTTTTTAACGGCGAGGGATGCAAGTCCAGACCACTGGAGCGAGCGGACTGGGCCGCATCCGTGCTACTCGAGAGCTCGGTTGAAAACGGGCGGGTGACATCACGGTCTAGAGCTTGTTCTGGCCGTTGGTTTGCAGGATGGAATGTAGACTTGATGTATGCGTCTTATTGGCAGCTGAGGAGGTGGGTGGCACACAAAGAACCCGAGGGGGTTGAAAGTGTTGAATCCTGCGAAGTTTCTTGCATCGATGGTGAGAGGAAGCAAAAAGCCTTCGATCACGGCGATCACTGCATCACATAAGCATGGTTTTCAAAATCAACCACTCTCCAAGACTCCAACCAACGGTGGCCAACTCCTTAGCCCGACATCTTACGGCGAATGATTCTGGCTGGCGTATGGTGACTATAGACCTCGCATGCTCTCCCAGCCAGCCACACGCGTCGTTGGACGGCTCTTTAAAAGCCCTTCTATAAAACTCGAACACTATTACCGCTATGCCCACACCATTCCAGCGACGGCAGACGACAGAGCTCTCAAAGAAGTTTTCGACCAATCGCGCGGCACTCAGTCTTCCTCAGGGCCTCCCACCGGGTTGTTCGGTCACCGCACACTAACCTCTCCCGACGCGTTGTTTAAACTTGCTGACGCGACCGTCCTCCGGGCCCAACTCTTGACAAAGCGGATTCTCCGTGCTAGAGAGTCGCGCAGGGAGCTTTCCCTCGTTATAAAAAACATAGACCGCCTGTACAGTCTTGTTGCAGGTGTTACAAATGCCGCAGAGCTGATCGAAAACTCCCATCCAGACGAGAAATGGGCCGAGGCGGCTGGCGCAGTCCATCGTAGGCTAAGAGACTACACGAACACGTTAAACGGGCATGCAGGCATATTAGCAGTAAGTATTCCTTCATTGCCACTCACAGTTCATGAATCTGTGTAGGTCCAGACTGAAGTACTCGACAATCCATCCCTCATGAAGTCGTTTTCGCCTGAGACACGTGCCACGGCACTCCGCTTTGCGCGCGACGAGCTGGAAACGTCGCCGCGGCGGATTCGCAAATCTTCCGCTCTCTCAACCAAGATTTCCAGCCTTGGTCTGAAATATTTACATGGCGCTGTGGAATATGGTGACCCTCCGCGCATATTGCCTGCCCATCTAGAAGGGCTGGATGACTGGCTGGGCTTCCCAGATGGCCTTCCGGAAGACGGCATCATTGTCAACCCCGGCTCGCAAGAAGCCGAGATCATCATGCGCATCGGGCCGGATGCCGAGGCCCGGCGGCAACTCTATATCGCGTCGAATACAAGTCCCCCGGGTCAGATTGAAACCCTCCACTCTATGCTGCGCGCTCGCGGCCAGCTTGCGCGGGTATCTGGAAAATCGAGCTACGCTGAGTTTGCATTAATGAACAACATGCTCAAGACACCGAGTAAGTGCGTCTATATGCATTTTGGTAAAGCTAACATCGGTAGAACATGTGGAGTATTTCCTTGACACACTGCTCAACCAGACGCGTCCTGCGACGCAAAAGGCGCTGGACCTTTTACGTACACAAAAGCAAGCATATCCTACTGCCGCAATCAACGCCTGGGACATTGACTTCTACGCCGAACCTGAACCGGAGGCATTTGCCGCCCTCCCAAACCTCACGCTGGGCACAGTATTCATGGGCCTTTCACGACTCCTCCGCCATATATACGGCATCTCTCTCCGCGTAGCCGATGTTCCCTCCAGCGAATTCTGGCACCCTGATGTCACCAAACTCGAAGTCGTAGACGAGAAGGAAGGCGTGATTGGCTGGATATACGCCGACCTCTTTGCGCGGCCCGGAAAAGTGCGCGGCGCGGCAGCCCATTTCCTCCGTCCGTCCCGAAGAACAGACGACGACGATGAGGCGGGAGATGGGGTCACTCCTGAGCTGCAAAAGCAGATCAAAGTTTCGCAGGAGTTCGATGCACATGGCCGGCGCGCATTTCCAGGCAGAGAAAGGGTTTACCAGCTGCCCATTGGTGCCCTGTTCGCGGACTTTCTGCCGCCCACGGCTGAGGGTGATCCGCCGGAGTTGGTTTGGCAGGAAGTCAAGATGCTGTGGCACGAAATGGGCCACGCGATGCATTGTGAGTTGTGAATGACTTACTGAACTTGTTGCTCAAGAGACAGTCATGCTCTCGCGCCCGGATTTTTACAGTACATCCGTCTCCGCCTGTCCCACCGACTTTGTCGAATTCCCGTCCACGCTGATGGAACACTTCCTCACCTCCACCCAGGTCTTCTCTCTCTTCGACAGTGGAAGCATCGACGAGAAGTACCTCGCCGACCCCTTCCCTGCTATCCACACCCACCAGCAGATCCTGCTCGCGATGCTCGACCAGGCATACCACTCTCCAAAGGCTCTGGAAAACGACTTCGACTCGACTGCGGAACTGAGGCGCATTTATGATCAGTATAGTCTGATCCCGCATGTCCCCGGCGCCACGCCCCAGACGCGCTTCAGACACCTCGGCAGCAGCCCCGTGTCGTACTACGGCTACCTCTTCGACCAGGCCATTACGGGCAAAGTGTGGCGCGATATATTTTCGAGGGACCCGCTGGACCGAGCGGCAGGCGAAAGGCTGCGGCGGGAGGTGCTAAGCTGGGGCGCGAGTAAGGATGCGTGGAAGATGCTGAGTGAGCTGCTGAGAATGCCAGAGTTAGAGAGCGGTGGTGTGGAGGCAATCAAGGAGGTCGGCAGCTGGAGTGAGGACATGAATTGAACTACGGTATAATGCATTTCACCGTATGTATCCATGCTGATTTGGGCTCTGTTTCTTTGCAGAGGTGTTGAGCATAACTGGCCCAATCAAGGACTTTTTTGTTTGTGTTCGTAACTTCTTAGGGCTGGGCTGAACTTGAACAAATGTGCAATGCATAAGTGGTGGAGAGGGGAGCTTGGGGGTGAGTTTACCGCTTACAAGCATCATTTCGGTCGCAATGGCTCACTGGCCACATTCAATATCTTCCGTAGCAGTCTTCGGTGGGGTCAAATTTGCGTGTTGAGGTTGAGAGGTGGTGATGGTGACCGTGACACCAACAGTCAGTCAGGGGCCATTATGGCCACCCTTCAGATTCGCTTTTCCGGTATCGAGCCACCATACGAATCCATATTCTCAGCAAAGAGCTGGAGTCTCCCCGTAAAATGCGGCTCGTTTGTCAGCTTACCCGAAACAACGCAAACCATTTCCATCTCGCCGCGGTCCTTGTTTTCCACCAACCCGGGCGACAGCACACGCATGCCTGTGTCGCTCTCGGATGCGCAAATCTGGGGAATAGGAAAGATGGATCAGATATTTTACGCCAAGGGCGCCTCTGTCGACGGCTTTCGATTTTGTCTGCGGTTCATTTTCCGGGCGGAGGAGGCGTTGGAGAAGGACTCGGAGAACTATGAACTCTACATGCGGCTGGTCCGGGATGCGCAATTCTCGTCGAGGCACCTCTGGTCAACGATGGGGCTTATTACGCCGATGCACTACGGCTTGTTCGTGATGGAGACGGGCGACTGGGCGGGGCGGGTGGTGTTCAGCCTGACGCAGTGGTGTGGCCTGCCCTGGACACGGCTGATGATGAACAAGTACAACACCGAGGCAAACAGGCTACTTATCGCGCGGACATGGGAGCAGCTTCACGACACGGGCATCGAGCTGAATGGGATGGACACCCACGGCCAGCTTCGCCACATCCTTCTCGACCTCTCTGACCCTAACCTCGACGCCCATCTCACCGGCAGGCTGCGCTGCTACATTGCTGGCTTTTCCGATGCCGCGCTCCACTCATGCGACCGCAAACTCCCCCTCCTCCCGCTCGGCTCCTCGCTCCTTGGCCACCAATTCGGGTGCGACGAGCTGACAAGCCTGAGCGTCTTCCTGGGGTTCATGAACTCCGCCCACTGGTGCAACTTCTTCTGCGACTACCCCATGCCGTCCAGCCCGCCTGACGCTGCCTTCGCCGCCTCCGCGCTCGCCTGGTACGACGAATACGCCCAGCGGCACCCCCGTTACTCCGGATATCATGTTCGTCTCGCCCAGCGCAAGCGCCTGTTCCCAGGCTACACCCAGCCTTATTCCGGCCTGACTGCTTCGTTCCAGGATACCGAGGACGAGTACTCTCCTCTCGTGGTGCACCGCGGAGCAAGTGAGATTTGTCTCGAGGAGGGTATTGCACATTGGAGCCGCGACCACCTGGCGTTGGCCTTGAACATTCGACCCCGCACAAACCTTGCTCCGCGCCCCGATCAGTAGCGGGAGTGATTAGTGGAATAGAAACAAGACCAATCTTTTTTCTCGTGATGACTGCAAACGCGTCGGGAGCACGTCAATGTTCCACCATACATGCAACAGTAAGTAAATGCATCAGGCATAACCCATACCCAAGAACAACAAAAAAGCCACTAGTACATCTCTCCGCAATCTGTCCAAAACCACAGCGCTTTTGTGTCGTCAAACCCGAGCCAGCACCGCGGCCCGTGTCCGCTCCTCCAGCGTGCGCAGCCCCGCATCGTACCGCGCGCTCAAGGCTTCAACAGCCCGCCGTGCCACCTTTGGGTCTTCGCGGACGAGCGCCGTGCTCGCCGCGGCCAAGGCGGCCTCGGCCGCGGCCCGGAGCTCACGTGCCTTTGCCAGATATAAGCCGTTGACTGCGTCGGCCCGCGCGCCGGCGGCGGGGCACCGTGGATGGGTGCAGGTGCCGGCAGCGATATGCGCGGGGCTTGGGGAGGGATACTGGCGAGCTTGTGGGTGGGGACGGTCCGCTGGATTATGGCGGTGATTGCATGCGCGGTGCGGATGATGGAGCGCAACTTGAAGGCCATATGCATGCGCTCCTTGTCAGCGGAAGTAGGGGGCGCTTGCATAAAGGAGGAGGCGTGAGTGGGTGTTGAGGCAACACACGGCTTATCAAGAGCTCACAGACAATGCGGAATTTGAACTGGAATCTGGGCTGTTGCGGCACGGGAAAGAGATGCAGACGGATGAGTGGCAAAGAAAATCCATTAGAGTAAGCATACTACATATCCATAGCAAAGCAAAGCGAAGCAAACATAACAATACACCATAAGCACTACGTGATACACTGCACAGAAGCGTCAAGCGGGAACGCAAACGGGATGTAGCTGTCAAAGTAATTCGGGTCGCCGAAGCCGTGCCCGACAAAGTCGTCCGGCTGGTACACGAGGGGGTCCGCGAGGGGCAGGCCGAGGGCGTCTACTGCGGGGTGTGTCAGCGCACAGAAGGGACAGGGAAAGGAAAGGAAGGGAACGTACACGAACAGTCGATGCCCAGCACCTCCATCATGCTCAGGTCCAGCGGCGGGACCGGCCCGGCGGCGGCGGCGGATAACGTCAGCGTCGTCTGCGGGAGGCCGAGCGGCGTCAGCGGCGGCGGCGTGTCGAGCTCGAGGAACGCGGCGGGGTCGAACGCGTGGATGTCGAGCACCACGTTCGGGTCGAACAGGTCCAGCGCCGGCCCGGGGTCCGCGAACCACGCGGCGAGGTCGGCCGGGTCGCCGGAGAGCGCGAAGATGTCTGCGGGAGATGAGGCGGTGGGTGTAGGGTCGGAGACTTGTCGTTGTCGTGGTTTTTTGAGGGGTGGGGAGAGCGCTGATTCTGAGAGTCGGCGTTTTCGGGATGGACTAAAACTTATGAGTGAAAATATTCAGGCGGAAGAAGGTATTACCTGGACGTTGACGCGCCCACATCCGACACGGGCAGACTACGCGCCTGCTCCCTCAGATCAGGCGTCATATCCTTCACCGCCGCGGCGATCTTATTCGACAGCGCACTCGGAATAAACCGCTCCCCATACACCTCCCGCGCATTCAGCTCGATCTCGGCGAAGCGGCCCTGGAGGCCGGGGGCGAGTGGCTGTGTGCTGGCGGGGTGGAAGTAGCGCGCGGCGGCGGCGAGCATGTCCGCGCGCCGCCGGCCGAACTCGGACCGGAGCAGCGCCGTCCACCCGATCCGCCGCCGCATCGACGAGAACCAGTCGGTGATCCGCGACACGGCGCAGGACGACTCGGAGGCGAGCGACTCTTTGACGGATTGGGAGGGGTACGGCGAGTAGAGGTGCTTGAGCAGCCACTTGTACGCCGGCTCGATGTAGGCGGGCTGCAGAGAGTCTTTTGTTTTGATGGTACTGGGAATGGGAGACGGTTTAGGGCTCGCGCGACGGGTGGGTTTTGCTTCCTTGCGAATAACAGGCGCGTCACGGTCGGGGTCGGCAAGCTCCATGAACGCGGCGAGGTGCGCGTCTTGTTCTTCACGCGCGGCCAAAAGAGACTTTGTGAATATCGCAATTTCCGAGGCAACGACGCGGGCAGCGTCTATAACGGCGGGGTCTGGAGCAGCCAAGTTGTCTATGTCAGCCTCGAGCGCGGTCCACTTGTCGAGCAGCAGCTGGAACTTCTCGATTGTGCCTGCCGTTGCTGCGTCTGCCAGGACGGTCTCTACCTCCGCAACGCGTTCGAGGAGCGACATGCAGGCAGGGGGAGAAAGAAAGGTGTGCAGGCCAAAGAGCCATCACTCGCCGCGATTAGACCTGTCACAGATTCAAACTCAGCATTGTGCGTCTGCCCATCACCCATCATGGCATCACTTGCATTGTTCCTCATAATGGGCTGGGTCCAAGCACCCCCTTCCTCCCACCCTCGATGGCGATTTCGAATTTCAGCCCCATGGCCAGCCCCAGCCCCAGCGGACCCGCCGCCGCTGCCAGCGCACTGACGCCAATGGCGATGTTGGCCACACTCCTCAAGACTGCGAACGCGATGGCTGCGAACATAAAAGCCCTCCCAGTGCCCTCTTGCAATGTCCCACCTCCAGTATCAACACCAACCCATAAAATTGGCCGCGAAATCGCGGCGCCAAGCATCGACCTCCCGCTCCCGCCGCCGGCGACCGACAAGCTCCTGCGTCTCGGGCTGCCCGCGCCGGTCGCCGAAGAGCTCTCTGCGCGGCACCAGGCCGCCGCCAAACAGCTGCACATAAGCTCGCAGGCGGAGTACAGCCAGGCCTGTCGCCGACTCGAAGGGGAGCCCAACTCGCAGTCTTTCGTGCTCAGGGCCGTGTCCGAGCACCAGCTCGCCTATACGCAGGGCCTGAAGCGGCTGGAGGACGCCATGTTGACTCGCGCGCATAGCGTCAAGTCCGCCATGGCCAAGAAAGACGACTTTAACTATGTAGGGCCTTCTTTTTTTTTCTCTACCAAGCTCACTATGCACAGGACTTTCTCCCCGTACTGATTGCGACCTATTCGCGGAATCCCAAGCCGAGCCGGGCGGACCAGCTCGTTCTCGCAAAGAAATCAGGCATGTCGCGGCGCCAGATCGAAGTCTGGGTAGGTCTTTTCCCCTATTTTTCGATACATCCACTAACTCGTCTGCAGTTCCAAAACCACCGTGCGCGCGAGAAGAAACGCGCCGTATCCCGTGGCAGCGCCGGTATCGACGACGAGGACGCTATCCGCCGCATGGAGGCCCAACTACCCAGCGTCTTCCTCGTCCCGCCACACCTGCGCCAAGACACATCCCCCGGCGGCTATGATCCGGTTATTCCCTTCTTTGGCGACGGCTTCGGCGCCGGCGTTGTCCCCAGCGACGACGACGATGACGACGAGGAATGGGACGAGCCCCCGACGAGCGACGCCGAAGACGACGCCGAGATGACGCCGCCGCTCGATCTGATGCGCGTCCTCCCAGATGCAGCACCAATCCCGTCCTTCGTCGAGCTCTGCCGCACAGCATCCACATCCACATTTTCCTTCCCCGCACCCTGTTGGAGACGCACCCCTTCCTCTTCTTCTAACCCCGTGACGCCCATCGACTTCCCCGCGATCGCCGAAGCATTCGCTGGCCTGCACATACGCGGTCCGGCGCCGCCGGCCCGGTCTTCTCCGCCACCCCCTGCTGCGCGCCACGCGCACCCCCAGCGCTGTGCCCCAGCCTCGGCGCAGTGGCCCCACCGGCCTGTCCCTCGCTTCGGCTGCGCGTCCCTCGGACTCCGCACGCGCCGCCCCGCGCCGTATGTGTGCGGCCCCCGGGCGATGCCGGGCTGGACCGCGGCGCTTGCCCGGATGCGCGTGGGTCCTTGTGCGGCCGGCGCCGGCCCGGGCTTGGACGGGGTGGCGAAGCGGCAGCGGTGTTGAGTGGATATGATTATGGTTGTGTATAATATAGTGTACAGTAGTATGTCCCAGGTATATCCAAGTTAGACCAAGTTTCTGTTGCCTTGATGGTCATTGGTAGCACACTGCAAAAGTTTTTTTAGTGGGAGTTGTTTCCCATGCTCATCGTTTAATAGGGCGGTGTTTGTCGGGTACCATCTGCAGAAGGGCAGACGATCGGGATAAACCTGGCCAGCGTATCATGTCCTCTATCGACTCGTACCCCCGCAATCCCCGCTTGCCGCGACCAAGTGCTCCAAAAAGACAGACCAGCTTCACGCATGGCCTCCGGCGGTTCCGGCCACCGCCATCCCGGTCGTCCGGAGCTGATTCCAAAGGCAGCCAAAGTTGCACCCTGACCCCCGCTGTCCCCCGCGCTGCCGCCCCCCCGACAACCCGCGCGCAGCCCCAACCCCAAGCCACGCGCCTGCCCGGCCCGGCCCGCGCAGACCCGCGTTTCGGAGGGGGCGGGGCCGGCCCAGTATGCTGCCAGAAGCCGGGCCGCGAGATTGCGCAGGCAGGCGGTGGCCCAGAGGGGCGTGCCGGGCCCGCCAAAGCACGGCCGTGCGCGAGGGGCCGGGCGATGTCGGAAGGGGCGGGCGCGGGCTGTCCCGCAGGTGTCGGCGGCAGGCGTCTGGGCGTGGGCACGAGCGGTGACCTGCGTGACCGGCGATCGCTCTTTCTTCCCAAGCTGTTTCTCCCCAACGCGCCGCCGTCCACCAGCGACAGCGACAGCCGGTCCACAAGCACACCTGCAACCCACCCGCTTACAAATGGCCACCCCCTCCCGATCCGTGAAACAGTCGCGATCACCGACTGGCGCTCGTCGATGCGGCGGCGGATCGGGTGGACGGTCCGAGTTCGGCCGGCGGCGCGCTACTTCCGCCCCGCCAGACTCGCCCCCGGCGCTGCGCCGAGAGCGAGCTGAATGCGCGGGAGGTGTATGGGGAGCGGTGTATCCCGAGCGCGCTGTCGAATAAGATCGCCGCGGCGGTGAGCGCTTGCCCGTGTCGGATGCGGGCGCGTCGACGTCGAGGTAATAGTGAATATTTTGACTCACAAGTGTTTATCAGCCCTCCCCGCCCCTCAAAAAATCACGCCAGCGGCACTACACCCACACCGGACATCTTCGCGCTGTGGATCCGGGCCCCGGGCCGGCGCTGGACCCGAACGTGGTGCTCGACATCCACGCGTTCGACCCCGCCGCGTTCCTCGAGCCCGACACGCCGCCGCCGCTCGGCCTCCCGCAGACGACCGGCGCCGGGCCGGTCCCGCCACTTCCCCAGTAGACGCCCTCGGCCTGCCCCGGGCCACGACCCGAACTACTTTATCCGTAGTGTTTGTGGTGTATACTTACTCTAATGGATTTCATTTGATGCTGGCTTGAATAATGTGTCTCCACGATGCCGCGCTCAGCACCACCGAAGCGATACGACTTCAACCAGGACTTGTTGCCTGTGCTCACTGCGGACAAGTCGGGCATGTCGCGGCGTGTGCAATGGATTTTGAGTTGACACTCTTTTCCAGAACCGCTCGTGTGCGCGAAGAAGAAGAAGTGCGCCGTGTCACGGGGCAGTGCCGCCGCCGGCATCGACGACGAGGAACGTCCTCCCTTCGAGCTCTGCCTTACATCATCTTTTCCTTCCCCGCACCCTGCTGGCAACGCCCACCTTCTTCTTCTTCTCCCCCTGTGCACAAGCATTCGCCGCGCTGCGCATCCGCGGTCCGGCCCCGGCCCGGTCGTCTCTGCCGCCGCCGCCGCATGCCCGGCGCTGTACCCCAGCCTCTCAGTGGCCACAGCGTGCCGTCCCCCGGTTTGCCAGTGGCTGCACGTCCCGGCGCCGTATGCGTGTGGTCCCCGGGACGCGGAAATATCTTTGCTGGCTCATCATAGGTGACGATGTTGAGAACATAGCCTCGTCTCTGCACTATATCCACATAAAAATACAGTTTACTATTCGCTACATGTAATCATATAATCATATCTCACTGGAACGCCGCAATCTCAAAGTCAAACGCGAGCGGGGGCACCGGCGACTTGCCAAACAGCATCTCCGGGCCCGGGCCGGGGCTCAGGAACGGCTGCTCGCCAAACACGAGCGCGTCGTGCAGCCCCGGCGCGGTGTACATCCCCTGCGGATTCGTCAAGAACGGCATCGTGTCCACTAAACAATGCGTCAGCAAAAGGTTCTATAGAAAGACACAGGACACGCACTGGAGTACTGCTGCAGCAGCGTCTCAATGGTGTCGTTCGTGAAGTCAAACTGCTCCGGCGACACGTCGAATTGCGGCAGCGCTGTTGTCTTGTCAGCAACCAGAACAATGACTGAAAACAAAACCTACATAAACCAAGGCCAAGCCCCGACGGCGACGGCAGCGCAGAGCTCGCCTCGCTCGCACTCGAGTCGTCCTCGGTGAACAGGCTGAACGCCGCCGCGTCCCACGGTATCACCGCCACCGAATCCAGGTCCAAATCCGGCGGGGGCACAGCGAACCAGTCGGCCAGCGCGTCGAAAGCGGGCACGTCGACGACCGGCATCGACGCGCTCCGCACACACGGCCGTTTCGATATGCCGCCACTCGCGTCCGACTCGGACAGCCGCCGTTTCCGGGAGTTCGGTGAACCGGCCGGCGTCAGCTCATCATCATCATTTCTATCAACCATCAGCCCATTGTCCACACAATGGAGAAACCATACCTGGGGCGTTTGCGGGCCAAATCGTCGTCGTAGTCGGGAGAGGTGGAGCGGCGCTTTCCCGCGAGCTTGTCCCGTCTGGCCTGAGCGTCGAGGTCAGGGGACCAGCCCTTGACCGCGCTGCCGAGCCGTCCAACGAGGTCGCTCGGTTTCAGCTGGGCAGCGTACATCTCTTTTGCCAATGCTTCGATTTCGACGAATGCGCCCTTGACGTTCGGTTTGAGTGCCAGACCGTCGTTGTCGTCGTCCGTGTCCTCTTCCTTCTTGATGATGTGTGGGGTCCCTTGCACCACGCCAAAGTAGGCCCGCGCAGCTTTGAGCATCGCGCGCTTGTCCCCTCGGAACAAATGGCTCCGCAGATGGTGGTTCCACCGCATCTTCCGTCTGGCTGAGCCGAACCACGACCGGATGGCGGCCTCAGTGGGCTGGTGGAGTGGGTTGGGCGAGGCAGCGCAGGCGGCAGCGTGGATTTTCGTGATGGTCGCAGAGGACGGGTAGGGCTTGTAGAGGTGTTGGAGCAGCCATTTGTAGGCGGGCTCGATGTGTGGGGGCAGTGATGGCGCGGAGGGGCGGGGGACGGAGGCGCGGCCGCGTCGGGGTTTGGGGGTGGGGAGTATTGGGGGCGGTGAGGGGGATGTGGGAGAGGTGGAGGATGAAGTCGAGGGTGTGGGTTCGGGGTTGAGGTCGAGATTTTGAATCAAATTTCCCAGCTCCTCAACAGCGTCCTGCTCTGCAGAAGCGGATTCTATGAGGTGGCTGGAAAGAGTGGTGATACGTTCTGCCAGCGTTGCGGCCAGCGTCATAGTATCCGCATCTATGGTGCCTTCTGCAAGTGCCGCTTCAAAATCCACGAATATGCTTTCCCATGTCGTGTGAAACGACGCAAGAGCATTGGAGTCATCCGCTGAGATAGCTTCGAAGAATTGAGACTGCGAACTGAGTAGTCTGTCGCGGATGGTGGAGGACATGGTGAAGGTTTCGAGGAAGGAAGGACTGTGCGGTTGACATATTGATCAGTGATGCAGATTCAAACTCCGCATTGTGCATGGTGATCTGATCTTTCGTATATATTATCTATGGTCACACATTGTCACTGCCTTGCATCGTGCTCCCATGTCTTCCTCATCCTCTCTGACCGATGCTCTGCGGTCGATTTCCCGCACTGCTCAGTCCATCGGCAGCTTCGTTGCACCTCTCTCTCGCCCTGTGCCCATTACTCCTCCAACACAGCAGCCCACCGACATACCACCGATTTCCTTACCTGAGCCAGCCTCCATTCATACGCAGTTGTTGGCCATAGGATGCTCCCCTGCACTAGCAGATGATCTGTCGCGAATGCATTTGCTGAAGACGGATGAGCTCCGTTCCGCCACTCAACGTCACCTTCATACAATGTGCGCAAAACTCGCTGAATCGCCTCGCCATCATGGCTTTCCCCCGTTACCTCAACTATTAGCCAAAGTCATTGCGGCCTTCACAGCGAAATACTCCAGTGATTTAAAGATACTCGAACAACGTGCCGTAATGACTGTTTCGCGCAAACTCCAAGCTCGAAATGCGCAACAAACACGAGTGGAGAAAAAGCCTTTCAATCGTGTTCGTGTCCACACTTGTTTGCTTGTTTACTTCAACATCTTTTCAGGATTTTATACCCTTCCTCGAACAATACTTCGAGCACGACCCTTTCCCCACCGCCGCTGACCGCAAGTTCATGGCGTCCAAATCTAACATGTCCGCCCGCCAGATTGAAGTCTGGGTATGTTCTCTCTACTGGTCTAATCTTCTTTTGCTTATTCTTTCAAGTTCCAAAACCACCGCCGACGGGCCAAAGAGCTGGGCATCCCCGTCAAACGCACGCGCAAAGCCATCGACGGTATCCCCGCAATGCTGGACATGTCCCTCCTCGAAGACAAGATGCCGGCAGCGTATTTCATTCCCGAGCCTCTACGCCAAGTGGTCGACTCCGACTCTGAGGCCGAAGAGGACGATGGACTCGAGCTTGGGGACGAGGAGGACGAGTTTGATGGTGTTGATTACGGATTCGGGGACGAGCCCGAGGTGATCGACCTCACCGACGCGCTCGAGCCGTCTGTCCCGGCCTATGCTTTTCCCACCACCTTCCAAGCAAGTCGCACGATGCCGGGCATCATCACTCCCCTTACACCGTTCTACTTCCCCCCTCCGCAATGGCGGCGCAAGGCCAAGACTGTCGAAGAGCGCACTCCCGTGTCGATCGACGAGCTTGTCAACGCCTTCAGCCTCCTGCACACACGTGACGCGACACCCACCGCCTCGCCCGTTTTCCGGGTGCCGTTTACATGCACACTCCCGCAGGCGCCGTTGCCTTCCCTAATCAACCGCAAAGTCACAATTTCGCCTGTCCAGGCGACCACCAGCCTGAATACCGCCAGCGCCCGGCGGACGAGCTCGAAGGGGAACAAGGGCCGGGCGTCGAAGCAGCTCGCCGCGTCTGTTCCCACGCTCGCGACTCCCACGCCACGCAAGCAGAAACCGAGTTTACCGAAACGCACGCCCAAACGGGCACCCAAGCAACACCCTTCCCCGCCGCCCCAGTACCAACACCACCCATACGAGCGCCAGGCAACACCCCCGTCGCGGACCCCTTCGCTGGACTTCTCGCCCTCCTCGTCCCGCAACACCTCCTTCGCGTCCCCCGCCTCCTCCCCGCCGCGGTCTGTGTCCTCCGGCTCGAGCGGCCCGCCGACGCCCGCCGACACGCACGTGCCGCTCCCGGTCGTCGTCGCGTACGACCCGCTGTTCGGCGACCCGATACTGCCCGTGCACACGCTCGACCCGTGGGTCAAGTCGGCGGACACGGAGTGGCCCCACTGGACCGCGGGGCGGCTCGTGCTGCCGACACCATGATCACCAGTAGCTGGTTGGTTTGGTTTGACTTGGGCTTTCGCTGCCCGTATTTTGGCGGGAACGCGATGATTGCGCGTCCGGCGTCGTCGAGATAGTGCATCTGACGAGTTTTCTCTTTTGCTTTGCTATGCATATGCTTTTATACCTCTGCTATCGCTGTCTTTTGCTCTCAATATGCTCAGTATGTGTACAAAACTCAATGTATTTCTAGACTTGCAATGCATTATTTCGAATTCAAGTTACGAGAACAGGGGGGTTGGTTCCAGGCTGAACTTGGAGAACTACGGGCGCGTTATGCTTCATCCGCATCATCGAAGGGCCCAGCTGCTGCTATCTGATAACCTTAACTGAGCTTCCTCTTTCGCTTTCTCTAGGTGTATCCATTGAGTTCCGACAAGTACAACTCAGATATATTCAACGCAATTTTACAACAACAAGCTTTAATTAGCAGTGTCCATTGCACCTTACAAGAACTTCGCGAGCTATAAACCAAGTCAGCGCCCTGCCAAGAACAAAAGCCAAGCAACCCACCAACGACGCCGCGCCGCCTCCCCCGCTCCCGCCGCCCGACAGCTGGCTCTTGAACACCATCATCGCCGCCTTCTGCATCGCCGCGCCTTTGAAGCCCGAATCGGTGTCGCCGCCAAGCAGCTGGCTGGCCTCCTTCATCGCGAACGCAATGAGGTCATCTGACCCGCCCTTGCCGCCGCTGGAGAGGAACATCTGGATCGCCTGCGTCGCGATCGCGCCCCCGACGGCATCGGAGCCCATCGACTCGAGCGTGCTCTTGCTCTTGTCGCCCTGCTTGTAGATCTTGTGGTGTGCGGCCTGGGGACCAGTTTAGGAAGGGAATGACACGGGGAATGGGGCTAGAGTCACCTTGGCAGCCTCTGCCTCCTCGTCTGACGGCGGGCGGTGTTCTTCCTGCGCGCAAGTGAGTGAGTGATGGACAGATAAGCAGATGGCTGCTTACGGTGCGCTTGGCGACGTGCTTCGACGCCTGCTGGTAGAGCTCCTCGTCGTCTGGGTTCTCTGCCGCTGCCTTGCGGACAGCCTCGTCGTGGTCGTCTGCAGGGGGTGGTAAGAGATCATACCATCAAACGGGGGAGGCGACATACGCGACTGCGAGCCTGCGATGCCCGTCAGCGCTGCTCAGGAGGGAGACCGTAGTTCTACACACCAATAAACTGTTGGGCAAGGCCCAGGAGCTGTTCCTGCTATCGGTAAGCGCTCAGCGCGTCGTACGATGCGTGGGGCATACCATGTGCGGCATATTAGTTAGTGGTGGTGGATGGAGTTCAAGAGGGATGGTTGTGACGTCACTCAGATCGGGATGATATCTTGCCTGTTGGCTACAGCTCGAATTCAGGTACGTAGGCTAATACAATAAGGTATATAATACAGGTTTACTTCAAGTTCTCCGCCATTCTTTACACCTTAACATCCTTTCCCTCCACTGGTGCCGTCTGCGTTGTTGTTGTTGACCCGGGCAAGTAGCTCGACGCAACATCAGTGGCCTTGTTGACATGGGGCATCACCGCCTCCTGCGCCGCGGCGACATAGGGCTTCGCCGCGTCCTGGGCGGCGACGACATACGGCCCGGCAGCCGCAATCGCGTCCTTCGTCGTGTTGTACACCACATTCGCGCCGGTCTGGATCCCGCTGATGACGTCGCCCGTCGTGTGCGCCCCGTTCGGCCCGGAGCCCGGGGGTATCATGCTCTGCTTTTTCCCTCAGCGCAAGGTTCAGAACAAGACAAAGGGTTGGACTAACCTGGGCAGAAGCAACCGCACCGGCAGCATAGTCCTTCGCCTGCTGGACATAGCCCGCACCCGCCGCCTGTGCCTCCGCGACGCTCTGCTTCCCCTCCTCGACCGCCTGGCCCGTGCGTATCGACGCCTCGGTTTGTAAGCGGTCCGTCGCGGTCTGGCCGGTCAGCGCGGGCCCCTTGGACTGCGCGACAAACGCGGCGTTCTCGGCGACGTCTTTCGCGTGCTCAGCGTTCGCCTCTGCAATAGGTTAGCGAGTGAGAAAGGGGAGAGCAAGAGATGGCACTCACCGACCTCCCGCGCTACCGTCGCCGTCTTCGCCTCGGCCTGCGCCTGGGCGGCGGTCGTCATATCGGCCGAAGTGGGCTCGGGGACGTTGAAGATTCCGTTCGTGGACGACATTGTTATTGGATTTCGTTCGATGGTGGTGGTGGTTCGTAGATGAAAGTGGTTGATGAAGACAAGCCCCAGCCGTGACGCGCTTTTATGTATCCTGGGTGGCCCACACCGATGACGTGTTGGTGACGCCGCTCGCTCCAACGAAGACAGCTGATGACGCGTGACCGCGAATTGACGCCCTCCACCGGGACATCGGAGTGGCGGACCGCATTCGTCGTGCAAGGGGTCGGATGCGGATGCTAGGTGGAGGAGTGATCCAGAAACGCGGTCACGCCTGATCTCGTGATCTCGCATTTGATCGCAACTTTCCAAGCCGCACACGTCCGAGTCACTGACTTTACGACAAGAGCGCGAAGTTGGGCACAAATATCAACATTCATACAGAGGCATGGACACATGAAACAAGCAACAGTTATTCGCTAGGGGACTCCGAACGGCTCGTCTCGGTCGACGAGGCCTGCAAAGCGCTTCAGCCCGGAAGGAAGTAGAAATATTGGCGAGGGAGACGCACGCTGCTGGTGGTAGCACTGTCCACATCCATGTCATCCATGCCCCGCATCCAGTAGCGCGCAAAGATCTGCAGCAAAGTCAGCCGCCAAAACAGTCCAGTAACGAGAGGCGGACGAGGGGAATGGGCTTGATGTACGGACGGTACCGTCGCGCTGCACGCTCGGCCTGGAGCCTCTCGGCGCGTTCTCTTGCTGGCCACGGTTTTTCTTGCTGGCCCCGTTGGGACATCGTAGGAGCGATCGAGTAGTATTGGAGTATTGGGCGGGCTGTAATTGGGAGGGCAGGTGGGCTGAAGCACACCAAGCACCCCAAGTGGAATATATATATACGCGCAGGACGGGTGGCGAAAAGGTTAATGAGGGCATCTCATCAATGACAGTTGCCTGTTTTGGCGAGCCTTAACTTGGCCGGGCCTTCAAACAAGCTTCTCGCACTAATGTGTGGTCGTACGGGAACCAGAGCTCGACAGCAGTTCCAAAAACAGCATTCGCCTCGGCCGCGGACAGACTCCAAGCCGCCATTCAATATAACTTGCGGGTGTCCATAGGCTATCAAGAGTGCGCACCATTACGGGCACAGCCTCAGATCTGAGATCAAGATGACCGACATCCGCATCTCATGCCCAAGCGTGGGTGTGGGACGGGGATCTGCGTCTGCAGAAACATTCATCGACCTATCCCGAATTCAGCGTCAGCCTCCCACGTCTCAAACCTGGGAAAACTTGCCAGACGTGAACGCGTCCGTCGCTCGTGGATGCGTGCCCCGACGCGTGCTTGCCTCCAATTATGCTACATCTCAAAAAACCGCGGCTGATAGGACAGGACACTGCCTTGAAATCGAACGGCAACTTGAAAAGGAAAAACGAAACGGAAGGTCGTCTGCCATGATTTCAGATAGGACCCGGCGTTCTCATTTCCTTTGGGCAGAGGGAGACATTGACCGGGAATTGCGGGAAATGGCTTGAACCATTTGTGGTGGATGAGGGAGAATGGGTTGTTCGTGGGCTGATGCGCGCAATTGGGGACTCATTCGTAAGGTCTTTTTCTCCTCCAACTTAGTCCAAGCTCACATAACGGTCACGACTTACGAGCATGCCTTGTCTCCCAAACTCTACTCCGCCGTTGGCGATCGGTAAATAACGCCCACAAGTATTGAACCCCACCAAGGCATTGCCCTCGACCGGCAGAGCGGTAAGCAGCGTTTCGGCGTGGGAGAAGACAAAGTCAGGTCAACACCATCACTAATTGAGTCGCTGGCAAAGTTGTCGTCGGTCGAGCAGCCTTCTTCGTAGCCGCAAACGGAAGAAGGCGTTTGGTGGCTCGGTACCCCATAGGGAGGGTAGGCCGGAGGTCCGCGTTCGCTGTGAGCGGCGAGAAATAACGGATGACGTCGGTGGTGGGCAATGAAAAGAAACTTGGTTTTTGGGTTCGATGTACAACATGGATAGAATCGTTCAAACTGGTCGCGCCCTTTTGGCGGAGGCGACGAAGTTGCTTTTGTGCGGCCCTGTGTTGTTGGGCGATGAGACCAGTGAAGAAGAAAACACTCGAATGACATACGCTGCCGTTAATGGTCACGCTCGTCTCTCTCTCTAACCACGCATAGCGCGCGCGATAATCTGGCTCATGGTCAGCAAGCAGGTCGGAAAGAAAGTGTCTGCATACTAGAGGCACAGGCTTGGTGTATGGCCGGTACCGACGCGCTCGCCGCTCAGCTTGAATACGCGCAGTTCTCTGTCTGGACAATGGCGACATCGTTTCAGGAGTTTGGGGGTAGGTTTGAAGGGCGGAGGATGACCCTCATGGTATTTAAAGGACAGGGAGGGTCGACAGTGGCGAAAAAGTTTAATGAAGTCCGGGTCGACATCCTCTTGGTCCAATGGGGCTGTGAATGATTCGGGTACAAGCTTTGCACGGGGGTGTTATGTCGCCACAGAAGCACTCTGTGCATATCAATTCCCTAAACACGCAGAAAGTCTCTTGCTTCTTGACAGACACCGACCCTGCAAAACGACATAAGCGCTTCTAGGTTACATTTTCGGCAAGCAACAAATGCAAACCATGAATGTTGGGAAGGCCTGCAAGAACGGGTACTTGCTGCCAAGATAAATTTGCAGGCTCAACGCTTGCTTCGTCGATGCAAAGATGAAAAGGAAGAAAACCCAAGATCTATCCGAGATCCAATGACTCGCTATGGGAATTGCGATCGTTTTGCCGTCACAGGGAGCAAGCTTCTTTCTCAATACCACATCTTGCAGCTTGCTTGCAGCTCTGGACCTTGATGTTCCTAGCCAGTCTCTTCAACCCTGAAGCCACCAGTAGCCCACCGTCTCCGGGAATTCGCGTGACAAGTCGCGTGATACTTTGTCACGAAGCTTAATCCAAGACCAGCTGGGGTTGCTGAACCTTGAATTCATGCTCTTGAAGGCCAGAAATACCGCCAGGATTGCGTGAATCGACAAACAGTCGAAGACTTCTGCTGCCGACAAATGTCGAGCCGCTTTGCTGACTGGTTCGCTTCAAATTCCGCCCACTGCAGCTCGACCGCCGGTAAAACCTCAGCACACGTCGATAACTCCTTCTTGGCCTTCTGAATTTCGTTCGCCGGCACCAAGCTATGAATACGAGAACCGAAAACCTCAGTGAAAGAATGAACACACCAAATCCAAAGCTCAAATCCTCTGGCAACGCTCAGCTCTCTATCCAATTTGACGACACAGATTCCGACAAATGAGGGCCATGAGCTGGTCGCCGACCAATCAAAGTTGCGGTCCCAACAGTGCCAGATTGTCCTTGAGTTCGCAAAAGAATGTCTTGCATGTCTTGAATATTTGCAGCCATGGAGGAAAAGACGAGAACAAGGCCCTGACCCTTGTGCTGTGGCCCTTGGCAGGACACCAAACCTAGAGCTGGCTCAATAACGGGGGGATGCATCGCGGAAAATCAGCACAAACCTTGGGGAAATCTTCGCTTTAATTCGGTGTCATTGGCTTTGCATAGGAGGCCTGCCTTGTCTTGTGGCACGAAGGAGAATTTTTGAGACGAGGCTTGGGGTGATTGCAAGAAACAAGTTCGATCAAACCAAACTTGAGCACATGCGTGCTGCTTGCAGCATGCCACCACCACCTTGTCGAAGCACTCCTTTCCCCACTCAACCTCAAGCTCTCGGCACCGCATAGTCAGACGGGGTGGGCAATGGTTGTCGGTCAACTATTGGCTCCAAACTCAACTTCAAGTTTCTAAGATTCGAATCGAAGACTCGAATGAACATGTTTATTTGCCACGAAGGGCGTTCATGTGTGTCCTCTACGCAACTTCACTCCAGCTGACGGATATACAAGTTCTACACCATCCCAGAATATCAAGTCGAGCGGCGCCCCAAGGGCGGTGGGGAAATCGAAACTCAGCCAATAAGGCTCGCAACCCGCTTCTGGCTTGTCGTTCAGCTCTCTCCGTCCGATTCCCAGTCTGCACATAGAATTTGTCAGTATTTGTGGCGCGAAACAATGCAAACGATTTTACCTGAATTCATGTGGCCGGCCAGTGGACCACAGCGGCACCGGTTGCGAGCCCTTTGGCGGGTTGCGTTGGAGCAGGCTGATGACATCATAGCCTTTGACGACCAGTGTTTGAAGGTAGAGGCCGTCCTCTTCGAGAGTTACGACAGCCACACTATTGTCGCCAATCCAGATACCACTATACGTTGAACGGACTTGGTCCCGCAAAACTTGCTCAAACGCAGGGTGGAACCGGGCGAGCGCCTCATGGGCCAAAGTCAGGGTGTCAGTATACGTCCCAGTGACGAGGACAATCACTCCGTATGACCATTGCGGAATCACCGTAAACTGGGAGTGGTAACCTGGAAGATTTCCCGCTGGTCATTCACGTTAGGCTAGGGTCTAGGACCAACATAACGAACACCAACCCTTTGAATATGCCCGGTCTTCGTTGCCAATCTTCTCAATCTCCCACGGTGCCCCGACCTCTTGTAATCCATCATTCCATGCGTGCAAAGGTCGTAACCACTCCCGAACAACGTAGGGGCTAAGAACTCCGCCTGCTTGAGGTGCAAGTAATGTGCGCATGAAAGTTGCGAGGTCTGCAAGAGAGCTATATTGTCCACCTGCAGGATCGTATGTGGGAGAGAATGTCAGATCCTAAGCAATGTCAGTAATTTTCAACGGAATATTCGCGATTACTGACTGCCCAAGTCGAGTTCATGGCAGGTACGGCCATATGTGCAGAAAGACGGGTGTTGGGAATTTGGTAGAAGCTGCTGTTCATTCCCAACGGAATAAACACGTCTTTCTCCAGAAGCTGACGGTGGCTTTTCGCTTCGCCGGTCGCTATTTTGTGAGCCAGGACATTGCAGACCCCGAGAAGGTCAAAACCAGTGTTTGAATACACAGGGAAGGTGTACTGCGGCGTGACAAGAGGAATATTGGCAACTGCGCGCATGAGGTGCTCTAGATTCCCATTTAGGGGATCGTCTGATTTACGGGCAGCACTAACACCAACGGGGAGGTTGGCTGGCCACTCTCCCACATCATATGGTGGGTAATCCCGGCCGATACCTTCGAATAGTGAGGACTAACAACTGTTTCATGGTACGAACATACCAGAAAGATGACTGGCAAGTTGCCTCAATGTAACTGGGGACTTATCCGCAACAATACCAGTACCAGACAGATGCTCTACCCAACCTGAGGAAGGATTTGTGAAGTTTGGAAGGAATTTAGTCACTGGGTCGTCCCTTGGCACTGTTGGTGAGAGTTGCAATAACGGAGAGGCTCTTACCAATTGAGGTGTCCGCGCTCTCGGAGGATGAGTGTCTCCAAAACGGTGAACATCTTGGTAATGCTGGCAATGCGATAGATGGTGTTGGAGTCCACGACACCTTGTTTCTCAGGGATGCTCTCGTTGGCTCGGGCGACCCCGTAGCCAGCTGTGAAAGCAAATCCGGCAGGGGTCACGATACCGATGGAAATACTGTCGATGTCTTTGGCTTTGGTTCGTGCATTTAAGAATGCATGAAGAGACGCGGAGGCTTTCTTGATATGCGGATTGTCCGCGGTAGGAGGTGTGCTTGCAAGCAGTTTAGGTAGCGGCGGGCTACACTTCTTTGCCATTTGTTTCGGGGTTGGCGCCAGTGTCCGTGATACCACCGCAATTCGATAGTTTGAGAGATATAACGCGACAGATATGATTGCTAGCAGCGCTAGGCTCCTAGCTCTAGAGCCACGATGTGGCCTCTGCACATGGATGCTAGTTTTCGAGTCAGCGGCCATGATAGCGGAGGCCGAAAATCATGACGTTGTTCGGGGGTGTCACGACGTGTGACTGATCGCGCGACTCAAGCCAACAACCAGAGAAGGCAATTCAGCTCTGCAATGGCCACACCGTTAACATACAACCGTATGCGGCAAATACATTCACAACATCTAACTCAACTTCTTCCAGAGACAGTGCGCGGAATAACGGAGTTTAGTGCGTGTCGTGCTCTGAATGCGACTTTGGAGTGAATTGGTTGGCAGTTGAAGTTGCAATACACACGATTTTATATGTGCGGCAAATCTACCCTGCAGACCTCTTCATACGGCGGAAGAAATACGACACCCCTGTTTTCCAGTCGCGGCATCCAGCGCTCAACGAGTACATCTCCAATGCAGTCAAAGCGATCGCTGAACAGCTGTTGACTGTGGGTCTGGCAAAAACAAAATGTCTCAAGCTCAACTAGCCGGCAGGGAAATCTTGAAAAGGTTGCTGTAGTCATCAAGAACAAGGAGCAAGTCGCTCTCGAGCGTTTCCTCTTCTCAATCGAGAATATGATCCAGATCGAAGACTACGATAAAAACACCAAGTTTGGAGTTGTGTAACATCGTTTTCATTCACCTTATACCGCCTCAGCGTGCAAGAAGCCATGTCTGCGTCTGATTTGGGGCAGTACTTTCGCGGTTTTCTGGTCAAACTCAATATGGTAGAGGCGCAGCTTGGTCAGATGCATCTGGGCGGTATGCCATGGCTGGCCCGCAGCGAGCATCGACCGATTTTTTCAATTTAGACGATGTTTCTTTTACTATCACGATTGAACTCAAGCCAGAAACCTTACCTTCCACCAAGACCCCGGTAAGTTTTTTGTGTTTCTTGTTTTACGCTTCCTTATATGCTGCACAGAATCAGCCACCGTGGATCCCTGCATTTACACAACAGACTACTGCAGGTACTTCCGACGAGTCTGAACTTCACATGTGCGCCGAGGTGTTAGACCGTGCATCGCAGTACTGAAGCCCGCCAGGATACGAGCCGTTAATACGGGAATAATCAATGCGAGTTGTGGCACCTAACCTGATGGAAACGTCTCTGACGAGCTTTGTAGCTATCTCTTGCTGTTCAAGAAACTGACGTCAAACTCAAGCACGAGCGAGAGACACGCGAAAATATGTCGCTCTCCAGGACAAAGCCCACCAAATCTCCCCCTGACAATTCTAGTCAAAACGATGCAGCAGAACATTCTGTCGCCGACATATCTCAGGAAGGTCTGTCCAGGGTGGAACAGAAACAACCAGAACCGCTTGAGCTTGATGTACAATAAAATGTGAATTAGACTCTGATAAAGTACTATCAGGGGTGCACACGAATGCGTTGAATCAACGGAATTATCCTCTCCCACTCGTCCATGGCCGACTTGTAGAATTCAATTTGGCCATCAGCAAGATGGCCTAGCATTTCCTTCATCTCCGCCTCCTTCGAATGCTGGAAAATGGTCTGCTCTCGGAGAGTCTCGTCGCTAAAAGCGTCAGATGTTTCGTGAGCAGTGGTGACAGCATCTTGAAGCTAATTCCGTCTTCAGTCGCTGAAGATGCCGAGAAGGTCAAAATAAATACCTCTTTGATCTTGATATCCAGTTTTCGCATCTTTTCCACGCGACTGCGATCATCGTCAGCTCCTCGCAGTGCGTCTACCCTGTCTTTCAGATAGGAACCGAGTCCAAGCCCAGTGCTGCCTGCATGGCCACTGATGACCGCAGCCAATCTGTCGCGTTCAGAAGTGACTCCTGCCAGATAGTCCGACAAATCTTCAAAGTCGAGTTGTTTTTGGTCTCGTAGTCTGAGGACCGCACGGTTGGCGTGAGAATATGTGAGGAGGGAATGGAGATGGATCAAGAATGGGTCGGTGGTTGTTTGTCCCTAAAATAGTCATTCAGAGACCAGGACGAGGGGCGGAGAACTGACTAAATGACGCAGGAGGGAGGAGAATTCCAGCAATGTGTTTGAAAAATTGTTGAGGGGGTCGGTGATACCTGACTCCAAGAATCCAAGACCTTGGACAGCGACTGCGAGGTCATGGTAGTCCGCAGTAAGGTCTTCTCCGGATTCCGGATTTCCATCTCATTCAGCCTCAGAGAAAAAAGAATAGAAAACAGGGAACCATTACTCACCGCTTGTCCGGGTCCTCAGCCGCGACCATAATCGCTCTGCCAGAACCAAACCATCCTCAAATTGATCGACCCCCTCCCGCATGGTGAGAAATCGTTCATCTGGCTTGCGAACACGGGTGAAAGCATTTAGCAGGGTATCTGAGATGTTGTCGATTATTCCGGGTGACGGTTCAGATGGGGGATGCGCAGTATGTTGATGCATATGAACATGCTGGCTAGATTAGTTTTACTGAGTTGTACAGCACAACTCCTCTTACCCATTCTGTTGACTCGAAGAAAGCACGGACAAGGGTACTTCGTTGCAATGTTGGGTGTCGAGCTAAACGCTCCAGGAATCGGTGCAAACTGCCCGTGGTTGAGCAGTTAACAAGAAGCTGTGAAATAGTCGGCCTACTCGAGACGCCTTCGTTCCATGAACTCTGGGCTGAATCTATCGCCAGTGATATATTCTGAAAGGATTAAAGCTCTGGTATTCGGCTCGGGAGTGTCGTACCGAGTCTGTGCTTGTCTGGCAATGGCGGAACAACACAGGCAGGAAAGTCTCTGGAAAGATTGTCCCTTAGGAATACGAAATCTTGGAAACGTCTGCGGGCGGAGGGGGATTGGGTTGAGAATGTCCGGAGATTTGTCTTGGTGCTGTTAGTAGAGGAAACCTACCTGTTGCAACGACGATACTTACCTTCGCTGAGACAAGGTAGGAGACATAAGCGTCCTTCGTTTCCGCCAGTTCCTTTACTGGGTCGGAGACACTCGTTATGAGATACCCCTCCCATTTGAGATCATTAGGCCCTTCGCCACTGTCCGAAGTACTTTGACGGAAGCCAGGACCAGTGGGGACATCTCCAGAAACGGGGTGACTCGGTGGATTGGGGCTTTCCCAAGTTACGCTGTCGAAGACGTCGTCCGAGTCGTCAAACATCGAGGAGGAGAAAGGTAGGCGCGTACGTCACAATTGTTACACACTAGGCCTTGCTTCCGCAGACCATGTCTGCATTTCTGCTTCCACTCCTTCTCTTATTCTCCCACTTTCATCGCGGATACGGATATCAAGTTAAAGTCTCGGAAACAGACTCTAATGGCCACCAGACCTGCAGCGGCATGTGGGCTAACGAAAACACTTATATCAACACAACATTCTCTCCAACTTCCGAGGGACAGCTTGCCATGTTAGCTTCTGTTTATTGGCTTTCCCATACCCTCTCATTATCACGGGCAGGGTCATTTACGAGTGGAAGGATGTCCAATTTCTGGGCAAGGTTACCTCGTTATCCGACGAAGGATTGCCGGTGGGTTGTCTATCTCACTGAAACCGCATTCCTCACTTTGTGCTAGCAGAAAACATACGTTTGCACTTCAAACTCACTTGCTGCGGGCTTCTGCACCCAAGAAGAGATGGGGCGCTTCATTATTGATCTGCCAAAGGGCACCCTTTTGAACTCGACTTCATTCTGGAATGCGCGCGTGGAGCTCCCCGCAAACCGAACAGACTCGAGCCGTAGTGAACCGACGAGTAACGGTTTTTGGAATAATCCTGCTGGAAATCCAACCCCGCCGCCTGGAGGACACCCCACAGCATGGAAACGCGACTTGAATCCAAGCCCCCCAGGTCAGTATACTACTCCGTGGAAGTTCGCAAAGCCTCATCATGGCTCTAAGGAATTTTGAAGTACAACAGCACGATACATTATCTCGTCAGGAAAACGGGTTACTATTGCGTTGGTGAGTTTCCTGTACATCTTTTTACGACTTGCTCAGTTATTTTTGAGCCATGGTTCCTGTCACTGTCAAGCACAACGACGAAGATGCACATGCCAAATACCAGGCTTCGGTATTTTTCCAGAACACGTTCGCTGGGAAGTTGCCAGCAACAGATTATCCGAAAGTTAACGTGCGTTGCGTCTGCCCGTCTTTTGTCTACTTCTCTTGACCCTCAATTTCCAGTTCTATTTCGCAATGTTCTTGGTCTATAGTGTGTTTGCTCTCGCGTGGGGATGGTTGTGCTATCAACACGTCAACGAACTATTGCCTATTCAAGTGAGTGTTATGGTTTTGACTTGCAGAACATCTTCTTAAGGAGTCGCCAGTACTATCTCTCGGGCCTTGTTGGCCTTGTGGTCATTGAAATGGTTGCTAACTGGGGTTTGCTTGTCTGCATCCTATTGTCCTCACTTGGCTGAAATTTAACCAGCTTACTATCGCTATCTCAATGCCCACGGGAAAGGCACGGCATCCACTGTATTCCTCATCGTCGGTATGCAACTCATCTTCTATGAAGCTCGTTTCTGATCCTGCTTTCATAGTTGCTATTCTTGATGCTGGCCGCAATTCCATGTCATTTTTCATGCTCTTGGTTGTCTCCCTTGGTATATTATGCTTAGTGCGCTATTCTCACTCTGAACCTTTCCTTTAGGCCTCAGTGTTGTCCGCGAGTCACTTGGACGCACCATGATTAAATGTCAAGCCCTGACTGGTGCCCACTTCATATTTGGCAGTAAGCTGTTCTGTTCAAACTTTAATTTCCCCTACTGATTCGGTGCAGTCCTTTATGCCGTTGGTATAGTCGAACTTGAACTGGAATCAACATCTGCTTTCATTCTCCTCATGTTTGTCATCCCTCTGGCATTCACACTAAGCGGATTCCTACTCTGGATCCTCTACTCGTTGAATGGTACAAACTCCCAAAACTAACTACGACATGTCCACTGATCAAACACTCAGCAACCATTACCCAGCTCCGCGTTCGCAAACAACGGTACAAGCTCTCCATGTTCGAGACTCTGTACAAGATCCTTTTGTTCACCGTCCTCATTATCGCCATCTTCTTCGTTGTTTCAACCATGAGCTTTACCGGCCGTCTCGCCGAGGGTGCGTCACAGAATCTTCTCACAACCGGATACTAACTCATGGATAGATTATTCTGCAAAATCTTGGGAGTCCCGTTGGTGGTTACTGGACGGCTGGCTGGCCCTGCTCTATCTTGTTGCCTTCTCGGCCATCGCATACTTGTGGAGGCCGTCTGCCAATAACAGAAGACTGGCCATGTCCGATGAGATCGCGCAAGACGAGGAGGATGCTGAAGACTACGATCTTGAGTCGATGGGCCAGCGAGGTAGAATAGCAGACGAGGACGATGATGACACCGCCACCTTGGTCAACTCGCGTCGCGGTCCCGTGGCAGAAGACCAGGTCGTTTTCGAAATCGGAGATGAAGATGCTGGCAGTGATGACGAAGAGGAGGCCAAGAAGCGGCGTCGCAGACTGTCTGGGGAGCACGCTCGTGGTGGGGAGGACGAGAGGCGGGGTTTGATGAACGAGGGTCGAGAAGAGTGAAGGCTGATTCCACGCAAAAGCTATCTTATTTTCAGAACTAGAACGGAAATATATTGTACATCATGATTGTTCTCGTATCCGCCCCGTCGACGTTGTGAATAGTCGAGCAGCAATGTTCATGCTTTGCAGTTCCTGAAAAAAAGGCGTCAATAGGACAGTTGAGAACTTGGATGGGCGGACCTGGAAAAGTAGCTTCGCGGCATAGGGAATGTACAGTTGAGAGCAGTTTGTCTTATTACGACACGCTCGGCACTGAGTGGGGAGTCGGTCAGTCAATCAAATACGCAGAAGAATCATTCAATCCTGACCTCAAAGCTTTGCTTTTTCTGTGGCACTTATAAGTCACGTGATATATTGGAGAAGCAAGAATACATACCAGATTAGCGATAGCAGTCAAACCGCAGCTAACAAAAAGTCAGAACAAGTTAACAAGGGTAAAACAACCCACATATCACAGACATGCAGGCGATAAGCATCGCTGGCCTCGAACAACCGCTCCTTCAAGAAACCAGCGATTCCATGCGAAATCATGCAGTCGCGCTCCATCTCTCCGAAACGCAAGCCACCGTCTCGACTCCTACCCTCCACAGGCTGACGCGTCAGAATCTGGACGGGACCACGTGCTCGCGAGTGGATTTTGTCGTCCACCATGTGTTTCAACCGTTGGTAGTAAGTTGGGCCAAGATATACTTGGGCCTGGAGCTTGCGAGCCGTGTGCCCGTGGTACATGACCTCCAACCCACGCGATTGGTAGCCTTTCTGTCGAAGGAACGTCGAAACGGACTCGACGGTCAGGTCGGTGAAAGGTGTGGCATCGCCCTCGTTGCCAATGAGGGTGGCGACCTTGGAGAGCAGACATTCGACCAAGTGTCCGATTGTCATTCGAGAAGGGATAGCATGGGGATTGATAATAATATCAGGAACGATGCCCTCTGCGGTAAAGGGCATATCTTCTTGTCGATAGGTTATACCTATAGTTCCCTTTTGCCCATGTCGGGAGGCGAATTTGTCGCCGATTTGAGGGATACGCGTGGCCCTGACTCGAACCTTGACAAATTTAAGGCCGTCAGAGTTTGTCGTGATTAGAACTTGGTCAACGATGCCGCTTTCTGTGCTCTTGAGTGGTGTTGAAACATCACGACGCGTGTGGTTTCGTGTCCGCTGTCCGAGCTCCTCGCTGTCGGGTTGGATTGGCGCGGTCTTGCCAATGATGATATCTTCGCCACGGACACCAGTCCCCGGCGCAATAAATCCATCATCCTCGAGCTTGTCGTACGTGCCATGCTTCATTCGGAGAGTGTTGTCCCGGGTCGGTTTCTCAAACTCCTCTAGTTGCTGAATTCCGCTTTTCTTTTCCATGTCCATATAACTTCGGTAGTAGATACTCCGGAAAAGACCACGGTCAATTGAACTCTGGTTCATGATAACGGAATCTTCCTGATTGTACCCACTGTAACACAGAATGGCCACGATTGCGTTTTGACCTGCAGGCAGCTCTCGGAATTTGAGGTACTCCATTGACCGTGTGGTTGCGAGCGGCTTCTGAGGATAGTAAAGGATATTGGCCATGGTGTCCATTCGAATGAGAAAGTTGGTCAGGAAAATCCCCATTGCTTGTTTACCCATAGCGGATTGATACGTGTTACGAGGTGACTGGAATAACGATTAGAAATTTCGATGGATACCAAAGCAAACTCACCTGATTGTGGTCGGGGAAGGGAATAATGCTCGCACAAATGCCAAGAATCATGCTAGGATGAATCTCGCAGTGAGTCCAAGTATGTGAGTTGATCCCAGCTTTGAGGCGAGCCGCCGGGTCGATTTCCACACCAGCAAAAGGATTCACACCGCCTGATTGCATTCGAGAATGCTCCAGGTCTTCGGGGGTCATCGAAATCATTACCGTTTCCTCCTCTTCGGCATCCAGAAGTTCCACTATTCCGCCTTTCACGAGTTGTTCCCACTTGTACTCTTCCCCGTTCTCGTCTTGCTTCGCAGTAAGCCATCGGACATGCTTCTTCTGCAAAACAAGCTGCTGGTCCTCGACGATGAAAAGAGGGCGACAAACACGACCAGCATCGGTATAAAGACGAAGTTCTCGCTCTCGAACATCCCGCACAACAGAAACTTCTGGACTAATATCGTCCTTTCTGCGAAGTTTCTTGATGGTATTGACCAAGTTGGCTGGTTGACGGTGGACTCCGATCCAAACACCATTGACGAACACCTTGGTGGCAGGTGTATTGGAATGGGCGTTTTCTTCCAATGATTCCAGACCCCACTCTTCCAAAAACTCGATGACCGGCGCGGAATAGGAGCCGACAGAAATGCAAGACATAAGAGCAAGGTTTTTCACCAATCCACATGCTTGACCTTCGGGCGTCTCTGCAGGACATACCATTCCCCAATGCGTGTTATGAAGTTGTCGGGGTTTGGCAATCTTGCCTTCTCGTCCCAAAGGCGTGTTGCAACGACGAAGATGCGAAAGTGTCGAGGCATAAGTATATCGGTTCAGTACTTGTGACACCCCAGCGCTGCCGGACATCGACTTCTTCTGGTCGCCCCAATTACCGGTAGCTAGCGAGTATTTAAGACCATTGGTGATCGTTTGGTGTTTAACCGCCAACGAAAGATGGAATTCTTTGTGAGTTTCAACACACTAAATTGGTGAGTGAGATGTAAAAAGTGAGGGCAAGAAAGTTCACCTTCTGTAGATACCGATAAACGTCTTTGGTTAGTTTTCTGAACAGAATTCGGAATAATTTCGCAAGCAGAGGACCAGCCAGATCGAGACGTTTCTTGCCAAAGTGATCACGGTCGTCGAGCTCGCGGCGTTCAAGCGCAGCAAGCAGTAAACGATGGATCATATAGCCGAAAAAGTAAGCCTTGTTAGATTCTGAGCCTTCCGCCATGGAAACGTGGGGTAGCATCTCCTTCTGGAGGATCTCCTGGGCATATCGTATCCGACGCTCGCGGGAAAGACCAGTTGTTGTGCCACGATTTCCAATGAAGTCAAGAGCAATTTCTCGGTCTTGAATGACGAAACCATCGTCGATACAAGGCTTGAGCATTTCGAGCATTTGGGAGTCGTTCATGTCATAACATATGTGTTCAAGAATATCGCGGTCCGAAATAACACCTAGTCCGCGAAACACAACCCAGATGGGAATATCAACCTTGATGTAAGGAATGGTTGCCTTGATGACATTTCCCAACTAGAACACTATCAAGAGGAGTGAAAAAAACTAGAGGGTGTGGACGCACTGAACGCTCTTGGTTTCGATGGAACATTTTAACCTGGAACTGACTGATCGTCTTTCCCCCTTTCTCCACAGCACTCCGAATTTCCGCTAAAAAGTTGATGGGAGAAGGTTGGGCTTTGGCGAACACATAGACATGATTGGTGGCCATTCTTTCCTGCGCAATCAAGACTTTTTCGGAGCCGTTGATAATGAAATAGCCTCCAGAATCATAAGGGCATTCGTTCAAGTCGTATAGATCTTGGTCGCTCAAGTCTCGCAGAATACAAAACGATGACCGAAGCATGATGGGAACCTGACTGTGAATGAAGTCGTGTTTCCTACAAAACAAATCGCGTACCTTGCCTATCCAGACCTTGGCAGTGCTTTCGTCGCCACCCTCCTCTTTCTCTTCTCTCCATTGAATGTCTCCCGGGGCGCCTAGAGGATCCTCCTGCCCGGTCAGGACCCGTTTCGTCATTTCGACATAGAGCGGGGCAGAGTAAGTCAAGTTACGCAGCCGAGCCTCTTGGGGGAAAACAGGTACAACAGTGTTGTCTGATTCGGTGACCGTTGGGCGGGAGAGATACACTTGGCCAAACTTGATCTCGTAGCGCCGAGTCATGTCCGAGTCGTGCCCGGAATGCTGGTCCGCCTGGTCAAGAATGAGGTCTGAGTTCTCGTCGACAAGCTCTTGCATTGTATTTTGCACGAACTCATCGAATGAGTCAAGCTGCTGGCGGACAAGTCCTTTTTGGTCGAAGAAACTCGAAATAACGGCCCAACAGTCTTCCTGCGTTATTTCCTCAACCTCGTCCTCCTCCTCATCTTCTTCAGCATACTGTTGGTCATAGGAGTATGGGTCTTGGTCCTCATAGGCTGATAGTGTTCAGAGTAACGTGTGTTTGTTTGATTAATAATAATACCTTGGCTCATTCTACCAACTCAGCTCACACCAAACGCGCCAGAAAGAGTTTTCAAGGTATCCCGGGACTTTTTAAACACGAATGATTGGTAGCTGGTAGTTGCTGAACGCGTCGCCCAGCCCAGCGATGATGAGCAAACGCAAGGCACACTTGTCACGCAAATGTGTGTCACACTATTGTTTTCCGTCCGTCCAGGTCCGTCCCATGTCAGGGTGGTCCTTCAACCTCAGGACAACGGGCTATGACTCTGAATCTGACGATGACACCGAGCAACAGGCCTTGCCTTCGGACGATACGAAACTACTACAAGACATCGATCTATCACTCCGGGAGGAGACTGTTGTCTACAAGGCCAATCCATTCACGATCGCAAAACAGAATGCTGCTTGCAGGACCAACCAACAAAGTGTTGCTGCTACACAAAAACCTTCACCGCAGAACAAGCCGCCTCCGAAGAAGTCTACAGGAAGAATCGTCGACTTATTCAATGCTCAGAAGCCAGCCGTCGCCCAGAAAAAAACGAAGGCGGCGTCATCTATTCACCACAACCCGCCTATTATTCCTCAATCAAATGTTCTTCCTACACCATCCTTACAGCTTCAACTTATGAACTCTGACTCTGATAACGTCCTCGCTAACCCGACTCCACACTCCTCTGCTGCGCAGCTACCTCCCATCCAAGCTACAGCAGTCATTGATATGTCCCCTAAATCCATTCCCACCCGTGCATCACATCATCCAATGCCAGAAAACTCACAACTTCATCTCAACTCTACTATAAGCCTGACTTCATCGCATGCTCCCAACAGCCAGAGAATTCCTGATGTATCTTCATCAACTACCTCTCAACCACAGTCCGTTGTCAACAGGCGGCCGATGCTTGTCCCTAAACATATTCCGATATACCGCAAGCGAAATGAACAGCAAGTCTTATCCTCTCCGCCTAGAGTTTTTGCTCGAGTACCTCATGATCAGGACGCTTCATCTTTTTCTTCCCCAACGTTGGTCGACACTTTTCTCAGTCGAATGCCAAAATCATCGTCAAAGATTCCTTCTCGAACGCCACATTTTCCTCGTCGTAAGCGCTCAACGATCGCCTCTCATTCTGTTAATTGCCTCCAGTTCGTCAGCAGTCAGCGCTTTCGTCTCCATTTCTCCAACGTCGCTCTTCCCCTCGATCGCCACCGCCTGTTGTTCCCGCTGTTAAATCCCAGCCAGTTTCAGTTTTCGAGTACCCTTCAAATTTCGTTGACCGCAATCCCACTGCTCATCTGCCAGCATACCATCCTTCAGAACATACCCATGGCCTTGCTTTTCCCAGCTCATCGCCTGTCTCATCCCCCATGTCGTCTCGTCCGCGTAGGATCATTCCACCCAAACCGCCGCAAAAGAGCAAAGATGCCTATGAATTCCTCCCGATAGACCCCGACGAGGAGTGGTCGACCCTACCGCAAACGAAAAAGAAGACCACAAAATTCGCGATACCGGATATTCAAACTACCAAACCATTCCGACTGCCTTTGGTGGTACCTGGCAAGGGTAGAACGACAGGAATGAGTGCTGATTCGAACAAACGTGTTATCACTTACCTCCCTCCTCCGCCCATCAATTCAGGCAAAGTCGAAGTTGTTGTTGTTGAAAATGTTCCTCATCATACCCCACATGGAGACCAGAAACGCAAACGAGCTGTCGTTGAATCGCCGGCCCAGAAACGTCCTCGCATGGATCACAACTCCTCTCCCGCAACGTCCTCTCCCTCGTTACTTTTTTCGTCCGCCAGATCTGATGAACCATTTTCTTCGCCTCCCACTTCCGACTTAGCAGTTGATGTTGACGCCATTCCGCGTCGCTATGCTCTTGTCAGAGCTCACATGAACCATGTGTGTAAATTTTATTACACATGCCATCTCCGCTCACCAATTTCAGTAGCATCGTAATTGTTCAGAAGCTATATGGAGACTGTTGGACCTTCCCAGTTGCGGTCGAGTATATGAGGACGCAGATGAGCGTAATAAAGAATTGCCCGTGTTTATTTGGCCATGAATGTAGCTTTGTTACAAATCCAGATTGGCTCCAAGCAGAAGATCCATCTTTTGTTCAGCAGTGGAGGCATAGTAGCCCTGAAATGTTGGTGAGTAATTTTGGGGTATCGAAGCTATCAAACCAAGTACCCCAAAGAGCAATGTATGGTTGAGATAGTGGAAGAGCTCATAAAGATGTGCGCGAAGCTCGTATTGTGCCACAGGCTCGGTCTTGGGTAGGTGTCGATGATAAGTTTCGAAAAAGCCCTTGGAAGACCCGCCGAAGATTCGAGCTATAGCAAGGCTGAGGCGATTGAACACGATTGGTGAGAGTCTACAGGTCATACCTACTCAGCTTCATTGTGGCCGTAGTAAGACGCCGGATCAAAGATAACAGGATCTCCAGTAGACGTTTCGCCCACGTTACCACTCCACAAGTCGCCGTGCAGAAGGACCGGAGAAACTTCCAGTGGGCCTGTAGGATGCCGAGTTCACAAGACGATTTCCTGCAGACGCCGAATCATACCGAGCAACTGAGGAATCACTCTATGACGTCATTCAGATGTCGAGCACGGATCACAGCTTGGGAATTCACTCGGAACAGACCTCTTCGCCTTTGCGCACCAATCGCGCGTAGTTCGCGCCTTTCTGGCTCAATTGGGAAAGCAGATCCCGCGTTTGTGCAGCAAAACACGCCTGCCACGATTCGAACCACCCGTTTTGGAGCCGTGTTCTCCCGCAATATGTCGGCACTGCGAATCCAAAGCCGTTTTCGCTCTTGTGCGCGTGTAATTCGAGGGCGAGGCGCTGAGCAAGCTTCCGTGAAGCCGCCCCCTTGAGTGAGGTGAATTCGAGGTAGTCAGCAATGAAGAAGTGCCGTCCATCGCCGGTAGAACCACTCGACAGCAAATGAGGTGCTAGGTTTGGGGCTGCGATAGCGATATGTTTGAGCGACTCTGCTTCACCAATGAATTGTTCAGTCTCTGCCTCTGATGCCGAGAACTTTGCATAGTACACTCGTCCCGAAGACGAGGTGATGCGCGGAAGAGACTCTGTGAAATCAGCACCCGGTTCGAGTTTTAGCAGGTGGTCGCGAAAGAGTGACATGGCGGCTGCTTTCAAAGCAACTGTCGGTCCGATCCGGCATGCTTATAAAAGGGGGTTGCTCATCCTCTTCCCATATCGCATCTCATGGCTCACATTAACCTCCCCGTACCCAACGCACGCGAATACTACCCTCTTAACAACCCGAATATCGGTGTTGTCGAGGTGAGCATCTCACCCAGTCATCGATTCCAAATTGACGCAGCCTCAGGGTGGGACTCCCCCGGCTTTGTTTGAGCCACTCACGATACGAGGAGTAGAAATTAAGAATAGGATATGGGTGGTGAGTATACTCTATCTATTTGACGCGTCAACTGATTGCACGCCAGGCTCCGATGTGCCAGTACAGTTCCTCCAACGGCCACGCTACCGATTGGCATCTTGTGCACATCGGAAATCTTGCAACCCGTGGTGTTGGATTGATCTGCTTGGAGGCCACCGCTGTCGTACCGGAAGGACGCATTTCTCCCGAGGACGCCGGACTATGGACAGACAGTCAAATCGAGCCTCTCAAACGCATCGTCGAGTTCGCTCATGGCCAGGGAACGACAATTGGCATCCAACTCGCCCACGCGGGACGAAAAGCATCAACTTATGCTCCTTGGCTCAAGGACAAAATGGGTCATGGAACGTCGTGGACAGCGCAAGAGGACGAGAATGGTTGGCCCAATAACAGTGAGTACTTGAGTTTGGCTTGGTAGCTGTTTTATTCAGTGCTTTTACAGCATATGCACCCAGCGAGATCTCCTTCAACGACGCGACCTATCCCCACCCGAAAGCAGTCACCGAGGAAGACATGAAGTACATCGAAGACGCGTTTGTGGCCGCGGTAGAACGTTGCAAAAAAGTTGGCTGTGAGTTATAATCCCGTTGCCTGCCACTTTGACTGAGCATTCAATAGTCGACTTTATTGAGATTCATGCCGCCCACGGCTATTTATTGCACGAGTTCCTCTCTCCCCTCTCCAACTTGCGAACGGATGATTATGGAGGATCGCTTGAAAACAGAACACGTTTTCCGACACGGGTTGTCCAGCGCGCCCGCGAAGCTTGGGGCAACAAGCCTTTCTTCGTCCGAATCAGCGCGACCGACTGGGCTGAGGGCCCAGAGAAAGGGGAGGACAGTAAGTGGTTGCAGTGGGGAATAGAGCAGAGCATATATTGGGTGGGCGAACTGAAGCGGCTAGGGGTCGACCTTGTGGATGTGTCGTCCGGAGGGAACTGGTTCAAGCAGAAGATTGCAGTGAAGCATGGCTACCAGGTGGATTTTGCTGAAGCGGCCAAGAAAGCACATCCCGACATCCTCATTGGAACCGTCGGTATGATAACAGACCCAATCCAGGCCAACGCGTATGTGAAAGAAGGCAAAGCTGACGTCGTGTCGCTGGCAAGGGAGCTATTGCGAAACCCGCACTGGCCGTTGTATGCTGCAAAGGCGCTTGGAGCAAAAGTGAAAGCCGCCAACCAGTTTGAGCGAGCTTGGCTGTAGACGACGTTGACGGTACCAAGTCAACAGTATCTAGAGTGTTCTTATGATGCAATATGTTGATCTCCGAACAGTTATCAATGATCGCCCATGCGGCATACCGACAAAGAGTGAATGACTCAGCTGTTCAAGCCTCAAAGGGGCTTCGATTGTGAAGGACTGAATGCACAAGTACTGGTATGTCAACAGCGCTTTCGACAGCGATCCGGTGGAAGTGCGCGGCGTTCCGTAGCCCTTGACCGTGTTGACGAAGTTGGTGTTATGTGAATTTCTTACACATTCAAGCTTCAGTACACGCGGTTTCCTGAATGGATCCAAATTGAAGGTAGCTCGGCGCTCGACGTTCTCAGGTGGCGCCAGCAGTCAGCATAGTCTTCAACGCGCCGATACATTGTTGCACCACTGACCATACCTAGCACAATTATGGTTTTTCTTGTTGCCTTGAATCCCTTGATTATCGCACTCCTGCAGGCCGCACACACTGTGACACAGCGGATCAATCTCAACGGCTAATGGACTTTTTGGGATGCACGTAAGCAGGAGACTTTATCAGCGGCGTAAGCAGCGTGACGAGAATGTAGATTCCGTTTATAAAAACCATCGGCGCGCATCCCAAGCATACCACCAACCACCACACTCTGTCGCGTTTCCCAACTCTCCATCCACTAAATGGCATCCAAGAAGAACATTGTCGTCGTCGGAGGGGGGTCTGGTGGCAGCCTTGTAGCCAAAACCCGTGATTTTCTTCGTGTTCGTCGACTTTCATGCACGTACTCATTGCGCCGTTTATCCAGTCGCCGGAAAAATTCCCTCTGCCCAAGTTACACTCATTAATCCGGTGGACTACCTCGTCTCCCGCCCCACACTCCCTCGCATGACTGTTTCTGACCAAAACGACCTGTTGGAGACTGCTCTCGTGCCATTTGACAAGCTATTCACCACCCCAAACGGCAAATTTGTCAAAGGCCTCGTAGAAACTATCCAGGTAGGGAGAAGCCGTCCACCTTATAACTCACAATCCATAACATATTCTATAGGCCAACGAGAAAGGCGGCAATGTGGTCCTCACAGACGGACAGCAAATTGCCTATGACTTCCTCGTTCTGGCTCCTGGCTCGATATGGGAAGGACCCTTAGACATTCCTGAAGATGCTGCTGGTGCTAAAGCGTTTGTGGCCCAGCAACGCGCTGCGTTCAGCAAAGCTTCCAAAATTGTTCTCGTAGGGGGTGGCGCAGTCGGTATCGGTAAGTGCAAAAAAAAATTGGACCAAGCATTCCCTAATCTCTTCTTCAGAATTTGCCGGCGAAATTAAAGATATCTGGCCGGTTGGTATCTGACTATCTATGCCGCCCGAAAGCTGACATTTCTGCAGACGAAAGAAGTCACGATCGTGCACGGTGAAAAGGGCCTGCTCAACTCGACGTATACAGCAAGCTTCCGCAATGGAATGGAAAAGGGGCTGCACGCTCGTGGCATCAACATTATCCTTGACGACTTCGTCGACGACATACCCACCGATGGATCTCCAGTGAAGACGCGCAAGGGTCACAGTATCGAGGCAGACCTGGTGGTGCGTTCTTGTGTTCTTTAAGACTGCAGACACCTCATTTTCTCCTCTTAAGGTTTCAACCCGGGGACCCCGGCCGAGAACTGCGTTCATTGCCCAATCGTTGGGTGAAGATGTCCTTGACAAACGCGGTCAAATCAAAGTCCAACCCACTCTCCAGCTCATCGGCCATTCCAACATTTTCGCGCTGGGTGACGCCATTGACTACGTCGAGCAAAAGCAGGTCATGAAGGCCATGGCTCATTCCGGTATCGTCACCGCCAACATCGTTGCCTTGGCTTCAGGAAGCACAAAATTAAAGCCGTACAAGGGCTCGACGGAGATGATCATTGTCACCAATGGCAAGAATGGCGGGCGCGCTTACATTGGGATGTTGTGGGGCATTGTACTCGGTTCGTGAGACTGCTCGACGTTTGCGCACATTCTGAATTTTTTTTCAAGGTGACTGGTTTGCGCGTATGATCAAGTCGAAGACACTCCTTGTGCCCATGACGCGGGGAAACATGGGATACTAGACGAGTTTCGGACGTTGTAATCTAGCACTTTCGGTTTCAAGTTGGGCCCTATACATAGTACTTCTATTAGAATTATTCAATTAATCGATGGCTGTTTTCGTACAATATGTGGTACAAGTCCAGAATCTAAATGCTCAGTGTGAGCCTGTAACGGGCGTCAGTCATGCCTGGGTCGGACAAATATTGCGCGAACTCACCAGCCATATTTTACTGACTCGTCTACGTTCATTATGGACGATGATATCAACTGACGCGCCTCCAGCCATACCCACATCTGGAGCTCACGTCAGAAAAGGTTGTGTACCAAGAAAGAAAAAGAAAAACGCGCCTTCAACATCGCCCCAAGATTGCCAGATTGTTTTTCTGATTGTATCGTAGCGGAAGCCGCCATCTGCCCGCCCAATTGTCGCAATATGGGCAGCGCACTCTTGAACAAGTCCAGTCCGGGATCCAGTCTCCGGCCGATGCCCTCGAGAAGCAAAATGCTGATGACCGTATTGATGAAGTCACCCTCCATCTTGACATGATGCTCGCGCACGCTCCTCAAGACTTCAGTCAAGATGTCGGATATTTTGACCTGGCCCAGCGAAAATGTCTTGCGTTTGACGCCCAAAACCAAGTGCTGCATCTTGAGCGCGAAGGTCTCGGTCTCGATTGCGAGCTCTGGGGTGCGGCATCTTTCTACCATAAGTTGGCCGGTGCGGTACCCATCGAACTCTGCCAGGGCCCGGAAGAGGTCGAGGAAGTTCTTGCGATTGACTTCGGAGAGTGTGGTTACCAGTCCTGCATCTATGAAGACAATCTCAGGGACATATCCTTCGGCGCCGAGAGCATTGAGTTTGGTGCGCCAGCCGACAGGATTGTTGACAAGTTTGCGTAACTCTGACACGATTTGATCCGACTCGGAGGATGTCGGGAAGGGATCTGTAGAAGTTGGCTGGTTGCGATTCAGCAGCGAGTTGAATATGTTGCTGAGGAGCATGCGCGTGGTGGGTGGCTTGCTAAACTTGAGCATGATATTTCCAGGATGAAGATCTGAGTGAACGAAATTATCCAGTAAAAGCATATTCTGAGTGTTATTAAGACGAGTTCCGATGCAGGAAAGCGAACAAATACCAGGAAAGCATCAAGTCCTACTGTGGCCACCTGATCCTCAAAGGGTCCACCACCATTTTTGAGGAATGCTTCGAGAGGTAATGCATTCTCAAATTCTTCCACAAGCACCTCACTCGTCGACCACGACGTTAACGGTCGCGGGAACGTGACAGGGACTTTCCTGGATGCGAAATTTGTCTCGAAACCGAGCAGATTCTCCGCCTCATGCCGCAAATCAAGCTGCTGGAACATCATCTTGCCAAACACATCCACTTCTTCTGGTAGGGAAAGCCACTGCATACCGGGGAAGAGAGTGATGAAGTGGGCGAAGAAGGACATGATCGAGAGGTCTCTCGAAATCGTTTTGTTGACTCGGGGATGGAGGACTTTGATTGCAACTGAGGCTGTTGGCACTGACGGTGGAGGGTCTTGCAAAATCACGGGGGCGAGGGGCACCAGTGGGACCTCTGACAAGTCGACGCGGTCCAAGAAATGAGGGCGGAATTAGGTCTTGCTTAAGAGTTGCGCGATATACTTGGGCTATAGCCCCAGTTCCAATAGGTTCTTCGTCAAACTCTTCAAAGACATCTTCAAATCGCCGTTGAAAGGCTTGCTCAATCTGTTTGCGCGTATGTTCCATCGAGTGGGATTTGCCCTTCGAATGCAGCCTGCCAAGGCGATCACAAAGGAGAGACGGAAACAAATCCGCTCTTGAACCGGCCCATTGCGCAAGCTAGGAACCGTGTTGGCGACGCAGAAAAACAGTGCAACGAAAGGGCTTACCTTGGTGAATGCGGGTCCAGCAGTCTCCATCTTGCCAACCAAATAATCATACCACCATACAGCTCCCCAGCGATCTCCTCGATATCTTTTCTCCGGTTTTCCAATGAGAAGCATCGGACTGGTTACAATAACGGGAACGAATAACGCAAAAAGATAAATGAAACGCGTTGCGGTGAGGATTGGCTCCCATATTCTGTCGTGAAAAAACGCTCGTATTCGAGCGCTAATTGTTAGTTCTTCCTCAAAGGGCGATTCGATGATGAGTTGTGGCCGTGTCTGGCAAGGAATGATGGAGGGAGACGAGATGATAGAGGGCAGGACGGGCTTCTGCTGGGGTCTATAGTATAGAACAAGTCCTGCGCCGACGGGAAGCAGCCACAGTGTTCTCCGCCACCGAAAACGGTTGATGGGATTTGGTGTGAAGAAGTTGGATGCATGTCGGAGTGGATTGGGAGGTCGTACAAGTCGTGAAGAGGGAGAGAGGAGGGGACGATGCAGGGCGGAGAACCTGCAGAGCATCAGAGCATGACGTCTTGGAAAGAAAAACTTCGGCTGCCATCAAAACCAAAAGTGAAGTTATCTTTCCTTTCGCCTTCATGGCGAGCATGGGTCCTTCCACTGGACCCTTTGCGTTTGTAACCCTCTTGACCTCCGAAGCCTACCTTCCTGGCGCTTTAACACTCGCTGGCGCCCTTAGAGACCTCCATCCTTCACCCGCTGTTTCCCCCGAAGTCGATTTCCAAACAGTCTGCCTCGTAACGCCCGAGTCTGTCGACGTGTCAGCAATCAAACTGCTCCGTAGGGCATTCGACGTAGTCGTCGGCGTGGAAATAATTGGCCAAGAGGACGAGAAGGGCTTGAAATTACTCGGTAAGTTTTTTGCAACGACGCGTATTCTCTGCGCATATCGCGCTTATCTCCCGCGCCACTACTCCACTCCAGACCCGACCCGGTCTTACGCGTGGCTGGTCACTTTACATGCCACATGACTTGCGCTCCACTAACTTGCTTTAGGTCGTCTCGATTTGAACACTGTCCTTACAAAGCTACATGTCTTCCGGCTCACTCAGTACTCCAAAATCATCTTCCTCGATGCAGATGTCCTTCCCGTTCGGCCGCTCTCCCACCTCTTCACGCTTCCCTACGAATTTTCCGCGGTTCCAGACGTTGGCTGGCCCGATATCTTCAATTCTGGTGTGCTCGTTCTTTCCCCTGGCGAGGAAAAGTTCAACGACCTGAACGATTTGCTCAAAAGCAAGGGAACATGGGACGGCGGCGACCAGGGCATACTAAACGAATGGCGTGGCGGCGATTGGCATAGACTCAGCTTCACCTACAACACAACACCGACCGCCGCTTACACGTCAGTTTCTTTCTCGCGTTTTTCATTTCTTGCTGACAGCGCTTCACGTTAGTTACGCACCGGCATATGAACGATTTGGTTCTCAGATATCTGCCATTCATTTTATCGGGCCCAACAAGCCATGGAAATCCTTACCTTTCCGCCAACCCTTCCAGAATACGACAAGCCAGAGCGACTCTGGTCCGCTCCAAGCTTATGACTACACCACACTCGTTGACCGATGGTTTGCCGTCTACGATAAACACTGCCGCACGGGTTCTGCCAGCTCCCAGGCTGACTTCGAGGTCAAGCGTTACGTCTCGGCATGGGACGAGCAGATTGGCACCGGCTCTGAGCTGATTTCTGGAAGTATTGCGAGCGGGACGGCCCTGGGATTGGAAGACCTCAAAAAGATGGCGATACATGGCATATCAGCAACTCCGCCGACACGTCCACAGTCTTCTGTGGACGGCGATTACATCGCATTACCTTTAGAGGGCCGAATTGACTTGATGCGGCCGCAAAAGCAGCGACCACCCCAAAGTCCTGACTCGGTTGAGTCAAACGATACGCCAACCCCCCGTGCGAGATCCCCTCCACGCTTCGAAACCTTGCCTACACCAGGACCAGACGAAATACCACCGAGTCCACGAATACCCACCATCTCTTTACCGCCTACTCCATCTCCATCATTTTTTGTGCCCAGACAAGACGATCCGAGTCAACCCACATTCGTTCAACATCAGCCATCTTCGCCTGCTCAGGCACTGCAGCAGCAGCTCCAAAACAATTTACAGGGACAACCACAACATTCGCAGGAGCAACCGCGTCCCCAGACAGACCAGCACCTACAACACAATGGCCAGCAACAGCAACAGCAACAACAACAATACCAAGAAGCACATCACCACCAAGAACACCAACAGCAACGTAGACAGGAACCTCCGAGACCACCATCACCGCCAATGATGTTATGGAATCCTGCAAGTGAGCCACCGCCAACAACGCAACCACCTTCATCCGCATTCCCAACTGACACGTATTTTCCAAACGTTTGGGACCAGCCGAGTCATCAAGGCTACAAACAAGGACCCCGACCCGCCTCGCCTCCGCCACCTTCAAATATATTCTTCCAAGCACCTCCGCCAAGCGAGATCCCAGAATCTCTGTTGCGCCAAGGCCACTACGAGCAAGTTATCGGACACGCTAGTCCATCGAGCGAGGGCCACAAGCTGAGCAATACGGGCCCAGATAGAAGCAAGGTCAAAAGTATCTTTCCTTGGGAAGAGAAGCCACGGCAGATGCCTGGACGAGTATTCCCAGTGGAGGACGCACCGTCTCCATCTGAGTTTATTCAGGCCAATCCTAGCACGCCAGAGCCGGTGGTGACACCGCGCCAACAGCTGCTGTCGCCGTTGGGGGGATTACCTGTAACGCTGGCGTATGCTAACGCATGGGATACAGTGCCGAGCATCCAAAGATATGCTTCACGATTAGTCAGGCCGCACGCATCACCCGTGGCGCTGATGCCATCATTTGACGACGAGCGATATCGACGGGGCCGTCGGAGCCGAGACGAGCGGACTGAGGAGAGCAGCATGGATGGAGACGATGAAGACGACGGCGACGATGAGTCTCACAGTGGCGTGAGTGAAAGCGACCGCGAAACGACCGCGACATCAGCGACAGGCGGGTCGTCGATATCAGGGACGTATAGTTATAAGAGGAAGAAAAAGGAGTATACCGTACGTGGAGTTCAAACTGTCTCTCCGGAGTATCGGAGCCAGGGAACTCAAGTGACCTCTCAACCTCCCAAGGTTCCGAGCACAACAATTCCGACGTCACGTGAGCGCCGATTGTCGCGTCTGAGCCAGGACGGAAGGCGGGCTGGGACCTCTTCGCCGGTCGCTGTGCGCTCTTCCGGTCTGGACTTGTCGCCAATGACCGCGTCTCCAACGTCGATGGTGCCACCACCGTTAACCTCGCCGCGCGAATTCGCATCGATAACACCGCCCACGTTTATACGACCGAGCGCATCACCGATTCAAAACCAGAGTGTTAGCTCCAACTCGACGCAAGACTCGTCGCTTGCCTCCCCGCCGTCGTCTACCGGGCCGGTGTCACCGCCAGACGGGGTGGGTGCGGGGCTGCCGGCCCGGAAGGGAAGCCGGGTGTGGGATCCAGCGCGGGGGGTGGAATTGTTCAAGCGCGGGTCGGAGGAGGTGCTGGCACGCTTCTTGAAGATGGGGTCATGGGAGGAGGGGCAGCAACAATAGACGGACAATTGTTTCTTTTCTTTTTTTGCGTTTGTTAGACCAGAAAACCACTTCAAGTTGAACTGGAGAAATGACTTGTGTGGGCCAACAACCATGCTCAGGACCGGGGTCATAACTAAAGTCACTTGATCAGGTGAACAACTTGCTTCAGGTGAAATCGCTCATATTGTCCTCGGCCACAAATATTGACAGACGCTGCGTGCAGACTAGGAATTGGAGAAGCTGAACGACAGGCCAGAAGCAGGTTGTCAGCCTTACTGAATGAGTTTCGATTTCACCACCGCCCTTGGGCGCCGCTCGACTTGATATTTTGGGATGGTGTAGAGCTTATATATCCGTCAGCCAGAGTGAAGTTGCGTAGAGGACACACATGAACGCCCTTCGTGGCAAATAAACATGTTCATTCGAGTCTTCGAATCTTAGAAACTTGAAGTTGACTTTGGAGACAATAGTTGACCGGTAACCGTCGTCTGACTAGGCAGTGCTGAGATTTTGAGATTGAGTAGAGAAAGGAGTGGTTCAAGAAGGTGGGTGGTCTGGTGAGACCGTCGGGATTGGCAGTGAGCACATGACATCACACTCCGTCACACTCAGAGATTTTTCTTCCTTCGCCCCCATCTCTGCTCTCCCATTCCTGGCCCCAGCGCCATCGCCTTCGTCACCTACTAGTTTCTTTTGTTCCTTTCTACACTCTAGTTTGGCGAGCCTGGGGCCTCTTGCAGCTGTAGGCGCGACTCTCTCACCCACCGGCTCTTTGTGGGTTTTGGCTCTCCGCTCTTGGTAGCCACCTCTGCCCGTTCCACTTGCAACCCTCTCCGACACTAGAGGTATGTGAAGCTTGTGGCGCGGGCTCCACCTCCTTCCCCCCTTCCTTTTCCCGACTCTTTGGCGACCATCAATGTGTCGATCGATTGCGAACACTGGCCATTGGCTCTCATGTGTAGCGGCCAACACTTTGTCTTCCTTGGAGGGCCTCTGGCGTCCGTGCAAGTACCTCCCCCCGCCTTTGGGCTGGTCGCTTGCACTCGGTTCATGTTGGCTACCGAGGCCCTCCCTCTTGTAGGAGCACTGCGGGGCCCATAGTATAGCCCTCCCGCCAATTTACTCAGATCTAGTATCCGCCCCATCTGGACAGCGAGCGAGGCCAATCCTGGGTGGTCTGGTGAGACCGTCGGGATTGGCAGTGAGCACATGACATCACACTCCGTCACACTCAGAGATTTTTCTTCCTTCGCCCCCATCTCTGCTCTCCCATTCCTGGCCCCAGCGCCATCGCCTTCGTCACCTACTAGTTTCTTTTGTCCCGCCCACCATCCCCAGCTTACTACCCTTTTTGCGTGCTTGTGTTAGTTAGGATTAGTTAGTCTTAGCTACATGGTCGGCTACCGAGGCCCTCCCTCTTGTAGGAGCACTGCGGGGCCCATAGTATAGCCCTCCCGCCAATTTACTCAGATCTAGTATCCGCCCCATCTGGACAGCGAGCGAGGCCAATCCTGGTGGCATGCTGCAAGCAATGCAAACATGTGTGTGTTTGCAACAGCAATGGCGAAACAAGATGCTTCAATTAAGCACCTGCACTTCTTCGCCGACAACACATCAGCCATCAAAACAATCTTTGACCCCAAACCACGACCTGGGCAGCTGGTCGCCCACCGCTTCCACACGATGGTGACGGAGTTCCTCGACAACGATGTAGATCGGACAGTGGAGATCGCGTGGTCACCGGGCCACGAAGATATTAAGGGCAACGAGAGGGAGGACGAGCTGGCCAAAGGAGGCACGGAACTCGGCACAGAGTTACGGGGGACCAGGGCCAACGCCATCCGACGGTCAAAGGCGAAGCTACAAAGAGACTGGCGCAGTGAGTGGAAACAGAACAGGAAGGTTGAGGGCGGATTCGCGCTCGCTGACAGGATTAGGCCGGCACTGAAGCCAACAAAACACTTCAAGGCGCTCGCTAAAAAGCGGGAGGTTTTCGGGCGACTAGTGCAATGCCGTACGGGACACGGATACATAGGCGAGTACTACAGCCGCTTCGTCCCAGATGAGAGCGTTCACTGCCCTTGTGGGGCAGAGTTTCAGACGCGCACACACATCTTGCGCGAATGCCCGCGCTACAACCAACATCGACATCATCTAAAGAAGGCATCAAGAGACATAGCGATGACCGAAATCCTCGGCACACCTTCGGGAATAGCAGCCCTGTCCAAATTCCTCGAGGAATCCGGGGCATTCACGAAGACCGGAAGACCACGCGAAGAAACGACCCTTCCCACGCTGGAAGACGAGCCGGAGGCGGAATTGTCTGACGATGAAGATGATGCGGGCGGCATCGAGGATCATGGTTAGACGGATGGAAGGTAGACCTGAAGACGACCAAGAGCGGCGGGAGAGCCCTCTTACACGAAAACTTCACTGCCAACCCGCCCAATTATGGCCCCCTATGACCCCATGCTTTATGCTCGCCAAAACGACTCACGGGACGTCAGCGAACCAGACGCTGCTCAACCAATCACACGGAAACCCATACATCAACCCCCACAAAACAGTAAATGACACCCAACCCACCCCGGCCCTTGCTCTCCGAGCACCGCGCCTTAGTAGCACACGCATACTTGTACGCGGTATATAAATGTGATTCAAAAAAAAAAAAAAAAAAAATGCAAACATGTGGTCGACTTTAGTTCGATCGAACTTGTTTCTCGCAATCACCCCCAAACCTCTTCTCAAAAGTTGTTCTTCGTGCCACAAGACAAGAGCCTCAGGCTTCCTACACAGCCAATGGCACCAAATTAAGGCGAAGATTTCCCCCAAGGTTTGTGCTGATTTTTTGCGATGCATCCCCCCGTTATTGAGCCAGCTCTAAGTTTGGTGTCTTGCCAAGAGCCACAGCACAAGGCCAGGGCTCTTCTCCTTCATGGCCGCAAATATTCAAGTCATGCAAGACATTCTTTTGCGAACTCAAGGGCAATTTGGCACTGTTGGGACCGCAACTTTGATTGGTCGGCGACCAGCTCATGGCCCTCATTTGTCGGAAATCTGTGTCGTCAAATTGGATAGAGACTCGGAGCTGAGCGTTGCCAGAGGATTTGAGCTTTGGATTTGGTGTGTTCATTCTTTCACTGAGGTTTTCGGTTCTCATATTCATAGCTTGGTGCCGGCAAACCGAATTCAGAAGGCCAGGAGGGAGCTATGGCTCGTTTTACACCGTGCTAAGGTTTTACCGGCGGTCGAGTTGCAGTGGGCGGAATTTGAAGCGAACCAGTCAGCAAAGAGGTTGGACATTTGTCGGCAGCAAAAGTCGTCGGCAGTTTGTCGATTCACGCAATCCCGGCGGTATTTCTGGCCTTCAAGAGCATGAATTCAAGCAACCTCCAGCTGTTCTTGGATTAAGCTTCGTGACAAAGCATCACGCGACTGTCACGCGACTTGTTACGCAAATTGCCGAAGATGGTACTGGTGGCTTCAGGATTGGGGAGACTGGCTAGGAACATCAAGGTCCAGAACTACACGCAAGCGGCAAGCAAGCTGCAAGATGTGGTATTGAGAAAGAAGCTTGCTCCCTGTGACGGCAAAACGATCGCAATTCCCATAGCGAGTCATTGGATCTCGGACAGATCTTGGGTTTTCGTTATTTTCGCTTTCACATTGGTGCAGCAAGCGTCGAGCCTGCAATTTTATCTTGACAGCAAGTACCCATCTTTGCAGGCATTCCTAACATGGTTTGCGTTTGGTGGTCGCCGAAAATCTGACCTAGAAGTGCTTCGGTCCTTTTGCAGGGTCGGTATTCGTCAAGAAGCAAGAAATTGTATGCCTGTTTAAGGAATTAACACGCAGATGGTGCTTCTGTGTCGACATGACCCCTTGCAAAGCTTGAACCCGTTGTATTCACTGCCCCATTGGTCCAAGGGGGTCAAGGTGTTGACATTAAGCTTTCGCCACTGCCGACTCGGACTCTCCCTTATCCTTTACATACCATGACGGCCATTTCCTGCCCCTTCAAACCTACCCCACCTCGCTCCTGAAACGATGTTGTCCAAACGGAGACTTGCCCGTATTCCTGCTGAGCGTCGAGCGCGTTGGTATGTGAGCGCCTTCTGCCTGAACCCTTGCTGACCATGAAGCTAGATTATAGCGAGCGCCATGCGCGGTTAGAGAGAGACGAGAGCATTGGTGCGTGACCATTAACGGCAGCGTATGTCATTCAAGAGTTTTCTTCTTCCTCGCAGTTTTCAACAGGATCGCGACAGGGCACAACAACAGCGACTTCATCGCCCCAACCAAAAATACTCAACCAGATTGTTCGTACGAATTGCCTGCACGAGCCTAAAAACGAAATATTCCGTTCATTGTTCTGAATTCTTAAACAACAACATCCACCTTTTACCCACACGAATGCGGTCCCCCAGCCTACCCTCCCCAGCCACTTATCACCTTCTGTCTGGACTGCCGACCGAAAGGTTTGCCAGTGACTCAATCAGTGATATGTCGACCTAACTATGTCTTCTCCCGATGCGAAACGTTGCTCAATGCTCGCGGTCAAGGGTGATGCCTTAGTGGAGTCTAACGCCTGTGTGGATCGTTTGCCAATCGCCGCACGCAGGTTTGGGCGGATGAGGTTTTCGTGGCCGTAAAACTGTGCACTGGAATCCCCCACCTATCCATATGGGCTCGTAGCAGGAAATGGAAATGACACATTGATTCTCACACATCGCATTCAGTTCCGAACTCGCAAAAGGCGAAAGACCAAAAAAGACTTCGTTTGGGTGTTTTCCGATTGTAAGTGATCCACGGTACCCTTCCCGCCTAAGCGTTGTAGACGTTGCAAGTCATATCATTGGCCCTAGCTACAGACTGAGATTAAATTAGATGTGCGTTCTGAATCAGGCTTATCCATGGCGGGACTGCGATGTTGTCATCCAACGTCCTTCTTCTACCGGTCCACTCCGAAGTAGCGGGAAAATGAAATGGAACGCCTGGAGCCCTACCAGGTGCGTTTGTGTAGGATGTACCATGTCATCGGTACCGGTGGTGTGCTAGTCTTCCGGATTCGCTTCTAATCTTTGGCAAGTTTGTGCTAATTCAAATCCAAGAGTCTTGCCACGAGGCACGCAGGCCATACCTCTTTGTGTATGGGCACCAGTTATGGGCAATGTTTCCCAGCGTCGAGGCGTGGGACTCGGAGATAGATCGACCTAACCCTGCACATCTCCGTCTAACGGCCGTGTTTGTCATTGTCAATGAGGCCACTTGACACCTGCCTAAAACGCCGCGGATCGCGTTCCTTTTATCTACCGTTTACCAATGCTATGCTGGCAGCTCAAACAATTCCTCGATGGGCAATGAAACTCGCAACTTATTCAACGGCGGTTAACGGCGACGCAGTATGTCGCTGGAGCACTGAAGTCAGCATTCAGGGTTCAAGTTACCGGGACGGAGATCAAGAAGCGTCCTTGTCAGGCCTCGGGATCTCGCGATCGATGGAAGACATTATCGCTGCAGCGGGCTCGGTCTATCTTCGTCGTTTTCTCCGCCGCTCCCATTCCTTGCCCCCGACCGCTCTGTCAATTTCTATACTGTCCACAGCAGGCGGCGTTGGCGAGCTGGACTGCCGTTTTCAGAATTGCTGTCGAGGATAAACTTTACCAAGAAGTTTATGTCTTGACCGATGTTCTGGTATGATTACCCGCCAAACCGACGGTAAGATGGTCAATCGTATCATCATTAACCCGCGCCCGCCCTCACTAACTTAATAGCAATAAGCTTTTGATGCAGATCCCACTAGTATATATTTATTCTGGGATGCTCGTTCTGCTGCAACCCACCCACCAGCACCTTCCCTTGAAGCTACAGCCCACCCAATACTAGATCCCTCCTCCAATGACCGAATGGGGCCAGCAAGAAAAACCGTGGCCTGCAAGGGAACGAGCCGAAAGGCTCCAGGCCGAGCGCGAAGCGCGACGGTACCGTCCGTACATCAAGCCCATACCCCTCGTCCGCCTCTCGTTGCTGCGTTGTTTGGGAGGCTGACTGTACTGCACTGGCCAGATCTTTGCGCGCTACTGGATGCGGGGCATGGACGACATGGATATCGACAGTCCTACGACGAGCAGTGTGAGTCTCCCCCTCCAATGTTTTAACTTCATTCCCCGCTGAAACACTTTACAGGCCTCGTCGACCGAAACAACCCGTTCAGAGTCCCCCAGCGAATAAACGGCTTGACTGTGTCCATGCCGATATAGTGTAAAATGTAGATGTTGCCAAACTTTGCCCTCTGGTCGTAAAGTGTGAACTGTGAAGTTCCGATCAAATCATTGTGGACGCGAAATCAGGTGTGATCCACGTTTCTCCGAATCAATACCACAGTTTACATGCAAAAAGTACCTACTAATACACTCCTTCAATCAGCATCGACCACCATCCCTCCCTTTCCACGACGAATACGGTCTTCCAGGCCGATCGAGCCACCAAACACCTTCTTCTGCTCGTGACTCAAAAAGTCGCCCATACCCTTTGACCGTTTACGAGCCTCCTCGTCTCGAGCCAGCTCTGCCTTTTCCTTCTCTAACAATGCCGCGAGACGCTCCTGCCGCTCGACAGTCATACTCTGAGCATTGGACTGCATTGCTGCTAAACGCGCGGCTCGGTCGTCTGCGGCTCTGCTAGCCATTGTTTGTGGTTGTTGTGGTCGGGGAGGAGGAGGCGGACTCATGCGAGCTCGTTTGACATCCGAGTTTCGGTCATAACGTGGAGGACTACGGCTGCGGGCTCGTTTACCCCCGCGAGAGTCACGTCGGCCATTGTTATCATCGGAATCATCGGAACGTGGCCAAGTTCGAACGCGATCTTGTTCTCTCCTCGGTGGAGTGCGACTACGACTTCGACTGTCCCGACGGCTGGGTCGATAATGGTCACGTGGAGGAGTGTAGCTTCGCTCTCGACGCTCATCATATCGAGGAGAACGAGAGCGGCGGCGATCAGGTGTCAAAGACCGTCGCGAGCGATGACGATCAACAGACAATGACCGTTCACGATACGGACTTCGAGAACGAGACCTATCTCGACCATGCTTGCGTTCGGCCTTGAGTCGCTTCCGCTCCTCTTTCTCGAGCTTCTTGGCCTTCTTGTCTTTCTTGGGTTTCATGCCATTTCGCTCTTGCATCTCTCTCAGACGTAGAGGATTTGACAACAGGGCCTGATACGCAGCCTGTTCTTGCTGTTTGATGGCGAACAGCGGGTCTTCACGGATTTTAGAGGCAATGTCGCGAGCGGTATTTGCGTTCTGAACGGCGATGAAGTTCTTGTGAGCTGCTCCAAGCTGGACATTTTGTCAGTTTCAACAACTAACAAGCCAAAAAAGAAAACGTACCTTAGCGTTCTCGTCCGCTGTGAGAATCTTGTCCACCCGTTTCTTCCCGAGCAAATAATCCTCGAGCTCGTTCGGATTCTGGCTGCTCCCTGACGCAGGCGTAGCATACATCCACTCCAGTCTCTCTTGCCGCTTTTTACCCGTTTTTTCTTCTTGAAGTCGTTCGAGCTCTTGCATTTGCCGCTCTTCATCTCGCTCCTTCCGCAGCTGGTCCAGCTTCTTCTTCTCTTCCAACTAGAGAGAGAGAACTCGTCAGTGAAGATACGCAGGGCATCTCATGCCATTATACGCACCGCTTTCTTTTCCTCTTGCCAGACCCTCTCCTGATTCTTCAGAAGCAGGGGGTGCCAGCTGCGTTAATGTTAGAACTGGGCTTTATTTGGGGAACTTGCCATTGACGAACCTCTTCTTCATATTGAGATCTCCGCCTCCCATTTTGGCCTACAAGTACTGTGTGCAATGGAAATATGTTGTTGTGATGTTATGGACGGCCGTCTGGAGGGACCGTGGTGGCGCAGATGGTGGTCGAGGAGAACGACGACAAGGGCGTCACGTTATGATGTCACGCTCTGATTCAGGTTCACAACCTAAATATGCTCTCGCGTTCAACAACACAACATTAGTTCGCATGTGGGATAGTGTTACAAAGGGGGAGTGTGTGCTACGAAAGCTCTTCTTGTGAGCAGAGTACGGTAACAAATTGAACAAGATCAAATGAAGGACGCGTGAAGTTGCAATGAGATATTGGTGCGTTGGTATCTGCTTGAATAAGGTTTAGCGAATAAGAAAAAGTGAGCGAGATTGAATATATGCAGTGTCAGAAAGAATCGTCACTCCTGTTTGAATCAAAGGATTCTCGTGTAAGGTCTAAGAAACTGTCCTGTTTGAGAATGACGGGCAGCGGCGGTGGGGGAGGTAAAGGTTCCTTCTCGTCCTCGTCATTGATGTCGAGAAATGAGGGTTTGCGGTAAAGAGACTGTCGTTGTCTATCGGCAGCAGGCTTGGGGCGCACGGAAATCTTTCTCGGAGGAGGTGAAAGTGATGAATATGACTCTGGTTGCGATCGTGAAGAGTATGTAGATGCCCGAATTTCTGGTGCGGAACGCGATGATACTGACGAAGTCCGTGACTTGGTCCGTCTGGGGGGCGGGGGTAAGCTCATCAACACAGGAGGGGACGGCGGTTCAGGAAGATAGTCTTCATCATGAGGAGACATCGAATCACTCCGTATAGATGGATGTTCGCTATTTGAGCGTTTCCGATCTCCGCCGAAAGGAGACGATGGCGAAAGACTGTACTCGTCCGACATTATTGACCCGCCACGAGGACGAGAATGATACTCGGCTTCAACTCTGGCTTCAACCTCGAGCATTTCTGCCGGAGACATGATTTGTTGGGGTGTGTACTCGTAAGCAGTAGAAGTTGGAGTACGAGGCTGATCCGGGTCAATCCAACAAGATGTCGAAGCAGCTAATGTTGTGCGATCAGACTCGTAGATAGGCTGCACATCGTCAACTAGCGGCAGAGTTGATTCTGACGGACGACGCGAACTTGAGGCTGAAAATAGTCGTTTTCTTCCCGCCGGTGAAGGCTCTGCTCGTTGCTCGGAAAGCGGCAGCTGCAAAGGCACAGCGTGAACAGGAAGTCGATGGAATGAGCGTTGTTTTCGTGGACCTGAATTGGCCGACGTCAATTCTGCCAAAGTATTTGTTGACGACACAGACGGTGAGCGGTGTTTGTTCAGAGATTGCTGCGACATGGACTTTTTCAGTGTCCGAGGTCGGGATGAGGTTTGCATCTCGAGCTCCAAACTGCTATCCTGAGATGGCCTGGGCTTGCGAGGACTCAGCGGTTTGACTTCTGGGAAAGCGACGCTAGTTGAAGCCATCGGAGGCATAGGAAGGTCAGACGTAGGGGGAGCTGTCCGTTGCGAGAGTTTGCGAGAGGGCGAAGTTGGTGAAACTACGGGTGGGGAGCGAGTAAAAGAGTCACTCCGAAGGAAAGGGACCCTTTCCAGGCCACCGTCAGTCATTCCTCGAGCACGCATCGCTGGCCGTGGCTTTGGCAGTGGATCGGGCTGACTGAAGCGATTGATATCGGCCGCGACTATATCCTTTCTCCTTAGACTTGAGCTCGATTTTCTGCATAGCCTGTGAGTAAAAAAAAGGAAAAGGCAAGAGCCAATGAGGACGCACTTTTCCCCAGGCATCATATGTGGGGATAATCCAGGGTCCGAAGTTGCACTAAGCGGGGAAAGCTCGCTCCCAAGACGAAATGACTGGGACGACGAGGAAGCGTAGGAAATGCGCTGGAAAGCATCTACGGGGGACTTTGACTCTGATGAGCTGGAAAAAGCTGAAAGTCGGTTTGGATCTGATGGACTGCGAACGGCTACAACGCGAGCAGCAAATGGGTCCATGTCAGAGAGGGTCATGAGTGACCCTCGACGAGGATCTTCGGGTGTTTTTGGCTCGAGGGAATCGACACGAGAGCGGGAGGATGAGGAAGGGGGTCGCCCCATTCCGAGTCCAGCCGACGATGGCGCGGTGTTTGGTCTACGCTGGTCTGTGCCATCACCGAGGATAGTGAGGGGAGGGGGTTGCGTCTTTTTGGGACGTAGGCCGATAGCAGAAGCGAGTGTGTTAAACTTTCCAGAGCCTTTGGAATGCTTGTCGAATACCTCACCGGTGGGTGATTTCTGCCACCAGCTACGCTGGGGAGGCGGGAGGTTGGTCGACATGGGTGGGGGAGAGAGGAAATACAATTTAGGGCGACGGGGCCATATGTGCAAAGAATGAGAGAGAACGAAAGATGTTACGATCACAACTAGACCTGATTAGCTACACCTCAAATTACCCTATTTCAGCCCACACGTCTGTAGGATCACGTTCACCCTCGTCCCTCCTCGCGTCAAATAACACCGGCTGCTGGCGAGTATTGTTATTCACCAGCGGCCGCACAAGCTCTTCCTCCTCTTCCTCCGAGTCAACATCGAGATCCAGAAATCCCGCCCTCCGAGCAGCATTAATGTCAATTGGCTTAGGCCGAGAAAAAATTGACTGGCCAGACCTGAAAAACGTGGGATTTAGCGAGGCACCAAAAATTAAATGAAAAATTCAAACTGTCGCATCACAGCCGCAAGGCGGCCAAATTGCAGAATGTTGCGTGCAATAAGCAAAAACGTGTCCAACAGCTCCTCCTCCTTACTCCCCGTCCCACATTTGGCAAAAGCGAGCACGAGTAGAGTCAACGCGCAGAATACAGTCAATATTAGGTCCACAACGTTGAATGGGGATTTCCAGAATTGCTATCGGAGTTTCCACTGAGTAGGGAGTCGAGAGTTATGGAGAGCGAAACTCACCCTTCCAAATGCCACGAAGCGAATGCCAACCTCCAGAATCATAGAGGTGTTGATTATGACCTCGAGAATGTAGAATGCGAGGCCAGGGCAGCCGTCCGTCAGACTGAGGATAACGGTGGTAACAGACAATACGGCCATGCCGAGGTATAAGAAGATATATGTTCGTGAATGGACAAAGCGGTTGGCGACGCCTTTGGTGATTTCACTCCTCGATAGTGCATAGATGGACCGGGTCCGCCTGGTAGCGAGCTTTAACCATATTGTAGCAGCCCCAAGACTCGCACTCACTCCGGTCCACTCTCATCTCGGTTCAGAGCCTCAGTTTCGCCGTATTCTGGATCCATTGTTCATCGCAAGAGGCAAGTTATGTGTCTTGACTGCGCTGTCGTCACGTGGTTGATCAAGCCCAGTTAAAAAAGTAGTACATGTGTAGAATATAGATACAAAACTGTCCTCCATCTATTCCGTTTCCTCAGAATGATAGCCAGCACGTCTCATTGCACCCAGACGATGACGCGCTGCACCCAGTTCTTTCTCCAACTTGAGAATTTCGACTTGTTGCTCCATCTCCCGTTTCTTGAACTCAAGCACAGCCATGTTCTTGTAGTCAACGTCGTCCTCCTGCGCTTGTCTGGCGGAAACAGCCTTGACCTGGCGAACCAGAGCTCGACAAGCTTCGGTAACGGCTTTGGCAGCAAGCTCAAGACGCTCTTGGGTTTTCGACATGAGGCTCGCTTTGACACGCGAAGCAGCCACCAGTTGGGCTGTGGCAGCAGCAACTTCGTTCGAGGCAACAATGAGTTGTTCGAGAGAGTGAGTTCCAGACAGAACACCATCAGCGCTCTCAATAAGTAGATTGGTCGCAAATGCGACTGATTTGGCAGCAGAGATAAGACCCTCTGTCCACCTGTTGTTGCGCTTGTAGAACTGTTGTTTCGAACTGGAGCCTTTGCCTTCGTTTACAATCTCTTGTTGCGATTCTGTAGCTGCTTTTATCAGGCGAGCAATAGCATTAGTGATGGCCATTGCAGCAGCGAGAATAGAGTCATGGACTTGAAGGTCCACAGCACTGAATCGTGATGAGTCGCGTTGACGTGACATCAGTGCCTGGAGCCTCTCCGTAGCAAGTTCAATGGCACGAGCAGCACCCATCATCTCTTGCTCTACGAGGTCACCAATGTCTCCGTTTGCCTTGGCCAAATTGGGCTTCGTTCCCTTTGGTACAAGAGTGTCGACCAAATCGGAAAGTTTGGCAAGAGCACCGCGAGCCTCAGCACCATTTCGCATGGCCACATCCTGCTTTTGGCTCGCTTGCATTCCGCTGAGGTTGAAGGACTGCAAATTTAGGAAAAGCCGTGCGCCAACATTTCCAGCCATCTTTGCGACATTGATGATCTTGTCCGAGGCATCGTCGTCGCTAGCCAGACGAGTTATACCCTTGGTATTAACCAGAACTTCGGCCATGGACTGCGCAAATTCGTTGGAGGCTTTGATGACCTCGACTTGCTCTCCACCCTCTTCTCCGCCAAGATATAGATGATAGACGGTGGCGAATTCCATGGCATTGTTGACCGCCTTTTCGATCATGGACAGAGTGTACTCGGGTGTTGCACTGGTATTTCCGGTTTGTGTGGGAGACTCGAGTTCATAGATGGCATCTTCAATTTTCTGCATGCAAGCGTGTAAAATTGAGTCTAAAAATGAATATTAGGGCGAACATCTACGCAGTAAAGGATGCTGACCGATAATTTGGTTAAGCTTCTTCTGGTGGTCAAGGATGAGGATGTCGACTTGTGCATCATTAGCACCTTGCACGACGTTTAGCGCCTGATGTACAATTAGACTGAAAGGAATAGCAGTTTTCATCAACTACCTGCTGAGCTTCTGCAAATTGCCTGATGGTCTCATTCATGCTCTCTTCTTGAACGAGTCGCTCTTCATCCTTCTCGTCCCGAAGCCGGTCCATGTCTGCCTCAGTATTCCGCAACTTGTCGAGTAGATCATCGATTTGTATTTGTTTTGCCTGTCATCATATAGGCAAAAAGAACGGAATCAGAATACAAAACGAACCCTCAGTGAGTCTTCCAGCTCTTGAATCTGTCGATTGTACTTGTTCAAAACGCTAGAGACCTCCGAGTTGCGTGAATGGGATGCGTCGTCAGCACGCTCGTTGGCAAAGTTGAGTTCACGCCTCAGACGGTCGATTTCATCTTTATGGCTGGACTTTTGACGATCAATATCAAAGCGAGCACGGTCACGTTCCCGAAGCATATCAGCCAACTCCAGATTCTTTGCCTTGAGGTCTCGTTCCATCCGCTCCATACGATCGACTGCTTCTTGAGCTGAATTGGCTTTCAGCTGCATCTGCTTGAACTTGGCAAGCATATCCAGATGCTCGGTCCGCAATTGGCTGTACAACTTGGCAAGGGCCTCGTATTTGTTGCGCCAAAGTGTAACTTGCTCTTGCAGTTGCTTGATCATATCGTCCTTCGAAGACATTTGTGAGTTGACATTAGCATTGATTGCAGCCAATTCCCCCTCAAGCGCTCGGACTCTCTGAACGATATGTCAGAGGAAAATAAAACTCAGTGCTGAACAACAAGCCTGATCATAACGCTCCAAGAACATTTGGTCCCGTTCCCATTGGCCGCGCAGCTCAAGGACTTGACGCTCCAGGTCAGCTGACTGTTGAGTGGCCATAGAGTATTGTTGTTGCTGTTGTTGACGCATCAACTCTTCCTGGGCAAGTCGCTGAGCCTCCATTTGTCTCCGTTGCATCTCTTCGAATTCACGAGCTTGTTGTTGCTCTTGTTCAAGTCGTCGGCGCTCTTCATCCTGCCTCGCCGCAGCGAGCTTCGCTTGCTGTTCCTCGTATTCTTTGAGCAATTTTGCCTGCTCATTTATAGTCGCTGCATCGGGTGAAGGGGCGGGGGGTGGAGATGCTACGGTTTTAGGTCGAGGAGGGAGTTCGGGGACATCGCTAGCATCCAAAAGATTGGGCGGTTCCTGTGAGGAGATTGAGAAAAATATTAAAAGGACAAGAACGAAGTACATACCTGGGCGAGTTTTGGTACATTGATTAGACCGGTCAAATATTTGAGATTAGAGCATTCGTAGTAGAATTTGCGGAGATTATAGTGTTGGGCGGTGTAGCGCTGGCGCAGGGGTTCTAATGCCTCGGCATCATTTGTTCCTAAAATTTGTCTGAGCAACACCAAGGCATGAACTGTAGACCACACACGTCTGAACATGGCACGCATCATGCTGGTGATGAATCGGTAGATTCCCCAGCTTTCCTTCACCAGTGGAACAAGCGCAGATATGCGACATTCGTTATTGGAAGAGTGGTTGAAGTGTGAAAAGACCATCTTTTGGAATGATTCGATGAGGTCTTGCAGGTTCATGAGATCAGTGATCGTTTCATAACTGGGGCGCAGTGAGATGGGCTGATTAAGAGTCATGGTCATGCATACCCTTCGTTGGGGTCGTCGATTCCTTTGAGGGTGATATACTCTTCGTATTCAAACAGACCATTGAATTCTGGCCGCAAACGATGGAAACGGAGTTTTGCCAGAATAAATTGGACGTATGTTCGGATGAGTGGTCCGTATCCTATAATGCATGAGACAGGACCTGCCGTCAAGTAAGATTGCGACAAACCACGACCACCACCATCTGAACCGACATTTCTTGCGCATGTCTCTAACCAGCCAGTTTGGGCTTGCGCTTCTTTAATGGTCTGGATGGGTAGGGTAGCGGCTGCGTTTTGTCAAAGCATGATTACGCACAACAGGATGGCCCTCTTGCAGAACTTTGTGGACCGTAATGAGTGCTTTGAATGTTTGAACCTCGTCTGAAACAATCGGTTGAACGCGAAGTCCACTCCAAAAAGAAATCGAGGAATGATAGTCCCAGGTAAATACGATGCACTCTGCACAGCACAAGTCAGCCTTGACCTCGTCGTATGGAGGCTGAAGCTCACTTCGAACGTGTTTCTGCTTCGGCGCAGATTCTTCAGGACTGGTGGCCTTCTTGATATTTACAACAAGCTCCTGCTCTGCCTTGTCCTTGTCCACTGGCCGGGTTGGGTAGTGCATATCGTCGTCATTGAATCCCCCGGGGTCACGGCGATTACCAAGCCTATAGCATTTTGGATATTGGAGATGAATAAAGTGAAAATATGAGGCCTACATGGTTTTGGTTTCAAGGGAGGTCAATCGCTGCGCGACAGGCTGCGAGCAACCCTCTGATGTCACACCGTTACTTATGCTGCTCTCTCTGTTTCGACGATCTCTGTCGTGCAGAAAACGGCTATGTATCCCACAGCAAATAATTCGGTCGAACTCGACGGATACTCCAGGCTACAATCCTAAGCGCGAGCCATGGCTCACTCCCACAATGGTTCTCCTTGGTTTCGTCCCGATATTCACTCTCGGCTTGGGCACTTGGCAGCTCCAGAGGCTCCAGTGGAAAGTAGCGCTCATCGACGAGCTGGAGGAGAAACTGCAACTGCAAGCGATCGCTCTTCCGAAACGAATAAAGTGCGGCTTTGGTCAATGTTAGCATAACTTCTTTCGTTGACGACGCGTCAAGTCTGCAAGTGCTTCCCGAATTTGTGTTCCGGAAGGTCTATCTAAAAGGAAAATGGGACCATGCTCATTCAATGCTCGTCCGTCCAAGAACTCGTGAAGGGATTCATGGCGCAAATGTTCTGACTCCGCTGCTGCGTGAAGACGGCACCACCCTCCTTGTTGACCGAGGATTCATTTCAAAGGATTTCGACCTCTCCTCGATTCCACAAGAGACTGGTACCGTGGAGGTCTTGGGCATGTTGAGAACATCAGAGAAGAGGAATACTTTCACTCCAGACAACCACCCCGAACAGGGTGACTGGTATTGGAAGGATATCGATGCAATGGCGGAATTCGCTGGTGGAGAACAAGCCAATGTTCAACCGGTTCTCGTGGAGCAGATATTCGGTAAGTAGCGTTACCAACCTTAGAACGTCTTTAAACCTGCGTCAGAGGGACATGAGGGCGAAGCCTCTGCACGCATCGGAAAAGGTATTCCTGTTGGTCGTGCTGCAAGCGTGGATTTACGTAACTCACATCTATCCTATGTAATCACTTGGTGGGTGGCCTGATAACTGCGACATCGTGTCTCTGACCATTTTCAAGGTATTCTCTTTCCGTATTTACGGCCGTAATGTTTGTTCGCGTTATGATGAACAAGAAAAAAACCCGAGGACGCCAGATGCCTCGTTAGGGCTATTTCCCAACTTGAACGAACTTCAAAGCCGCCGCTTTGCCACAACAAAGCCCGTTGCCGCCTCGTGCTCGCCTGACGACGATGCACAAAGTGCCACCGCTTTGACCATCTTGGCCACATTAGGAAATTGCACTGTATGAGGTTGTGCATAAAAAGGGCGTGATCACGGCGTCTGCTTTTGCTCACCAACATTAACATGCACGATTCTACCACCGCTCGCAGACTCCCACCTACCACTCCCACCCGTCCATCCCGACGCAATACCGTTGATTCAAGTCCAATCAGGAACCGACCCATTATCCAACGGGTCAAGGTCGCTCAGAAGGGCGAATATGCCCATGCACACAGAGATGACCACACTAGTTTCGATCGCATAACGCGAGAAGAAGGTACGCATAGGGTGGCATGGTCGCATTCCGTCTCTAATCGTTTGGCAGAGGAGAGGGTTCAATACGATATGGAGAGGGCCATGAGAGCGAAACGTCGCGAGGCAGCCCGGAAGGCAACTCGGCGTTCTCTAGGTTCCAAAGACACTTGGAATCCTGCAGACCATGTCGTCTACAGTCCCAATGCCATGCCACCCTCCCAACGCGGACCCTTGCGTCCCAAAGAGAACTTTGACAGAGGTGCATCCATTCCAAGTCTTGTGACGATTCAGCTCAACTTTTATGCACAGGACGTCTTGATTTCTCGTTTAAATTTCCGCATTTTCGACCGGAAAGCGAACCGCCCCAACCCGAACTTCTTCACACGAAATGGTGCCCGCCTTCACCCACGAAGCGCCTCGCCCCTCTGGCGCCATTCCACCCATTCCGGCGTCAGCGTTCCGAGTCGATGTCGTCCGTAGTTGAGCGTGGACCGCCATCTCCGGCCAAGCATAAGCGCAATGCCTCTGTCCAACCACGCGCGGCGCCGGTCCAGAAATTGTTTGACCGCATCCATGCGGAGGCCCGGAGACAAGGTTTCCAAATCTAGAAACGACTCGACAGTATCCTTATTCGATATCGAAGCTGGCAGACGTATCCCAGCGATGACTAATATATACGGTGTTCCCCATTTTAAACTTCAAAGCGTACAATTAATGGGCTTGAATGTAATTTATCATTGGAGCAAGTTTTTTACAGAATAATATTGGGTGAAAACTTTGCCTTACAAACAGCCATCTGAAAAAATTAAGCAAAGTCTAACGAGATATTGAGTGAACGTACTGGGAGCAGCCTGGCCCGCCGAGTTTACCCGTGATTTCAGGGCACTCGTTCCACACAGCAAGCCTCTCACAAATGCCTGGGCGACCACGTTGGCCCCAGTAGGCGAGGTATGGGTATGATCTGGGGAATATTATTAATATTATCTGCCGTCGGAAGACATCTGGCGACTCGCCGTTGGGGTCTGATGTAAATTCAACTGCGATCAAGTGCAGACTGAAATATACTACGTACAATAGGTGGTGACCGTCTGCATTTCGGGTGAGTGCGGTAGGTCAATAGAGCACATAAGCCATACCGTTTGTCCAATCTTCTTGTAGGCTTGAGCAACGTAGTTGTAGTGGTCAACGTATGCAACTGAGGTATTGCCAGCAACCTATGTAGACAAAAAAAGCGTCAATTGATTGACTTGGTAGAAAAACAAACAAAGTTGCCTCTTTTGCATAGGGAACGAAACGAGGTGGCGCGCCGATGGAACTGCCACTCCAGATATTATCTAGAAAATTAACGATGATTTACAGTTGAAGGACGAATTGATAGTACCAGGAGTCTGCGCCGACACGATGGGGATGGCTCCTTTGGCTTTTAGACTGTTCACTGTCTGGACATTAGCAGGTGCACAATCCGGAAAACACGGCACAAACCGGCGTTGGTCATGTAATAGTTGAATGTGTGGATAACTATATCAGATTAGAGTCGACACAAGTCAATCATAACATCACACCTTTAGTTGTTCCGCTACAAACACCAGTTCAGATCACGGGCCCACAACTTTATCAAGCTTACTCAGATGCGGTCACAGTGCTCGTGGCGGTCAAAGAGTCCCCAAACGCGTCTTGCCGACCATTGTCGACCGAGCCGCCTAGATATAAAGGAGTTAATTTGCATGTGTAGAGTTGCAAGTCTTCACTCACTTGACCCATCGTTATGGCCAAACTTGCGCGAATTCTTCAACAAGTTGAACAGAACAAATGACCAGCGAGACCGACCTCGATTATGACAAAGTCTCCGGACTTGGCTGTATTGATGAGGGTGGTGAATCGGCCTTCGTCCGTATAACTCCGTGCGCTTCTTCCAGCAACTGCGTTGTTCACAACCGGAATGGTCAGATATTGGCCCAAGTACTGTCCCCAGCCTATGACCCTATCAGCGTCCACTAAACTTCCCTGTGCTTGAGCTTTACCATCCGTCCCAGATCCCCCTCCGCCTTTCGCCATAGTAGAGTCCCCAGCCAAGTAGACGGTTTGTGCATAAGCGCCGAACGCAAAGGCAAACGGAAACACGATTTTGCAGAGCATAGCAGTGGTAATATCTTGACGTAGATTTTGCCATTATATATATGTTTCCACACGGCCCGCAGCGGACTCTCGACAAGTTTTGCGGGGAATCTCAGTCGACTTGTGACCTCGGAAATGGCGAATTCGTTGCCCCACGGAAAAAAATCGTGATCACATGTCCACGAAGAAGTACATGCAGGTACCAATTTACAAACAACCATCTAATCGCAAACGAGGGAATTAAGATCAAGGATAACGAACGCAAGCAATGAGCCACATACTGGGAGCTGCTTTCCCCGCAGCATTCACAAAGTTTTTCAGCGGACTCGTTCCACAGAGCAGACCTCTAACGAATGCCTGCGCAACAACGGAAGCGCCAGCTGGACGAGTTTTCGGGACGGAATAAGATGACATGGCTGGACACACACCTGGTAATGTATGGAGATGATCCGTTGAGCTGTAGAAAGTGGCGACAGTTGACTGCCCTAAAGCATTGTATGCTTGGGCAACATAGTTGTAGTGATCCACATAGGTTATGTTGGTGTCCTGTCGACGGTTCAAAATGGATACCAGAGGATGGCTTCCCCACACGCACGACAGAGACAGTGTGCGCGTAAGTAACAAACCGGCCTCCAGCAGCAATCACAGCAGGGTTTGTTGTTGTCTGCCACAAGTAGTTAACCATGGAGAAGTAGAGTTTGGGGTGAGGTATACCCATATATTATCCGGTGTGAGCGAAGCTGGGATGAGATGCTAAGCGTCACCAAGAATATTTGCCATCGGTCGCATACAGATGATAGGAACCGCTCCTTTGGCCTTGAGGGCGTTGACCTTTTACTAGGATTGAGTCTGGGGAATTCAACTTGGCGAAGTTACTAACCGCATTTTCAATATAGTATGCAAAGCTGTGGATCAGTAGAGAGCTGCCACTACAAGTTCTTGAGTTGAAAACCACCAAACATTGTCATGAATACGAACTTGGTTGTGGTAACAGTTGCAGTGATGTTATAGCCGTCTCTAAAGTTGAGTCTAGTCTTAATTCATGAAGCAAGAGGGATGGATACCCAACGGCGTCCTGTTTGCCATTATCGACCGCACCAGCGCTCACGTCGTTGTGACCAAACTTGAAAGAAACAGGCTATCTAAGCTTGGTGAAAGAAGTCATTCAACACACCTCAATGATCTATTGAAGACCATGAGGAGCTATCCACTCAGATTCAATTATCCACATACGACAAAATCGCCCTTCTTGACTTGATTAACCAGAGTGCTGAATCGGCCCTGTTCGCTATAGCTGCGTGCGCTGGTTCCTCCAACGGCAGAGTTCACGACAGATATGTTGAAGTATTGTGTCAAGGGCACTCCCCATCCTACACGACGAATTAGTTGGCGTGAGGATGGCAAAGAAACTGACCTTGAGTAGATCCACCACCACCTCCGACCGCCATTGTCGAATCGCCCGCTAGGTACAGGCTTTGCGCGGAGACTGTGATCAGCAGCGGTAAAGAAATAAGCAGTTTCATGGTCAGACGCATTCAACTACGATTTGTGGGGCTCTCATATACCCATCCAACCGGGCCGTTGGGGTCAGATGAATCCAGATACTTCGAGGACAAGCCTCCAATTTATCCGATGTTCGGGCCTTGAATGTGAAATGCAGGAAAGCACAATCATTGACGGCTACGTATCATCGAAGTTCAAGTTCAAGTTGTGAAGCTCGTCACCGACTTTGTGACATGGTTCCATGTCGCGTCGTCCCTCCCAACTCTCAATTTCTTCCCCCGGTCCTCTGCTCAATGGCTCTGCTCAAGCAACACAGTCCCCCGTCACTCAAGAGGCCGCTCAACGTCCCTTGGTTGGGAAATTAGCTGGCGATTCGTCTGAAATGGATCCCGACATGCTGTTCACGAAATGCACTATTGCCGAGGTGAAAATCGCTAAGGATAAGCTACGGTACCTCTTCTCACTCTATGCCACGGCTTCCTGCTGACCTAGCTAGTGCGGATGCGGATGCGAAGCAGGAGGAGTTGAGACTAATGGTTGGGTACGTGTCTTTTGAACCTTAGCTGTTATCAAATAACCTCACGGATGAACATGCAGCGAGCGCTATAGAGATCTCCTCCAGGCTTCTACCTCGATTGTATCCATTTCACACTCGTCAAACCGCGTTATTGAAGCACTGGGAGAAGCCAAAGATGCTATTCTCTCTCAACGAGCACCACCACTACCACAGAGGGTATCTTCTTATGGGGGCGGTGGTAAGTTTAAACATAGCCCACAACATTTAGCTGATCTGTTTTCCGAGACACTCATCTTCACGCCCTCCAACTGCTCTCCGCTCACATAAAACTCCTCCTTGACGCGCCGGAATACCTTTGGCGACTTATGGAACGCAAGAAATACTTCACAGCTGCCTGGCTATTTCTTTTGGCGCGTGTGGTGCATCGGGCGCTGGATAGGAATGACGAGCAAGAGGAATCATGGAAAGCTGCAGGAATTGATGTCAAAGTGCGTTCGCCGTACTTCTTGCTTATTATTTGGCAGGCTTTAATCCTCTTTCTAGGCGCAATTTCCACTGATACAGCGACAGTGGGATACTGTTGCACCATTGCGCGCCTCGATTAGCCATAGAGCGCTTGCTTCCCTGAGAGAGTCTTCTACTCCATCTGCGGTTAGAATCTATATACTGCATGAATACCACTCATATATCTCGAAGGAAGTTTGTGCTGCGCTACTTACCTTGCATCTTCTCGACTCGCGTCCGCTTTCCGAAACTCTCCCCACATTTCTCAGTCAACGGTCAAAAACATTCGCTTCTCTGTTATTACGCGGGTCAGAAAACAGCTCGAATTCTCCTCTTTCTCCGCCAATACCACCACGTGCTAACGGTCACATCCTTGACAAACGTCCACCTCGGAAAGGCTCCGTCAGGGAGGTAAAAGAAGCAGTCCAGACGGCTTTAAACACCGTAATCAAAACCCTCGCTTCTTCTCGAGATGTTTTCGAAGCAACGGAATCAAGGTCGTCAATGATCCGGAGTGCTTTGGAGTACATGCAATCCGACATTCCCAACTCCGATTCTTTCAACTCTTTGCCACCAGACTTGCGATTAACAACCCAATCTCTGTTGGCCTCTCTTCCCTCATCCACTCACTTCTTGTTGTTACCTGCCGACTTACGGACTTATCGACCGTATGCTGACCTCACCTCTGCATCAACTGCAATTGACCGCAACGCATTCAAACGACTTATTGGTGATTGGTTCAAAGCCACAACTGAAAGCTTACAGTTGGCCATATCAAGATGGTTTTTGGAGTTGCACACGGTAGCAGAGGTGTGGTCGCTTCGAGGGACAATACGCCAATGGATTCTCGTTTCAGACCTTTTGCCGGACGAAATAAATGCATTATTGCGTCTCTTCGATAATGCGGCACAGAAACGGGTCCTTAGCATCTGGAATCTCGAACTGTCAGATGCAGGAGACGCCTTCCATATGCAGCTCACATCTGCCACGGCGTCGCTGCGAAATGCTTCAACAGAGGACTCACAAGGTTGGAAGAACACCCGATTGCTCGCTTTTTAGTATGAACTGACTTGTGTATCTAGCTGCTTCGCCGATACACTTCTTGTTCGACTCTCCTCCCCTCCCAGTACTGACTGGATTTGGACCAAACGATTCATCATTCCAAAAGTACAAAGCATCTCTTTGCCGTCAGCTCCTTGGACGCACAGCTATTTTGGACGGCGTGTTAAGCACTCTGGAAAACTGCGCAAGATCGCTGCAACGGGATTTATCGCTAGTGCTAGGGGGAAAGGACGAAGATTCACGGTATGTCGAACAGGGAAAAGCCCAACAATCTACTGACGCTAGTCCAGGCTGATTGCATCCAAATTATCTGACGACTGTCGTTCCGACGCCGAAGAAGTCTGCAAGGCCGTGATCGAGACTCTATCTACTGCTGTTAGAGACCAGGAAAAGGACAACAGTGGTATACCAAACTATATCTGATTGTGCTAAATGATGCTAAGCACCCGCAGACCTTGCTGTCCAATGTCTTGTGTTTATCGGTCGCGTTGCAGACGAGCTGGCGTTTTCTTCGCCATTTTTCACCGATGTTGGTTGTGCTTCATCTGTCGTACAAGGTTCGTCTTACTTTTAACCCCTCCCATATTCCATTCATTCCTGGTATATTAGAGAACAAGATCCAACTCCAACAGCTTCATGGACGAATAACTGATCGCTGGAGGACGAGCGTTGTTTCTCGGCTGATCAAAAAACGGAAAGACTCGCTTCATCCTCTCCCAAAGTCCTTGATATTTCGTCAGTCTCGACCTCTATTCGCTCGTTAGCTAACGCTTATCAAGGCCCCTCCGCTCCGTCGTCTATTCTCCTCGAAACACTATCGCACCTCTCAACTTCTCTACAAGAACTGGGATTGTCAAGATCGAAACAGGATATTGAAGCGGAGAAAACGCTGAGGCATTTTATCCAGGAATGGGTGGTGGTGGACGGAACGGAAAGTGAAGGTCAGCGCTCATGCGACATTGGTTTCCTGCGGCGCCTGGCCGATCTGAGGATGCCAGAATGGCAAGATGTTTGCCAGCTCCTTGACAAGGAAGCTGAGCAACTGCAGAGGAAGGTGGGCTACATCCATTCGTTTGCAAACGACTCCACCTATAATTATTCAAACAGATTCAGAAGGATGAGAGGACCGCGAACGGCAGTCATGATAGGTCTGACGACCAGCTCGCGAGCACCCAAACACTATTCGCAGCTCTCTTGCCGTTACAGTCCCCAATGCGAATGCCGGAGGCGACTGACAAATCTGCGGCACTTCTTCCGTTTGGCACCCCACTGGACCAACCGTTTGAGTCGTTGCTCGAGTTTGGGGACCAGTCGACGAGATTTGGGATGTTGCTTGTGGAAATCGCGACGCATTAATCCATATTTTACTTCCCGCGTCGGGATAATTTTAGAGTACAAACGAGTGAAGACTGAGAAACGCTGGACTATGCCCCTCCGCTGTTGGAAGGTCTTAGTGAGATTCTGAGGGAAATGACAAGCATGGCGTACACAAGAATGTTGTTTCTGGCGGTGAAAGTCAGTGCTGATAGCTGGAGAGCGTGTTGGCTGGACACACATTGGGATATGAATGAGCTTGACGAAGTAGCCAATGAAGCCCATAACAGCGAAGCCTACACCGACGGCTTTGCAGATTTGAGAGAACTCTGAATAGTGCTTGGTTATTGAACAAATAGAGCAAGGAATAGTGAACCTTTGTCGGAAGGCTTGGTGCAACGTGTCAAAAACTTGGCTGGTGAGTCGAGAATAATATGCATAAGACGATGCGCAGACCTGGGTGCCCTCGCGGACGAATTGTTGGGGGATTTCAACAAACTCCTTGATCTTTTCGGACATTTGGGCTGGAAGACGAGAGGAAGTAGGAAGGAAAGGATAACGCTGCTCGGTCACGCGCCATTTGGCGCCATCATCAAGATTTTTGGTGGTCGCGGTGAGTTGTTTTTTTACGGTTCCTCTGTGGGCTCAATTATGAACTTGCAGTGTGTATGAGGCGAGGGCTTATTCGTGTCGCTCGACTCTCTCGATCCATTCACAACTCGAGACTCGACCGACTCGTCACTCCCCTTCGCCAACCACATGAACCAAATGCTGTTCGCAGCCAATACCTCCCACTGGTCGAGGAGCTCCGAAAGAATCCTACATCGGAGCCGGTACTCACCAAAGCCCAACTCATGACAATTGTCGATATGCTCGCCACCTCGGGGCGTCCAGCGGACCTGGAATGCATTCGCTTAATGTGTTCGCACTTGCCAACGTATTTTGGTGTCCCAGTTACCCCAGAACTTCATATCGTTGTTATATCATCCCTCCTGCGTCAAGGGTATGTTCCTTTGGCCCACGACTGGATACAGCAAATTCCCCACCTCCCTCCCCAAGACCCTCCCACCCTCGAGCATTACCACGCATTCCTACGAAGTTGCCCCACCCACGTACAACCCTCTATGCTCACGGATGTCGTAGCCCATCGCATGCGCAAAGCCGGTGTCCGTCCCACCAACGAAACATTTTCAATCCTCATTCGCTGTCTCATCCACAACGCCCAAGCTACCAAACACTCCCTTCAACCCGAGTTCTTCCACAGCTTGATCACGGATATGAAGCTGACCCGCATCTCCTTCGATCCCTCCATTATTTCTGCCATCACCAACTACTTCACCGAGCAGGGCTTCCCGGACAATGCAGAGGAGCTACGAGCTACCTATAACTCCCACTTTCCACCGGTGGCTCTCACACAAGAAGAAGAGCAAGTTGCTGCGCTGAAGAAACGGCTCTCAGTCATGCCAGGCTTCAATCGCGCTCTTCGGACTTTCACACGCCTGGTTTACAAAGGTCTGGCGGGCCAACCCACCCCCGAGATTCTTCGCGCGATTCTGAGCTCGAGTCGGAACATTCAAGACCTTCATAGAGTCGAAGGCACTCTTGGGGTCAAAGCAGATGCTTCGGTGTATGCTCTTCTTGTGAACAACAACATCCGCTCTAAGCAGTTGGATGCGGCCCTCCAGCTCTACGCCGAAGCCAAAAAGGCTGGCATCATCCCGGTTGCAGGACTTGTTGCCCCCATGATACGCTCCCTCTGCTCTACCGAGCGCAAAGCGACCAAGTTGCACAATGCCCATCTGGACAAAGCCCTTTCCCTATATGCCGACATCGACGAGGCTTTTCCTGCGGCGCCAGAAGATTTGCCACAAAGTCGTGCTGCTCAAGACCACAGTCTTCATTCAAATGGCCCAGATATTGGAATATATACTTCTCTAATGCGAGGCATAGCGATGTCCTCAAACATCAAGACGGCGGTTCCCGTTGCCCAGTCGCTGCTAGCCGATATGGAGTCCCGAAACATCCCACAAACTGCTGCCATCAAAACTTCGAGTCTCATCCTCGAAATGCGCAGCTGCGAGACTCTGGACGAGGCTTTCAATGTGTACAGAAAGACACGTGCTGAACTGAGCGACAACGGCTACTCCACGATCCTGCGTGCATTCAGCCGAATGTCACATAGCATGGGCCACCCAGACATGCTCCAATACTACTTCCAAATAGTGCAAGACATGCGCCAAGCTGGATTCCGCGCCACCGAGCGCGTCTACACTGACATTCTGCAGCAGTTGTCAGAAGTCGGTGGGTTGCGGAAGAAACGATGGAGTGCGGCCCACGACCACGACCCGCTCGCTACTCCCCCTGCCAAGATGAACACCGATCTCGAGGCTGCTGTCCGTCAAGTCCACAACATCATCGCCCTCGACACGACCATCCAACCCGACCGGCACCTTTGGAATCAACTTATGGACACCTACCAACGCCTTGGAAATTTCGCAGAGGCATTCCGTGTTTGGGAAACGATGTATCACGCGCAGAAGTACGGGTCAATATCCGTTAGCATTGTCCTCGACGCCTGCGGTTACGCCGGCGAGTTCGACGTTGCAAGGCAAATCATCAACAACATCAGAAGTCAAGGCTATGTCCTCACCCTTCATAACTGGAACACGTACATAGAGGCCTTGTGTCGATTACGCCAGTTCAGCAAAGCCCTCGAAGTCATCACCCTGGATATGGGGACCACTGCACAACCCGTCAAGCCTGAAATCTCCACAATTTTGGTCATGGTGAAGCTAGCGCAGACACGCATCCAAACCAACATCATTCTGCAACGAGTGCGACGCTTCTTGCCGGACTTATGGACTGAATGGGAAGAACAGAAAAAACAGAGGTCTCCTCCGAATGAGTCAGAAGAGAACGAGGAGAACGAACGACCACCATAAAATGTATTAAGAGTACAATATTGACTGATTATTCTTCCTGGAATTTGTCCACCCGTTGAGCAAAAGTCTAAGGAATTCTAGTGTCGTCTATATCATCAGCCACAGATCATGATTGCGCGAGCTCTTCGACTGAAGGGCAGTCGCACTGAGCGGGAAAGTCAATTATGTAGACCAAGATCGTCAGGTAACGCTTACCACTAAATTCAAATCACCGTATGCTGAAAGAATTTGAGTTAAACCGACTTAAAAGAACGGTTGCCTTACCATCATCAACTCGGGCTACTGTAGGCCAAAATTTCTTTTCTCGTAACCATGGTAGAGGATAAGCCGCAGCAGCGCGGGAGTACGGCCTTAACATTAGAGTTAACGAAGGGCCAACGTTTTTGGACAACCAGCATACCGGCTCCATTCTGCCTCGGATAATGCAATGACATGCGGTGGATGCGGGGCGTTCTTGAGCAGGTTGTTGTCTTTGGGTTGTTTACCAGTGATGATGTCCTCAGCTTCCTTGCGAATCTGGATCATCGCTTCGCAGAACCTACAGCAAAATGAGCTCGAGAACCTGTTTCAGATACCAAATAGCGCAGACCTTTCGATTTCTTCCAGTGTTTCGGATTCCGTCGGCTCAATCAGCATGCAGGTTGAAATTGGCCAAGAGCATGTCGGAGGATGGAAGCCATAGTCTTGGAGCCGTTTGGCGAAGTCAGGCACTTTGAGTCCGGCTTTCTCGAACTCGGCGAGGTCAATCAACAGTTCGTGCGCGACGCGACCATGCTCATTTTTGTATCGCAAAGTATAGTGTCCAGAGAGACGATGGGCCATATAGTTGGCGTTGAGGAGCGCCAGCTTAGAAGAGTTCACAAGGCCCTCGCCGCCTAGCATCTTGATGTATGCCCATGAGATGAGGAGAATCGACGCGCTACCAAAAGGCGCAGCAGAGACAGGGTTCATGGCCTTGTCACCAACATCATGCATGAATGGATGCGAAGGCAAGAAAGGGGACAAATGTTCAGCGGTACATATCGGCCCGACGCCCGGCCCGCCTCCACCGTGAGGACTTGGAAGACGAGTTAACGGTACGAAAACAAGTTGAGTAAAGCTCACATGGCAAAGGTTTTGTGAAGGTTCATATGACAAACATCGCCGCCACATGTTGCAGGATTTGTGAGACCAACTTGAGCGTTGAGATTGGCACCGTCCAGATAGACCTGACCACCGTTATCGTGGATGATTTTGCACGCATCTTGAACGCCATGTTCGAAAACACCGAAAGTCGAAGGATATGTGATCTATTGACTGTTGGAGTCGCGATTCAAAGGAAGTGGATTAGCAAACCATGAAGGCAGCGAGATTGTCCTTGTGCTTCTCAGCCTTGGCCTTGAGATCTTCCAAATCGAGGTTTCCATCCGCAAGAACTTTGACTGAAACCACTTTCAACCCTGCCATTACGGCGGACTGTAAGCTAAGTGAGTTAAAATAGTGAGGAGAGATGTTGACAAACTGCAGGGTTGGTTCCATGAGCTACATAAAAAGACATTAGAACAAGTTCGTGGGTCAGTATCTCGCGTTTACCTGATAGAGGGATTAAACAAATATCGCGATGACCCTCGCCTCTGGACTCGTGGTAGGCGCGGATCACGCAGAGTCCAGCATACTCTCCAGCCGCTCCAGAATTAGGCTGCAGAGATGCAGCGTGGAATCCGGTAATCTTGCACAAATCGGTCTCGAGTTCCTTTGGAATGTGAGTGCATTTAGCTAAGGGTCCAGGGTCCAATGATATTACCTGGATGATTGCTCGATAGCCTTGGACCTGATCGTACGAAGTGAACGGATGGACGTTGCTGAACTCTGGCCACGTGAGAGGAATCATACTGGATGTGCTGTTCAACTTCATAGTGCAGCTGCCCAGTGGAATCATGGAATGAACAAGTCCGATGTCCTTCGAGGCGAGGTGGTGAATGTATCGCAACATTTCTGTCTCTGAATGATGTTTGTTGAAGACAGGATGAGGAAGATACTCTGACACTCTCTCAAGTGTAGAAGGTATGACAGAAGATCCAGGCAGGGTGAGCTCGTTCAGTGAGGTCAAAGGCTTTCCGGCGGCAGAGGCAAAGACGTTGATGAGGGCAACAAGGTCTGATGGGGTGACACTTTCGTCCAAAGTAACCCCAACGCTCGTGTCAGTTACGCGACGAAGGTTGACGCCAGCCAGAGAGGCGGCAGTGTGAACGGCTTGAGACGTCCGGGTGGCCTCTTTGACTCCGATGGTTAAGGTGTCAAAAAAGGTGGTATTCTGAGCCCGGTAGCCAAAAGGTTCAATTGCCGATAAAAGAACCTTCGTGAAGGAGTGAACTTTCTCCGCGATTTGCCTGATTCCAGTTGGTCCATGGTAGACTGCGTACATCGCAGCCATGTTGGCCAATAACGCCTGACTGGTGCAAATGTTGCTGGTTGCCTTTTCACGCCGGATGTGTTGTTCACGAGCTGCGAGTGATGCGTCGTCAGAAATGCCAACAAAGTTAAAATGATCATCTCACTTTGAAGGGCCAATCTGTAAGCAGGAAGTCCCATAGCATCACGACTCCGACCAATGAGACGACCAGGCATTTTTCGCTTGAGTTTATCAGACACTGCGAAGAAGGCTCCATGCGGGCCTCCGTAACCCGACGGAACACCAAATCTTGCCGAGTTCCCCAAAACAATATCAGCGCCCCATTCACCAGGTGGTTTGAGCATTGTCAACGCGAGGAGATCGGTGGCACAAACGACCAGGCCGCCCAAAGCGTGAACTGATTCAGCGAGGGAAGTAAAGTCCTTGATGTGGCCATCAACATCAGGATATTGCACTAGAACACCACAAATGTCCGATTTGAGAGCCGGATTTGCGATCTCGACCGTCGCGTCACCCACGATGATTTGAATACCGAAGCCTTTTGCTCGCGTGCGGAGAACAGCAAGGGTTTGCGGTAAGACCCCTGAGTCGACCAGGAACACTTTCTTCTTCTGTGAAGCGGATACGAAGGCCATGACCATGCCTTCAGCCGCTGCCGTAGCTTCGTCGAGTAGAGACGCGTTGGCAATATCCATAGAGGTCAAAGAGGTGACCATGGTCTGATAGTTGACCAGGGATTCGAGACGACCTGTGTTATAGACCTTGAGCGTGGTGATACATGAGATGGTATGCTGACCTTGAGCAACTTCAGGCTGGTACGGCGTATATGGTGTGTACCAAGCGGGATTTTCCATGACCTCGATGGCGAGTTCAGTAGGAAAAGAAGACTAAAAGACAACACACACATTGCGCAGAATTACTGGAGGCACGACGGCCGTGTGGTAACCCATCCCAATATAGCTCTTGTAAAGCTTGTTGTGTCCTGCGAGTTCCTTGGCGCGTGCGTGGAGCTCCGATTCGCTCAACGCCGGGATGGAGTCGACGGCGGCAGTGGATACTCGAATTTTTGGAGGGACAGCTGAATTCACAAATGCGTCCATAGAGTCGAATCCGAGGGAAGTGAGCATTTTGGTTGTCTCGCGGGCATCCGGTCCAATATGGCGAGGAGCGAAGGTGTCGAGGGGAGCAAAGACCGTTGGTCTGGCATTACTCGCGAAGGCACGGCGAGCAAGGGTTGGCGCTAGACGCCAGAGACCACCTCTGACCATTTTGAAGCGAAGTGGTGGAGAGAGAGGAGAGGCGGCGAGACAAGACAAAATCTTTTATTATGCATTCCACCGAGCTTTTCACTGAGTCAAGGTGTGCCAGCATCTACGTCGCATATTTTGGCGATAAGCTTATCGTCGGCCGAAGAAGACTCAGCAGTCGCTTCAACGACTCGGGGCAAGGTTTGAGAGGCCCATCGAACATTTTTCGGGGAGTAAATGGTCGAGAAATGAGAGTAGGGTTCCCGAGTGCAACGAAAAGAATTTTTTCACAACTACAATGACGTCGATGATAAGGGTTTCTTACATACTTCTGACTTGGTTTTCTTCCCCAAGGAAACCAACACCGAGCTTCTGTAAGCAGATGAGCTGCTGGAAAATCTAGGGCGCCTAATGCACAACGCAGGAAATTGTATTCAACAAACGCGTGACGTCATTCAATTACTGCCACGGTAGCAATGCAAGCACATCACTATAAACGAAACGAGACAGAGCGACTTCAGCCACCTCCCCTCCTGGTTGAGCTAACGGGATGTCTTTCAGTCCATGAACCCCATCCCGTTCAATCTCTGTTGCGACAACACGAAGTGCTCGGTCTGCCGAATGCGCCTTGGCCTCCACGATCTTAATCTGATAGTATTCGGTCACGCTCAAGAGTCGCGTCAGAATAACCTCTGCAGGCTGGTCAGTTGTGAGCGATGCTCGACGTTCTGCCTGAGGAAGCGAAAGCGTCCGCAGTAAAGACAATTGCGCGGACAAGATCGATGATGACCGAACAAGTTCATACTGCGCCGACCGTTGAGCCAAAATGTTAAAATCTTTATTGGAGACTCACCACAAATTGATGAACTGCTTGTGGTGTAGGCAAAAACATCTCGCACTTCTGAAGGCATAGCTCAATAAACACGACGGTCTGAAGCAGAACTGAGTGCAGGCATAATCAAGGAGAGGAACAAACGGACCGTCCGCACAAGTTGTTCAACGCCTCCTGTCGTCGTCAGACTGTCGAGTTTAGAGGACAAGAATGAAAGTAAATTGAGGATGGCGCTCCAAAGCTCCTGCCATGTGTATTCTTAGGTATCATGATATCAGGTCGGTGCAAAAAATATTAGCCTTGTTGTCGCACCTAAACGAACATGGGCTTTCCATAAAAACCAAACAACGCGGTAACAGACCCAGAGACAGGTTCTAGTAGAAGTTAGGTATATTTCGTGAGGAGTCTGGAAGTCTTGCATGTATGATTGAACTTCGAATCTTTTGTGCAGATTATGTCTGAGCCACAGGACACAGCAGTCTAAGAGGGCACAAAGTGGTGGACGTCGTGACGGAGGGGAGGGCAGAGCCGGTAATCGCTGTACGAAACATCAGTCAACTAACCCTATGAAACGACTGTTCTTACTTGTCGACATAGCCTGATTCTCTCGTCGGTAGGCTGGGAAAATGAAATAAGAATACCATCATTTTGTACCAGCGCAAGTAAAGTGTTGAGACAGAGGTTGGCGTATACGATTGTTCTTGGAGAAGAGGTCGAGGACGCGTGGGTCAGAATATAAGAAGAGAGGGAGATGATATTATATGGCGGGGAGTGAGTGTTTGCTCTCGGCTCGGGCGACGGAGCTATCAACACTAGAGGAAACACAGGGTTCCGAAGAAATTCGAACACGGCAAGTAAAATCACGCATGCCTCGGTTGGATGAGCCTTGAAAAGCTCCCGAGGAGGCTCTGTTGGCGTCAAGGCACGATCCGGTCGGAATTTGGTCAACATTTCTCCAAGTGAATTCACCAGGGTCTTCGTAGTATCATCATCGGCGGAGACCTCTTGATATGCTCTGCTCCATCGTGTGACTTGAGCAGTCGGGTGCAAACAACTCAGCGTACTTTACGACTGGTTCGAGGGATAAGCTTGCGGCCGAGCAGATGATCCGCATGAGGTCTTGGTCATCAGTGTGTTGAATGTGCATCAAGTATCCATTCTGTTTAGATTTGTGATAGTTGGCCAGAACAGCAATTCTGGAAGTCGATGAATCGCCTGCAAAAGGTATGAACAACGAGCGTTTACAAAAGGATAGCTTCCGAAGCGAATTTCCGTGTATCTGGAGCTTTGATGAACTAGGGAAACAGTTTAGTCGTTGCCTCTGAATCGGTCCATGTTCGGCGGAAAACACACAGCAACAGTGGCGGGAAACAGGTCACGTCGCAGAAAATAGGCGCCAGGACTAAGCTGAGAGCAGTGTTCAGATCATTGCTGTGGTAATACTGTCGCGCCGAAGGTATAATAGTACCTGACCAATGGCACCCACGAATGTTCTAGTTTAGTGAGTGAAATTCTTCGACGAGACGGATGTATCAGCCTACAGTGCAAGTCGGAGCGCTTCGTGACGAATATCCACTGCAAAACCAAATAAGAGGAGAAGGATATAGATAGCGCAATGCAAGCCTGGAATATCGGTCTTCGGTAACAACTCGCATATCAATTCGGTTAGATTCGAGAAGACAGTGTCTGCTTGAGTGACGCCGCCAGCCATAACCTCCATAACTTCCCAGCCAGTGGGAGCCGGCGATCTGGCAAAGATGCATCTACACTTGGTCGGGAATAAGCGGACGTTTGGAAGGCACATAAACTTACGAAAATAGAGAGAGTCTCTAAAGCGTGGCGTTTGTGGTCGGTATTTGATGCTGTAGGGCTAGCATGGCGGAGACATGCTTCGACCAAAGCATTGAGGTTAGACTGGCGATCCTAAGTCGCGATCTAACCGAAGTAAACGCGAACGAGCCTTGAACGGACCAAGGCATGCGTGCATAGGAAGCCTGTTCAGTTCCCGGATGAGGCTGTCGCGTCGAGGAGTCAAGTCAAACAGTCCATCGAAGAAACTGTCTTCGATCTTGTGTTGCGCTGGCGAATTCAAAAGTTGAGAATACGCCACCTCGATTCGCGGCTGGAGCTGCATAACAGCGCACGTCCACGTGCATTGTGACAGCCTGTGACGTTTCATCGCTTCTCTTGGCTCCGTCGCAACATCGGGTCCAAACTTAGGATTTTCGGGGATTTGCATATAAAAGCCCTGATGCAGTCTGCACTTCCCTCAAACCCCCGGCCATGAAGGTCTCCACACTCATTTTTACCTACTACTATTTTTGCCTCTATCGAGTCCATGCCGCGGTCATCGACACCTTGCCGACCGAAGCCGTCTCTAATGCCCCAAGTTCTACCTCCACCCTCCCTCCGAATGCGAATTCCATCCCAACTTCTTCGGCGTCATTAATTTTTTCCGCTTCTGCTGGAAGTGCATCCTTCAGCGCTAGCGCTACCAGCTCCTCTCAATCTGCCCAACCTTCTTCCCCCCTCCTTGCTTCCGGCGTTGATCAGGACGTTGCTACCCTACTTGAGCGTCGTCTATCGAACATAGTCGGAGACCTGACCAATGCTGCGTCGATTGGCACTTGGTAAGCTGAGCTGCTTAATTTATTGTCGTGATTGAATAGGCTTTCAGGCTTTCTACGCAGAACGCGAATGGCCAGTGGCCCGATGTAGACTATACGACGGGTATGTTTTCTCCGGGAATACGTGACCTCGTCCCGCTTATCAACCTCAGGTTGCACTGCGCAGAGAGCGAACTGGCCGGCCAAGACTCATCTCGACAGACTGTGTGAGACAATTCCGTGCGCCAACAACTCGGCTAATCAAAGCATTCAGCTACGCTGGCTGGCGCTTGGCATGGTGCTCTCGCTGGAGCGACACAATATGCTCAAGACCCATCGGTTTTGGTTGCCGCCAAGTCCGCGATGGACTACTGGTTCGCGAATGATATGACAAATGTCGCTTGCCTCGACCAAGGAGGCTCGGACGCTTGTCCCTGTGGTTCACCAGGTTTGTCAAAAGCTAGTATCTCACTGAAATAAATAAACAAGTAATAATTTTTAGGCCTTTGGAATACCAATTGGTACTGAATGTCGCCGCAGTCAAGTTACACAACTAAAATTACAACAGGTATCCTGGTATTATCGGTATCCCTATGGTCGTCTCGGTCTCCTGTCTCCTGCTCAACTCGACTTTGACCGAGGCGGAGAAGAGCAAGTGTGTTGATATCACAGCTCGTGCATATCAGGCATTTGTGGTCCCCGCTCATGGAGTTGGCACTTTGACTGGCGCAAATTTGCTCGATGTTGCGAAGGCATAGTTGTTGAATAAATCTGCCACATCTCCAGCTGATTATAACTAGATTGGCGTTGATCTGGGTCTGTTAACCACCAATGTCAGTCTGATTCAAGACGCATATTCGAGGGTCCACAACGAACTCGTTATCAAACTTCCTACCCGTGCCGATGGAATTCGACCAGATGGTAGCTTTTCTCAGGTATAATCCAGACAAATTTATGGATCCTTTTGCTGATGACTTGCTAGCACAACGGAATTCTCTACAAGTAAACATGTTTTTTTCAAGCTTTGGTCGGTAACCTAACCCTTCCTAGTGGCAATTATGGCAAAGACTAGTACGAATATTGTGACAATCTTTTCAGATCGGTCTCTCTAATATTTTTTCCAGTACCAACGACGTTGTTGGTCTCGAAGTGGGAGCGGGAGGAACCAGTTTCCAAGCTACCCCTGCCTCTCAAACAGCTATGGAAACACTTTTCAATGGCCACAAATGGATGATATACCGCAATGTCGTCACTGGTATCCTTCATTGGGACTTCGTGTGTGCCCATAAAACCGTCTCACTTTTCTAAACTCAACATCTGCAGTCTGCCCTTGGCCGTTTTATCGCATTCCCTGCAACGGATGTTACTCAGTAAGCCCATCCGACGTTTAATTTCCTGGTCCTCACCCGTGTAGAGCGACAGCCAGTATTCTTCTCAATCTTACCAAGATCGGGGAGCTTGGAGAATCATGGGGCTCAGAGCCGATCACTGAATTCTCTAGCTCGTTGCTTCAAGGCTCGTCCAGCGCCAACGCAGGTGACCTCATAGGCAATAAGATGTTCTTCGACAACGACTACATGGTCCACCGTAGCTCCAATTATGTGACAAGCGTTAAAATGGTCTCATCACGAGGTGTAAATACTGAGTGCACCAACTCCGCCAATCCTTTTGGCTTCCATCTCTCCACTGGTGCTCTGCGGACTTATCTGCGAGGCGACGAGTATGAGGTGCGTCCCGATAACTCATTACTCGTCCATCATTTAACTGTAATCTGTAGAGTATCGCGGCTGCCATGGTAAGTGAACGAATAGCCGTCTTATTCTTTCTCCGATGTTTTGCAGGACTGGAACCTCATACCGGGAATAACGACAGATTATGGGGCAACACCACTCAACTGCGGCCAGACGGGCTCGACTGGTGTCGAAGCTTTCGTTGGTGGTGTATCTGATGGCCAAATCGGAGTCGCTGCCATGCGTTACACAAACCCTCTGACCAAGGCGCTCAAATTCCAGAAGGCCTACTTCTTCCTCGACAACGACGTCCAGCTTGTGATGATATCCAACATAACATCTACCACGACTGCGTCTGTTATCTCTGTCCTGGACCAAAAACGTCGCAACGGCGATGTTATTGTTAATAGCGACACTAGAGTTCCGACTTCCCAGACTCCATTCTCACAAGCTGGAGGAAACACCCAGACTTTATGGCATGACAACGTTGGATATAACTTCGCAGCTTCCCCTGCGAGCGCATTTTCGCTGTCCGTGCAACTCGGCGAGAAAACCGGAAGCTGGAATACCATCGGGACGTCTCCTGCGCCTCCAGTCACCGTCGACCTCTTCTCGGCCTGGCTTGTGCACAGTGCTCTGAACGTTTCCCTTGCTTACACCATCTATCCTGGTGTCGACTTTTCGACCTTCACCAGCAAGGTCAAGCAAAATACTCCCCGTGTTATACAAAATGATGGATCGATTTCTGCCGCCGTCGACCCGGGTAGCTTCAGTGCTATGGCCGTGTTTTGGACTGCAGGTGGAGGCAAGGTCAACTTCGCGCCAGGGTCCCCTGCTGCTTTCACAATCGCCGCCAGCGGAACTGCCGCTGTCATCTTCAGTCTGAAGACTGGAGTGGTTACGGTCTCTGATCCGACACAAACACTAGGAACAGTCTCCGTGACCTTGGCGATAGGGGCAGAACATTTACCAGCTGGCTCGGCGAGTATCGCAAAAACGCTAACGTTCACTTTACCGGACTCTTCACGTGGCCTGGCGGGAAGTAGCGTGTCCCAAAATATCTTCTAGATATCAAGGCGCGTGAAGTCTGGCTCAGCTACGAAGTACATGCAGAAGTACAATCTTTAAATATCTATAATGTACACTGCCGAATGATCCGCTGATCCCTCTGAATCAATTATTGTGCCTCCGCCAGTCATGGCGTCTGCACGGCGCGACCCTCACCTACCTACCCGACGCGCTGCCCCGTCTTCAAGCTCTGTCAACAGGCTCGCGCACATCCATATCGTCGCTCACCCGCTGAATGTTTTGAAGGCATAGCAGATTACAAGTGACGCCCAGTCGTTCGCAAAAGAAACCCAGAACTACTCAACAAACACCTCTCAATCGACATGGCACCCTACTTAGTCCTGCTTCAAACCCTGTCCCTGCTGCAAGACGCGCGGCGGAACTCAAGACTGTCCTTGGGAATACCCATTCACGCCTTCCTCCAAAAGCTGCCGTTACTTCAGAAAACCAGAGCCAAGAGACAACATTACTAGAGCAAGCAAAGAACCGGGCGCGAGGTAAACTCTAAGCCTTCTTCCTCTCCTCGAATTTATCTTTGTTCTCCCAGTTGAAGTTGATATTGCGCTGCGCAACAACATATGCGTCGAAGGCGGTTTCCTCTCTGGCCTCATCAAGCTGAGAATACGATCACGCTCAAGCAAAGAACCTGAAATCTCACTGGGGGATGCAAAATTGCGAATCATCGGGATAGAAACTGTCGGTAGCGATTGCCACGAATTCTTCCAACATTCAGCAACCTTTTCCGACATCGGGATCAACATCAATCTCAACGGCGCAAATGCGGACTCTGAGGGGTTTTTCAGTGCTAAAGAAGGCACTCACAAGTTTAACTTCAATATGCACCTTCCAATCAAACAGTCGGGGCGATCAAGAGGAGTGTTTCGCTGCCAGTCCGGTACCATTCGATATATTGCTCTCGCGTGAGTTATAGCAAATTCTTGAGACGAGTCTCCCTCTCACCGCGTAACAGGTCTATCAAGGTCAAAGATGAACAAGGCAATCGCAGCATTGCTCATTTCTTTCGCGATTGCCAAATCTATCCCCGATTCGATCCTGCGACGGTTTTGGCACCTGCACAGCAACTTCTTCGTGCCTCCAACTCTGGCATGGGGATCAGCATGACCGCGAATCTTCACCGAGAATACTTCGTCGCTGGCACCAGTGTCCCAGTCGAGTTCAACGTTCATAATGGTAGTGGGCGGGTTGTGAAGAGCGTCGTCCTCACCTTATATCAAACCATTGGTTTTTTCAAGCGAAAAGCGCAGAAAGCTGTCACCGATATGCACGTGTACCGGCCGTCTGCACCAAAATCGATTGCTTCCTCAACGCTGGAAATGTCTGAAGGTTATACTCGACGCCATGCTAGCGCAGCGGGATGGTGGCCTGGAATACACAAGGGAGAAATGGTGAATTTCAGTCACATGCTACTCATACCGGTCCGCGTTCAGATTGTCAGCTATCAAGTATCATTCTCACACGAATTTCTAGCCAGAGGCTTTGAGTTATCCTCGAGGTCGGTTAATCGAAGTCAACTATACTCTCAAGGCCACTCTCAGCTGTGGAACCTTATTGCCTGACCTCTCCGTTACTCTCCCGATTCGTATCATCAACTTTCTTTCTTTGGACCCTCCTCCATCCCTCGAAACTCTACCACCTGGACTAGATAACGACTTGGGCCGCACTGTTCCTTATCGGCTATCTCGACTGTCTCTTCACGATGACGCGGAACCGGAGACCGCCCACGAGATTGAGTCGGCAAGTGACTATCCTACAGAAAAGAATGTTCTAGATGAAGCGGGCCCGGTTGTGATCGATGCTGTCGAAGATCTTCTGCAACGCTCCATTTTTGCGCAACGCCAAGACGACTTTGAGCAACGAGTTGAGACTATCTCAGAAAATGTGACCGAGACTACCACTCCTTGTGATCAAGTACAGAGCAAGCAACGCTTGGGTCCACCCGCTTTTGCTCAACGCGTCCAAAATAAGTTGAATCTTGCCCGCCAATCTCCATTAGACTTGAACAATGACTCTATTTCGGCAACCTCGTCTCACCAGGCTGTGAACTCGAGTTTTCTCAATGATGAATATCTAGATGAGCCACCTCCAGTTACTTCGTTCAAACGAGACATTGGCGCGCACCCCAAAATTGATGTCCTCAACAGTCAAGTTACACCCTATTCCGACAATGCAGCTGCATGTCCGCCTACTCCAGATACCCCGAAATCCACTTCTTCCATTAGCGCGACAGTGGATGCAGTCGATAGTCATGTTACACCCTATCCCGATATTGCAACCACACCAATACTCGCGCCAGATACCCCCAAATTCACTCCTTCGTTCAAACGAGAGGCGACTGTTGATGGACTCGGTACAACATATACCAACATTATCGCCATACCAACACCTGCTCTAGACACCCCAAAACACACTCCAAGCGCCGAATTTGCGCCAGACTTATCTACCAGTTCGGTGAAAGATCGAGTCAAGGCGTTTGAACAGCGTTTGCGACCTGGTGGCAATAGATAGCTCGTTAAGGCATGAAAGGCTGATTACATGGATGGTACGATAGTTGTTAGCAGTGAATTAAATGCGGGTTCGATGATCAACATCCATTCAACCTCCGAGAACAGCAAGTGCTGCTCGTAATTCTTTGCGTGCCTGCTCTGCATCCTCGTAGTCCAATGCACTGATTGCGAATCGACAGTGCTTTTGAGCTTTAGCGACCACGAGCGGTGTTAGAACGGTCAAGGGCTGAGGTGGTGGTGGTTGGGAAACTAGAGTTGGTGGAACGGCGATTGTAGGTGGCGGAGGCAATGGCGGCGTAAACACGTCGGGAGGCGGGGCTGAGGGATACATTGAGTTGCTATTTCCGAAGATGACAGAATCTGGGGGCACGTGCGATGATGCAGTGGGATAGTATGGTGACACAGGGGGTGAGTTCCCAGCTACTGAAGGCGTGAAATGAACGGATTTCTTTGGTTCCTGCTCGTTTTCCGGTTGTAGTGAGATAGTGTGTTGAGAATCTCCGCTTCCTTCCCTCTCTCGACCCTTTCCTTTGCCGAGACTGGGTGATTGGGGAACGGTAAAATCGTGTGGAGTGGTTTCGCCTGTTCCTGGTGTGGCAGCAGTACTCCAGCTACCGGGAGTGGCCTCTCCCGCATGTTGTCCAGCCCACGAACCGGGATGGAGGTCATTAGAATGGCGTGGTGGAGTCAACGAAGCAAATAACCGATTGGCGTCCGCTATGACCTCGGGCTCTATCTGGGGTGAAGTTCTTTTGCCATTTGTGGGCTGATCTGAGAGCCCACTGAATGGCGCAGGTGGTGAGCCTTTTAATGTACCAGCGTTGCTCCCGATACTCGATGGTCCAGTGGCCTGCTGAAGTTGAGCAAGTTCTGCGTCGATGCTGGGATCCGAGCCGGCCGGGCCGGGCGTGGGCTTTCTTCCTTCTCTGAAGGCTTTAGCGATATCGGCAGCCTTCCACTTCGCGTATTTGATTTTCTCTTCAGTCTACGCTGTGCGTTAGTAATGCTCGATGATGAGGTCAAGGTCGGCGCGCACACTCTCGGAGATCTCGGTTTTGGGGAATGTCTTGAGTATTTCCAGAAAATTAGCCGCTGCGAGAAATTTCTTTGCTGTTGACCGGTTTCCGCCGCCAGAACGATCTTCGTTATCTGCCGAGGCAAAAACGCGAAGAGCAAAGTTTTCGACATACGCAGCACTGGCCGATTCAATGTCTATCGCGTCTGTAGGTCCGATTTGCGCTTTCATCTTCTCAAGGTTTCCTAGCAGCTCAAATAGAAAGTCGCGGGAAGTTGCGTCTTTGGCCTTGAGTGCAATTCCGACCTGAGCTGCATAATATGTGCCTTGAAGGGTTCAGCGCGTTAAAATCACTTGCTCGAAGGGCTTACACCAGTATGCGATGATGGGCTCTTTCTCTTTGAGTTCGTCAGCGCGTTGGAGGTAGGGTGAGATGGTCTTCAACGCGGCTGGAGTTGTAGGGAGGACCATGGTGGTTCAGGTGAGGCTGCGGTGTCACACGGTGGAGGCTGTTATAAACTGACTGCGTTTAGACGCTTGCGATTGGGCATTCAAGTCGAGACTCGGAACAAGATTTGTGGAGCGTGACAACTGCGACTCAGAACGGTCACGGCTTTCTTTTCTCAACGACAACCATGGCTGCTCGCGTTCACAACCACGGGTCCAACAGAGCCAAACCACGCGAGACGATCGAAAAGAAAGAGGTGTTCAAGGGCGTGTTGGATAGCCCATATCGCGTTGCTTGGTGAATTTGGCTTCCATTCCAGTTCAGCTCTTCACCTCACCCAATTGGCTTTGCAGGCCTCTGATCTCCACGACCACCCAGATTAAAACCAAAGATATCGCTCTGGAATTCTTTAAGAACTTTTCATCTGGTCGTCGGGGGAAAAGACCTATGCAGGATGTCAATGATAGTCTCGAGCCGAACAAGAGAAGAAAGACTGGCGAGGAAGATTCAGCAACAGTCTCTCATGAAATGCCCCCTGAAGTTGTCGAGTCTGAGCCCGCGCCTGTTGACTCCAATCTCCGCAAACATGTGTACATCGGTATAAACCAAGTAACTCGACGCCTTGAAGCCCAGCTCCGTTCATCACGCAAAGTCACTGTCATTCCTACGACTGAGCCCCAGCAATCTGCAGTGGTGCCGCTCAAGTTGATTCTAGTTTGCCGGGCGGATGTCGACCCCCACATCCTCATCGAACATCTGCCTCAGGAAATTGCCGCGTTCAACTCCACCAAGCCCAAAGAACTAGTCAAGATGCTTTATCTTCCAGCTGGTGCAGAAGCCATGCTAGCAGAGGTTATAGGAATCAGACGCCTGGCGGTCATTGGTTTGGATGTATGCGATCGCCATTCCTGTTGAGATCCATGCTGAGAGCCCTTCAGGTTGACACTCCCGGACTCGATAAGTTCGACAGCGTCATGCAAGAAGTCGATGTTGTAACCGCACCTTGGCTTACGTCCAGTGTTCTGCCAGATTCCGCCCCAATTCAAGAAAAACTCCTCCCCACACACGTGAAACAAATGCGCACCACCGCCCCAAAGGACATGAAACTGGCTAAGCTATTGAGAGCAGAAGGAAAGAATGCAGCGAAGAAGATCCGAAAAGCAAAAGATGCAGCTAGAAAGGCGAAGGCAGAGGAAGAGAAAAACAAAAAGAAGGAAACGGAGAAAGCCTCGTAGAGTTACTTGTGTCTTGCCACTGTTGCATTATCGTTTTGTACACGCGAGTTAGGATAATCTCATCACATGACCGAGAATATCGCTCTTGACGCGAACGTCCACTATGTTTGTTGCTATCATAGGGCAGTTCTCTCCGCACAACTTGGTACATTATTGACTAATGGACCATCAGGCACTCGTTGCGCGGGAAAAACCGCTGTCCAAGAGTACTTGGCTGCCAAAGATTTCGAACGAGTCGCCATTCGACCTGACCTTGAGCAACTCTCTGACACGTCGTCCGACGTGATTTCCACCTTCGATGATTTATACGAAGATCCAGTTGCGGTCAAACACTTATCATTCCTCTCCATGGGTCCTGCACCGTCAGTGCCGCCCGCCATTTCAAACAGGCACAAGACGCGCTACTTTACCTCCCCTGCATTGATGCTTGACTTTGTAACACGCGAATGGAGAAGAGACTGGGTAACAGTCGATCTCACTACGCGAGACACGCTGGAAATGTTCATGCTACGACCATTTGTACTCGTCCTATCTATCGACGCCCCACTCTTTGACCGCTTTAACCGGTTCAACTCGAGGTATTCAATTCCTTACCATATTGAACGATTGTTCAAGCTCCAATAGCAACTCTCCACCAGCCACCTTAGAAGAATTTGTCAACGAAGACGATTATCGAGTCTTTGGCGCTGGTCCACAAGAATCGACATCATCTCTCCATGGCATTCGAGATTTGGTTGATATCCACGTGTCAAACCCCTTCAAGAAACTCTCAGAACTTCACCAATATCTCGATGACCTGAATCTGCTTGACCCTGGTCACCTTCGTCCCAATTGGGACGCGTACTTTATGGTTTGTTGGTCACATACCCTGGACGAAACATTGCATTCAAGCTGGCCAGACGCTAGCATCACTTGCTTCCCGGCGATCAAACTGCATGAAGCGAAGAGTTGGTGCTGTCCTTGTAAGGGAGAATCGGATCCTTGCCACTGGGTTTTCGTGCAGTCCTTTCAAGACCTGAATCGAAATCTTACTCCAGTTCAGCTACAACGGCACGCCGCGTGGACTAACCAACTGCAATGAGGGTGGCTGCATACGATGTAACATGACCGCCTACCCGGGAGATGTAGAATATGAGTGTGTTTGTCTCCATGCCGAGGAGAACGCTCTTGTGGGTTCCTTTATAAACTTGGTCGATACCTGCTTATGGTCTTAGCTCGAGGCAGGAAGAGAGCGTGTCGGTATGGGATCTGTGCTCTATTGCAACACGTTCGTATACTTTTCTCGTCTTGTCGCTATTCTCATCCACTCTTTTTAGTTGCCCATGCTTGACCTGCACGATCAAGATAATCCAAGCTGGAGTGAAGACTGTGGTGTACAATCTAAGCTATAAGGTCGATGACGCATCTGCACGATTAATGGCAGAGGCTGGGGTGGAATTAAGACGATTTCAGCCCGTTAATAACCCAAAGTAATGTGGGAAATTACATAATATGGAATCGTTGATCCGGAAGACCCTTCACCAAAACCTCTTCACCTCCAGCCAGACGACGACGTTGGTCTGCGTGGTCATTATTTATAACGTATGTACCATGGCCAACGCTGGATCTCTTTCCATCTCGTTCAAGTGCTATCGATCTCCCTGACTGTCGGTTTGCCAAAAAAAAACTAGAGCTGACCGTGGATTCCAATGAGCCCACGCATTCTTCTGATTGATTCTTACGACTCGTTCACCTTCAAGTGCGTGTGCTTATTATACCCTCCGGCCTTCTCGTTCTGACCATAACAGCCTAGCGTCTTTATGCAAACAGGCGGTTTCGGGCTGCTCAATCCACATCATACGCAACGACCAGCTCACGATTGAACAAGTGGCCCCTTCGCTGGTGTACTTTGATGCAGTCATCATCAGTCCTGGGCCTGGTTCTCCAGAAAACGACAACGATGTTGGCATCATCAAACATCTTTGGAACTTCGACATACCCATATTCGGTGTCTGTTTGGGTCTGCAGAGCTTGGGGCTTGCCTTTGGCGCCAGGGTGGCGCGACTCCCTACTGTTAAACACGGCCAAATATCCACCATTCATCATGCTGGCCGCGATATCTTTGAAGGAGTCGAGGCTGTCGATGCGGTCCGTTATCATTCTCTTCACATCGTGCTGTCGCCGCAAGCCACCCAAATTGAAGAAATCGCTTTCGCTGATGACAAGGAGGACAATGGACACGTTGTAATGGCCATCAGGCATGTCTCCAAGCCTTTCTGGGCCGTGCAATACCATCCCGAGTCAGTTCGCACCCGTGGCGGTGGCCTAAAAGTCATTCAAAACTTCTGGCGACTTGCACAGAGCTGGAACATCAAAAATGGCCGGAACATCTTAACATGGACTCCGAATATGACTGTATTATTCGGAAACTCCTGGCCGTCACTGCGGAGCTCTTCCGATCCTCGAGTTGTACCGGAACACCGGCCTTTGGCGACTGTCGATTCTCTTAACCTCCCTGATCTCACAAGCACGGCCGTTTGTGAGCTATTCGGTGTCGAAGACAGAGAAGACGCGCCCTTTGTCCTTCTAGACTCGGCAGCTCATCCTGGGCGTTATTCAATCATGGGTTGTCTGATGCAAACTTCACCTCAGATACTCTACTACGTGCCAGATGAACATGTCACAGTCATTCGTGGTCAACAATCCGAACGGCACGAGCTAGAGGGCGTTGATATCTGGTCTTGGCTCGCGAAATTCATGGCTAAAAGACGATTTCGTGGTCTTCATCCGGATTCACCATTTTCTGGTGGGCTTGTTGGCATTCTCAGCTATGAACTTGGTGTTCATCAGCTCAATGTTCCCATCCGGCAGCACACGACACCCGGCGACCGCTATCCGGACGTGAATATGGTTTTCGTTGAACGCTCGATTGTCATGGATTCAGAAACCGGGCAGGTCTATGTCCAGTCCATTATAGAAGAGGACCTATGGGTAGCAGACACTATTCAAACGCTCAGGAATTTCTCCCCATCCTATAAATCCGCCCCATCCGTCCCAAGCGCAACAGCCGCTGCCCTTCCTTCTGAACAAGCATACATTGCTCGCATCGATGCGGCGATGGAACACCTTTCTGCGGGAGATTCATACGAACTATGTCTTACCGCTCGAACCACTGTCCGTGTCCCCAAAGACAGAAATGGCTCCTCCTCCTGGCGACGCTACAAAGCTCTACGCTCAAAGAATCCGGCGCCATACTCTGCATACCTTCGCTTACACCCGACTACCTTTCTCTCTTCGTCCCCAGAGCGATTCATGTTGATTTCACAGCCACCAAATCCCATGGTAAGTATGAGGCCGATAAAAGGAACCGTTAGGAAGGCACCGGGTATCAACCGCCAGGTTGCAGAAGAGCTCTTAGCAGGCAGCGTGAAGGAGGTCGCGGAAAATCTGATGATCGTCGACCTGATCCGACACGACCTCCATTCTGTGGTCGGCGAGGATGTCCAGGTCAGGCAATTTTGCACTGTTGAAGAATACGAGACAGTCTGGCAGCTGGTCAGCGTGATCGAGGGAAAACTAGAGCACGGACTGCCTGAGGCAGAAGATCCTGATAGCCAGATTGGTTGGGAGATATTGAAAACTAGCTTACCTCCAGGTATTCCTCTCTAACCGGACCTTCCTAGAGCTCTGATCCATATGCTGTCAGGAAGCATGACCGGAGCACCCAAGAAACGCAGTGTCGAGATATTGCAAAATCTAGAAGACACTCAGCGGAACCTTTACTCTGGGGTATTTGGCTACTGGTGTGTAGGGGGTAGCATGGACTGGTCGGTAGCCATTCGAAGCTGCTTCAAGCTCAGCCGCCCAGAAGATTCAAGCGAGGAAGAAGAATGGCATATTGGCGCAGGAGGTGCCATTACAGCGCTGAGCGAGCAGGAGGCAGAGTGGGATGAGATGAAGGCTAAGCTGCAGAGTACGATAGCAGCGTTCTATGAGTAAATCTAACTCTAGAGGAAGTGTTTGGTCACGTGAACGCGACGCGTTGAGTCTGCCCGATCATTCCATTCAGAAGAGCGTCAGCAATAGCGATAGCGAAAAACAGGAAACAGTGTCTTTGGGAAATGGCATCACCGCCCAATGGGATGGCGCCGACGACGCAAACCATGATCCCAAAACGCTGGGCTTGGAGAGGAAGCTTGACTTTGTTGCGGCGGCGTGCTCGCGCAGCAGAAGATCAATCTTTTACTCAAGTGGGAGGTCGCTTCCCCAGCGCGGGCATTGGTAATAGGTTTGTAGTTTCTTGTCGCACATCCAACAAGAACATTTTATTTTGAGTGTACTCATTACAGCGATTAAGTAGAAGAGACTACTGTACTACACAAAAACGCTTACCATTATGGCTGCGAGAGATTGTCAAGTGCCTGTTAAGGCGCGATTGGTTACCCACGGATAAATGACAAGGCTAGGGCCTGCGGCAAAGAAAGCGCGAGGGGTGCAAACCCTTGCCCAGGAAATAAAAACCAGAACAACAACAGTCCTGCCTTGCCTCCAACCTCTGGAAGCATTCGAACATACTGCCTCGAACGCAACGGCGCAGAGGCAGTAAGGCTCGTGAGGCAAAGGATGGGAGAGGGTAGCAACTGGAGGTAAACACGAGTCGAGGATCAAAAAGAAGATATTAAAATGCGCACCATCTCGCTGTCCCAAACCCAGAGATGGACGAGTGCATGATTAACGCGCGCTTAGTCACCCACGAATGAGCTACAAGCCTGGGGCCCACGGCAAGGGAGCGCGAGGGCTGCTAACCCTTCCCCAGGACGGGCACCAGAACACAGCAGTCTTGAGCATGCCGTATCCCGCCCCGCTTGAACCGGCCACTGCTGCGACGATTGAGCTTCGACCACGCCCCGGTCTGACCGGCCCGAGACGGCCCGCGAGACGTCCGCCGCTGCCCCGGACCGGACCTTCCGCGACATGATGAGCAAAAAAAGACCCAACAGCGCCTAGTTCGCCCGCAAGGCCGCACCCAAACTTACTTCAGTCGGCGACAAGACGTCTCCAGTTGCTGACCCGAAGAAATCTGGCTACGAGCCCGCGAGCAAAACCCTTGAACTCGTCGAACTTTGAAGCGAAATTTGGCGGTTTCTTGACAGTCGAATTTGCGACGACAATCAGCTCGAGCAACTCCCCGGAACGGCCCGAGTCAGCGCTGGGACGTCTCTCAGTGGTGCCTCGGACAGAGTCTTCGGAGATGCTTGAAGCGTGAAAGCCGCGGCGGCGACATTGGAGGTTTTGCGGGTTACTTGAGGCTTGAGGTGTGCTTGAAGGGACTTGAGGTGGTTTGAGGTGTTTGATAGCTGGAACCGAAAATCAACATTTGGTAATGGGCGATTGGCAACACTCACCTGAAATAACCCAACTCCTCGACTCCCTCCCTTCACCACCACCACCCACGACACCATTGCCACCTTTTGTTTTCATAGACGCGCGCTTAGTAGTCCGCTTCCGGCAGGACGACAAGCCCGGGGCCCACGGCAAGGGAGCGCGAGGGTTGCAAACCCTTCCCCAGGAAATAGAACTAGAGCGACAACAGTCTTGAGCCCGCCCATCTCAAAACCATTGCCTGCTCTCAATGCATTAGGGCCCATCTGAAGCAGCGCCGGAACGTCTTCCGTCGGTGCCTCATCCTCAGGCCCATCATCTGCAAGTATCACTCTCGGTACAACAGGTGGCACTCCTCGGACAACTTCCGTTGCGGAGGGACAGTGTACCAAGAGCTGAGTTATGTCGAGCAAAAAGTGCAGTTCTCGATGGTGCTTGCCGATTGTCTCTCGTTTGGCACCGATTTGAGACTTTCAAGCTCGCACAAGTCTGCCACAACCCGAGCTGCGCACGCTGCCCAGGCGCGCGCTGCTGCCATCAAGAAAAGCAACGTTTCGGAACGACCTGACGCCTGAGAAGGACTAAGTGGTGCAAAATCGTTTGAACAATCAACTCACCATCGACCAGCAATGACACTCTTCAACCTCGATGCCACCTTTTGTTTTCGTAGACGCGCGCTTAGTAGTCCGCTTCCTGCAAGACGACAAGCCTGGGGCCCACGACAAGGGAGCGCGAGGGTTGCAAACCCCTCCCCAGGAACGAGCACAGCAGCTATATCTCAAGCGTGTTGTGTCGTGGAGTGATAGACCATGGAGAGCAAATGTCCAATCTAAAAGCGCATCAGTCGACGGCTATAGCCCATGAGCGCAGCACTTACCCGAGTTCGCTACCAGATCCACATGAATAATGAACTATCAACAGTTAGTGAAGGCAGGAGGCCGATTAGCAGGCGACGTACCTCCCATCGGGGAGTGTGCTCTCCAGGCAAAGGCTGAAAGAGGACCGTGACCCAGGTCTGCGACGAGTAGACACTGAGCAGACGCGTCAGACCCACAGACGAGGGAAGAAAAGAGTGCAAAGTTGTCTGACCAGGTCTGGAGATTACCTAGTGGACAGAAAAGTATTTAAGCAAATTTCTGACACAGGGGAGGCGGAAGGCGGAGCTACTGCAACCAACCAAGACCCGCCGCTGTCTGTGGAGCGGGTGGGCACGGAAGTCTAAGACGAGTTTTTTTTTTCCAAAGAACTCTTTACCGCTCGAATTGACACTCAAGCGCTTTTGTAAGGGCTGCTGAAGGTGGAACAATGCAGGAAGAGATGTTGTTTAAGTTCAAGTTACATACTGTTAAGTACAGTACACGGCGCTTGAAAGCTACTGCTGCGCAGAATGAATGTCATGAATGATGCCGTGGATCAGGCTCAGACCCAGCCCTCGTTGTCGAGCTCACAATCCTCCTACCGTAGTTTAAAGCCGAATGTGATTTGATGGACCGATAAATCCGAGGTGTGACAAATGTGACGGAAAAGTTCGCTCTATGGCGCAGCTAACCCGGCCCGCCTCCGCCCGGCCATCCGAAAAGCGGTGCTCAGCCATGAATGTCGCTGTCCTCCGTCCTTCAGATGCTCCAAAGTGCACGCACCACCCTCCCTACTCGCATTGCCTTCGGAATGGAGCACCACGCGCTATGTCTTTGGGCCACATTCAAGGCTCTTTTGAGTCCATTGGGTGTCAATGTGCTATCAGGCCTGCAAACGCGCCGAGTACCGCGCGAGACATGGCAAGAGCACCGTGGAGATGGAGGTTGACCAGGAGGGTGTGGTTGAGGGCAGAGATGACGCGATGGGGGCGCATTCGGCGGAGGACACACTGGCAAAGCAGGCTGAGGCCCACATTTGGAATGGGGAGTCACGCGGCTCGGAGCCGGGCCGGGTTAGTTGCGCCAGCCCTCCTCACCCCGAAAAATAATAACACTTGTCACATCATTTGATTTAGCCCAAAAATCATTACATATATAGCTAAAAACTACACTCTCGGATCTGGCTGCTCTGCAACGAGGGCTGGGTATGAGCCTGGCCGTGGATTAACCCTAGATATTTCTCTACGCCATAATGGCCGAGCTCCTCATCTTTGTTTAGTCTCTGGGGAAACAGCAACAACAAACAAGTACTTGGAAGCAATTCATCGCTCTGAAAAGTGTCGATAGGTGTTCACCAAATGGATGGCAACGCGAACGGAAATGATCGCAAGGAAATCCGATAATCACGGAGCCGCTTGATGGCTTAACTTTCTTGACCACCTCGAACCCGTTGGCGCGACACCCTCCAAATACGAATTTGACCGTTAAAACGAAACTCACACATATGCCACCTAAACCGCTTACTGACATACTGGGCAAACTGGGTGAAAATGACCCCGAATCGCGCCTGAGCAGCCTTTACCGCCAGTCGGATATGAAGAGCACCCCAAGCGAGGGCAGCATTCCGGACCAGACTACGCTGAACCTCTATTTCAAGGGTCTTGTGAATTCATGGGAGCCACACGAGTTCACAGTAGATGAGCGAGAAACCGTCAGGGAAGAAAGTCTCCGATATATGGGCATCGGGCGTGCAATCGAAAAGGTCCAACACGATATACGTCCGAGGCGTTTGCCGCCTGATATCGAGTTCCAACTGGTGTTCGCAAAACAAAGCTACCTCGTCCGCTATTTCCGGTTGTTCAGGTGAGTCTCACGACAACCGGTACCAGTGATTTGATCGCAGACAAATCCCATAGAGTAAATGCTTTGCCGAACGAAATTTTGAACAATATCTTGCGCTATGTGGTCTGGGACACTCCAAGAAGACCAGTATTAGCAAGGTTGACGATAACTTGGGTTTGCAGGCGTTGGAGAGAAAATCTTCTGCACGATTCGACAATATGGACGGCGATTTGGTTCCGACCAGGGCCGTTGCGTGTTGAACGCGCTTTTACTTGGTTCGACCGCGCCAGGCAAGCTCCAATGGACATACAAATTGATACGGAAGACGAAACCAACAGCTCGTTGCTCTTGACTGAAGTTGATATACGGGGAATTATTTCGAGAATTCTTTTGACCAAGCCTCGTAGTGTTCGCATGCTCATCCTGACGTTGGATGACTGGCCAACCGCTATGACGATCATGGACCTGCTGGCAAAATATGGTCCATCTGGCCTACCAGCGCTTGAGCGATTCGCAATTCATCGAGGTGGATTAAAAGATGAACAGCTCTCATGGCCCCAGCTTGAGCCCAAGCCTTTTCTGGGCGGTGCACATGCGCCTCGGTTGACATATCTTGTGCTGAACGGGGTTCCCGTTGTGTGGAAAGGCTCCATATTGGAAAACCTCACCACCTTTGACATTCGCCGTCTCCCTTCAACTTATATGCCTGACCTTTCTCGTTTCCGCCAAATCTTGAGCAGTTGCCCTCGATTGGACAGATTGTTGCTTGATGGTGCTGGACCACGATCCGCTGAGTTACCTCAGCTGCCCGCGTCGCCCGTCGACCTTCCGTTACTACGGACTCTGGTCCTGGCCGATTTCACTCGGCCGTATGCGACCTTCATTTTATCCCTTTTCACCGCCCGCAACGTGATCGACTTGACGCTCATGAACTTCTGTGGGGAGGACTACAGCTCAGTGTTCACGTTAATGACTGGGATGTTCCCCCACGTTCGACTACTCACCGCTTATTCCCTCGAATTCCACTCATACTTCCGGCCTGCCATGGTGCGGTGGATGGACTCGATGCCCAGACTCGCATACCTGCGAACCGCTAACCAATCTTCCCATTTTTACGGTTTATTCTTCCGTGAAAAAGACCCCATGATAAACCCGGTTGCACCTCTCCTCAAGTTCATTGATTGCCAGATGATTGAGCCTCTTCCCCTTCTGGTGAGATGGGTTCGGGATCGTGCGCGCATTGGAGTCCCTATAAAGAAAATCTACGTCTCAGAACAACTTGGGGAAAAGCTTACCGACATCCTTATTCAACACCTAATGGCTGACGGCAGTGGCCTCTCGCGCTTGCCCACAGGAGCAACGACGCCAGAAGCGGAGGAGTTACGATGTTCTGGGTCTTAAGATTTGGCTCTTTTACATTCGAGGCTGGATTATTGACACTACCCTGAGATCTTCTGAAACTAACCACCCTATGAACTTCATCCGTTTCGCCCTTTGAGAAGTGATATGAAATCAGAGTCAGTTGCGCTGTACTTGACTGGATATCGATCGATCCTGGGAGTTGAACATTGAACTGTTAGATTTTTTTTCTTGATTTTATTTATTTAATACCAGTGTACAGACCTCCTACTTACTAGTCCTATACCATGGATTTTTTCCGTTTTCTGCCCACTGTCATGGGTGGTGTAAGCGTTTCTGAGACTTGTTCAGGGACTGCCGACTTGAAGGGGGTCCCGTTGACCTTGGAAGGAGGTACAACGACGTGAATGCCATTGGTCAGTCCACTGCCATTGACAATTCCATTTTGTTTTCCGGTGCCCACGGAAGGCGCAGAGGTTTGTCCTATGCGATCCAACTTCAGTAAGTCAACAAACGCGCAATTCGAGTTGACAGACCTTTGAGCGAATATGATTGAAATAGATTCACCAGCAAGTCGAGTTCATTCTGGTCTACGCGACGATGCTCCGGCACGGAGGATAGTATAGCGGTGTTATCCACGTCCATCTCCTCGGACTCTTCATCTGCCTCAGACGCTGCGGAGTCCAGATGTGTCAAGTCACGGGCTTGGAGCTGGCTCGCCATTATGGGCTCGAAGAGGGTCTCCAACGAAGGCATCATATAAGTCGGAGCGCTGCTGAAAAGGTCGAAAGGAGTAGCACCAGCTGTCCACGAGGGAGCCGGAGAGGACGAAGATGCGGCGGTGACATTATCAGAGAACGCAGATTTGCCAAAAATGTCTTCAAACAGAGTTCGGCGTTGAGGAATCGCGGTGGTCTTTAATTCCATCGGTGCATGGCTGTTACTCTGAGGTAGCTGCGCCATGTCTCCCACAACAACAACGCGCCAGTCATGGGTGATACCAACGAGGCTGAACGCAGACAGAAGTGGGTACCATGTTACGTTCGTCAGACGGAATGGCAAGACCACAGTCCGCACTGGTTGTGGCGTTTCGACCTGAACGATCGCAACTTCGGAAGACGCTTTCCCCAAGTCTATAGGGTGAAGCACAATCGCGAAATTATTTTCCCTGGGATGCGGAACGACAGTAAAAATGTTTTTGTCGTATTTTTCATGCCATTTTACTGAGCAGTTTGTCAGACAAAAGGGACGTTAGAGGGAAAGAAACCAATCACCTCGCAGCATAACGAGATCCCACATCAGGACTTCTCGACCTCCAATGAGCACAGCATATCGTCCGCCTTTCCCTAGAAAATGCACGGAGTTGAATTGACTGCATTCCGGATACGCCAATACACGGAGTAGCTGATTCGTAGCCGAGGAGAATAGTGTGATTTGGTGCCTGGTTGTAGCAGCAAGCAACGAGCCGTCAGGTGACCACGATACATTGGAAGGAATTTGGTCGTGTATGGTGTATGCAGAACGAGCCACCCAGAATTCTGGACATGCCAGAGTGAGTCACGGATGACGTAAAATTGAAGCGATTCACCTTCTTGGCCATCCACGGTTCGTCTTGCAGTGTGGGTTCTCCAAGTTTTGACAACACCATCTGCCCCTGCTGTGGCCAGCAGCTGAGGCTGATGGTCTCCCACAGGGCTGAATGTCAGGCTGTTGACTCTCTCAAGTCCGTGAGGTCGATCTATACGGGTGTTTAATATCCAGAACCCAGTTTTGCGATCCCATGACCAAATTTTGAGGTAAGATTCGGCATGGGTGTCCTCATCTCCCTCTCGTCGATCGACTGACGCCATCCAAGTACCGTCAGGAGAAACAGTTACTTGTTCGACACGGCATGGCTCGATTAGTTTTTCGTCTCTTCGAGAGACGCGGTTAGATGGGGAGACTTCCAACTCTGAAACAAGTGTCGCAGATGTTGGAGAGTAGATTTGGAGAGAGGAGGGGTGAGACGAAGGCAATATCAAGGTGGATGTGGGTGTGTGAACAGACAATGGGATGAGCCTCGATGAAGTCGCAGGATGTGATGGGTCGAGTTTGATGCGTGAGTAGCTTCGGCTCAGTTTCAAAGACGCTGCGCCTATGAAGGCAAAGGTGGCATCGGTGAGACCAAGCAGATATTCTTCCTCACGAGTCGCAGACTTGACCACGCTGATAGTTTTAATAGGCGACCCCAGTCGGGGTACATATTCACGCTTTCCAGAGTGAAGCTGCCAGATGACCAGGACAGACTCTTCTCCGCCACTAAGAAGGTATGCGCCGTTGGTTGTAAACGCAATAGACGATACGGCATGAGCGTGCCAATGCAGAGACGTCGTCTGCGTCTTTTTCTCTACCCCGAATGGTTTGGCGGCTATCTGGTCGGAAAGACAGTACCACAATCGGATGTTGCCCTTCTCATCGCCGGTCGCGAAATAATCATCAGAAGGGTGGAAGGCTAAACACGTTAACCGTTCCGGAGAAACATATTTCGTGAATCCCGCTCTCAAAGCTGTCGTAGAAGCCACATAAGCCTTGTGCCCGGCGGTTGCTACCAGCCAGTTGCCGCTGGGAGAGAAGGCGAGCCCTGTGGGTTGACGCGTTCGACCAACATGGGTGATATTAGACGATTTTTGGGTGGTCGATTGGGAGGCAGCATTGGCAGGTTTCAAAGAGACACTGAGGACGACCGCATGTCCTCCTTCTAACAGATGACTTGAGAAAGTAAAAAAAACTGATTTTAGAGAGGCACGTACCTTTTGCACCCTTGCTCAGTCCACCTGCCGACACGAATACTGTGTCTTTAAAATTTTGGTGGGCACAGATATAATGAATTGGCTGGCCGATGTCGATTATTTGGACCAATCTAGCCTCCAAGAAATCCCAGACCGCCAAAATACCGTGGTCGGAACCAGTGATTAGCTGGAATGCGTTGTGGGGGTTAAGTACGGCGCAAGTGATATTGACCGAGACACCGGTAGATAAGTTGGATGGGATTGTCAGTGTTGAGGCGACCTTGCCTGTTACTGCAGTATATATTCGAACAGAATCGCCTGCAAGCGAAAAGAAATAGCTGATAAAAATGGTTCAGCATGGTGCAATGGCTCTGTGAGATAGCGTACCTTCCATCGTTCGTGAATATTGGTGGCGCATTGCTGACCACAGAGTCTGTTAAAGCGGTCCAGTGCCATGAAGACTCGGGGGAGGGTTCGGAGGGCAGATGTTGAGAAGTATGTCGTTCCTTGGCCTTCCCTTGTGCCTTCTTCGACTTTGTCTGCTTTTCGGGTGCCACAGGACGGGACTGAGGCTTTTGGCGTCGCACATTCGTCGCCGCCATTGGCGCAAAAAAGTTGTTTCCGGGAATGTCACACTTGTCATTAGGTAATTTGCTGATGGTGTTTTTCCCACAGTTATCCTCTAAAGTTGTCCCAAGTTGTACAGAAGTGTATATAATTCACTGGTAAGTAGGAGTTGTCCGCATTCTCTCGATAATCAGGGCACTAAGGAGTATATCATCATACCAATCGTGACCTAGAGGTGTTACCAGCAAATTCGGAGGATCCACAGGTTGTCCCTGACGCCGTAGAGCTGTCCGAGGAGTAAATCTCGCCAACAAATTGGATTCATTCCGATCGTCGGTGGAATAGACCTAGATGAAGTAAGATCTGAATGGGTAGGTCCGGGATCGCAAAACAACCATTACCGTTAGAACACCACCACCATGGAAATCGTCCCAGAAAAGAATCATCGGACGCTCACGATTGATTCCCCTGACTTCCCACCTCCACGACTTGAAGTGGGTTGAGCTTCTTGAGCTTGGGAGTTCGGTTAAAACATCGGGTATTGGATATTCATTTTTGCGCAGGCAGATTGTACCAGGACTACCGGACCTGGTCGCCCCGAGTTCAAAGTCTCCGACAGGTTCTCCGTCCCATGATTGCTATGCACAAAGTAAGCATACTATAACCTAAGAGTACAGAATCAACATCTGACCTTTCGTACAGACGTGATGTATGATGTTGGGGTGAAGCAGTTCATACTACAGAAATCTTCCAGATTAGTAGCAAGGGAGAACAAGGCAAAGATACCTGACAGTGATATGGTAAGGTTTCTGGGATTCGGTGACTTTCGGCGGTGGAGATAGCAACATGCAATTAGACGGTAATGGCTCGAATGTGTAGACTATGGAGGAAGAAGGACGTCGCGAGTATCTGTTGCGTTCTCAACAGCTAGGGAGAGCACAAAGGTACACGAATGACCTTGGGGGGACAAGCATTCTTGACACAGAGCCGAGGTTCGGGGAGAATTGTGAGCTGTCTTCCATCGTGGGGTGTTTCTGATCAAAATACAATATCTTCTTGTCGGCGTTAGAGTCGTTGAAGGTTTTGGAAGACAAGGTCGAGCCGTAGCCATTTGGTAGTTCAGATGGTGGACGACTGTCGCTAAAGGGCGGAAACAATGAGCAAAATGCCCAGCGAGCTGCTATGCATACGTCGGAGAAGGGAGAATCATCTTGGATGGGAGTTAGAGCCAAGGCGGTACGGACACGTGGTGTGCGTGACTTTAATCAGAACGCGTCAATGATTTATTTTTGGGTTCTCCACGAAAAGCGATGAAGCAGAGGACAGCTCTTGTTCGAACCGAACTCCTGGAAGGAAGGCTTACGGTAAGCGAAGAGAGAAGCATTTGCGTGGTGTTTCACATGCCTACTAGAGCCTGAGTGTGCAAGTTGTTGGGTACGTTGAGGCTGTCGACGACTCCAAGTTTTCAGTTCGATTGCCATGAAAACCTCCATATGAAACAAATAGAGTAGGAGGATTTAGAGAGCGGGAATATTGAAAAGCTTGACAATTGCGAGACAAGGCTTTCGAGCAGTTTCAAGCACAAGGAGGGTCATCGGGATTGCGCGCGAGTTCGCCGAAGAGGGGAGGGGATGCTCGATACGAATAGTCCACGCAAGGGCTGGGCCTCATGAATTGCACTAAACTTGGAGCCACTTGACTCGTTGTCTCTCTAAACAGACCCAGCGTCGCATACTTGACTCGGCTGTGCGTGGCCATATTTGAAGTTTGGGCAGGCTCGTATTTGAGTGATATTAAAACGCAAACTATGCGACTTTGGTTCTTGTTTGCATGACGGCAAAAGCCCACCATGAGCATTCGATTTGGGTGAGCAGGCAAAGTTGGAGTTCAAAGGTCAAAACGTGACGATCATGATGGCGATCTGTGACGTGGTTGCCGTTTACTCCTCTCCGGTGGGCGCTATAAACGTAATAATAAAAACTATCTACATCCGACCCTTGTTTTTTTTTTTGCTAAAGCTACATGATAGAGATACGCAGAGAGATACTATATTATGGAAAGCATTTCGAGAGCAATACGATAGCAGAGGTTTTGATCGACCCACGGCCCCATCACGGTTCATTCTTCAACGTCTCCTCTTCCGGCGTGGTCGCACCCTTGGGCAAACGCGAGAGGCCACTACCAGCAGCCATTAGCTCTCGAACAAGGGCCTCATTAAGCCTTTCCCCGAGTTGTTCTGAGATGTAGATTTTCTTGATAGGGAGTCCGAGGCGCGCACGATCCTGAACCCATCTCGCCAGAAGGGGAAGAGGCTCAATCATCTGGCAATCAATGAACTTGAGGAGAGGTGCAACCGGGTTTATCATGGGGTCTTTTTCACGGAAGAATAATCCGTAAAAATGGGAAGATTGGTTAGCGGTTCGCAGGTATGCGAGTCTGGGCATCGAGTCCATCCACCGCACCATGGCAGGCCGGAAGTATGGGTGGAATTCGAGGGAATAAGCGGTGAGTAGTCGAACGTGGGGGAACATCCCGGTCATTAACGTGAACACTGAGCTGTAGTCCTCCCCACAGAAGTTCATGAGCGTCAAGTCGATCACGTTGCGGGCAGTGAAAAGGGATAAAATGAAGGTCGCATACGGCCGAGTGAAATCGGCCAGAACCAGAGTCCGTAGTAACGGAAGGTCGACCGGCATTGGGTGCGCCTCAATCAAGTTGTCGAACCGTGGCCCAGCACCATCAAGCGATAACTTGATCAATCGAGGACAACTGTTCAGAATTTCGCGGAAACGGGGGAGGTCAGGCATATGGCTTGACGGGAGACGACGGATATCGAATGTGGTGAGGTTTTCCAATATGGAGCCTTTCCACTGAACAGGAACTCCGTTTAGCGACAGATAGGTTAATTGCGGCGCATGCGCGCCGCCTAGGAAAGGTTTTGGGTCGAGCGGGGGCCAGGTGAGTGAATTGCGATCCTCGTTTTTCAGTCCACCCCGATGAAGTTCGAATCGCTCAAGTGCTGGTAGGCCAGATGGACCATACTTTGCCAGCAGGTCCATGATCGTTATGGCGGTCGGCCAATCATCCAACGTCAGGATGAGCATGCGAACACTACGAGGCTTGGTCAAAACAATCCTCGAAATAATTCCGCGTATATCAGCTTCAGTCAAGAGCAACGAGCTGTTGGCTTCGTCTTCCGTGTCAATCCGTATGTCCATTGGAGCTTGCCTGGCGCGGTCGAACCAAGTAAAAGCGCGTTCAACACGCAACGGCCCTGGTCGGAACCAAATCGCCGTCCATATTGTCGAATCGTGCAGAAGATTTTCTCTCCAACGCCTGCAAACCCAAGTTATTGTCAACCTTGCTAATACTGGTCTTCTTGGAGTGTCCCAGACCACATAGCGCAAGATGTTGTTCAGTACTTCGCTTGGCAAAGCATTCACTCTATGGGGGCTTGTCTGCAATCAAATCACTGGCGTTCACGACAACTCACCTGAACAACCGGAAATAGCGGACGAGGTAGCTTTGTTTTGCGAACGCCAGCTGGGACTCGACATCGGGTGGTAAACGCCTCGGGTAAAGGTCCCGTTGGGCCCTCTCGAGCTCACGAGTAATGACCACGTATCGAAGGCCTTCTTGCCTGATGTTTTCTCGTTCCTGGGCTGTGAACTCGTGTGGCTCCCATGAATTCACAAGGCCCTTGAAATATTGGTTTATCATCGTCTGGTCTGGAATTCTGAGGTCTCCTAGGGCGCCCTGGTGACCTGGCTGGTGGCGGAGGGCGGCAACGCGCGATAGGTAGTGTAAGTCTTCTTCAGGTAGGAGCTCGATAATCGATCGAGGTGGCATCTAATCCTAACTCGGGTCAGCGAAGCCACAGCGACAAACAAGCATGCGCGACAGACGTGAACGGAGACGGAGGATCTGGTTGGACGCTAGGGATTGTGTATCGTTATGGGTGTTTTGATGGTCGTCGGCAATAGAGAGCGTTTTTATAGCTGAGCAGCGCAAAGGGAGGAGGAAGGAAGGAACTGGAGCGCCAGGCAAAGCACTATGGCTGCCCTTGGGCCCCTTGTTCCCCAATAGAGCGAAACCCAACCAAGCGCACTACACGTGCCGGGACCCACGCACGCCCACAAATTTTCACACCGTAACGCCAATCCACCTTTTCCTCAACTTGCTCGAGTCCGTGGCGGTCTCTACGGCTGTAGAATCGCCCTCAGAGCTCGCAAACTCGGACGGCAGGAGGATAGAAGACAAAGAAGAGATGTCCTGTCCAACACACTTTTAACGGAATCGCACCGATTTCTTGACGTCTTCGGCTCGGAGGAGAAAGCACGGCGTTTAAAGCAGCTACGGCAAACTACTTACACAATGCCATACAGTTCACCCGTTAGAGAGTGTTACGGCCAAGGGCGAAAAAAGCAAAAGCAAGCAAGCAATGAACCGGCCAATCTTTCGCTAGACAAAGTAAGCTTTAGCCAGTCGCATGCCCTGTCTACCAACAGACAAAGTAAGGCCACGGGAATACGTTTGGTTGTCAATCTGCATCAGGCCTCAATCCTTGCTTTGTTCTCCTTGACCACTTGAAACCGTTGCTTGTCGTACAGTTCTGCATTCATAAATTTACCTTACCTAGCGACGATATACTACACTATACACTACAAATAAAGATTTACAACCACGTCCCCGGCACATCAGCATTCTGACGCGAACCAGACGCAGTAGGTTTGGGCGACATAAAGACTAGCTCCTCGACGAGAGTCGACACTATATTCTGTTCTGCTTCATCAGAGACATTGCCTTCGGGCAACTGCTCCTTAATCTTGGCCGGAAGAGTAGGGTGTGCATTTTCCGTTATTCCCATCTGAGAGATTAATGAGACTCCGTCAATGGGCAAATGTGAATTCAACATACTGCCGCCAAGCGTTTGGTGATACGGTTGACACTGCGCTCACTAGCACTCTCTGGGACACGTCGACGGCTAGGCTGGCCGTGATAGGTGTTGTGGCGGTGGGGTACACTGTACATTTCCAGCTGTGGGTAGCCGACTTTGGCGTTACCCGTGCTGACGAGTACAGGTTCAGGAGTCGTTTCCTGAACTGGAGCGGGCTTCTCAGTTGGAGGCTTATCATTTTCCGTTCTACAAGTTTGTAAGAGATTGTTCAGGCAGGAAAAGATATTAGTCATACGTGGTGGCGGGCTTGGTCTCGGCTGCGCGAGTCCTGGCCTCGCGTACTTTTCGACGTTCTTCCCGCTCAGCTCGATACCGTTCTTTCTCTCGTTTGTAAGCAAGCTTAGCTGCATCTACCTGGGCACGAAGTTCCTGTGGAGTTGGCTTCGGAGATGTGGCCTGAGCAGCTGCTGGTTGAGAGGTTGGCGGAGCAGCTGGTTGAGGAGGCGGCTGTGGTGGTTGCGGGACATTACCGCGGCCCCAGTGTCCCCAGGGAGCCATGAATGGCATTGGCGGAGGCCCATGGGGAGGTGGCGGTGGCGGTGGCGGCGGTGGCGGTACTCCATCACGTGCCAGGTGGAGAGCTGCCCAAGGATTCGGGCTCCGACCGCGACGGGGAGCTCCACCTCTCATGCCACCCCACATTGGGGGCGCATACCAAAACGAGGTAGAGTTAACTGGGTCAGTTGTCGGAGTGCTGGTGCGCCAAGGCTGCTCGGAATCTTCGGTGGCAACTCCAGTTGTCGATTCAGCCTGCTCACCAGTAGCATTGACAGTAGGTGCGGCCATAGCCTGGGAGAACGAGCGAAACATCCCTTCCAAAGCATGAGCGACCCGACGACCAGCCTCGTCTTCAGCTTGACGACGAAGATCATTGGTTGCCTGGCCAGCGCTTTGCACAAATTCCCCGGCAGCTTGAGAAAAGTTGGCGCGGTGAGAGTTCCAGTAGGCACCGTTTGTCGCATTCGAGACGATGTTACGGAGCCCCTCAGCCAGTTCAGGATGAGAAGACATAACATTGGTGAGAGTGGTGAGCAGTGAAGCGACATCGTTGGGGAGGGAAGCCGAAGGTGGATTATGAGATTCGAGAGTGGGAACTGGAGGGTCAGAGGGGTTCTTCCACAGGTTCTGTGGTCGGTCGAACATCAGGGATGGGTGTCGCGCTTGCTGTCGCTTCGAAGATGACTGGTTCGTTGCGGGAACGAATGGAGGCGACATCGTCAATGACAGTAGGAGCCGGGGACGGGTCGACAGCTTTGGCTTTGCCCTTATCGAGAATTGGGCCAAAGTCGGTGGTGGAGTGGTCGCTTTCCGAATCGTGCTGGGAGGTCACTTCCGAGTCAACGGTTTGTATGAATGCATGGGGGCCGATATTCATGCCAGGCACGAAAATGCCACCCAAGGAATCCCAGCCTTCATCGGTGTCAATGTCCCCAAACGTATTGCGAAGGCCAGTGCGAGGAATGTCGGGAAGGGACTTCTCGTCATCGCGAGAGAGGTCGAGGACATTAAACTTGAATGTCTTCTCCCTAGCGGCAAGATAGAAGTCCTGCAGCTCGTTCTCGCTGCTCAAAGTGACTTCATCCCCGTCTGCGTCAATGTATGACACTCCAATCTGGTCGACTGGGATATGGAAGAGTTCGTTGATACGAGTGGCGAGCGTCGTCCACGCTGGTTGTGTAGCATAACCCACGCGACGAGTAAGACCGCCAGGTTTAGATAGTTTGAAGTGGAAGGCCATTGTTGTTGGGGAAAGAGGAGGGGTGATCGGCTACGTCAATAAATACGGTAAGCTCCGACTGCGCAAATGGACTCATCTCGAGTCTCGCAGCCACTGCGGCAAAGTACATTTTCGATTGTTCCAGAAGACATCTTACACTACGCATAACAATACATTTCACACTTTTCTTACTTCTCAAGCGAAAATCGCCATACGAGGGTCAATGTCAGCGGGATTGTTGAGCTAGAGGTTGGTTTAGTCGGTGATTGCACAACCAAGTAACTCTTTGACTCACGCGCAAGTTGAAGTTCAGGGCGCTGATTTCCTTCATCTCCTCAGCGCTGAGATCAAACGACAAGCAGTCAAGATTCTGAGCCAGACGTGAGGGATTGTTGGACTTGGGTACAACGGCAATGTCCCGTTGCGTAGCCCAGCGAAGTAGAACCTGGGCCGTAGCTGTGGAAAATATCATCAGCTGTTCTGATATTTCGGCCAGTGTGAGACTTGCTTTTGTTGTGTTTGGTCGCTGCGGCGCTAACCACATCATGGTCCAACAGGCTCGGTGCACCTTGGTCCATAGAGAGTTCGATCCAACTCGCTGGTCCGAACGACGAGTAAGCTGTCTTTAAGTGGCATATGTGATTCGCTAGACGACAAAAGACCAAATGATGAACTTACAATGGCGAGCCCGACTTCCTTCGCATACTTGACCAGCGCCTCTTGGGTCAGGTAAGGATGAAGTTCAATTTGAAGAACTTGGGGCTTGATTCTGGCATAGCGAAGCATGTCAGCGATGAGGGAGCCTTGGAAGTTGCTATTTGACTTGAGAGCAAATTCAGATCACTTACAACAAGTAGGACAAACCTAATGCCAATATTCTTTGCAATTCCAACATCGACGAGTTCTTCCATAGATTGCCATGTCTCCTGGATGGGAGTGCCTTGCAAGGTCACGACTTTTTTCGCGGCATCCTGCCATTCTGGAGGATAACGCTCCGCTGGATCGACGTATTGCAAGGCGATTGGGAAATGAACCAAAAACAAATCGAAGTCTTGAAGGACCTGAGTATGATAACTTTTGATTCGATCCACGCACATTCGATTCCCCACAGTCCGAGTTGCATTTGGGCGATAGGTTTGACGTGTTCTTTGGCGTGGAAAGTGTTCCAAAGCTAAGATATTTTTGCAATCGGCGTCACCTGTGACGACGACGACGAATTACCTTGGAGGTAATGACTGAGGCGAGTGAGTAGGGTTTTCTCTCCAAAGTCAAACGCACATAGATCCTCCCGCTTGACAAGGCCTTCCGCTATGGCGCGTTTGACTCCTTCGCCAGCTTCCTTCTCGTTCCCGTAGTCGCCAGCACCATCGAGAAGGCGATAGCCAGCTTTGATTCTAGAGTGATTTTGAGCAAAAGCGCGTTGGGTGGTCCTGGAACTTCTACGCGTTGTAAACAGTCTAGCAATCAGTCGATTAGATGCAAGGCTTGGCTTATCAAAAGACACCCTACATCGGCGCAAGACGCTTTGGTGACCTGGTGCCAGTCTTATTACGAAGTACTCCAGTAATCGTCAAGATTTTACCTTCCACAACCCGAAACTTGGGCCTTCAATTGAATGCCATCGGATGTTGATTTCCACTCACCCGACAAGAGGCATCTATGGGCAATGATGAGGCTAATAACTGAGGCTATGGATTACAGATATGCAGACCTTTTGCCCAGTACGCTGGAGAACGACAGACATGATGGAGGCAAGCTCAGGCTGGAAATAAACTTTGTTGCCGTGACGTGTTGTGTGACAAACGTGCCCTTTGCACCAGCCCAGCGATCTCGAAATCTTCCACTTACGCGCTCGAATGACCTCGTAGCGTCTTGCACCGTATATAATAATAACCGCCTCGCAATCTCTATCCTACCTCTGCTACGAGGGGTTATGAAAATTTGTGTTGCTGGTACGCTGCTCGATGCTCCCAACCCTACTCTCTCTCTTATTTTTATCAGGTAACAATGCACTAGGTAGTCTCATCGCTCACCACATCCGTCTTGCAACACCTTCATCCCACTCTGTCACTCTCCTCCATCGAAATGAAATCGACGCTTTTGAAGCACCCACTGGTTTCTCCCTTCGAGCCCGAAATACCACCACCACCAGCTCTGGTATCGAAAACGACACCTTTAAGCCGACAAGAACAGCGGCGACGCCTATTGAGTCTCTCATTCTTGCCACGCGACCGTATTGGAGCGTGCGGGTATTGGAGCAGTTGGCGCCACGACTCGCGCCGCATTCTACCATTGTGCTTGTCCAAAATGGGCACGGATTGGCCATCTACGATCGAGCTATCAGGAAACTCTTCGCAGACCGCAACACGCGCCCCCACTTCATCTTCGCCAACACCACCCACACTGGCTATTTTGAGCCAGGTAGACCGCGTATTCTTCACCATACAAACGTCGGCACACTCCAATTTGGGATTGCCCGAGACCCATCGGGACGTAACTTCGAGGCCAGCCTCTCCAGTGCCAGCTCGGACACTCCCGTTCACGACCGAACTCTTCGCCTTTCAGACGTGGCAGCGTCCGCCAATGACGACCAGTTTCTCCGATATCGCAGCCTACGTAATACGATCGCCGCTATGCTTCTCTCAGAGTCTCTCAATACGTCTTGGAAGCCAGTACAACACATACAATGGGCACTCCGAAGCAACCTCGTGTCCAACTCAATCATCCAACCACTCTCCTCCATCATCGGTTGCCCGACCCGCGAGATATTCCAGCAAGCCAGCGCCGTCAACATTGCTCGACGAATATGTGTCGAAGCAACAAGGGTTTTCAAGCAGGAACACCAGCTGATGGCTAAGAAATCCATTGTGGAGGACATTGATGGTCGGCTCATAGGTGTAGGCAGACTTCCCGCAATGTTAGACGAGGGTCGTCTGTTGGGAGACTGCCTGAAGTATGCCGAGGAATCAATATATGAAGCTGACATGCTCAAGTCAATGCGACATCATCGACCGCCAGAGGTTAGCTACCTGAACGGATACCTGCTTCTCATGGGCAAGACCTATGGCATCCAAATGCCTACAACCGCTGCAGTGGCAGATCTGGTCCGGTTACGCTACCACATACCGCTAGACAACATATCGACCTAATGTACAACCAAATGTGACTACTTTTAGTATATATAGCCCTCACCTCTGTCCTTGACGTGGACTGATTCTAATATTAGAAAGCTTGATCGTCATGTCATGGCTAACAGCTGCGCTGACGGTAGCTTTACTGAGAGCAACCCGGATATTGCAGGAATTGGTGTTAGGTCGAGCTTTTATGCTCAAGCGTTCCTGTTAGGTTCGTTGTGTGTTCTTGTTATGTAATGAACCGATCTTTAACTTGAACCACTCAGTGATATTGGTGGATCGTTCATGGCAAGAGTACGGCCGCTTCTATCTACGCATGCCTTTATTCAACAAAGCTCAGTGCGCCAATAGCGCTGTGGACCTTTATCGCCACTAGTTTCGGTCTTACTGTTGCCACAATCGTCCAGTACACATCTCGTCCTCAACTTACCCTCTTTCAAGCCCTGCAAGTCTCGAATCTCGTTTGGTTTGACCAAGCTTGTGCTCTGTGTACATTCCTGTAATCCAATGACTAGGCTAGCGAATTTTGGGACTTTTGTGGCGCTCGCTAGCTATAGGTACATAATGCTTTGCTCGCTGTCATTTTTCTCTCAGCCTATTCTCAAGTCGGCAGAAAGCGGAGAGTCGCAAGCAATCTCATCTTTTCAACTACAACGTCAAGTTTGGAGCATGTGCCCAAACCTTGCTGTCGATGGCGTTGACTCTATTTATGTGGTAAGTTCGAATCTGACTTGAATTTCTAATGTTCATACGAATTTAGGGCCAAAGTCGATACGTTCGGCGCAATGCCTGAATGCTCTCATCTGGTCAACTACATGGTGTTTGCGTTCAAGGCGCCAGCCCTTGGGTCGGGTCGGGTGCGCTGCTCTCTTCAAGTTCTTAACGTCCTCAAATAAAGCACAGATAATTGGACTTACGGCGTCGTCCCTTCTTGCGGCGGCCTACATTAGCGTCACATTCCACGAACTGCGACTGTACCACAAGAAGAAACGGAATTCAAACGATGCAGAAACAGTCACGCCGCCTTCTCCGCTTCCGACCAACTCGCCACTTCCGCGAGCTCTCACTTTTGCGAGCTCAACATCACGCCGAGTCTCCAATGACGATGTCCTGCCGCGGACCAGCAGACGCCGCCCGCGACGACGTCGATGGTCGCATGCGAGCCAGATTGACCCGATGCTGATAGGCAAATCATCCAACCTCTCCAACGGTATCCTTAACTCAGCTGTTTTCCAGGCATATTGCTCTGTCAAATGGCTGTCTTCATTTACTTTGTGGTATCCAGCGAGCTGTTGTTGAGCTACAACGCCGGGGCCTCGACATCCGTCCGCCAATGGGGCTTCGGTCAAGTAAGCACGGTCTTTCTGGTGTTAATGCACACTGATACAAGTAGATCTTGGCGCTCATTGTTGTTTTACCCTCTGCACTTTCCGTGGTCGGCGCCTTCAAGGCTCACGGGCTGGGTCGTTTATCGAAGAGAAAGAAAATTCGTGTGTCGCGGAGGAGTAAACATGCAGATCGTACAAGGAGTTCGAAGACAGTTTAGCTTGCTACTGAGCAGTGAAATATTTAATTGGCTTGTATGGGAACATAAAACGGACTAGCTAATGCATAGTCGCGACTAACGTAGGCGGGAAGGGTCGTCACTCGCTGTCCTGCGCTGGTATCTTCGTGCAAAACCGGGACGCGACCAAAAGCTTGACGGGCAACGAAACTTGGAAAGTGGGTCACGAAGGAGTTTGGAAGAAAAAAAGAGAGGATAACACACTATCGTTCGGCCCAAGGCGTGCGAGTGGCGGTATCAGTACTGAACGGTCGGCTTTGCGCATTGGAAAGGAAGGTATGGACTGGACCGGGACCGCCGTAAACTCCATCAGTGACAAGATTGGGCGATCGACGGCGAAGTTCATTCCAAATTGCTTTGCCTTGCACCGTCTGGCCTGCAAGCTGCCCGACGCGGCCACCGCCAAGCGAGACCTCCAGCGTGAGCACTTTGAACACATCTGCTGCCGTTTCGAGCAGCTGACGACGACCCCTATCCACCTGTGTTTAGATCCATGGATGTCATTGAGGTCCAAAAATACGAACGTTACTCGCAGGAAAATTGTGAGGAGTTTGATCTTCATGAGAACCTGTGCCGATGTGGAGCCCTTGAGGTATTTCCTAGCGTTGCCTCGTTCAAGATAACCTCAGGACAGTCGGGGAGACTCACCACACGATATAGGCACTCAGCACCTCCTCAATGGCCACGAGGTCCCCATTACATTGGTCGAGATATTTGACGACTTGGGATTGTCCTAGCATGAGTGTTGGAAGAAAGCCATGGAAAGAACGCCGTATCGTGGAGCGCGCTTAAAAATACCTAGGCTGATTAATTTTTTGAAGGTCCGAGTCGCGTCAAAGTTGCGTCACGGTCACGTGAGATTGCCTGTTTCTTCCAATCGCCCTAGATGTTCGAGAACAAACGAATGGATAGCATTACAAAGACTATATAGCAGTGTGCGTATAGATATGTACAGATGAGTCTCTCCCAAATGCCCAAAGATAGCGCTCCAACCGAAATCAGTGATCGTCAGCGTCTTTTGTCCCCCATTTGACAAGTCTATGGGGCCCATTACTCCAATCCTCCACTCTGCGCGCTACGAGGATGGTTGTTCAGTCCGCTCCCGAGAATAGAAAAAGGCTCTATTTACCTGCAATGATGGACATGGTCGACCTGTCCGTTCCAACAAACCCTACTCCTCGTGATTGGATCACAGCATCAATGAGAACAGGATACCTGGAAAGATGTCAAGCGGACGAGCGACAAAAACCATGATCATCTCAACGCACCATTCGCCGTAATGTTCCTTCGTGTCTGTGTGGTCGGGCGAAAACCACCCTTGCTTAGCTACATCGTGCCACCATTCCGGACTGCGCTCGTCGCTAGTGACCAAGACGTGTGGTACAATCATGCCCGTTCGTTTTGTGATTTCGTCTTGGACTTCGCGAACGCGACGCTCAATGACACTGAGAGGTGCGACTGTCGCTGTGTTAGATAAAGGCAGATGAGTGGATGGCGGGCTAACAGCATTCATCGATCGGCACGTCGTTGCACCAGACTTTGAAATCAAGGCGGCGAATGTGAAGCGAGATGAACTGAGAAATGTGTCAGGCTTGAATAGTGTCAATGAGTTGCTCCTCACAGGAGGGATTGATGAGTCGTCTGCAACACCCAGAGCCTTGCGAATATATTCGTCCGCAATCTTCTCGAGAGTGGGTGTCCAATGCATATGAGTGCCAACATATCGCCAAGCGGGACTGCATTGTGATAAGGAATCAAGCTGAAAACTGCCAACATTGTTCGTACCTCTGAAATGCGGTCAAACAGAATATCAAGCAGTAGGACTGACACTCACATAGTCGTATTCCATTTCAAAGGGCTGGCACGCATTAAGCGATCATAGGACTCTGGGAGAAAGTGCTTACTTGGTGTGCCGACACGTAGTATACTAGAACAAGTGAGACGACAACTCAACTCAGTTGCTTGGACATACGATAATCATAGCATAAAAGATGCTCGTCCGGGGGAAGGGAAACATTGTGTTTGGGAGATGGTAGTGGGGGGACCAAGCTCGCTTTACGAGTCGTGGGAAAGGCCAAAGTTGCAAGCGACCAGAAGGTGACCTATCGAAGTGAGCAGGCATATCCGAGTCTGAAGTGTCATGGGCATACATGTTGATCATGTTCATAGTTCGGAATCATCTGGAGAAGTTTGTTGGTCTCGTAATCTAATCAGCCTTGAAAACACAAACCTTGATCCACTCGGGAGTTTTGGTGTAGGAAATGTCTGCTCGTGTTAGAAGGATTCGGTAAACCGTAAAGAGCAAGCGCACCAAGGTTAAGGTCATCTGGAATTCGACTCCGCCGGGGAAAGGCTTCTCGATACTGCACGGACTCCCATACATTCCAACAACCAATATCGTCGATCTCGGTGCTATTGATGTCCTAGCAATGATAAGCCAGTTATTCGAGGAAACTGGACAGTCAGTCACCTTGACATCTCTCCACTCTAACACAGATTTTCCGATTTCATTTCGCAGTCGGGGGACGTCAAAGACCTCCCCAAATGGAATGGGAGGGACATGACCTCCAACATGGGACGGAATAAACATTGGCACGATTGGTATGCGGTCCGTTATTAAGCCAAGGTATATGAGGTTGATGTAAGTGTAAACGTCGTTCGCTAATCCCAAAGTATGAGCATTCAACTTGGAGAGAAGACAAAATAAAAGAGCACGTACTCCATCCAGCTGATAGCCAGGAGGTGATATACTTGTGTTGGGGTAGCAAGTTGTCTGTGGCGTATGGGTTGAGAAGCGGAAGCCACAATGGACGTAAACCTACCTCGGAAGGACGCTGTTGGGGATCCGTGTAGGGTGTGTTTGGGACCAAGTGGGTCAATGTCCTTAGCTGGAGTAACAATGGCCTCAGCGGATTGTGACGGTGGTGGTGGTGGGGTAGCCAGAGTGTCAGTAGACTGGACTGGTGCATGTTCTGACAACATGACCAAGAGGGCGATTAGAACTAAGACAAGACATGCAGCAAAAAGACCGCGTCGTCGCAGAAGGAGCGCGTAAGGACCGAAGGTGTCTGGCCCCATGCATATAAAAAAGAGAGAAGGAGGACGACCACGAGCATCCTTAGTGACAGATTCTGGGACTCCCAATGTCATGATCGCCGAGGCGACGACAGTTGATCCGTGTTTCGAGAGGCCCCCGACCAACGACTGGCAGCTCACAGGACAAGACTGAGGCCAAAGTCGTTCACAGCAAGTACTGTACGTCCAAAACTCCTAAAACTTTAGGATTATAATTGGGCACTCAGGAGCGACGGCTTGCTTATGAACCCGCACTATTACCAGCAAACATCAAACCCTAGGCTTAACCAATGCCCGCTGCACCCGAAAAAGTAGTAAAACATATCCATTCTACAGGTCAGGCAGCTCTCGCTGGATTAACTAGTAAACAAGGCGTGAGATTGAAAGCACCGCTAGAATTGATTGGCATACCCTCAACCAAGTGCTGTCCTTCCAGCTATCATGGATGCTGTCAATTCTCTCCCACAGCGTCTCCTCGTCTACCCCATATATCTCGTATTTGCCTCCATTCAACGAAACACCATCGCGTCGAGCGGCGTCTAAAGCAGCTTTATTCTCCCCTCTGTCCCCATAGACTCAGCAACAATCTCTTGCTATTGTGGGACCCACCGTAGCAGCTCCAGCAATTCCGTCCGGTCGGGAAAGAACAATCGAGGCTCGAGAACTGCGAGCATGCCTAGCGCGGCGCGGTACAAGAACGAGTCCCCTTCAAGGAGAAGAACATCCCATATTCGAGCGCAGGCTTCGAAAGGGAGGTGATCAAGGAAGAGAGGAATCAACCATTGGGGTAAATACGATGAGGGTGTGATGAGATGTTGCTTGAAATTAAAGTAGACTGGTCTTCGGAATCAGCAAGCAAATGACGGACGAGTTCATATCGTACTTTTTGGCATTCCATCCGCTAACAGTGTGTCGAATATTCTAACCAGTCGTCAACAAAAGGATTCAGCACTAAATCCTTGAGGCAAACCTATAGTAAGCATTCACCTGATGGACGTCAGTGACTTGGAGAAACAATTATCGAGCGAACATCATCTTTAGCTCCTTCTCCCCCAAAGAAACTTCGGAGGCAATGACGTTCAAGGAGATTCCGCATAACGATGAACCCTCGTTGCGGTGCCATGTTGAGTAAGAGCATCGCTGCAATTCTTGCAGCTCCAGGAGTATAACCGAGGCCTTCGTCACTGCGTGAGACTACCCATGCGGTCAACATGTCTTTCAAATCTTGATGAAGGGGCCCCGTTTGAGCGTCAAATATGTGCAGTGCAGGTAGCGTTGTGGATATGTCTTGTTCGATAAGTGCGAGAGTGGCAGATGGGAAAGCGCCGGAGCTCATGGCTCGTCTTGAACGCGTCAAACACGCCCGATAATTGTCTAATATAACTGTTGGCAATGGAAAAAAATATGATTCAGCTGGTTCCGCACCCTTGTTCAACGCTAATGGGTTACCGACCGCGTTTTCCCACATCGAGGCTCGTAATTTGCTAGGGATGCCCTATGAGCGTCTCGATAAGTTTTCAAGAAGAAGTGCAGGGAAGATTACCTGCCACCACAGCTTACGAAGAGTGGGATTTTTGTGCACTGCTTTCCAGTTAGGAACAATCTCCTTCTCCCAGATCGGAAGGGAGTCCTCGATTCTCTTTTCGCGAGCTGATCGACGATCCTGGAGAGCTTGTCTTCGTTTCTCAGCTAGTATTTATTGGTTTTTCTAGTTCGATGAAGGCAAACAAAACACACCTGCTGCTCGACTCTGCTTCATGATACCTGCCCATTCAGCTGGTCGAAATAAGAACAAGGATTTGTGAAACGGCGAGTAGAACTGACGTACTCAAATGTTTCTCGTCTTCCTTTCGCGGCTTTGGCGGTAAGTAGTGGGGTCGAGTCCTGCTCATCACCTTTTCCAATGCACTTGGACCAGCGGAACGGATTGTACGATGGGCGGGTTTTTTGGGAGACAGAGGCATCGGAATCGGGGGTGGGGTTCTAGGTGGACTAGAGTTCGGTGGTTGAGGAGGGGGGGAAGATGACTTGGATGAGCTCGCCACGCTCTGCGCAAGGTCAAGATTTGATGCTTGTGCCGATGCTGGCTGCGGGGGTGACGAGGTGTTCGAGGAAACGCTCCCAGCCGCCGAGGACACCGAAAGTGTTACTCGATGAGCTGGCGGTTGCGAAACATCAATAATGACGCTGGGATATGGTGTAAGTGGGGGTGAGGCTGGTTCAGAGTTGGCTTGTTCCGGACTCGGCTCTGACTGCTCTTCTGGTGTTGATTCCGACAGAGAAATTTGGGAGAATTGTCCCTCCCCGTCGTCTTCATCTACGCCATGATTCTGGGGTGGAGTTACAGAACGTGAAGGGCCGTTTATGTCAAGGGTTGAGACGGAATCATCGGGGTCAATTGATGGTGCTTCAGTTGTTTCTTCTACACCCCAAGACGGTTCTTGGGTAGCCATATCACGCCGTATTGCATCAGCATTGAAGGTAAAATCCTCGTCCCCATCGCCGAAAGCGTCGTCAAGATCGAGTGTCGAGGAAGAAGTAAGCATGGATTGGGCATGTGACCGAGATCATCGTGTTTCCGTCCGACGACATTGAATGCTTTCCGAAGTATTTTTGGTGCTTGCGGGCCACGAAAGCGCTTTGTTCATTGGCTCGACATTAAATCCCAGATATTCATCACTCCAAATTCATCCTGGCGAACAACAATGTCTCGAATCTCTAGCACAACTCGGCTCACGCTATCGTAAACTTATAGCCTCATGCAAGTCCCAATCGCGCTCTTCGTCAAGATATATTTGCGCTGCAGTATCAGCCACCATGTCTGTTCTCAGCGAATATCAGTCTCTCGTTGTTGCCACTGAGGTGAGCTTATAGTCGAATTCACTTCAACATATCGTGACTCTTACGAGGCTAAAGTCCTTTCAAGAGATTCGAACCTTGTTGCGAGCGCCTCATTTGTTCCCCTTTCCGCCATCCGATCCGTGTTTGCAGAATGGGATGCCCCACTCGCCAGCCTTGTTTCGCTAATGGACCAGTTAGAGGCTGAAACCTGGAACCCTGGCCCGCTTATCGACATGCTTCTCACTCGGGCACAGACTGGTGTCCACAGAGTCGCAGAGATTATGTCTCGCTTGGCTGTCTCCGTTCAAAACATATGGACAACACAAATAACCGCTTTCATGGTCCATGGAACCCTCTCCCAAACAGACGCTCTTGCGACGACAAATTACGTGCTTCGTGATGGCTCAATGCCCGCATGTGTATCTGAGCAGTCAAGAGACTCGATTGCCTATGTAGGCCGAGCCATTGCAACGGTTAAAGCAGCCCAATGGCAGAAACAACTACCACGTCGTCTTGCCAATGAACATACGCAACTACTCCAAGTATATTTCTTCTTCAGCTCGCAATAAACTCAACTGAGAATCTAATAGAATGTTTTGCCAGAAGACAACGAGTTCGATCAAGTCATTTCCCAAATCAGAACAGATGTCAGTGAATGGTTGTGGACCAATGTTCTTACTCGACAAGACGTTGAAGAAGCTCTCGATTCACTCGGGAACTACTTTCTGCTACGCAATGGGGAGTTTGCACAGTCAGTGATACGCGAAATCGAACGCCTCAAGCTCTCTCGATTGACTATGCGATCTGGACCTGCCTCAATCATCCGTGAACAGGATCTCAACCTCGCGTTACTTCGAGCATCCCTTGGCACCACCGCTCAGCACGACCCGAAATTATCACTCCTGCAGTTTTCTCTTCCCGCTGGTCCACTACGACCTCTTTTACCTTCGTTGAGTCACACAGAATATCCCAAGCCAACATCTGTGTCGGCGAGTTACATCTCCCCAGATCCTTCTTTGTTTAGTTTCAGCTCCCATCTCCTCGGTTCAACGCCGTTGACGCTGACCTACAAAGTATCTTGGCCATTAGACCTCTTTTTACACAAATCTGATCTTGCGATATACGCTACTCTATTTTCCTACCTTTCCGCACTCAGAAAAACTCACATGCGAGTTCATACTTGCTGGACCTCACTGTCGAATGCACAACGAGCTAGAAGGCGATGGACTGGCCTGGGCGAAGGCGGTACCGATGAAGACTTACAAGTCCGACACAGCCTACTGCGATGTGGATGGGGCGTCGTTCGTGATATGGGATGGTTTCTGGATACCTTGTCTGGGTATTTGCAGAATGATGTAATCGACCTGGAGTTCAGAAAGCTGAAAGGGCTGTTTGGCGACGCTGGAAGCAGCATGACTCCTTCCGGAAGCTTACAGTCTATGCCGTCTGGGCCATTACCAGTGGGTGTAAGCGCTACCAGTCTTGCATCAACTGGGTCACAACTGGATTTTACGACACTGCGTGCAATCCATTCAGGATATTTAGAACGGCTTCTAAACGGTTGTCTTTTGACCAATACCGGCCTGACATCCCTTCTACAATCCATTCTAGAAGTATGCGAGCGCTTTGTAGCCCAGGTGGAACGTTGGGGAGGTGATGTGCTACCAGCGTTGTTGTTCGAAGGGAGCCTGAGAGGAGGCGACGAAGAGATTGGAGCAACTGTGAAGGAACGGGCTGGCGTCGTTGCTGAAATCAACGAGGTGCGTCTTACATAGCAGAAACACGGAATCAGGATTTCACCACGCAGTCGTAGGCATTACAGGATTTACTGGAATCGTTTTACGAGCAGCTTTCACAGTCGACATCTCAGACCTTTTCAACTGCTGGTGCTGATGCCTCCAAGTCCGTCCTTATAAACGCCAGTCTTGCCAACCACACAATGGGCGGCTTGAAGGCAGTCGCCAGTGACATGCGATTGCCGGAACGTTTGCTGCTTCGAATGGATTTCAATGTGAGTTGGACGATTGTGAATTGGGGTTTAGCTCAAAATCCTGTGCAGGGCTTATTCTCAAAGGGACAACGGAGGAGCCGAAAGACAGGAAGGGGAGTGCTTGCAGAGGGCGGCCTTTAGGTGTTAAGCGGGAATTAAAATTTTGATCACATGACGCTGATTGCCGAATAATATTCGTACATGAGTGCGAGGAGCTCTACTGTGAGGCGACTTTCGGGAGTTATCCACCATCTCAGAATGGCCTCACGTTGGTCCATCGCGCAACTTCACCACAGCTCACCAAACAGCTAACAGAATACACTCCTCGTCTCATCGGCGCCCCCCATACGCTTGGTGAGCAACCTGTTGACGTGGTCGTCGCTGTGGTCATTCTGCAACAGAACATCGGGCCTACATCGAACAGAATGGCTCAGTTGTTTCGCCTTTCCACGACATTCCTCTCTTCGCCGACCAGAACAATGGCATTTTTAACATGATCGTTGAGGTTCCTCGCTGGACCAACGCCAAGATGGAGATTTCCAAGGAGGAGCCTTTCAACCCAATCAAGCAGGACACCAAGAAGGGCAGACTCCGGTTCGTTCGCAACTGCTTCCCCCACCATGGCTACATCTGGAACTACGGAGCCTTCCCTCAGGCAAGTGACGCGATTTCTTTTCAGCGCCTGCTAACAACGTCATTTTCTTTTCAGACCTGGGAGGACCCATCGCAGGCAAACGCAGAGACCAAGGCGAAGGGCGACAACGATCCTCTCGATGTCTGCGAAATCGGTGAACAGGTCGGCTATGTCGGGCAGGTCAAGCAGGTCAAGGTGCTTGGCATCATGGCACTTCTCGACGAAGGGGAGACAGACTGGAAGGTCATCGTTGTCGACGTCCAGGACCCACTTGCCTCCAAACTCAATGACATTGAGGATGTCGAACGCCATCTGCCTGGTCTCATCCGCGCTACCAACGAATGGTTCAGGTATGGTCGTGTGCCCTTCGTCAAGGCGCACTAATTTCTCACCATGAATAGAATCTACAAGATCCCCGACGGCAAGCCGGAAAACACCTTCGCTTTCTCTGGTGAAGCTAAGAACAAGAAATACGCCACGGAAATTATCCATGAATGCCATGAAGCCTGGCGCCGTTTGATCACCGGCGAATCGACTTCTCAAGACATCGCCATGTACTCCTCTTATCTTGAAAATGTGTCCAGACTAAATAATCTTTCCAGCGACAATATCACCATTAAGAACTCTCCTGGCTTCCTCCAGCGAGACCAACACAAGTATACTAGTCTTCCAGCTGACTCGAGAAAGCCCCCGGCACCAATCGACCCATCGGGTAATCGATTCCTCGTCTGCTTTGTGATGCTCTGCTCAACTTTGAACAGTGTCCAAATGGTGGTACATCTCGTCCGCACCCGTTTAGAGGGCCAGATGGCCATACAACCTTTGTAGTTTACGCGCAAAATCCAAATAAAACGGTTTTTTTTCGATGCGAAATATACTCGTACATTAACACTAAAATGCACCCTTACCACCGTTGCTTCTCTATGTTTTGGATGGGAGGGTATTGGCAGTAAGCATCGGAAATCGACGTCACTGTCCACGTTCCTGTGATAAACACGTTGAGCAACGGTTCAACACACTCCGTCTAATCACCGACCTTCTAATGCGGAGAATATCGAATACTCCTTTTGCCAGATGCGCGACACCGTATGTGTTTCAAGCACCTTTCCAGGCTTTCCGCCCTTCTTCTGGCTCGCCTCCGCACGCTGATAAGTAAAGGAAAAGGGAGGCTCTCCTACGAGCGTAAAAACGATCTCGGCTTGATCTCCCTCGTGAATGTCTTGATAGACCCGCTTGCCATGGCCAACTTGGGCAGATGGAAGAGGGTAGACAGTGGTTCTTAGGTCAGTGACTCCAGCCTTGCACTTTTGCTGGTGACGAATCGACGTCACTGTGAACTCGCCGGCCTGTTGCTGAATCAGAGAAAACGGCGAGGTCTTGGCTTCTTCGGAATACATCTTCCCGTTTATCGTATACCCAATTGTCCACGGTGGGATGCCTTCGAGCTGGAACTGCGAGACATCCCCCACGCAATAATGCTCCCGCCTGTCGACTGGTATGATCGCTGGTGTTTCCGCCACGTCAACCCATACGGATGTAGAAAGTGGGTCAAGTGGGGCATGTGCACAACCCGAGGCATCAGCGATAGATTCTAGCAGCACCAGATGCGGGCCGATGGTCTTGAATTCGTAGGAGGGCAGGTCTAATTTCCAGACGGAATCCCAGGTTTCAATGGTCATGCGTTCGACGTGGCTAGTCCCGTAATTCTTTATCGATAGTTGTAGTTGGAAAGGCGGAATTCCTTCAAGCACGACAAGACCGTCATTGGAGAAGTGATCTTGTGCCGAAAAGGAATCGTGAAGACAAAACGACATTCTGTCCCTTGACCGGAAACGAGCAGAGGGGCGCCGGTTTATCTGTTGCTCAAACAGAAGACGCTGGGACCGAGGTATGACCGCCGCTTTGTGTTTTGAAAGAGGGTACGCTGCATCTCCAACCTGTTTTACTTCATAATAAATGCGACCGGGGTTGGATGTAGTAAGAAGGAAGCGAGTCCTCGTTTGAATGCTGTTGAACGTGGGCTGGCCTAGCAATTTAGTCCCACCATTTTCGTTGTCCTGCGCAATGTTGTACATGAGTTCGAATGGGGGTTTGCCCTTGAGGTCGAGATCGACATGAGCAACATCATTTTCGCAAATGGGAGCTAGAATGAATGACCCATTGTAGGCCTCATATGTAGCAGCAGCAGCACTTTGGACAGACAGCTTGGCACCAGGCCGAGGAATCCAGTCCACTCGATACGTGGATGATTCTGTTATGACAGAGCCAGGGCATTGCGCATCAGAAACCTAGGAAGAAGGATAAAGTAGCTGATGGACGAAAGGGGTCTACTCACGTCGACAATACGGTACAGACCGTCCTCTGTGACTTGAAGTTGATCGTTGGGAGAATGAAGCAGAGCCGATTGCACCGTCTCACTCCCGTCTTTACGATATTTCAGTCGCCATGGCTAGATTCATGTCAATATTTGAAAAATCGACAAATAGTTGACTCACCCCTTCGCCTGTCAGACGCAGAGGTAAACTTGCTCGCTCGTGCTCGAGGATGATAACACTATCTCCATAGAATTTCGCTGTGGGCTGATAATAAAGTCACTAAGATTGAATCGTAAGAAGATTTTAAGCACACCTTGACTCTTCTGACTGTAACAGAAACCGCTTGCACAGATATTGGCCGCCTGCATTCATAAACATCTTCGACGCTGACTATACGAAGCTGTTAGCAACCGAGTTAGAGACTAAAAAAATGAGCCAGACCAAGGTCTACGTCAAAGCTGCCACCATGCTGGTCAATGCGTGTAGGTATGGGGATTTGAAGAGTCTTTCTTGCTGTCTTGATGTCCACGAATTGATGGGTTTCTGAGCCTGCGGAGCTGACAACACGAGCTTCGAGTTTCCATGGGCCGGTTCCTTGAAGCTCGACGTCGATGTCTACCATGTTCCCTGCACAGCTGCTGAGCGACTTTTTACCGGAGTTGGCAAAGCTTGCAGACGCTAGCGGGTGGATGGATTGGTCGATGCTCGGTCCGTTCAGTTCTACTCGCCGATAGTTCGAGTCCGAGATGTACGTGAATGCAAATGTGTAATGCCCGGCCTGAGATGGTTGAATGGCTAGTTCTCCTCTGGTTGTCGCAAATGTTTTCGCAATCTCACGTGCCGGTTCGTTATCTTTCCTGAGAGTGTAGTAAACTTGGAATGGAGGGACGCCATGGAGAACTAGTGATGCAGAAACACCGGTGTCTCCAGAGCATTCGTGGATTTTCTTCCATTCAATCTCAGCTATGGGTTTAGGCTTCTCAACAACAACACAAGTTTCGGGTGACAGCACGTGACCAGGGCACCACTGTAAATCTTTAGGATGTTGGCAATGAACGACAGTTGGAACTTACTTTGCCATGAACAGTTTTGATAGTGTATTCTCCCGGGGTATTGGCACGGAAATCAACTTCACGACGCGTGTCTTGAGTGGAAATTGTCTTCTTCCATGGATGAACGCGCCTCTCATCCGTTGGCTCTGTGGGTTTGAACGAGAGCTCAATATTCCAAGGCGCATCGAGAGGGTCAGCGTCTTTAGTCCCAATAGTGAGATGAGCTTCAGACCCAATCAACAGTGACGCTGGTGACGCTGGTCCACAATTCTTGAAGGAAAGAGTGGGAGTGCGCAGGACGCGAAGAGATCGAGTAGTTTTTGTGTCGGGCGCGGAAGGGTCAAGACTTGGTATCTCTAGGCGAACAGTGTTCCCTAGTGCATCGATTACTTCCTCCAATGCATAGAAATAAGTCCCGGCGGCATACAAGGACGCAGTGAGAGGAACTTTGAATGTCTGTGGCACCCCTTTCAATCCATTGTTGCCCTCTGTTAGTTCGGAATCAATGCCCTCAACGATAGAGTGTTCTGCTTTTTCGTTGATGACGCGGAACCACCGCAAGCTTAGCGGAGGCATGCCGCTAAGATCAATCGAAAGCTCCAAGTCTTGTCGTTGACCGGCACATAAAATCGGTGCAGTTGGCTGTTCAACAAACTCCGCTCGAGGACAAGGCACCACTGTAACTTCGGAAGGGATCGCTAACCGAGCCTCGATACCCGAAGAGTCGACAACCTGTTCAAGACGAACAGTTCCATACCGAGCTAGTTGAATATGGACCAGTGATTGGGTTTTTTGGAGGTTGGGTGAGGATTCAAGGATTGTCTCGGTCTCTATATCGTCGTATTCATCGTACTCGTCATCTCGGCGACGACCAGAGGAGAGCGGTGTTGACCGTGAGTTCTCTAGACGATTCTTTTCAATCGTATTGAGATCACGGGCAGTCAACTGGATGCTTTCAACTTTCGCTGAAGAGCCGGCAGTATAGCCCAAGGGGATGAGAGAATATCGAAGGGTAGAGATATCGGTATTGTTGAGCAATATGGGTATTAAAACAGATGCCTTGGGTTCTGCAAGGCAGAAAGTAGAACTATGGGAAGGGTCAGCCCAAAAAGCAAGATGGAAAGACTGCTCACTGGTGTGGATTGAGACGAGCAGTGCTGATTGGAGACATTCTGACAGTGTGTTCGCCCTTGAGATGCGCGTCGGATGCATGTCTTGACCCCACAAAGCCAAAAGAAACGGTGCTGAGGAGGGCTAACAACGTGAATGGTTCTGGAGTGGCAGCAAGGTCTGCATGGGAGTCAGTTTCACGCGTCAGGCCAGCTTTAAGCGACCCACCAGAGGCGTATGTCGGATCTCCACGTCCTCTTCCAAGGTTTAGACTTAGACCGCCAAACATGAGTCTTGACGCGTGTTTAAAAATTGGACACACGTAAGAATGAAAGAGCGCACCCGTCAAGAAAGATGCAAAGAAGTAGCTGACAGAACACAACGCTACGCGTATAGGTGAGACGCGGAATCCGCAATTGTGTGAGGGCCAGGCAAAATAAAATGTCGAAGATGAGCCATTTTCGACAAAGGTGGAGACTGTCGTCTTGAGAGATGTTGAACTGGACAAAGTCAAACAGTTTGACGGCTTGCCCCAAGAGCGCAATACTGAGTATGTATAGTCGTTGTGATGGCACGTCCAGCCAATCTTGCGGTATTAATGGTGGTCGTGGTGGGGAAGGCATACACACAAGATGGACTCGTCACGGTCACGCGCGCTAAATTCTACTCTTGTCCCTGCACCATGTCGATTCCTCCACTGTGAGACCACGTTTCGAGCACATGCGGTTATTCCTAAGCAAATTTCTTCCGCTCCAGACTCAAGATCGAGGGCGATTACGATGTTCTGTTGGAGATTTACACCCATAGCTCCCTTAAAGATGGTTCTATGCTCTACAACGAAGAGTACGGCGACGTTGATCGGCTGATACAGCGGGGCACAAGCACTCTCAACGATGGCCTCTATGAGCACTTCTTCAATAAACGCCCGCTATTGAATGTAGAGCAGATAGCTGTACGTGTGTGATCTTGTTCAGCTTGACTCCACACACAGACTCTTCGCTGCAGGACCATGTCTCGAAAGCGGTCACCCCAGATAAACTCAGAGAATGGTGTGTCTCATGGAATGTCAAATCAAAATTCCGGGCAGCGCCTGGGGCTTGCGACATTCTCGATTCCCCACCGGTAATCTATTGTCACCCGCTTTTCGCGAAATTGCGTTGAGAAAATATTCATTATAGGACATGGAAAGATTCCTTCAGGCTTACATAGGAGCTTTGCGTCTACGCAATCCTCAATACCAAGTACAAGCGTGGATCTCCAGTCTCGTCGACCCTGAAGCTCCTCAGCCGCTTGAATTACCGCCCCCTGTTCCACCTGCCCAATACCCTGGGCACACAGTGCAAAATAGTTACCCCCCAACGCAGAGTAATTACCCTCAGCCGCCTCAAGTTTCGGCCCCTACAGCCTCTGGTGGTATTACCCTCCAGAAGATCCACGAGGCTGCGGCAAAAAATGGTTGCGCAATGAGTTACGAGGCTCAACAAATATCTGGCCCAGCACACAATCCAACTTGGCAGGCTGTTGCAAAAAGTATAGTCTCTCTCTCTCTTTCCGATGAAATCTCATGCGTTCCAGTCGATGGAATTCCTTTCGGCGAAGCAACTGCAAAATCCCAGAAAGCGGCGAAAGAAGAGGCAGCTCGAAAGGCCTTCGTCGCCAAAGGATGGCGCGCATAGTCCAATACTTTTACTCACTCTTGTACATTCTTGTGTAACGAACTAACTCAAGTACCAGAAGACGGCATAAGCTCCAATAAGCATAAGGAGTATTTGAACCTGAGGGTCGAGGTTGGAAAATTGGGCAGTCGTATTATTGAGCGCTGCCGTAGCGGAATGTGAGATGTCCGTTGGTGCAGTTGAGCCCCCTCCCAGCGTTTGCCCCTTCCCTGTGAAACTACCCGACGCCGCCGCCTCGCTTCCGCCAGCATGGCGTCTTAGTGTGGACTCCAATCCCATCCTATCAGCTCCCCGGACTTGGTCGACCTTCGTGGAGCCTTTAAGAAAGACAAATGTTGGCCTATCGCCCGTCAGTCGAGAAAATATTTGAACAGATGACAAACATTGCCGATATTCTGTAGAGCTCAGCCACGTCTTTGGCCGCATCTGTATCGACCTTGAAGAAGTTGACATTCTTATATTCCGGCCGCTTAGACAGGCTCTCGAAAGTGGGAGCGATAGCATGGCATGGGCCACACCAAGTTGCCCAGAAGTCGATGACCTGGATGGAATGTTCAGGCCATATCTTAACACATGAAGCCAGCTTCTCACGGTTAGTTTCGACGACGACTTTGAAAGACGGTTATTGAGGTCTGAGACCGAGGTGACATGAGTAATAGTGCTCATAGTGGTGGAAGTAGCAGAGGTAGCGTGGCACAAGTTACTCAGCAATCACGGTTCAGACATCCGGCTAGATGAGTACACTTGTATCTAATCTACTGCCATCATCTTCAAGAAATCTGCTGGGGGAATAATGTGTCGCCCGACACCAGTGGACGTCGTGTTTTGGTGACCATAAACTGTGTTCTCGTTCGCTCTCGAACGCATGCCCCCTCGTCTAATAGATCCTTTACGTTTGTTGCTTTTGGCTTCTTCTGCACTCGCATGCGAATTGCCTCGTCGGTGGAAACCAGACCACATGGCATTGCCCACAGTCTTGAGAGGGAGTTCTAATCTTTCTGCTACAAGCTTGGTGGTGACGCTCTTCTTGACGACATGCATGAATTTCACTTTGTGGCCATGACTCGGGTGGAGTAGCCATGGAGAGCAGAGGAATGTCAGAGGCGTGAGCTGTTTTTCTCCGTCAACAATCTTCTTGCCACTCTCATCCACTTTGTTGTCCACAAAATATTCAAATCGCCAGCGCATCTTGCCGTCGACAGATTGACCTTGAACACCCGTTGGAAGTGAATGAAAAGACTCGCTACCATGCACGATATAGACACCAGTCGTCTTGAGAGCCAAAGTTGCTTGACGCGAGATGTAGTCTCGAGACTCGTCGTTATTGATCATGAGCCGGCGAAGAATCGGAAGACCTTCAAGAGGAGCATAATGGAATGGAAACGATTCCTTTGTGGTAGGGCGGAACAGGGCCCAGCCTCCTTCAGGTGCGTCATAACCCCAGCCTCGAACATGTTGTCTGAACCCTGCGAGTTTGAACGTCGGGCAAACTGAACGGAAGCCTTCTTGATCAATTGAGAGCGCTATGGTCATGTTTTTGAGCCAGATTACAGCTTCTGGAACCGGGAAATGATCAAAATTGTATGGCACTCCAGGAATGCAACGAGGTTCTGAAGCAGGGATGGGCAATAGATTCCTTGAGTCTGATTGAGATACTTGACTGGCCAAAGACTTGCTGGTTGAGAAACCGAAACTAAGGTCTCTTGGGAATCTGAATTTGCGATGGAGTGACTATTGGTAGTTTAGTCGTGTTGATCGCCAGTTAAATGAACAACAACCTGAGTAGAAGAATTTGATGGCGAGGGCGACAGGCTCGCGGTCGTATTCGCAGATATAGCGGATAGTGTGGATACGGACGGGGTAACCGCTCGAGGAGGTGTGTGTTGAATTGGCGCATGAACACGCGAGCTACAGTTGGAGAGGATGGAGTTATTGGAAGGTAGAGAGCGATGTGCTAAAGAGCCTAAATCATAGCGAGGTCCAAATGTTCCGACAGAGACTCGCTGGTTCATGGGTGTCAATTCGTCACCATTGACCTCATCCTCCTCCTCCAGAACAAAATCGAAGAGAATAGGGATGAAATCGCTCGAACACGATGCATCAATAGGATCGAGAATTGGTGAAGGAGGAGGCTCCAAGGTAGAAAGGGCCACCAAGACGGAAGCGGAAGGGGGAAGGGAATGAATGTTGGTCATGGTGGTAAAAACTTGAGTGGATCGCGATCACGTGTCAGTCAGTATACAAGTCCATTCTACAAAAACGACCAGTAATTAGTATTATATCCCACTCCCACTCCCACCTGTCATCTGCCGCACAATATTAGTACTTCTTATACCGACCACACTCTTTGGTCGTGGACGCAAAGCGCCTGTTAATCCCTTCGTGGGACTGATGCTTCTCGTTGGGCTCAAACCTCCTCCGGTTAACTGCCTTGTTAACGCTGGGTCTCCTCCACTAGCAAACATTCCTTTGCTTGGACTAACACTCCTCGCACCACCTGTAAGCTGTCGAAAGATAGAGGGATCATTCCCGTGACCAGTGATTTGGCGAGCGATGGTCGTTGTTCCCGTCGTCTGCGGGACAATCTTCCCGGAGCCAGTGTAAGTAGGCACGATTGGTGTGCGTGTTGGCGAGCTTTGCGGCGAAGCTCTGATTTCCATAGGCAATAGAAGCTAGATATAAGATAAGTTTGCATGGTTGTAATATAAAGCTGTTACGCACTGAGCACTCTCGACACCAAACACGACCTTCAACATCCCGCTTTGCGGCACTATCAAGTTTTTTACCACAGCCGGGTACCCCCTTCTTCTTTTCATCGCGGAATGCCCATGATTTTGTTGGCGGCTTTTTGCCCCCGCAAACAAGGCACGAAGCGTGCCATCGAGAACCCTGAGGCCCAGGTACTACTCCTCGCTCCATCGGAGAAACGGAGACATTGCAGCCTGGACACGAGTTGGAGCCTCCAAAACGCGGGAATGTCATTGGCGTAGAGGTTGGAGGAGCAGTCATTGGTGGACGCTCGAATTTGTTGCTCTCAGTAGGCCGAGTAGGTGCGGCCTTGGATGCGAAAATAGATACCCCTGGCAAGGCAGTTGTAGGCCGGGATTTGATGGAAATCTTCTGAGGGGGCGCACACTATAAAGAAGGGTGAGAACAAATCATTGGTTTCCAGAAATTACCTCAACGTGAGCTGGGCCATCGACGCCTTTCACAAATAATGCTTGACCTGCGCTCCCTTCTTTGAAAGGTAAACTGCACATAACGCAAGTAAAACATTTGGAGTGATATGATTCTGGTTCTCCGGAAAGTTCGTTCGGAACTGTAACGTAACGGCCTCCTTCGCCGACCGAGAAAAGAGATTGCAGGCATTTGACGCAAGTGGTTGATTCCGAGACTGAAGCAATCGAAAGGCGTTTCGGAGACTTAGATGTGTTTTTCGTCGGTGTTGTTGGCCCCGGTGACTTGGATGGAGTTTTCGGAGATTTGGATGTGAGAGAGGTCGAGAACGGGATGGGGCTCTTTGCATGAGTTGTTGTTTCCTTCACGGAAGATTTGGGAGTGTGGACAGGGGTAGTCATCTGACTACTCGTTTCTTCTGCAATGATATCTTCACTCCCCAGAAGGTGACTGGGTCGATTGCTATAACTATGAGGATGGACTTTGGAGGTGCTGAAGACATCCGAGTATTCTGATCTAGGAGGTGAATCTGGTCCAACGGACGAAGTCGCGTCTGACGAATCTGAAGTTAAATCAGGAGTCGATGGGGTTGAAAGCCGGCCAGAGGAACGGGAAGATCGAAGTCGAGGTTTGGCGAGGGGTGGAGTCGAGCTAGTTGACGCTGCCGGTGAATTCGAGGAGCTTTTCATAAACCGACGCTTCATTTCTTCAATAGCCTCTTCAGCGGGTCGCGTGTTTGGGCTATCACGGAGAGGGCTTGCGGCTCCAGAGGTAGAGTAGCGCTTCGATGGAGATGGAGAGCGGTCATCAGGTTCTGGACTACGGAATCGCTCGTAACGCCTGGCAGGGCTATTGTCAAAACTCAAAGAGGGATCACTCTTTGTGCGAGATCGGACAACAAGAGGGCTAGTTTCCCGGCTGGAGACAGAATACCGAGAGCCTGAAGTAGCCAAAGGGCTTCGTGTAGGGCTGTCCTTCCCTATCATGCTAAGACGGTATGACAACTCCTCCAAGGCCGGACTGGGTTCGCGATTCTTGATAATCCCCAACCTCTGCTCGAGTTCTTCCAAAGCGGGACTGCCCTCTCGACTTTGATGTCGATCGACTCGTCCGGGGGTGCTTGTGGCGCTATGAGTCTTCTTTGGCGTTGTCGCATCGCGCTCCAAACAAGTGTCAAAACACTCATGACAGGTTGGGCGTCCGAGGAGGTCAAGCATTGGTGAATCGCCGATACTCTTGTCGCAGCCTCACCACAAATTAGTATGAAGGCACAATCAGCAGTCTGACCAACTCACCTATACAGTTGAAACATTTCTTATGCCAATACTTGTCGCCTGCGTGAACAAAACCCCCTTCTGACTTGAGAATAAGCACAGGACGAGAGCATTCCGCGCATGGACCCCGAGATCCGCCATTCGAAATAAAGCAACTGCGGCAGAAGAAACGTGGCGGCCCAGGCGTAGTCGCCCCATACGGGTCTGGATATATTGTCGATGTTGTTGGCGCAACAAATGGGGTGTTGCAGTTAGCACAAGCTTGCACTACGAGGATTTAGATGTAAGGAGACAAAATACACGATGGGTACTCACCTGGAAGCGTTTCACGAGGTTGTAAAACAGAGCCATAGACCTATTAACTTGTGAGTATCATTGAACCGAGATCACAATGTCACAGACTTTGGAGAGAGTGGCATCATGGGGGGAGGGCAGGATGCCAGACTCGGGGGCAGCCAGGGATGAATATTTCAGTGGAGAGGGAGGTCGATTGGTCTGAGAGGAGGTGGAAGAAGTAATGTGAGCCGACACGCGGTTGCTGAGTTGAGAAGGAGCGGATGATTGGGAAAGTGGACGAGGGAAACGTTTGGTAGGGGAAGAAGATGTAGTAGACCTGGGGGAGGAGGGTTCTTGAGATGGGGGAGGAGCTTGTGATTGTCGTGTGGGACTCGATTCTCTGTCCTTGGAAACATATGTCTTTGACCATCGATCCTGGCTCTTCTCTCGAGGGTTGTTCTGGTTCCAAGGCACAACGGGGGCTACAACACTTAGCTATTTGCTTAGATTCGGGCCGTTTGCTTACCAACAGCCATTCCTCCACAGGTACAACGTTCCCCCGTTACAACGCTGCCGCAACGTCGACAGAAGCCCATTGCAAGTCGAAGTCAACGGTTGAGGTGGTCACGGTCACGTGTACAGTTAATGTCACATGCTGTCCAAACGCGTTGTTCCTTTTCATGACAAGTAGATCCATTCCAAACAATACATTAAATATACTACAGCTTTGCCCAGTCAACACGCTCCACCTTCTCCTTATGAGCACATATGCAATAAGGAGCAATAGACTTGCCATGTCTGGAATCAGATCTCGTATACGGGAAGCACCCAGGCCATGCATGCCTGAGACTATCTCCCGCTGTAGTATCTGCACAATTTTGACAACTCCATCTTCTCCGTATGCCTATCTTGGTTAGTTTTAGAAGTGAACCTAAGCAGTAACGAACACTTTGAGCGTATAGGAATGGACGACCAAGGCCAACGGCAGTTGCGCCAAGACACAGGGCCTTAAGTACATCTGAAAGAAGAGTTAGCCTAATGACAGTCTGGTTATATGCATACCTGTCCCGCGCTGAATCCCACCTATGCTGCATTAGAATAGAACGCCTATGTGTTTACTCTATCACCATCAATGTAGACTAGAATGAGGCATGTAAATAGCAGTCTCATAATAACAGGAACATCTTACTCACCCTCCGTTTTCTCAAATACATCTGGTCTCTGCTTCCTGAGTCGATACAAGACCTCGATGGGGGGAAGCGAGCTAGAAATGTAAGGTCTTGTCGGGCAAGATGCAATGGACGCACTACTCTAATTGTCTTCCCCCGTGATTCGAAAGCAGGATTCCATCGACGCCGGCCTCAACGGCGAGAACAGCATCCTGTAAATGTCAGATCCGATTCAGGCCTAGGCAAGCGACAGCTCGACCTGCACGCATTGAACACCTAGGATTATGAGTTGAGCGGGAAACTTGGTCAAGGAACCGACCCTTGACGACGATAGGCAGCTTAGTAATACTGCGCAACCAAGGGATGGTCTGCTTGTCTATGAGGCTTGTGGTGTAACGGGAAGTAAACTCACCTTCTCCCATGTCATTTCGCGGTCATCATTGGCGATCAAGGCGCCAGCCGTCCCCAGCCCTGAATCTTCCAGTCCATCTTCCCCGTCGATATGAACCTTCGGGGAGCCCCGTTCGAGGTCCTCAAGAGCCCAAGGACTCCGAATATCTTTCTCGCGATTTCCTGCCACTACAGCGTCCACGGTCAAGAAGATGGCCTTATAGCCAAGTCGTTCAACTTCTCTTACACGTTCTTCAGCTATGGCGGTGTTCGAGTGTTTGTACAACTGGAAGAAAAGCGGTTGCGTAGGTGAGGCGGCACCCATAATCTCGGAAAACGACATGGACGCATTGGAGGACACCATCTGAATAATAGACGTCCTAGCAGCGCCTCGCGTAATGTTTATTTCACCTACATAGCATCGTAAGTAGTCACTTGCTTGAGTATGCGTCAGGACTAACCGAGAGGGTGACCCAGTTTCGCCAGCGCTGCTCCGGAGACGAAGACTGGAATTGATGACTTGAAGCCAAGTATACTAGTTGATGGATCGCATTTCGCGACAGGTCGCATAACGCGTGGGTGAAAGTAAAACCGCGAGAACGCACGGGCATTCTCAGATGTAGCTACTAAGCATCAGAAATCATTCAAAATAGCCAGTGAACGAGTACTTATATGATCGTCAGCTGCAGAACTGTAATAGGCCTCTGCTTTATGGGATAGCACTTGGCGCGCAACTACCTATGAACAAGTGTGAGAGATGGACGGAAATGTCCCTGCGACCAACCTCCATGTCAGCCAAGTTAAGAATCCGGCTAAGTGGAGGGCGATGTAGAAGAGCTTTTTCTACTCTCATTTCATCTTTGCTTTTCTCACGGCTCTGTTGCTCAGCCATGTGACGGGCAGCGCTCTCAGTAAGAGGCCCAAGATGCTTTTCTGGGGGCAGGTTCTTTTCTAATGCATCGGAGGGGTGAATTGGGGCGTATGCTTGAGTAGCGTCCTTCCCCGCATATTTCAGGATAATGCTGGCACCACCTGGGTGTTCCTAACCTACCGTAAGCGGGACCTCTCACTACAGACAGCAACGTGAGTACCTTGAGGAAGTCTGTTACATCATAGACCCGGTTAGCAATGATAACCCAGCAGTCGGTAGGTTTGTTGTGAGCCGCGACTTGGTCGAGGGTGAACATGAGCGTAGAGGGAAACTTGTGCACGAATTTCATGTTCGGACCGGACATCGACAGTCTCGTGATCCGCTGCCAACAGTCACGTCACACTGTCACATCAACCAAGTTTGTACTGAGCGTCAACCGTGCGTGTCCAGCAGCCGACGTTCACCGTGTCTGGTCGAGGTTCGTCGTCTCTCTCTGATAGCCAATTCACACTTCTCATTGCTATACCCAAAGATGCCGACCTTACCTTCTCGCAAAGCGATGGAAGAAATGAAGCGACCTGAGATCCAGAAGCTTTGCAAGGTGAGGCGGCGTTGGTTGTGGATCTACTCGCAATCTCATCCCTGACGCACCTTCAGGACAATAATATCAAAGCCAATTTGAAAACAGATGCTCTCATCGAATTACTGCTGGACAAGTGGGTGTCCACAAATAGATTCAACGCATCTCATCTCTCTCTCTAGGAAGACTGAATCGACCACACCCGTTACACGAACGCGCCGTGCTGTCTCTACTAGACACTCGAGTATGATTGTCCATGAAGCTGACGAGCAGGAAGAAGACCATGAGGAGGAAACGGAGAACCAGCCTGAACCTGAACCAGCTAGTGAGTCACGTAGTGCATTTAAAGACCTCTGTCTGACGGAACAACGAGACGAGTCGTCAGTCGTCCCTGCACGATCGCGGAAGAAAGCGAAAGAGACGCAAACTCGTCTCGGTGTAGGGCGTCCAGCTGTTGCCGGTGGTTCCGGGCCTCGTGCCGTCACCAAATCGGTCAGCGTATCTAAAGGGAAGCGTGGCAAGAGCAGCAGAGTAGTAAAACCGGCGCAGGAGACCATTCCAGAAGAAGGTGTGTCAAATTGCTCTCCAAGTTTGTCTTGTTTATATATACGTACAATTCAGTTGAGGATGCGGATTCACCACTAGTTCCAACGGAATCTGAACCTGTCGCTGGTCCTTCTGAACCGACTGAGGAGCCCAGTGCATCAATATCAACTATTGTTGAATCTGCAGTAGGCCTCCCACTACTACAAGCGCCATCCTCATCTCCCTTATTAGTTACAACCACTTACACGGCAACTTCAGTCACTGCAAGCTGAGTTGCAACAAGTTCGGAAAGAGGTGGCTGCCATTCAAGCATTGGAACAGAAAATCGCAGCTCTCACCGCCTCGAATTCAGCACAGGCCGCCACCATCGCCTCCCTCCAAGCTGATTTGAGAACTCTTCAAGAGGGAAACGTCATCGCCATGAACCCTCGCTTAATTATCACGAATCCTTCTACTCCACAATTGCGCAGTCCTCTGCCTCAGGTTAACAGGTATGCCTCTCGCCAAGCGTATTGTTCAACTTGTGACTTCTTAGGCCTTCCAAACTAACGAATAATGCCGATCTACCCAATCCCGGTATTGCGCCAACCTTGCTTGGCAAACGGAGTCGTGACTCTACCGCCAGTAACATGACTGGTATAATTGAGGATGGCGAGCAGCATAGTCTGAGCGACGCAGAACTTGCCAATGCAGTTGTCCGTCCCACCAAAAAGCGACCCAAGCTGGACGAAGACGCTGATATTGTGTCTGGTGCAGATGGACCTGCGTTTGCAGTTTATACGGGCGAGGAGGAACCATATGTTGACCCTCCTCCTCCAACACAACGCCTTCCCGATTTTTACGGACCCTCATCGCCCAGTGCTTCAGGCTTGGATCGTCAGACAACCAGTACACAGAATGCGACGGAGAACCAACATCCATTCACATTTGCCTTCACGCCTACGCCAGCAGACGTCCCGTTCGATATGCCCAACTTCCCTTATCCCGAAGCCCCAACGTCCCCTTCTCCAGCTGGGACTTCAAATGCCAATCCCTCCTTGTTGCGACAAGGAGAGCGAACCGACATCTTCCAGTCGTTTGGACTTCCTGCACCAACGCGACCACGTTCGCGTCTCACCAGTGCCTCCACGCATCGCTCAACAGCAGACAACGCCACATTGAATAAACCGGAAGATGCGCCGTCTTATGGTCTTCGTGATGCTTTACCTGACTTGGACTCGCAATCTGCTCTCACTCGTACCATGTACGGGACCGAGTCAGACGATCGTTTTGGGGATTTTGGCTTCCAGGGTGTTGCTAGTGCTGCCACTGGTATATGGCCTGGTGGTCGTTTCTGAATTCTGTCAATGTGTGGAACATGTAATTCTGTATCTCGTAGTGTAAGCGGTTTCGTTTTACTTACTTCCCTTTTGAATGATATCGGCTTGCCATGCAAACCAAAGCTATTTTTGGTTGATGGGAGATAACAATGCAAATCTTTTCCGACAGATCGGCCATCACGGGAGCTAAAGTGGCTCAAAACATTTTGCTTATTACTTGTAAACTGAGTGTGTCGGCTGGTCAAGGAATCACAAAGGACTGCAAACTCTTACTTCTGGGCAGTCTTGAAACAAACAAACAAGCAAACGCTGTTCAGCGCACAGGTTCTTCACTTGACAACAAATCGCTCCTTGTTCGTCGTCAACGCTGCCACCAAAATGCCTCGTCTGACACATGCGTTCTGATGGCCCGTACTACCGGGCTGGCCGGGCAGCTGTTGTCCGTTGTTGGGCCTTCTTTAAAAGGAACACACGCGTCTTGTCTCCACCTCACACCTTTTCTCCCACCTTCCATTTTGCCTGCGGCCTCTTTTTTGGAGCTTTTCCCCGCCTCACTCCCTCTACGTTCTTTGGTCATCTCAACTCGCTAGCCGTCATGTTCGCTTCTCTTTATCTGGGCCTGGCTTTCGCGCCCTTCATTCTTGCTAAAGTCCATGACGTTCAAGTCGGTGGTCCAAATGCCGAGCTCGAGTTCTTCCCGCAAGGTGCGTTTGCTTATCTGCTCGATATTGGGACCATCTTTTTTTGATGCGAACTATTCCAGCACTCAGCGCGGCTGTGGGCGATCAAGTTGTCTTTCACTTCAAGTGCGTATGATCACGTTCTTTGCATCGCTACGAGGGGCAAAGCTCGTTAATAGGCTAACCCCTTCGTCTCAATGAACGATCATTTGTCCTAGGTTTTTGTTGATTGTTTCTAACATTTATTTTCAGTCCCAAGAACCACACCGTGAGCCAGTCCGCATTCAACAACCCGTGTGGGTTGAAGGAGGGTGGCTTCCATAGCGGCTTCATGCCGGTAGCTGCAAACTCGAGTGTCGAATCGAGGCCCACTTTTACGGTCAACGTAACAGACCTTAACCCTGTTTGGGTGTACTGGTAAGCTTCTGTCTGATGACTTGCATGCACAACATTAATTCAATTCAACAGTGCCCAAGCAGCGAATACGCCCAACTCGCACTGCGGCAAGGGTATGGTCTTCAGCATCAACTGCCCCGATTCTGGTGCCCCCAACTCGTTCGACAATTTCAAGGCTGCTGCCCTCGCTATTGGCGCTAACCTCGCTGCATCTGCCTCCGCCGCCCCGGCTCAATCGGGTGCCCCGAGTGCAACTCCAGCTCTCACCGCTGCTTATGGAGGCGTGACCGTCCCCCCAGCTGTTCCTGCAACCGTCGTCACTGTTCCCATCACAGTATGTGTCATTCTCGATGTGTGTGAAAGACATCTTGCTCAGTGAACAACAGCTCGACCAGACTTCCATCTGGACAACAACATACACCTCCTTCCAGAACTCACCCGCGGCCACACCCGTCGCTGCTGCAGGCGCGGTCCACACCGTCGTCGTTGGAGGACCTAACAAGCTTTTCTTCGAGCCTGACCACATCATTGCTGCTCCCAGAGATACCGTTGTCTTCGAGGTGCGTTTGATCACAAACGTCCTGTCACTTCGCACAAACTAATTCCTTGACAGTTCCAGTAAGTATTCTCGGCGTATTTCCGCTTTCACAATCCTTAACCCTGGGAATAGCCAAAAGAACCACAACGTCGTGCAATCAAGCTTTGCTGATCCCTGCCGTCCTCTCAATGCCGGCAACTCATCTGCTCCTCAAGCACTGACCAGCGGCTTCAAGCCAGTTGCTGACAACGCCACTGACTTCCCTACGTGGTCGGTTACCGTCAACGCCACCAACCCGCTCTGGTTCTACTGCGCCCAAGTCACCCCTAAGTCGCACTGTGGTGCCGGTGCGTCTATTGACCTCTTTTTCTTCTTCTCGAGGCTGATAATGTGGAATAGGAATGGTTTTCAGCATCAACGCTGCTGACAACACCACCCGTGACTTTGCAGCTTTCCAAAAATTGGCCGAACAGCTAAATGGAACCGTTTCGGGCTCTGCTGCTCCCCCGTCACAGAGCACGACTGGCGCTGCGTTGTCGCTCCGGGCAACTGGTGGCGCAAGTGTTGTCTTTGCGCTCGTCGCAGTTGCCGCTTCCCTCCTCTGAGCACCGTTTGGGTGTTGCTCTTTCCTTGATACGCCACTTACTAACGAACTGTTATGGACTTTATTTGTCTCGATGACACCTTGATACCATGTATGCTTTGCTCCAGTCAAAGTAGATAGATTGTGTAGGTGCCAGCAACTTATGCAACTTAGTTTTGGGCATTGTTTGTAAAGCTAGATTTGATGAGGAACAACACTATTTACCGGCACTTGGTGTAGGTGTCCATCGCACACGATTTAGATCCTGATCCCTCTTCTGACCACTCTCCCAACCAGCAACCCTGTCCATTGCCTCGGCACGACGAGTAGCAGCAGTACCCAGGGTGCGATCAAGTAATCGTCGAGCAGCCGGTGTGAGATTACCCGCAGCCTCTGACCGTCGTGGCGTCCCAATTGGTGGTCCCATAGTCCCTTTCCGTGCTGTACCACCGATGACCGGGGTCCGACCCAGCCCCATTAGTCCAGCCTTCATGCGTAGGCTCTTGGATGCCTTGTTGGCCAGCTTATACGAGATTTCCTCACGACTCGTTGGCTTGGCGATGTGAAAGGGTGTGTTGGGCGGAGGTAAATCGTCCGTCTGAGAGATCACGCGTGGAGTAGCGTTGAGTGTTCCCCATGTCATCAGTTGCTTGACTGCTTTTGGTCCAAGCTGTTCAGGCGTTGGGGAAGGAAGGTTCGGCACAAGAGAGAAATTGTTGATTGTGGGCGACCTTGGCCGATCTGATTGGTCATATTCAGAGTGTGGAGATGGTAGAGAGAACTTTTGGCCTACAAGGTGTGCCCGTAATGGCTGCATTGATGTGACTTCGTGTTGGACTTGGCGGGGCTGAAGCAGAACGAAAGCGAGAATCTGAATCGTCGTGTTCTACTAACCGCGTGCTGTTATGAACGATAACACGCGAATCCGGCTTGCTATTGGGGACAATGCGATACGGTGTGACATCTGCATCTGGCGCAAACATCAGTGAATTTCGCGTCTGTAGTCTTTGTTAGAGAGAGAATGGACAAGCTCATCACACATACCTTGAATGACCACGTATCGACGGAAGCGGACCTAGTATCCTTCTGCGGCGCCATGACATCCACATCTTGCTCTTCAGACCTGAGCACTGCAAGCGCCAACTTTGCTTTCTCTTCCGCTTCCTTCTCTATTGCCAACTCCTCCTCTGATTTCGGAGCCGATTCAATGAGGCCAACGGGTTTGGGTGCCTCTATCCTGAATTTCTCTTTCATCCCGGCGACTGACTGAGGCTCCAATAAGAGTCTTTCCCTATCAGCCAGCATGCGCTCTCGTTGTGCCTCGACCCGTTTCTGTGCTTCCCAAGCCCACCCATACCTCTCCTTCCGCTTTCGGTTTTCCTCATGTAGAATTTCGGTAAAACTGGAGTTGTCCTCTGACGTGTACCGCGCCTGGAAGTTGTCGAGACTGAGGTTCAGGTCGATCCGCGGTCGCTTCGCCAATGGCTCTCCGCTAGCACTTCGCAGCGGGGTATCAGAGGGCCCGCCACCGTATGGAGTTTCGTCAAAACGTCTGCCAGGAGTAACTCCGATCTCTTCCAGTCGCCGCACGGAAGCATTGATGAGCTCCGGGTCTCGCAATTCTAGGGCGTCCCGATAGTCGTTCGTAGCATTTTGGACCAATGACGGGAAAAAGTCGCGAGCAATTATATGCGACAACGCGGCTGTGTAATCGTCTTCCTCCAGGACTGCCTGGCCATTGAGAGACCGTGATTTGGCTTCCATGGTTGGTTCAGAGAGATGGAGCGTGACTGCGTGTGACGACTGACTCCAAAACGAGAACTCGTCAAAGGGCATATGTATAGGAAAAACCAAAGTACATCCATAAGTACACTACATTACTACTTCGCCGCACTTCCAGATCTTGGACGCGTTTCCGTTTCAGACTCTCCAGCAGCACTCTTTCGGCCGCTGGTACTGCTCGGTCGACCTATTCGACTTTGCGACAAGGCTGCCGACCGCGGGGCTCGAACAGTCACATTAGACATCGAGCTGGGTATCTGTGGGAGATTCTTTCCCCTATCGTATTGCGATGCTGCCAAAGAGAATGGCGTCCCTGATGCTGGTCGGGGCGGGGGAGGCATAGTCGTAGGTCGTTCTTTCGATTCAGGTTTGACCGCTGTGCTGGCTCCCAAAGAAGACCGTTTCACATTATACGGGTTGGGAGCAGCAGGGCCGGTAGATCTTTTCATTCCTATCCCTGGGGTATGGGCGTGCAGGCCACCAGAGGGAATAGGTAAAAAGGTCGGTGTGGCTGGTCGTGATGAAGATGAGGAGGAAGAAGGAATGGATATGGTGGTTGATCCACTTGATAGTCGTGATTGTGGTCGTTTGAGACCAGAAGAGGGCATCGCACTTTGCGCAAGTGGGTTCGAAGTGTTGTTTGATTCATGAGAAGGCACCGAGATCGAGGCGGTTGGCCGGAATGGGGTGATACCCAAAGGACTGGAAGCTCTCCTTCGTTCACCTGGTTTGGGTTTAGGTGGACTGGGTGAATCCTCCATGATAAGCACCCATCCAGCTGAATCACGTTTGCTCTTCTTGTCGGTTTCACTTTCGCTGCTTTGCCGTTGTTGATCGACGCTGCGTCGATTTGTTGATGTCAAGCTTTCCCAGCTTGTACGAACAGACGGTTTGGAGCCATTAGTCATCGTAGAAGCAGCGAGGGAGTTAGCCCCAGGTTTGCCCGTCAGACTGCCCATCCGCAATCTTGGGACACGAGTGTGAATCTTCTGCTCAAGCACACGGACGCGAGCACGCATTTCTGAAACCATTTGAACGCCCTTACTTTTGGACGCAGTACTAGATGTAGAATTAGTGCTCATCGAAGACGGATTACGAGCGGTGGTAGGACGATAGAGAGGTGATCGTGGACTTGAGCTATATAGAGAAGGGAGTGTGGTAGACCGGGCAATGCCGGAAGTTGAGGGTGGTGTAGGGATGTTGGACTTGTAGGGAGCAGCTCCAGACCGAGCAACTATGGCGGAATGTGATTTGGCTCGAGGGGTTGTCTCGACCGAAGGTAAGCTCTCTGAACTTGGCGAGAGATCTTCAAGTTGGAGATCAGTGGGCGCGGGAGTGTTGAGGAGGTCGTCCTCTGAATGAGGGGTGAGTTGTTGGAAGCTGGTGGATGGAGCAATGGAGATGAGGTCAGAAGAGGACTGAGTTGATATTTGGTCCTTCAAAATAGAAATTTCGACGTTGGCATCTAAAAAGAGTGAGGAAATGAGAGAGCAAGATGGTGCCACCAACCTCTTAATTCATCCTTCAATCGCTGGCATTCCTCCTCAAGGTTGGCTTTATCAAGAAGTTCATGTTCGAGGAGTATCTTTTCCTCCAATGCTTTCGAGTATTTGCCCTCTATATCAGCCAAACTGGACGAAACAGCGCGTTCATTTCGCTCGAGATCGTCATTTCCCATTTCCAATTCCCGCAACTGAATCTTAGTTTGCTGGTGTTGTTGACGAAGGGTGTCCAGTTCCCGCTGCAAAGTTGCGGTCGCAGTGTTGTGAGTAGTTTGGAGGGACATGAATTTTGCCTGGCATGCCCAACGTCAACCCGATATCAATTAATGGAGGGATGGCCACGCACCTTCCAGTCATCTCTCTCATTTTCCGTGCGGGCAACCTTAACCCTGAGGTCTTGTTGAACCTTCTCATTCCTTTGGAGTTCAGCCTCCAACTCAGCTTCGAGTTCTCTGCTGGCGACTTGAAACTCGTCAAGCTCGGCACGGGTCTCTGCCAGCATATCGGCGACCTTGACGATAAGTTAGTAGTGCCAGATCGGTTGCAGGGGAGCTGTAGACCTCATTATATTTGTCTCGCCAGTCACTCGACGAGGAGTAGCTGTGGAAGGATAAGTTTGGCCGTTGTAAGGCCAATGGGTAGATACCTCAGCTGATTATCGTCGAGAGACAGAAGCCGACCAGGAGGAGGGGCGAGGACCGCCATTACGCAGCGTTGAGAGAGGCGTTGCCGAGAGAACTGAATCAAGTATATAAAATGTCACGCTCTGCGACGCGACAATTTCAACAAACAAACATGGTCTAAACACGGACAACGCTGCATTAGGACATAGCACTACGATTCTGGCTTTGCCACTTTGCGTTTTTCGATTTTCATAGTGACTGGATCCTGCATCTCCTGCCAGTTCAGCGGCACTAGCGTCGTTCCACCCGTCTCACTGGTAGCGAAAACTACTCCCAGGTTGTTTCTGGCGGTCGAAACGAAATAACTGCGGGCGTCACCGAGAGAAATGACAACTGCCCGTACCACATCTCCTCCACGAAACGACTCTGCGATCTTGACTCGGTCACGTTCTGTTGCTCGAACATCTTGGGTTCGAATAACTCCTGTGAACTCTTCACCAACAGGAAGTGGTATCCCATCAACGACAGTAATCGACAGTGTTGCTTGCAGTGGTGCTAGACGAGTGATTGTACCCAGCACAATCGAGTTCACTGCTGGTGGTCTCGCTCGGACACGCGGTATAGAAAGGATCTAGTCGCGTTATTTAGTCGAGAGAGATGATCACTATTTGGAATTTTATTGACTGGTCCGTTCTGCTGGGGTATTCCAACAAGACTAGCGCGTATTTCAGAATCTCTCGAGTATAGTCCACTGCCCAGTTGAGGGATGGGTGCCGCGCGAGGAAGTGAGATTGGTTGGCCTGGTAAAACGATTGTGGCAGATGTCATTGAAGGGGAACCAAAAAAATGTTGGGGTGTGACCGTTCATTCGCCCGACTTGTTCCTTTCTTCTTACTATGGCGTCTCTTGCTCGTGTCTTCGCGCGTCGTGAGTTTTGCATTCTCACGTTGTAGTGCCTCTGAAAAGTTGTAGAACTTCATGCTTCGGCACGGCGCAGCGCGCTGTCCCAGTTCAAAATGCCTGCTATGAGCCCTACCATGACAGAGGGCGGTATAGCATCTTGGAAGAAGAAGGAAGGCGAGACCTTTGCCACGGGTGACGTTCTTCTGGAAATCGTACTTTGCACTTGAGTCAGGCCTCAAACCAACACTGAATTTTGTCAGGAAACGGACAAGGCCACGATAGACGTGGAGGCGACAGAAGACGGTGTTCTTGCCAAAATTATTGTGCGCACTACCTATTGGTCGCCATTCTGAATCTGACTTGGATGCTAGGCCGCAGATGGTGCTAAAAATGTGCAAGTTGGGTCCCCAATTGCAATTGTTGGGGAGGAGGGTGATGACTTGTCTGGTGCCGCCGACCTGGCCGCAAAAGCTTCGTCTGAAGCACCCAAGGAACCTGAGTCCAAACCAGAACCCCCAAAACAATCCAAACCCGAATCATCACCTCCACCACCACCCAAATCCGAGAGCTCGTCGTCGTCACCAAAAGCCGACCTCCCGTCTGGTGCTCGTATATTCGCGTCCCCAATTGCCAAAAAAATTGCTCTGGAGCGTGGTATTCCCCTCGGAAAATTGACTGGTTCTGGCCCAAATGGACGAATTATCCGGGAAGATGTCGAGAAATACAAGCCTTCCACAGCGAGTACTGCGGCCTCAACCTCGTCAGCCGCTCCGGACTCTGACTATGTTGATACACCCATTTCAAACATGCGTCGCACCATTGGCGCTCGTTTGACCCAGTCAAAGCAAGAACTCCCTCACTACTATGTTACTGTTGATGTCAACATGGACAAAGTCCTCAAACTGCGCGAAGTGTTCAATGCTACGTTAACGGAGAAGGACAAGGCGGCCAAGCTCAGCGTCAACGACTTCATTGTCAAAGCTGTTTCTTGCGCGCTCAAGGACGTGCCTGAAGCCAACTCCGTTTGGTTGGGAGAGGTTATACGGACGTAAGTGCCAACTGCATCCATCCACTAGGTTTCTTACACTCTAGTAGCTACAAGAAAGCTGATATATCAGTTGCTGTCGCGACTCCTACCGGTTTAATAACGCCCATCCTCAAAGATGTTGGCGCCAAAGGACTCGCGACAATTTCTGCTGAAACCAAGGCTCTTGCAAAGAAGGCACGCGATGGAAAGCTTTCTCCCTCCGAATACCAGGTACCAGTTTCGGACTTGAATAGTTCATGATACTCAACCTTGATTTAGGGTGGAACATTTACGATCTCGAACTTGGGCATGTATGGCGTTTCCCACTTCACGGCCATAATCAACTCGCCACAATCATGCATTCTGGCTGTGGGAGCGACAGAAGCCAAGCTTGTCCCGGCACCTGAGGAGGAGCGCGGTTTCAAGACCATTCAAGTGATGAAAGTGACTTTGAGCTCTGACCATCGCACTGTTGATGGCGCCGTTGCTGCTCGCTGGCTCGCCGCATTCCGAGGATACCTCGAAAACCCACTTACTTTCATGCTATAATACGGTTGCTTTACATCTATAGATTTTACTTACTGACACTGCTTTGCTTTGCTTTTCGTCTGCCCATCAGTCCCGAATTGATCCTATACGCGTCGCGTCCTGTCACGCGTAACTGTGACACGTCTTTCATGGCTTTTACTCCGTCGGACCCCGCTGTGATCTCCATTAGATTTACGCCTGAACGACTACGTCTTCTTGAAGGTCTTCAACAAGCTGATCAAAGAGACTTTGAAGCGCTACACCAGGAACTGGAGAATACTGTCCAAGAGCGGAATACACTAAGAAGTGACAACGCTGCTCTCAGAGCAGAAATCTCATCCCTCAAAGCTGAGAATAATCGCCTGGCTGCTGAGAACGGTGTAAGTGCTGCGTTTTGGGTAAGCAACCTTGATTCACCCGGATACGTGCAGAACCTGAAGAGGTGTTTTTTTTTTCGTTGCATAGATAGTATTGGCACGATCTCTGAACTCGTTTCCAGCCTCTCCAAGGACATTAGTGAGGCTCTCAGACAAATTGAAGTGAGAATATCACACCCACTTTCTGCTGGGAGCTCTTCCCAGACCCCTCCTCATGGCCAAACGACCGTCGCGGAATCGAATTTGACTCGGAATATAATAGCAGTTCCAAGCTTGCAAACACTTCCGCCAGTAGAAGTGAAGCGAGAAGTATATCATACACACTATCAGTATCGTTACTCATGCTGGACTAGATTCCTTCTTCCTCTGTCAAACTGCCTGCAACTCCTAGCAGCTTTGACGCGAAAAAAAAAAAACGAAGACGATGGAATGCCCGAATCTCATCTAGTTCAGGATCCTTCTTATCTCACGGAGACTCCCAGAGGACGTCTGAATGAACTTAAGCGATTCCCGGAATTGGTCGATGTCCCTGCATTCGACAACTTGCCAATTTACTCCAGGGACTACCTCTCCACTCAGCTTGGTGGTAGTATTCAGCCGCTTATAGTCCCGCAAGTCAACTTACATTGTTGCATGAGTATAGACTTACTTGATGACAGAATCGGGAAACAAAAACAACTCAGCGCCTCATTGCAAATCAAAAAATTCTTAGTGCCGAACCAATCTATGAATCCATGGTGTCCTCGAGCACCTGGCCAACATGGCTTCATGTTTGTCGGACTGGGTGCAGAAAGCCATACATTTGAACAGGAGGAATGTCTTCCCCTCTTCGTATCGAAGCCACGGTCAGGTGGGAATCTAGAGGCTTCGTATTTCGGGGATTATCATGTCTCGAGAGTTGAGCCTCTAACGCTTGAGGAATGGAACACTCTAGCTCCTGCGGTGAGCAGTAGCAGTCAAATCCAATAGCTCAATAACATTCCTACACAGGTACAGAAGTCATATGCACAGTGTACTGCTCGGAAGGAGAAGAGAGACTATGATTGGATATCTACTCTGCATGCTTATAATGCGGGTCTAAAACGCGTGCCTTGCGTTAGATTGGTATGTGTGGCCTTCCGCTACGAGCTTTTCCAAGGACTATCTGCGCCAACACTCACGCTAAAACGTAAACGCTCTGTCGGCGATCTTAGCGACGGAGAGTAGACACAGCATGTACCAGTAACGTGATCGTGACTTGCCTGTTTCTTGCCATCCATCACGATGCCTGGTCGAGTTCGCGTCGAGCCACTTAAGAATCCTGGTTTGCGTCTTTGAGAGACTGCTGGGGGAACGACTCAAATGGAATAGATCGACCCTATCTAGCACTCGGCTTGGAAGGATCTGCCAACAAAGTTGGTGCTGGGGTTATCAAACATTCAGAAGACGGACGGACGACAGTCCTCTCTAATGTTCGTCATACTTATATAACACCGCCCGGAGAAGGTTTTCAACCACGAGACACTGCGCTCCATCATCGCGAATGGGCTCTTAAAGTTATTGACGACTGCTTGACTCAAGCCGCGGTTGATATTCATGACATGGACTGCATCTGCTATACAAAAGGTCCTGTCTGCTAATTAGACGAAAATCAAGTCTAAAGGCGTGATTAGGACCGGGAATGGGAGCTCCTCTGCAGTCTGTGGCACTGATTGCTCGCACTTTGTCGCTTTTATTCAACAAGCCGCTCGTTGGAGTCAACCACTGTGTTGGGCGTGCGTATGCCCCAATACTTTCCATCAGTAAAGATTCACCCACTCTATAGACATTGAAATGGGACGTGAAATCACCGGAGCTCATAATCCTGTCGTTCTTTACGTTTCAGGTGGAAACACTCAAGTTATTGCCTATTCTCAGCAATGCTATCGGATCTTCGGCGAGACTTTGGACATCGCGGTAGGAAACTGTCTTGATCGGTTTGCCCGAGTAATCAACCTGAGCAACGATCCTGCCCCAGGTTATAATATTGAACAAGAGGCTAAACGGCACGCAGTCCGTTCAGCGCGCTTGATCAAACTAACCGTTCACGCAGAGGGAAGCGTCTTGTTTCCCTTCCATATGCCACCAAGGGCATGGATGTCAGCTTCTCGGGCATTTTGACCGCGACAGAGGCCTACACAACAGACAAACGCTTCCGTGCAGATGGCCAACCTCGAGATGTAGATGATGTTGACATCATTACGCCTGCCGACCTCTGTTTCTCGCTTCAAGAAACTATATACGCGATGTTGGTGGAGATTACTGAGCGAGCAATGGCCCATATCGGAAGCAAGGAAGTTTTGATTGTTGGTGGTGTGGGATGTGAGTGTTCGCCCCTTTTCCAGACCGTTAGCTCATTCTTTCCAGCCAATCTCAGGCTACAGGAAATGATGGGTATAATGGCCCAGGAACGTGCCGGCAAAGTCTTTGCCACAGATGAACGGTGATGTCTTTTCTTGCTCTTATCGTCCTTCGGGGCCAATGCGAGACCAGATTCTGCATCGACAATGGCATCATGATCGCGCAAGCAGGCCTGCTCAGCTTTCGCATGGGATTCAACACGCCATTCGCCAAGAGTACTTGTACACAACGGCAAGCGTGGCATCAACTCTGTCCCAATACCACTTGTTAACAATTGATGATAGTTTCCGAACGGACCAAGTGCATGTTTCCTGGCGGGCTTGAGAGCAAGTGTATTCAACGGATTAATGTCTATCAACAGTCGCATCTAGATCTATACGATTTTGTACCTACGCGCCCACAGTCGATGAAAGCAGGTTGAAAACTTCCTCGTCTTCCAATGCAAGTCGCCGACTCAACCTATCGTATTGGGTCCACCACCAGCTATTGACCACTTCGTATTCTTGCGACTGTGATGTCCTCGATTTCCAGGGCTTGTCAGCGAGGATATAATGCACAATGCGGGCAGCATCATCATCCCACATTGGTTCGTGAATGACACGTAATGTTTTCAAGGCGTTGTAGTACCAGGGCAGCGCCGTCCATTTTCCAGAGAAGAAGGCAGTGAGAAGGTCCTGATCAGGGAAGGTAAAGGTCGAGACTCTCGGGTCAGCTGCCAAAAAGTCATAGAGCTGTTTAGCCAGAGCGCGCGACGGCTGAAGGATGACGGTGCCCGAGTTGAGCTGACCATAGGGACGTGGGTCGTCGCAAGGTATTGGCGGCTTGCTGGTGGGGGTTTGAACGGCTGTGAAAGCGCAATTTTCCGGAGTCCTCGAATGTGGATTAGTAAGAAGCCGACAAGGTAGGAGGGCGGCAAAAAATCACCAGTCTGAAGGGTAGTGGGGAAACCGGCGAGGGTTGCAAGCACACACATGCACAGCCGCGATACCACCGGGGACAAGGGAGATGTCCATTAGATCGTCTATGTTTTTCTTAACGAGCATGTCCGAGTCTAGCAGTACTACTCTCTGCAGCGAGCTGAAGAAATGGGCTCGGGGAGTGAGAAACAGCTTGCCTCGAATTCTTCCAGCTCAAACACTCTGGCGTTGGATGAGTGAGCTGCAGTCTAAGTTTCCTACCTGACACCCTTACCGAAGTTTTGTCCAAGTTTCTTGGAACCGCGCGTCGACTAGAGTATTGACGCCTTCCTCGGGGCGCAGAGGTTGGATAGTTCGGACAATAATGCCACATTTTTTGAGGACATCAACAACGATTTGAGGCAGTTCTGGTGTAACCATTACCACGAGTGGATATTTGGAGCCGGATTCCCGCAGCCCTTCATTGAGAACAAGGGTGCCGGCGAGATAAGACTGTTTGGTGAGGAGCGTCGCAAAGACCTTGTTTGTGGTCATGAAGAGAAAGGCAGCAGAAAATAACTTTATAAAGGGCAGTCGTATGAAGATCGGTGACCAAAGCTAAGAAGTTGTTCGCCATATGGCACACGGAGTCGCTTCATGCCGCAGACGGACAAACGAGGGAAAGCGACCAAACACTACTGGCAGAGTGGGAGCAAGTTCGAAGATGGGTTTTGTCGCTAATCACACGGAGGCATAAGATGTTTTTTTTTCTCACATAGTAGCGTAAAAAGGCAGCAATGGGATACAAAGTATGAGAGTTAAGACGATCGCTCAGCGCAGTCGACTAGTGAAGTACATTAACAAAGTTCTTGAGAAAATCCTGTCCTAACGTACCGTGCTTCACGCTCGCTCTCGAGCAACGCCAGGATGTCCTTCTCTCTGACTGGGCCTTTAACGTTGCGGATGATTGTCCTCGAAGTATCGTCCTAAGGTGCCAGAGTAAGCCAATCGGGAAGCGTTCGTAAGGTCAACGCGCACCATGAATTCTACACGGACTTGCGTGACACCTCCCCGAGAGCCAGTCCGGCCAAGGACCTGCAAACAAATTGTTCAACGATTACTTCAGATCTTTGGCGGTATGAACCTTGATAACGGTGGCTAGTTTGACGGGGGCTTTTGAAGAGTCCTATACGATTGTCAGCTGGACGTGCGTCCCGGCGAGGAACGACAGACCATTTTTTGGGTGAAGAAACCTGTACAGCGTCACGTTGATGTCACGACGAAGAATTTTCGCACGATATTGATAATGATGACTACGATAGATTATAGATGATCTATAGTTTCCCCCAACTCCGCTTGCATCGCCGCCTTTGCGTTCTTCCCCTTATTTTTACCTCTCAGAACATTCTCAATATAGAATTCGCCGGCCTGAACATGGTGAGACCAAAGGTCGAAACACCTACGAAACGCACCTTATAGCTGCTCCGGACCAGCGGTCCGCTGGCAACATATAGAAAGCCCATGTCATCTGCAACCTGCTTCCACCGGTCGAACTCTGCGGGCTCTACATAGCGGTCGACCTTCATATGTCGCTTAGTTGGGCGCATGTATTGTCCAAACGTCACAACATCCACATTTGACTTGCGCAACTCTGTAGTGGGGGTTCAACGGGTTATCCGAGAATTGAGTAAGTTAACCTTTCAGAGCACGCAATACTTGGTCTTCCGTTTCTCCAACACCCAACATCATGCTCGTTTTTGTCACACGCACTCCAACCTCTTTCGCTTTTTCGAGCACGGCAAGACTGGTTCGGAAGGATGCACGACGGTCGCGAACATACGGTGTTAATTCTTCCGTTGTTTCGATATTGTGAGCATAGACATCCAGTCCAGATTGAGCAACGCGTGAGACTTCTTCCATGGAACCTCCAAAATCTCCGGTGAGAGCTTCGACCAATATGTGGGGAGCCCTAGTTAGAATTGAGTATTGTGTACTTGATATTGATAGCCCCACTTTTGCTTTATCTTCCGTATCGTCTCTGCAAAGTGTCGCGAACCGCCATCGACAAGGTCGTCCCGGTCAACACTTGTGAGCACGATATACCCAAGACCCCAGCGACTGATTGCCTCTGCGGTGTTCTCAGGTTCATGCGGGTCGAGAGGTGGTGGGGCTTTCGATGTTTTAACGGAGCAGAATCGGCAGCCACGGGTGCAAGTATCACCCATTAGCTTAAAAGATTGTTATGATAGTGTTAGTCATGTCATGGCTCACACTACATACCATAATTGTTGCTGTCGCAGCACTCCGACCCTCTGCCTCAGTTGCCCCAGGTTTTCCGCCCCAGCAGTCTCCAATATTTGGACACCGTGCTTCCTCGCAAACAGTGTGGAGTCCAAGTCCCCGCAAGTCTTTCTTGATGTTCGCAAAAGATTTGCCAGAAGGGATTGAGGTTTTCAAAAATGATGGTAGACGTGGGCTGGCCTTCTATTAGACGAGTAGAGTAAATTCTGATAGTCTTACCCCCGAGGATTGCCCAGAATGACGCGCTCTGAAGACGAGACATCACCCGCAATGAAGTCATCTAAGTTGGGTCCAGCCGCCAATGTATCAGAGAAGCTGGGTTTCGGAGGGGTTGTGGTAGCCAGAGAACGTATTGCTGACGTTGTTGCGCGAACTATTGGACGCCGACAGGACGAGAGAGGGAGGGACATAGATGCAAGAGTCAGAACGGAAACGGAGTCTTGAGCGTCACAACGTGACCCGGCCGTCTTTCACTTCCATAATGAACGCGCTGTCTCGTCGAGAAGAAGAAAATCTACTCAAGATCACAAAGGAGCGAGCTGTGAGCGAATGCCACGAAGTGGTCAAAGGTACTGCAGTACCATTAGACGCGTTCAAGCTGACAATGCTATAGCTTTTGCCGATTGTGTGTCAGGTCGGACAATTTCGGTAGCATGGGCATGTCGGGGGCAACTTCACGCAATGCAGGAGTGTATGGTGCAATAGTAAGTGTTACAAATCCTCCCCATTAACTAACCATGACGTTTTAGTACTGGCCCAGAGCCTTATGAGCGAGTTCGGGCTGAATACCTCCGACTGAGAGGCGAACAGCGCGCTGCCAAACTAAAGGAATCGGAGCGTCCATAAAATTCGTTTTTCAGGTTCTCTATTGAATATGTACATGCGGGCTTCGATGTTAATTTTTTCCAGCTGCTGCCCACAATTTCTCCAGTGCCATCGCGGAAGAGATGACGCTACACACTGGTTCAGTCACGACTTGGTGGGAGGACACGGACATACCCAAAAATGCCCACAACGCCATCGTTCAAGTTGCTCAGTCCTAGTGCAGTCGCTGGTATCCAGACATCGAGAGCGTCAATGATGAATTGATGTCGAATTGCAGAACGATTACTGGCAAAGTCAACGATAGTGCTTCTATATTCTTGCGAGACGTACGTTGCAATAAGCTTCAGACGGGCTTGGCGGTCGGCCTCAAGTCCAACGTCCTTGTCTCCCTCACCTGCTCGAATACGCAAGAGCTTCGCCTCTTTCCTTAATCTTGCGGTCTGTTGGTTGTGTTCTTAGATCGTTTGCGTATATTCGGAATGTTCGACATGCCTTAATACCAGCATTGATAATACTGAGTAGGATTCCCGCAAGCCAGGCTCTGTTGGCGATCTTGGTGATTTTTGTTGCAGTTTCTGCCTTGAAGGTAGTAAATTTGATTGAGTGAGCCTATAATATGGGATTGGGTCAGCAGGCGACCATGGATCACTAGAATTTGGCCCTCACCCACGCCAGTGCGTCAAGGCTGAGGTAGAAGAAATATGCTAACTGTCTTGCAACGGCGAGGAGTTGCTCTAAAGCGGGGCCAGCGCTCAACGCAGCACGAAGGGCGGCCTGGAGATGTTCGAATGGCTTCCCCAGCCGCATAACTAGTGGGCTATGAGCATTTTTCGGAGCCACTTGTTAGCTCCAAGTACAAACGTTTGCGGGCAGTTCCGAGGTGACTCTTGAGGGCGTTGTATTTAGCAATATCGGCCTTGTCATGACCACGGCTTAAGAGAAACCAGGCATAGAAGCGCGCATAATTTTGAACAAGGCGGTAGACTTTGTCGCGGCCCACTGTCGTGGCTGCCAGGCGCAGAGTTTGAGAGACCGTTGGGTGGAGAACGACTTGTGAAGCAAGACTGACGCTCATGATGGTCAATGAACAAGGTTGTGAATTGCCGGAATCATATGCAAACGGAAAGCTAGCTCCTTTAAAAGCCGCTTGAGGCCGATGTTCGACCGATGGTATGGAACAACGAAACCCTTTCACATCCCTTTCGGGTGAAAACGGGGATCGAGTGAGCTATGGGGCTCTATGGGGGTTGACAGTCAAGGGAGAAACATGATAAAGTTTACGGCCTCGGATGTTTCCGGAGCTTTTCTCCGCTTAAACGCGCCTACCACTGGCCATGGCCACTGCTCGAGTATGTCCCAAGTTGGGTCAACGAGTTTTTATGACGCAATGTAGCTTGTTAGGGTACCACGCAGGCTCTTCTCTTCCACAGTCATGGTTGCCCTTCCCCCCCTCTTCGCTGGCATGTCTGCTAAAAATTCCTAGTCGGCCCAACAATTCCGCGTGGAGCGCGACACTTTTGGTGAACTACAGGTCCCTGCTGACAGATATTGGGGTGCCCAAACTCAGCGGTGCGTTGTTGGCTTGCGGGTCTGGGCTCACGCTTATTGTGATCAAGTTCTCTACAAAATTTTGACATTGGTGGACCAACTGAGCGTCTTCCACCTCCTCTTATCAAGGCATTCGGCGTACTGAAGAAAGCCGCTGCAACTGTCAATATTGGCTACGGACTGGATCCCAAAATTGGCGGCGCAATTCAGGAAGCAGCCAACGATGTCATTTCTGGAAGGCTCATCGACCATTTCCCTCTCGTCGTGTTCCAAACTGGTAGTGGGACACAAAGTAACATGAATGTCAACGAGGTATATTCTTCTATATACCCCCTGCCCAGTCAACCCAATCTTCGCAGGTCATTTCAAATCGTGCTATCGAAATCCTTGGGGGAGAACTAGGTTCCAAAAAGCCTGTGCATCCAAATGACCATGTCAATATGAGCCAGAGCAGCAACGACACGTACTTGATTCACTAAACGGCAATTATTGGCATTCTCATCGTTCAATAGCTTTCCTACCGCCATGCATGTCGCCGCCGTCACAGAACTCAGTGTCTCTCTCATTCCTGCTCTTACTGAACTACGGGATGCCTTAGACGCCAAAGCACAAGAATTCAGCCACATTATCAAGATTGGACGCACTCATCTTCAGGTACAACTGGTCCTTCTCCTAGCACTAAAGCTAATCTTTAAGGATGCTACGCCCCTTACTCTCGGTCAAGAATTCAGTGGTTACGTGCAGCAAATTAGCAATGGAATAGAACGTGTCAAAGATGTCCTTCCTCGACTTAGTTGTCTGGCCCAAGGCGGAACGGCTGTTGGGACTGTAAGCACCCTCATTTTACCTCTTTACTGTTCCTTATTATTATTATTATTAGGGTCTGAATACCAAGAAGGGTTTTGATGTTAAAATTGCCGCAGAGGTTTCTAAAATCACTGGTTTGGATTTCAAGACCGCGCCAAATAAGGTAAAATTACTATGATCATGTCCCGTTGAGTTTGATCGGGCTTCCAGTTTGAGGCTCTGGCTGCTCATGATGCACTTGTGGAAACTCACGGCGCGCTTAATGTCGTTGCCTGCTCACTGATGAAGATTGGAAACGACATTCGCTATCTCGGCTCTGGCCCTCGTTGTGGTTTTGGAGAGATCAGTTTACCGGAGAATGAGCCTGGTAGCAGCATCATGCCCGGAAAGGTAAACCCGACACAATGTGAAGCAATCACTATGGTCGCCGCCCAAGTCATGGGCAATCACACTACTGTTAGTGTAGCTGGTGCCAGTGGTCAATTCGAGGTGTGTTTCATTCCTTGGATCAACTGTACTTGTGTCTCAGCATTGCCTAGTTGAACGTATTTAAACCTGTCATCATCAAGAATGTGTTGCAGAGTATCCGCTTGCTCTCTGATGGTCAGTTCTTTCTATCATTAGATCAGGGTAATTAAAGCCTCTGTAGGCTCACGGTCTCTGACGAAAAACTGCATCGTTGGCATTGTGGCCAACGAAAAGAGGATCAATACGCTCCTCAACGACTCGTTGATGCTAGCGACGATCCTCAATAGTCATCTTGGCTATGACAGTCAGTTCTTCCTCCTCGTCTTGAGACGACTCTCACCCGCATGTGCTAGATGTCGCTAAATGTGCAAAGAAGGCGCATAAGGAGGGCACTACTTTGAAAGAAGCGACTGTTACACTTGGCTTCCTCACGCCCGAAGAGTTCGACGCAAAAGTGCGTCCCGAACTCATGTTATACCCAGACGAAGAGTAAGTGAGTAGAAAGGTTGGATTAGCATAGAGTCAAGTAGCAAGTCGCGTCAGTCGAATGAGGTTGATCAACTGAATGTCCGAAAGGGGATAAACCAAGTCGATGAAATATCTAAGAGATGCGGCTTTGACGGCAATGCTAGAAAGGCGTCAGGTTAAGGCTAGACGCCGAAACCAGGACTTTCATCTTTCTACTCCCCACCTTTTCCCACCTGCTCTCTCTCTTGGACGGAGTCACCGTGGCTAGCTTCATTCCTGTGGACCGTCTCGTTCTCCCCACCTCCCACGAGGAATTGTACTATTCTACGTGTCATGTCGCTCAGTCGCATTCTCAACGAGGACCCTTCACCGTCGTTACCCACGCTTCCCACTCTCGTTGACTCCCCTTCTGCATCGACTAGTCGCACTTCTCCACCACTTCACATGAACCTCGCCGAGCCACCGCTACAGCCATTTCCGGAGCGTGAACCCTCAACACTCCTACCAGACTGGGTAGACGAGAATACTCGCCCAGAGGGCGATTTAGAGCGTTCTATGCTTCATGTAAGTGGATCCAAATTCAACAGACATCAAATTGCTCAGTCAAAAAAACACTCTAGCATCCATCAACCAATGGCGAGCACGACCTCCCACCACCTTCACATTATAAGACTGTCGCTGGCGAGGCACTGACACGACCTAGTTCTTCAGATCTAGACGGCTGTGAAGATATCTGGAAGCAGGAGTTAGAGGACTACAAGAGAGCAACGCAAAAACGCCAGAGGGAGGTTGAGCAATGGTTTGAGATTAACGTTGTGGTGCGAGGAACGCGTCCTTCATCGAGATTTTAACTAAGCATCGGTTGTCAGGAGCGCAACAAGGCTGTAGCCAAGTCCATGTCGCATCACTATGCGTCCAAGTTGGCCAAGCTCCCAGGCAATCATCATCGCCGCCGTTCGCTTTCGCCCGTTAGCTCTTATGGTTTCAACGACAATCCCTTCCCTGCACCCGAGCTATCTGCCCCAAATTATCGCGACTTTGACGGTTACGACCCACCACCTCGCGACATACCAGCACCCCATACTTCTTATACCGCTCAAGAAAAAGGCAAGGGGAAGGAGATACCAAAACGCGTCGCTCCTGAACGTGTATCGGAGGTGATTGGTAATGACGAATTCCCTTCCGTCTCGAGGCCAGCCAAGAAACGGAAGGTCGATGCAAACCCTGCCATAGATGACACCAGCAGTACCAACGGAATGGACATGCGACCAGATTGGAATACAGCCTCGCTATTTAATCCACCACCATTGCGACCACCGATACCTTCAAACGGTCTAGCGACTTCCGAGAAGCCTCCGAGAAAGAAACCTGGGCCTAAGAAAAAGAGCAACCTAGGACCTGACTTCGAGCTTGAATTGGCCTCTCAAGCTGCTTCAGCCTCAAGTGATATTACACCTGCCCTTTCAAGACCTCCAACCCCGCCACCACTGACAACACAGTTCTACTTCGAATTAGACGAGACCATCCCGCCTCTGAAGAAGGCAAAAAAGGTCGATGATGGCGTTATGGTAAAACGGGTGAAAACTCTAGAGGAGTCTCAACGCAAAGTTTGGACCAGTATCGCGAGGAGAGAGGTTGCGAAGGTTAATTGCCCCTTTAAATCGAATTGCGCGACTCACTCCTTCACAAGGTGTACAAGTACCACAACCAGGGGTATACCGCACGGCTAAACCAAATGGAACGCATTGCTAAGATCGTGTCTGGGCAAGCACGCAAACCATTTGCCAAGTCGAACAAGTCAACGAAGGACACGCAGACAAAGGCAAAACGATTGATGCGGGAAATGCAGGTGTTTTGGAAAAAGAACGAACGGGAGGAACGCGATGTCCGCAAGCGCGAGCATAAGGAAGCCATGGATCGACTAAAAATGGAAGAGGAGAAGCGCGAGGCAGCGCGCCAGGCCCGCAAACTGGAGTTCTTGATCAGTCAAACCGAGTTATACAGTCATTTCGTTGGGAGTAAACTCAAGAGTAGGTCACGATCGCATTCTTTTCCCCAACTCATTTTCGCCAAATAGCTGCGCAGGTAGAAGGAGAGCCTGACACTGAAGCCCCAGCTGGCGCTGACCTGGCAGACGTGGACCCCACTTCCTTAACGGACATCAACTTTGACGATGGTTTGGTTCCAACTTGAAAATGAATCGTTTTGACCTTACTCCTTCAGATGATCAGACCAACCTTCGTCTTCATGCCCGTCACAATGCGCAGGAAGCTCTAGCACTGGCTAAGCAACGAGCTCAGCAATTCGACGCTCAGGCCGCATTGGATCGAAAGACTAATGAAGCTTTGAAGTTAGCAAAAGGCCAAGCACATATCCATGACACTCAAGACGAAGGAGACGGTGCATCTGCACCTCTCGTGGACCGTAAATTCAGGTCTTATGATATCTACTAGGACTTACGTTTTTTTAGTGGACTCAGACGAGCTCAATTTCCAGAACCCCACCTCTCTTAGTGGCGCGCTCACGATTGGGCAGCCTAAGATGCTAATGGCGCAACTCAAAGAATATCAACTAAAGGGATTGAACTGGCTTGCGACGCTATACGAACAGGGTATCAATGGCATTCTCGCTGATGAGATGGGTCTCGGCAAGGTGGCACTCATTGTGACTTGACAATTTTTTTACTGATGCCAGACTAGACAGTCCAATCTATATCTCTCCTCTCTTATCTCGCGGAGACGCATGATATTTGGGGACCGTTCCTTGTTGTGGCTCCTGCTTCCACGCTCCATAATTGGCAACAAGAAATCACCCGTTTTGTCCCAGGACTGAAAGCACTGCCGTATTGGGGCAATGTGAAGGATCGTACAACACTACGCAAGTTTTGGAGCAAGAAGGAAATCACGTATAACAAGGATGCGCCATTTCATGTTCTCATCACGAGTTACCAATTGGTTCTCTTCCACCTTTGACAGGGAGCGGACTCTCATTGACCCTCTGCGTAGATAACACAAGATCAGCAGTACTTCCAACGCGTCAACTGGCAGTATATGATTCTCGACGAAGCCCAGAATATCAAAAACTCATCCAGCGTGAGATGGAAAACCCTGCTCGGATTCCATTGTCGGAACCGCTTGTTGCTAACAGGCACTCCAATCCAGAACTCGATGCAAGGTGTGGCGGTCGTTTCCCTCAGTATACATGGTCTGATCGGGTCATAGAACTGTGGGCTCTGTTACACTTCATCATGCCCAGCTTGTTCGACTCACATGACGAGTTCAACGAGTGGTTTTCGAAAGATATCGAAAATGCGGCAGAAAATAAGGGCAGTAAACTCAACGAACATCAATTACGCCGTCTGCACATGATCCTGAAGCCATTCATGCTCCGAAGAGTAAAGCGGCATGTCCAGAATGAGCTGAGCGAAAAGGCGAGTGACAGTTTTGACAACGTGATGTTTTTACTGATGTTTTTTTTTAGATCGAAAAGGACATTTACGTCGATCTCAGCGCTCGCCAGCGGGCACTCTACAAGGCGCTACTTGCTAATGTCTCTGTCGCCGACCTCTTGGAAAAGGCTGCCAATATCGGCGATGCTGATTCCGCTCGTTCCTTGATGAACCTCGTTATGCAATTCCGAAAGGTTGGACGCTTCTGCTGGGAATGATTTTTTTTTTGAATATCATTTTGCAGGTTTGCAATCATCCCGAATTATTTGAGCGAGCAGATGTTGTGGCCCCATTCGCGTTTTGTCACTTCGGACGCTCCGGCCCGCCATTGCGAGACGGAGACTTCGTTCACTTGCCATATTCGACACGGAATCCCATCAAACTTACCATCCCGGAGCTCTTTTATCGGGATGGAGGACTTGTGAACGTGCCTGGCACATCCATAAACTCTAGCTCCTTACAGCATAGTAGCTGTCTTCACACTCTCCTCAACATATGGACCACTGATTGGATACATCGCTCTCTCTATGAAGAAAGCAAACCCTCCTCCTCGTTCTCCTTCTTGCGCTTCTTGGGCTCCTCCGAACAGGAAGCCCACACCTTACATCTAACTCCATTGATCAGCAGACGACTCAAAGCGACCCATCAAGACTCAATTTCGGTCGTACAAGGTCCTTATTCGTCGTAAGTCTCCTTCTATGCCATGACCTGAGCTCTTTGAACATTGCAAAAAGGGATCCTATCTTTGCCGCATCTGCAGGCACTAGTCTCTATACTTTGCCTGTCCCTGCTTCGCGTTTGCAGTGCTTGGAACGTGCTGACGGCCTTCCCAACGTCTTGTCGATAGCCAAGACAGCTTGGACAACATCGTGTCTGTCTCGACCAGAATTACGTTGGTTTGTACCAGCTGTTGTTGCACCACCTATCACGCTCTACTGCAGTGACCGCGTTTTCCTCGAGTCTGAAACCCAAATCCTTGATGCCCCCCTGGAATCTCTCGCGCTCTATGGTTTAACGCCTGAACGGCGGGAATCACAACAAGCTTGTGACCAGTATAGGCTGATGATGTCTGGCCTCCCACCGAGTGGCCTGTTGGGCAATTCCTCAGCTGATCAACTCCCGTTGTCCACCATGCAAGTGCCCGAGGCGAAGAGGTTGATATACGACTCGGCCAAACTGGCCAGGCTTGATCTCCTCCTCCAAGAACTCAAAGCAGGCGATCACCGCGTCCTGGTTTATTTCCAGATGACTCGTATGATGGACCTCATGGAGGAGTACCTTATTTATCGCCAATACAAGTATCTTCGTCTTGACGGATCGTCCAAGTTGGAAGACCGTCGAGACATGGTCATTGACTGGCAAACTAGGTTTGACATTCTCTTGGATACTTTAAGTTGTTTCTCATTCCGTTTCAGGCCAGACATATTCGTGTTTTTGCTTAGTACGCGTGCCGGTGGGTTGGGCATCAATTTGACTGCAGCCGACACTGTCGTCTTCTACGACCACGACTGGAACCCATCAAATGATGCGCAAGCAATGGATCGCGCCCATCGTTTGGGGCAAACGCGTCAAGTGACCGTGTACCGACTGATTACTCGTGGTACCATCGACGAGCGGATTGTCCAGATGGCGCGGGTCAAGAAAGATGTAACTTGGTTGATTCAGTTCTAAGGCACTCTGTCTGATCATGGTCATCTAGGTCCAGGACATTGTTGTGGGCAACAAAACCTTCACTGATGTCACCAAACCCAGTGAAATAATGCAATTGCTGCTCAACGATGAGCAGCTTGCCAATTTGGATGTCACAGCCAAGACAAACGGTCAAAACCCCACACCAGTCACCGCAGAAGCGAAGGATTTGTGGAATGAGGATGGTGATGAGTTTTTCGGACATTCGGGAGCACCTACAGCAGCAGGAACGGAAATGGGAGAGGAGGAAAATAATGTTCCTGCATCTACCCGCGGCAAAAAGCGCAAGGTTGGCACGCGTGGACGGGGTAAGAAGAGGGCTGGGGATGGAACTTTATAGTGTACATACTGCTTTTACTTTTGCTTTCGCTATATTACTTAGCCTCTGTTGTACTCTAAAAGTCTGGTGTGATCCGTTGATCGCCTTCTAACTCTTCCATGCCCATACTCCCAAACAGATTTTTACGACTGCCTGCCTGTAGAACACCCATTCAAGACTATTCGCGGAAAGCGACGAACATCATACCCTACCACGGAACCTAATCTTTTCTCTGTCATTGAATTGCGGGCACTAGAAAGAAAGCGCGGCATTTCCTGTTAGCCAAGTTGAAGGATGGGCAAGAAGAAGAAGTCCCAGCTGAAGCCTGTCGTGCGCGGGTTCGCCACCACTTCGGTTCCAAAGAAGGTCGTGGCGGAGGAGGAGGACAAGGACTTGAAAAATGTTGATGACTCGGAAAGCAGCAGCGCTGCACCGCAAAAAGCCTCAACCTCAGAAACAACAACACTCTCGCAAACAGCGGTCCCAGAAGCAGCAAGACGCGTCGGATGACCTGGCCCCTTCATATTCTTCCATCATTTCATCTGGTCAAGCCAACGAGTTCGACCCGGAAGAACAATCGCTCCAAAATTTAGTAGACAAGCAAGAAAAGATTGAAAAGGAAATTTCTAGGTGCGTTGTGGTTCTGCCGTTTGCGTCTAGTAAATGACAAATTCTGCAGAACAGTAAAGGTATCTGGCTCATAGTGATGCTGCAAGCTTGATAATGACAATCCTGGTTTAGGTGATTGAAATGGAAAGGCGGTTTGCCAAAAGTCTTCCACGACTTGAACTGGATCCTGCGGTCACAGAACGCATTATCGAACTCGCCCTCGACACGTACGCAACTGATGGTCGGTTCACAATGTTTTCTCGAAATGTCCTCACCGCTCCTCAGGCTTAGGTCATAAAGGTCTGGAACAGCCACTAGTGGAGGACAAGCTCATCGGCAAACTGGCAACCACGTATGGCGTGTTACGGAGATTAGGTTTCACAGAAGAGCGAGTCGAAGAATGTCTCCGGGCAATCGGAGGCGTTGATTTAGAAGAGGCTTATGACTGGGTGAATTATTTGTTCTTTGTTCAAATTTGTACCAACCATCACAACCCAATTTAGCTTTGCCTTCGCTGCCCAGACGAAGAAATAGAAACTTTGGATGCGCCAGAACCTATCGAGCCTCGCACCCCAAGAACTCCTTACGGTCCTTCCACTAGGATCCCCCCTACACCACGTACACCCTCCCAATTCCTGACCCAGTGGCCATCAACTCCCCCACTTATCACTCCCTCTCGTCTCGACGCCAATGCTCCTATCTTCATTCCCTCTCGCTTCCAGTCTGATGGCCAAGTTGTCAATGTAGACAAGGACCCCGAGCGTGAACGCGCGATCATCAAGGCGCATATTCTGAATAATCTCGACCACGATTCATCCGACTCCGGTACTGACATGGAGGATCCTGCTGCCGCATACGTGAAAATAAAGTTGGAAATGGACAAACTTCAAGGTCGTGAACGCTCAACCCTGAAACAACTGCAGTCGCGATTGGAGGAAGTTAGAAACAACTACTTCTTCAAGGAGAAGGATGCAGAAGCACGCTATCGTTTGGAGCGTGACAAGGCAGATGCCCTCGCTCTCAAGGCAAGACTGCAAGGCGTCTCAGTTGAAGCTACTGATCCACCCACATCAACCGAGCAACGACCTCCCTCTGATCGACCAACGTCAACCAAAAAACGACCTCCAAATCTTCAACCTGTAATCGCTCCGGAACCTACCCCAGAACCTGTGCCTGAGGGACTACCAGATATATTCGATGAAGATGCGGACGACTCAGAGGGGGGCATTTTTGGTGCCCTCGAAGAAATGCCTAGCACCATTACGACCAACCAAGGCTCCGTAATCGTCGTTCGTGATATGGAACTTCCGAAACATTTCTCGGGTCGTACACCGAAAACTTTACTGGCGGAGACCGTATCCAAACGGGACAAATATGCTGCTGTCACCTACAGTCTGATCTCAGGCGGTAGTCGAGCCGCTCGAGCCGGTGTTAGTATTCGTTGGGCCACAAAACAAACTGACGAATTCACCATGGACGACGTGGCATGCCATTCTGACAATCAAGCTGAACACTATATTGCAACTGTGGCCTTGCATCAGTTGACCTTTCCCTCTCATGACTCTTTCACTGTCACGAATTCTAACGGCACCGCGACATTCTTTCGTTTGCTCCCTGCGGTATTTCGAGACCTTTGGGAAGAGCTTGAGACTGCTAGGAAAGCAAAGGCAGATGCTCTGGACCGTCAAGTTTGGGCAAAGATGCGTTCCATCATTGAGCCCAAATTGGAGGTTGAACCAAAGGTATGACAGCACTAGTGAAAGTCGTTGAGCTGATGTATTTTTTTGAGCAGTTGATTGGCAAAACCATGAAAGACGCAATCGACAACGACTCAACGATGAGTCATCGGAACCATACCTTGAATCGAGAGACATTATCGGAACAGTTGGCTGCTGGTTTCCGTGCGCGACAAGCTTCAACACCATATCAGGACATGCTAGTGCATCGAAATCAGCTGCCCATTGCTGCGTATCGCGAAGAGATCATTCAAACTTTGGAGGAGTCTCAGATCCTTGTTCTCAGTGGCGAAACAGGATGGTGCGTGTCACATTCTGATGCCATTATATTTTCTCACTTTCTAACAGTGGTAAATCAACGCAAGTTCCTGCCTTCATCTTGGAAGACCAACTTTCGCGTGGAAAGCCCTGCAGAATCTATTGTACTGAGCCTCGCCGCATTTCGGCCATTTCGTTAGCACAACGAGTTTCTCGTGAGCTGGGTGATGCTCCAAATGCAGTTGGTACCACGTCGTCGCTGGTTGGATACTCTATCCGTCTCGAGTCGAACACTTCCAGAAACACTAGGCTCACTTTCGTCACCAACGGTATTGCTTTGCGCATGCTGGAAGGAGGAACTGGAGCGAGTGGCCAGGGAACAGCGTTTGATGAGATCACGGTAATATTTTCAATGTCAAGAGGATCGGTTGCTCAGGTCGTGCAGCATATCATCATTGATGAAGTTCATGAACGTACCATCGAATCCGACTTTCTTCTTATTGTCCTCAAAACCCTGATGCACCAACGCTCTGATCTAAAGTAGTTAGCTCTGGGATCTTAGCTAATCTAACCATCTTATCTAGGATTATCCTTATGTCAGCAACTGTCGATGCAGACAAGATATCTGGTATGCGTTCACAATCCCCGTTTGCCCTGGATTCGAACAAAGTGACAGAGTTCTTTGGAAACTGTCCTACCCTTCAAGTCCCTGGCCGAACTTTCCCTGTCACTTCCCATTTCTTGGAGGATGTTATCGAGTAAGAAAACATTTCCACTTTCAACCTCTTTTTTCATATCCATGCTCAGACTCACGCATTGGGAATTAACCGAAACATCCCCACTTGCCCGACGTCGTATGTTCAAGTGGTCCCGCGTTTCATTCACACGCTAAAGAATGTTCAGAACACGACAAATTTTATCGGCGCAAGAACGAATGGTCAGAGGACCATGGAGGTATCGCCGAAGATGAAGATGAAGAAGACGCGGTTCACGAGAACGTCAAACTGGAAAAACGCTACTCTGCTCGTACCGCAGCGACCATCAATCTGCTCGATGAACGGCTTATGCCATTTGAGCTGATTGTGAGGTTGCTGGAGGTATTATGTTTCGAAGACATAAGTCTCCGACCATACTCTGCGGCTATTCTCATCTTCATGCCCGGAATTGGCGATATCCGGCGGTTGAATGACATTCTTCAGGTATTTTCTTGCTCGCAATTCTTGATTTCGGATCGTTAAGCCGCACTCTCCAAGGAACACCCCGCGTTTGGTAACGGCTTCAAGATATATCCGCTGCATTCAACGCTGTCGAGCGAAGACCAAGGCGCCGTCTTTGATGTGCCTTTTGGATGCCGCAAAATTGTCATTGGTTCGTCCTTGCTGGACCCTCCGCTTACAACTTAACCTTTTTCAGCGACCAATATTGCCGAGACTGGAATCACAATTCCGGACATAACCTGTGTTATAGACTCCGGGAAGCACCGTGAAATGAGGTTGGTTTGTGGTTGTATCGATTTCACCCTTTTTAAGCTGTGTTTAGATTCGATGAAAAACGACAGATTAGTCGTCTTATCGAGACTTTCATCGCGCGTAGTAACGCAGCACAACGAAGAGGCCGAGCCGGACGGGTCCAAGCAGGATTGTGCTTCCACCTGTTCACCAAGCTGCGACATGATACGCAGGCATGTTAGTTCTTCTATGCAAAAACAGCTGTTTTTAATCGAGCCTCAGCTGGCTGAGCATCCCTTGCCAGAAATGATGAGGCTCAGTCTATCCGACTTGGCTCTGCGCATCAAGATTATGAAGGCTCGTTTTTTGATACAATTGAGCAATCGGAGCTAATTGTACATTAGGTGAACTTGGGTAGCTCCATCGAAGATGTGTTGTCCAGGGCACTGGGTCCGATTAACTCATTCGTCAACTGGTTCAGGGCTTTGACCGTTCATTAGATCCTCCGGTCGCAGTCAATGTCCAAAGAGCGATAGCTATGCTTGTTGAGGTCTTTCCTTTATCTATTTCTTGCCCCCAGTTTTCAAGTCCCCCAGGTTGGCGCTTTGACAGCATCCCAAGAAATCACGCCTATGGGCCGCTTGTTAAGCAAGCTCCCGACCGATGTACACCTCGGGTAAGCCGCCTCCACCATTGTTATCCATGATTTCACCAGCCTACAGCAAATTTTTACTGACTGCGACTCTATTCAAATGCTTGGACCCAGCGCTGACGATCACTGCAACTTTAAATGCAAAATCTCCATTCATCACTCCATTCGAGCACGAACAAGTCAACTTCATCTACCTCCTCGTCGAACCCAGCTAACTGGTTGTCAGGAAGCAGAACGTGCAAAGCTAGCATTCCGCGTTGGTGCGTACTGTTTTGACGTTGGGTGTCGGCTCCTGATTATGATAGACAATTCTGACTTTCTCACCATTCACAATGCGTTCTCGGCTTGGAGAAGAACGGAAACCTCTCTCGCCCGACAATTCTGTCGCAAGAACTATCTGAGTCACCAGGTTCGTCGAGCGAATGCCAACTTTTTTCATCTCGCCCAAACCCCTGTAGAATCTTCAACAAATCGAAGATCTTCGTCAACAATTTCTGGGCTATCTCATAGACTCAGGCTTTGTGACTGTGGATAGGTTGTTTGTGCGTGAGCTGTCTCGGTGAGTGGAGATGTTAGTTTTGAATAAACCCTGATCGTTCACAGTGCGCGGGGCAAGCACAAAACTCGCTTTGTGTTTGTCCCTGAGGAGCTTGATGTCAACTCGGGCAACGTTCATCTACTGAATGCGTCTCTCGTCGCGGGATTGTTCCCCAAAGTCTTGTTCATCGACCCTGCAAATGGACAAATGCGAACAATTACCAATAACCAAGTCGCCGCCTTCCATCCATCCTCCATCAACTTTTTGCGGCGACCCACTGATTTCGGCGTAAATCACCTGGTCTATTTCACTTTAATGTAGGCTGGAACTCCCCCCCCCCGCAAGATATTCTAACTCTCTCGCAGGCAGTCCAAGAAACTCTACGCCTGGGAAACAGGTCCTGTTGATGATATTGCGATGTTGCTGCTCTGTGGGGAAGCAGATTTCAAGCTTGCGTCCAATTCGGCATTCATCGATCGGAAAGTCAAGTTCCAAATTCCACCGCGATGCAATGCCGCACTCAAAGTCCTAAGAGCGCATATCGTATCAACTCTCGCCATCCAATTCCGTAGCAGAGTGGGTTTCAACAACGCTTTTCTTTGTCATCTCACAATCTCTCAGCCTTTGACGGAGTCTCAAGTCTTATGGAACGAACTTGCGCTGTCTGTGTTGGGTAAAGAACAGATGTAATACGTGGGATACTATAATCTTATCTATCATTACGTAATATTACTGTGACCACTCCACGTGATCCAAAAAAATTGGACCTCCCTCAGATGGCTCTCACTCGCCAGCAGGTTTCAGCCGCTCAACTCGATGGCGAGTATAAAATCAAGCCAGAGTCGGCTGCCCCTAAACTCGACACCTCGGAATGGCCGTTACTATTAAAAAACTATGACAAGCTTCTTGTCCGCTCCAGTCATTTCACGCCCATCCCACAAGGCTGCAGTCCTCTCAAGCGAGATATTACCTCGTATATCAAGTGCGCCCATGTCTGGTTTTTTTTTATCCACCTATACTCACCAAACACCAGGTCAGGCGTCATCAACCTCGACAAACCTTCGAATCCCTCTTCACATGAAGTTGTCGCCTGGTTAAGGCGGATCCTCCGCGTGGAAAAAACCGGCCACAGCGGTACCCTCGACCCCAAGGTCACAGGGTGCTTAATTGTATGCATTGACCGTGCGACACGGCTGGTGAAATCGCAACAAGGCGCGGGTGTGTTGTCCCTCTGTCTTCGCCTTCCAGATGTCGTCTGACGCAAATCATAGGCAAGGAGTATGTTTGCGTATTACGTCTACACTCCGCGCTTCCCAACCCCGCTGCCCTCCCGCGAGCGCTGCAGACGCTCACCGGTGCCCTTTTCCAACGACCGCCCCTCATCTCTGCAGTCAAACGTCAACTGCGCATACGGACCATTCACCAGTCAAATCTCATCGAGTTTGACGAGAAACGAAACCTGGCGGTGTTCTGGGTGTCTTGTGAGGCCGGGACGTATATTCGGACTCTCTGTGTTCATCTTGGACTTTTATTGGGAGTCGGTGGTCACATGCAGGAGCTCCGCCGTGTCCGCAGCGGGGCCATGTCTGAGAACGACGACATGGTGACAATGCACGACGTTATGGACGCGCAGTGGATGTATGACAACAACCGCGATGGTAATTCTTACTCTCACTTTTTTCGTTTTCTTAGGCTTACGGTTGGAAGAATCCTATCTTCGACGCGTTATACGCCCACTCGAATGTCTTTTGGTTGGCTATAAGCGTATCGTTGTCAAGGACAGCGCCGTCAACGCTGTCTGTTATGGAGCAAAGCTCATGATTCCCGGGCTTTTGCGCTACGAAGCAGACATCTCACTTAACGAGGAGGTTGTCCTGATGACCACAAAAGGTCTGTTTAACGCTAACTTGACCTCTTTCCGCAACTAAACTTTTCTATAGGCGAGGCCATCGCTCTTGCTATCGCCCAGATGTCAACCGTAGAGCTTGCGACATGCGACCATGGCGTTGTCGCCAAAGTCAAGCGTTGCATTATGGAACGCGACACTTATCCGCGTCGCTGGGGTCTTGGCCCCATGGCCGTGCAAAAAGAAGAAGATGGTCAAGGACGGCAAGCTTGGCAAGCACGGTGAAAAAATTGAGGGCGTGACCCCAGCTGAATGGAGTCGAGATTATGTTGACTATAATCGCGACGAGGTAAGCATTGTTTGTGCTGTTAATCCTTTTGCTAACCAGGTGTTTAGCAACCCTCCGCTGGGACATCTACAGTTCCCGTTGTAGCTCCTCCAACCACTGAATCCGCTGCTCCCGTTGATGATTCGTCGAAGGAAGAGAAAAAGCGGAAACGTAAATCTCTGGTGGTTGACGCAGATGGAGATGTGTCAATGGCGGCAGCAGGTGAAGAAGAGGATGCAGAGGCAGAACGAAAGCGTAAGAAAAAAGAAAAGAAAGCCGCCAAGGCCGCGGCCGCAGAAGATGATGACGAAGAAGCCAAAAGAGAACGAAAACGGCTAAAAAAAAGAAAAGAAAGCGAGGGAGTCGATGGGTGGCGAATAATTGGTGTAATATCTCAACTTTCTGATATACGCCGCCTTTTTGAATCACGCTCGTCTTCATCCTTCTTCTCTGGCTCGCTTTCTTTGGTTTGAGTCGTTGGCTTTGCTTTCTTTTTGACCACGACTCCTCTAAGAGGGCCTTTCTTCTTGGCTGGCGCTGGGGTAGGCTTGGAGGGTTGCGCAGGAGCCGCTGGTTTCGCTGTTGGTTTCGTGCTTGGCGGTGGTGGGTTGGTCAAAGCGCTTGCACGCGCCGCGACAGCTCTGGCACAACTTTTTGAGTGCATATCATGAGAACGTATTGAGAAGTCGTACTCGCGAAAGTTTTGGACTTCTTCACCGTCTTGCTCTTCCCGCAGTCTTTCTTCTGCTTCCTTTTTCTCGCGTATCTGGTCCAAGAAAGCCACCTCGTCCTATGATCGTTAGACCGGCGGTGCGTGTTAGCTGCAAGGATTATCCCACCTCCTCGAGGGCGCGAAACTGATTCGCCAGACGAGACCTTTCTTCCCATTCTTCCTATTTGCGTTTGAGATGGGTGATACGGAGCGGTGGATCGTGCTGGGCAATTACCTGCTTCTTTATCTTGTTGGCAGCGAGTTTCTGGCATCAGCCCGATGGAGAGTCAATACGTTTTCTTAATGGAAGGGTGTTTAAGCTCACTTCTGCGAGGCTCCGGCCGTCAGAGAAGTCTTCCTGTTGTTGTGGAGGGGGAGCAATGCCAATACGGTCGTATGCAGCTTTCCATTGCTCGTCGCGACGAGCCTTTGCGTTTGCGAGTTCGTCCTGAGACACGAACCTGGAGCCAATGCCAGAGGAAGTTAGATTGGGGACCGAAGAATCAGCCATGATGGACGTTCTTGGCAAGGCTAGTTCAGCACATGTGATCACATGCATTCTCTCCCGCAGCGATGACCTCCAACGCGTCGAGCGCCAGTTTGCATGCTTCCCCCAGTGTGCGGACAACTCCAGTCCACTTCTCAACGGTCGTAACTGCTCCCCGTAAGTGCAATATTGCGTAGATCTTCTTTGTTTTTACGGTTACCAGCCTGGGCTAAGGACGAGCCTCCATCTCCCACCGATGAAGCCTTCTCCGATGGCCACAATGCTATTGAATCCCGCCGCTCTGTAACCTCCTTCTCCACTCATGCCTCCAACAATGAACCAAGCCGTTGGAATACTTTCACGCGACCTCGTGGGTCTTCAAACGCAGCAATGCTCTCAATGACAGAAAAAGGTGACAAAAAGAGTGTCTCGTTTAGAGATCGGTCGATATCATGGCTCCCTACCCAGCGCGATGGTAGTACGTCTTTCCCCCGTCGAAGTCGGCAGAATTCGCGCACTGGCGGTCTGAACCGGAACTGGAATCTTTCTATCACTCTCCCCACCCCACCTGTACCCGCATCAACAGCTTATACTCTCCAACATAATGCAACACCTGGCTGGGATGCCCCATGGACCTCCCGAGTAGGTGCCCAAGGCCCTGCAGGAAGACATCACAGCGATAGCTCTGTCGAGGAAGAATCCTCGCCTGCTAACTCGGAGAAAGCTGGCCATCATCGTCGGAAGCGATTAAGAGCTTTCATTCTCTCAAACGCCTACGTCCCTTTGGTATGTGGTGCGACTGCACGTTTGCCCAGGCCATGACATTGATTTGCCAAGATTTTCCGCCTCATTAACATCGCGTTTACCACTGCTGCGTTGGCTATTGCTATCAGGATCCGGAACCTAGAGAAACGTCTCCACACTATGGGGGAACTTGGCTCCTCGCCGTACGTTGCTCGGCTTCCATCGCCGTTTACTCATCTGGTCTAGTACTCTGGTCATCATCTTCGCCCCGCCTACTCTGCTACATGTCATGTTCTCTATTTATGTGGGTCAAATCGTACCAAAAACCACAGAAACCGGCTAAATTTCACCTAGTTGGAATATTTCGGAAGACCTCTGGGTCTCTGGCGTACCTCACACAAACTGGCATACACTCTTTCGGAAGTCCTATTTATTTGCGCTTGGTCTGCGGCTCTCTCTCTCTGTTTCGACAACTTCTTCACATCGGTCATTCCCTGTGCGTCCGAATCGCACATCTCATGGTACAGCACCATTCCCCGCCCAACGTCACAAGACGATCCTATCAACGACGACAAGCGTTGTGATGACCAAGTAGGCAAGTTGCTTGCCGCTCGCTGTTAGATGGATCACCCAGGTAACTGACATTATGAACAGCTCTGATTGTTTTGGTCTTCATTGGTCTTTTGGCTTACTGCACGAACCTCATTATTAGCTTATATCGGATTTTCGAGAAGGTCAAATACCACCAAGCTTCGTCGACTATGCGAGAATGGCCCCGATGACGATCAAGGATTAATCTACACCAAAAACCCCCTGTAATCTAAACTTAGTGTAGCACAGCCTCATACCTCTCACTTCTATTACCTCCAATGAATGGACATTAACGGGCTTGAAATGAACAGCCTAGGGCCCCAACGCAGCGTCTCTCGGAGTCGGTCTCGGTTGCGGGGAATATCCCGCCTACGAGCAACACGAGACTATGCAGTGGGCATTGGGTTGTTGCTTGTCGTCGTCATATTATGGACTTCGTCAAACTTTGTAACCCAGGTAGAGTTCACCAACCCCACCAGCCAGTCTGTCTGACATTGAAACAAGGGCATGTACACTGGTGGCTACGAAAAGCCTTTTCTGGTGACGGTAACCTCGTTGACAATTATTATTTCTGCAGGGGGGTCTAACAATGTTGCAGTACCTCAACACCGCATCCTTTGCGCTCTACCTTATCCCTGTTTGGGTTCGACGACGATGGAAAAGGGATGGAGAGTCCAGGTGTGTTGCATTTTCATCCCAAATGAACAGACGATGACATTCAATTTCGGTCAGAACGCCATACCAGCCGCTTGCTGTCGACGGGGAGGCGCAAACAAACTCCCCAGATCCCTCCTCTCCTGAAGAGACACTACCTCCGCTCACAAGTCAAGAAACCACTCGACTTGCACTTCTATTTTGCTTCTTATGGTGCGCGTTGATTTTATTTGTGGCGCGTTTTTCGTCTTGAACTTGCCTAGGTTCGTTGCTAACTGGACGTTGAATGCGTCTCTCGACTACACAAGTGTGGCCAGTGCCACAATCTTGTCAAGTATGAGTGGTAAGCTTTTGTTTCGCAGACATAACATTCTCGTGTTGACAAGCCGCGTCGCAAGGTTTCTTCACGCTTGGGATTGGGAGAGTTTTTCGTGTTGAGACCCTCACTATTCCCAAAATATTTGCTGTTGTTACCAGGTGGGTACTTTCCGTCCACGATGACGCCTTCTAATCGCCTTCCACAGTTTTGCTGGCGTGATTCTTGTTTCCTTGTCGGACTCGATACAGCCTCAACAGCCGGCGGGAGCTGCCTCCCGGCCATTGGCGCACATAGAGGACCTTGCCCCGCGCCCAATCTGGGGCGATGCGCTTGCCCTCGTATCTGCCATCTTCTACGCTTGCTATGTGATCCTACTCAAAGTCCGAATACGTTCGGAGTCCCGTATTGACATGCAACAATTCTTCGGGTATGTTGCACCTGTTCTGGATTATGCGTCAAGCTCATCGGCTTAGCTATGTTGGGCTGTTCAACATTCTTCTCTGCTGGCCTATAGCGCTTTTGCTACACGTCACTGGTATCGAAACGATACAATTACCTTCCCGCGACGCGACCGCTGCTTTATTAATCAACGTCAGTTGCTTTCTTATCCACCCGCTGTTGGCTCAACTCAGCACCTAGATGGGCATAACACTAACCAGCGATTTCATCTACGTTTTGGCCATGCTCAAAACCACCCCACTTGTAGTGACTGTTGGCCTCAGTCTAACTATCCCGTTGGCCGTAATTGGGGACTTTTTGCTTTCAAAGTTTACGCGTGGACAAGTCATCTTCGGGGCAATCCTCGTATTGGTTAGCTTCGTGGTGGTTGGACTCGACAATGAGAAGATCAAACCACGGGAAGATGCCGAACCAGCGGCTGAGGATGAAGAGGAGGATGAGGATGAGGACATTAGACCATTAGCGGTAGAGCTGGATGATACCCCATGAAAAGTATGTAGCTACATTTGAACTATCTAATTCGGGTATCAAATGGGGCTATAATTTGCTTTTTTTGATCGCAAACCACCATGGTCAGCTCTCAGCGATACGTGAAAATCTTCTCTTTACCGACTATGGACAGCCCAAAGCGCCCAAGAACCCCGTCAGGCTGTCGAAACGAGGCTTTGCCGTCCAGGATAATGCGGTAGAGCACGTCGATGTCGGCAGTGCTGTCCAAGAGTCGGTGTGTTCCAGCAGATCAGCGCTTCTGGTAGGACTTACGCCGCAATCTGAAAGGCAGACGACGTTCTGCAAGCGATGGACGAAGACTCGAGCCAGCCTGTGTTGAAGAAGAAGGAAAAGCAACAGATGAAGCGCGATTCCCTCCGCCGCAGACTGGAGACCACCGCTGCTTCGCCGTATTCCAAGTCCCACGAGCGACGGATGAAGCGCAAGGCACGTGAGCAGCTGGCGGGGGCCACCATGGGCGACATCCAGGCTGCGCTAGTGGCAGTAGATCAGGACAGCGATGTCGAGCCAGTCCCGGTCGGGGTCACTGACAATGCAACCCCAAAGGTGAAGCGTAAACTCAAGCCAGGACAAATTGGGGAAGGCAAGGGTGCTACGCTCTCCAAGAGTCAACGCCAGAAAGTGCTGTGAGTTAGACTTTGTGCTGCTCAAACCTGACCTTACTCTTGATCAGACAAGCAGAGCGCTTGAGGCACCCACAAATCTTGAAGAACAGCGAGTTCGCGTCAAATCCTTTCCAAACGATCCGAACCCACGCACAAAATACGCTGTTGAGACACGAAGCGTGAATAGGGTATAGACATTATCCGGTCATAAATTATTATGGTACCTCCAAAAGTCGTGAAGAAATGCAATCGTAATATTTTCGTCTCGCTTCGTTATTAGTCATCGTCTTCTCCAGCACTCCAAACTGTGCTCCCATTGCTCTTGTTGTCGCTTCCCGCAGCACTCCGTCGAGCTCGTCGACTTCCTGGCTGTCTTCGCGCAATTTCCGTGAATCCACCACTCGAGCCCTTGGCAATCTCTGCACTGAGGGTCCGTTCATGGGCATCCAACGCAGCAAGCGAATTTTCAGCCTCAGCGTGCTCTAACACGTCCTGGGTCAGACTCGGTGGGCCTATGCCCAGACCAACGAAACCACTACTGCCAGTGCCATTTGAATGCATAGAAGCTGAGTCAGACGACTCGGGAGGGGGAGCAGGGAGGGCAGCCGGTGCGCGGCCAAAGAACGAAAAGCGACGAGAAGGCGTAGAGGGCACACTGGCGACAACAGGCGGGGTTACCGAAGGTGGAATGACCGGAGACGGTTGTGGTTGTATGCCCATAAGTTTCATCGTAGCGTTCAGTCGTTCTCGTTCGCGACGATCATTATCGTCTTCGTGAGTTTCGAGCTTGCGGGCTCCAGTAACCGGACTGGCCCCGGGTTTGAGTGTCAATGGACGCAAACTTGGGTTCTCCGGCTTCTTTTCACCACTGAATAGAGAGAATGACTTCCAGTCGAAAGACAAAGACCTGCGTTGGGCTTTCGCTGTTGCTGGAGGTGGAGTACCAAGTTTCGGAGGAGGCATTGACGGAGATAAACCCGTGAATGCTGGCGTGCCAGGTGTGGAAGTGGAACGCGCAACAATGACGGACTGGGGACGGGGTTTAGGAGGCAGGGAAGCGGGGAATGTCGTCAAAGCAGGCCCAGCAGTGAGTGGTGACTTAGGAGGCTCCTTCTCATAGTCCACCGCCAGTACGTGCTCGAAGCCTTCCTGAGAAATGATACGGTCGATGATTTTGGATGCATACAACGACAAAGCCTTGTTGGCGTCTTTGAGTGACTTGACTTCGTTCTTGAGAACGTCGATGTCTGACATGGATCCACTCGGCTCGATACCAGGCAAACCCATTTCTTTGCGACCAGAAGAGCTCTTCTTTGAGCGTTTCTTGCCGTTCAGAACAGAGCGATCTTGGTCTTCCACAATGTTACCGTCAAGAATGTCCTTGTTTTCGGCTCGACCGAGTTCTGCAGCAAGATCCAGGCCAGGTCCAGTAATTGGTAGATCAGCCAGAGTTTCTCCGCGAATCTGGGGTGAATGCGACTGAGAGCCTGTCCGCTTACGTGTTGGGCGGCCGAATCCACGCGACGAAGACGGTGAATCAGTGTCACGTGGTCGGGCCAAGCTGCGCTCGAGTTGCTGTTCCAGAGTCTCTTCAGCGCCGTCCTCTTCTTCTTCCACCTTGTCGAGAACGCTACGAGGCGCACTTCTAAGGCTGCCACGCTCGACACTTGCCCCTTCATCATCATCATTCTCATCATCATCAGTCTCCTCCTCCGAAACCGAACCACCCATTTGTTTCATAACATCGAACTGGCCGCTTAATGTCTTTTCGCGAAGGAGAATCATATAGCTCTCGTTCTCTTCCTGAAGTTCGTGGTTGACGCGTTTGAGGTCGACTAGCTGAGTTTGGAGAAGCACAAGCGTGTTCTGGAGTGAAGTGTAGGACGTGGAGAGCGTAGAAAGCTCCAAACGAAGTGCAGTCATTTCAGCAGGCTCAGACTCTGGATCATCCATAGCCTGCTGGGGAGGTTCTGGCTCCTGAGGTACTTCTTCTTCCTCCACCTCAATAATAGATTCGGTGTCAATGGTTTCTGGTTGGGGCGGTCTCTCTACTTGCTTGCGAGCTTGCGAGAGACTAGAGATGCGTGATTTGAGATGTTGTTCATTATCGTAGAAGGCCTGACGCTCTGCTTCGAAAGTACTTGTCTAATAGAACAAGGTTTAGCGGGAGTAGAAGGCCTGCAAGAATGCTGACCTGTTCATTATATCTTCGTTGGACCTCTCTTTTCTCTTTTTCTAACTCGCGGACTTGAGCTCTAAGGTTCTCAGAAATCTCTATGCGTTGGGCAAGATCCACTTCTGCACGCGACTGGTCGGCGTATAGTTCATTGAGCCTGCTTTCTGCCGCTTGTAGTGCTGACGTGAGATTGGCATTCTCTGTTGAGAGGGTGGCAATGGTCTAGAAATGTGAGCTAACATCACTGCTAGCGAAGCAAGTCTAATTACCTGTTCCTTGTCCTGAACCTGCACAAGAAGCTGCGAAACAGTTCGTGAGGGTTTCCAATGGAGAACAACAAAGTGCGGACCTGCTCCTTTTGCTCTGTTTCCTGTTTGAGAGAGGCAGAAACTGGGTCGGACGTGGTCGATTTGAGTGATGCTCGTCGAGTGGGTGCCAACGACGATGACACTCTTGGTGAAGTTGCCGCTGACCGGGCAGTGGCTCCTCGATTAATCGCAGGAGTAGGTGAGGTGGCTGTCGCCCTTCGAGCCGGCGGGGTAGCTCTTGCCGTGGTCGCCATTAGAAAGTCTTTTTGAGTTGCTGATCACATCAAAAATGCGACTTGATGATGTACCTAGTGAGCCACTCTCGCAGGCAAACACGCGTTTTTATCCGTTCTCTTCAAATAATATTAAATAAACCCATCAGCTCCTCGCTAGCATCCGCGCCTCCTCCGAATCTACGCCGTTTCCAACGTCCAAGCTTGGACTCATTCCAGCGGGCAGTGTGCTTTCCATCACCGGCCCTTCAGGATCATTCAAGACGCGACTGGTGCAAGACATACTCGTGTCTTGTGTAATGCCAACTGCTCTGGGTGGCTGGGGAAAATCGGCAGTCGTTTTCAACATGGATTTAACCTTTGATGTCACTATGTTCTCCGAAATGCTTGCCACCCAAGTTCCAGACGTTGCTGAACATCGCGAGGCGCTAAGTAGACTTCATATATTCAAGTGGGATCTTCAGCGCAATTCTTGAGAGCTAGGCACTCAGTCAACTATTTAGACCTAAATCGACTGCCCAACTCGCTGTCTCCATCGCAGGTCTTCCCCGATACCATAGGGAAAAAGTCGGCAGCACAATCGCCCTGGTGGTCGTGGATTCAATGAGCGCATTTCACTGGCCTGACCGCTACTCTGGCAACACAGCGGCCCTGAATCATGTCCTTCTTGCTTTGCAGGCATTCCGTGAATCGCATCGCCCAATCACCGTCCTCACAAACTGGGGTCTTGTGTTGGATGCTTCGAAGGCTGCGCCGCCGAGCTATAAACAACATTTACCAGTCTATCCAACCTTTCCGCCATCAGAGCTCATGACGCTCACACATGACATTGTCCTCAGCTTACAGCCTGTGGTTGGTCTGGACGGGAACTCCCTAGTCGACAGTGAGGTCACTGGCTATATTCGAACGTCTGGCAACTCTGAAGTTGTGACCTTTCGAGCAGAAGTTTAAATTCCCCCGCGATGGTATGTTGCCCCACGTCAGTTTGACTTGCTATTCACCAACTCGACAAGCATGTCCTCGGGGGACGCGTATTAATATTAACTGCTACGGTAGGTATGTGTTATGTTACTTGTAGACAGACTAGTGGCTAACGTTACAATTTAATAAGGTCGTAAGGATACAAGATATACTCCAGCCTAGCAGGCAAAGATTCCATCGAGTAGAGTTTTGTACTGGGTTTCGACGGCTCCCCGTCTGATGTTGCCCTTGGTGAGCGTCCGTGGAAGGGTTTTGGGGGGAACGACCACAATGTGCTTCGAAGATGTGATGCGTTCGTGGAGATACCGTCGCGAGTGGAATAGTCGTGTTTGACGAATAATCTCCTTTTTAAGCTTTTCGTGGTCCATGTCCGTGCCTGGCTCGACGAACAACACAGGAGACGGCCGGCCGCTTCCAACCACGATGCACTCAGCAATCAGTTCACCGCACATCATTCGTGCATTGTCTTCTATTGATCTATGGGAGGGAGGGGTCAATATTTATTGGGATGAAAACAAGATTGGACTGACTTGGTATCGCATCTCAATGAATTTTCTGACTTGATCCAGTCATCGTTGCGGCCACATGAAAGATAACGACCAGGAGCGACCTCTTGGAATAAGTCGCCAGTATGAAAGTTTCCATCGCCATGACGAAGAGAGCTGTGGGGACAGTCCCGCGACTCAGCGAGGATAACGAACTCAAGCATCCGACCGGTTGATTGGTGGATCGCCGTAGAATCGCCCTCGATAGGAATAAAAGCGTAAGCCGTACCCTCAAGGGGTACAAGCAGCCGTGCGTCACCTCCACTACCGCCGATTGAAGTGAGCATTCCACCAGCTTCAGTACTCCCGAAGAGGTTCTACGAATTGGTTTAGAATATATCGTCCAGCCAAAGCCGGGGAGATCGTTCACCTTGAGTTTGATGCCGTTTGCGTATGCCCAGTCTTCTTCTTCACGCGCAAGAGGCATACCACTTGTCAATACTTGGTCGAGACTGCATAGAAGAGACAGAAGCTTTGCGTCTTGACGCGCAGCACGAAGATGATTAGCCAAGAAAGCGGCGAATTGGTTCAGGCGATTAAGACCGCAACGTTGGATCATGGCAGCAAGTTCTTGCGCCGAAAAAGAAATCGTGGAAGGTTGAATGACGCAGGAACCATGTTGCAGACTGGTAGACGATTAATAACGACATGGGACCATGGTGAAAGTTGTACACACCTGCCGATTAACATGAAGGACTGGCCAATATGACACATAGATCCCCTTGGTACGATGAGACCAGAACTCGTGCTATTGGAACATAACCTACATCCAAACAGTGACATCCTGACGGCTGGAATGGAGTGGCTGAGAAACTTGATAGGATTTGGAAACCATGGAGTCCAACCAACGATAAGTACAAGGGACAAGCTGCCGTTTAGATCAGAATTCGAATCGAGAATAGTCGTTTGACGAACCTTTGGACTACCCCCAGTAGAACCACTCGTATGGAAAAAGAATGCGATGCCATCAGCGGTAGGGTTCGGGAGAGGCGGGAGTGTGCAATCCACTACTGAGACAGTTTCTGGGACCAATGCTAGATAGGTTGGTACGGGACAGGCTTTCAGGACATCTGAAAACGCTGGTTCATAGATGATTGACTTGGACCCCGAGGAAAGAATAAGCTCGAAGACGACTTCCGGGGAAGGTAATCGAAGAGAAAAGAGTTGAGGAATGAAACCTGGGCAGAGTTGGAGGCAAAGACGGAGATAGAACACCAACTTACCAGCCCGCGATATAGCATAGATATTAAGTACATCGGCATAGCCGTAACCACCTAGCCTGATAATGATGAGGACAGGGGCCGGCATCTCAACGCATAGAATAGACATACCACAAGCTCACGACAGAGCCAGGTGCAACACCATTGCTGCTGAGGACCGACAACCAGTGTCGAGCGAAGAGTTCAACATCGTGAAGGAATTGCTAAGATGATTTAACATCAACGTATTGGGAAGAGTTTAGGCAAAGTACCTGATAGGTAACTGAGTACCAGTCATGAGCGTAGGTGCTCTGAGAATCGGCTCGGGGAAGCTTGAACGCGACGGAGGATGGGGCGCGACGAGCTGTCTCTTGAAGGACAGTAAGGTGCGTTTTGAGTGCCATAGAAGGGAGTGGTTGTTCGAGAGAACGGAGTCATTAGTTAGTGCTTTTATACGTAGATTCAAGTGGTTGCTGCTCCATCTACGGAATAGCCTCGCTGCCAAACCGAGATGATGAAACGCCAGGTACATACGTGGAGGCGCGCTCTGACAAATTTAAAAACCGACCGTTGGGCGGAGAGCTGACAAAATGTCAAAGAAAGAAAATGCCGACCAATTATATCTCTGCGCACGAGGCCATATTGCGGTGAACGCGGAAGTTGACAGAGTAAAGAAAACAAGAAAATCGGAATCAGATTGCCAAAACCGGGTCTGAAGGAGTATTGATAGCACTGCGTTGGCGGCCCCGTCCGCTTTCCGCTATCGAATGCAGTGTTTAGACGGGCGGAGATCTGGTTTGGTGGATGATCTGGGCGGTCAGCAGTTCGTTCACCGGCCACACGAGAAACTACGAGAGTGCCGTCAAGAGTGTTAATAGTCGAATCCTTGGAACTCGCAGATATGAGTGGCGTTTTTGATCAGCAAAAGTATCGTTTAGTTGGGCCTCGGACCACGCATCGTCTCAGGGACATCTAGAGCACGTGTAGGACGATGGTTTCGGGCAAGCAAAGTCGTCGTTGAAAGAGAGGAGGTATCAAAGAAATTTTTGCAGAGTTTAATGCACGGTCGAGAACAGTCTGGTCAACAGTGTCACTCAATTGTCACGCGTATACCGCTCATTCCGAGTTGTGTCGATGCATAGAGGTGCGTCGTCTTCACTCTTGACAAGACAAGCTCATGAATAGTAAACAGGAGGCGGAGCTGACGAATGCTGAGGAGGGTTGCCAATCAGGCCTGCAAAAACTTCTTTTCGTCATGTCGCAACATACATTTGCAGCCCTTTTCGACCTCTATACCTCGCCCTACCCTTGGCCCCGGCGCCGAAGACGCGCAAAACTATCACCAGACGCTCCTCACACTTTTTCTCACCGTTCCGCAAAACCACAAACGGCTGAGCGTTATCCAAAACAGCCCTGCGCTCCGCGAGTACTTTTGCGACCCGGAAAAAATTCTTCAACTTCTATACGATTTGGCGTCGTCCAAAACACCGAGAACCGCGCTTTTGGCCGTAAATTTATCGCGTCAGCTTGGCCACACGCTCGGAATGAGCGCATACGAAGTTATCGCTTACCGACTGGGTACTCTGAAGGAATGGGAATTGTTGCTGTACGTTATCCGCTCTGGAAAGCACAATACGCACCAGACAACGGCCGACCTTCTCGACTGGCGTGCTCGAGGTCTTCTCGAAACCGAAAACTACACCCAACTGTTTGCTATTCCCGACCTATACATTGCCAACGGTTTGGTCCCCTCGCGTCGAACATGGCATCTCATCCTCTCTGGCTATGTTCGCAACCACGATCTTGCTGGTGCAAGAGAGTGCTTGACCAAGATGACCGCCGCTGGCCACCCTCCCAATTATTCTACCGATGCTCTTATTTCAACCCTCTATCAGAACATTGGCCCCGACGAGCAAGTGAAAGAGCGCGGCCTAGAAGCGCTCGCTCATATCCCCCCGCGAACTGCGACACATATGATGAACAGTCTGATGAATCTGCGACTCAAGATATACGACTTGGACGAAGTTTTTTACCTTCTTTCCGCTTACGACCAAACCAAAGTCGGCCCCTTGGTCTCATTGTTGTCTGCTACAACCATCCAAGGCAGTAGAGACACAGACAGAATTCGACCCGCGTTTCCCGTGATTGTTGAGCCTGACGCGATCACGTTCGCAATGTTCATCGATTTCTTCGCCCATGTCCACGACCTTTCTCGCTGTCTAGCTGTTGTCCAGCATATGCGAGTGTCTGGCGTTGATCCAACCCTGAGGGTGGTCACCTCGCTCATGCGCGCGTATTTCCTCTCGGGTCAAGGCGGGGCGGCCGTTCGATTGGTCTCTGGTTTGTGCGATCCTGGGACATTTTCGACGGAAAATTTGCCATCGCCTGATGACTATGTCGTCCCATTCGAAACGGCAGCACTAGCTCCTCCTACTCGACAAGTCTTCAACTACCTTTTACGAGGAGTATTGGGCTCAAATGGCTTACCTGGGGCTCGCACGGTTATTCGCCTGATGCGTGCAAATCACATCAAGCCAAACTCGCAGACTGGACAAATCATTGCCTCCCATATGCACAGAGTCCAACGCGCTCAACCGCGAGTATTGATGCGGATGGTTCGCAGATTTTCCCCGCGATTTACCCTCAAAGAAGCCCATGTTATTCTGAGCTCCACTCTCCGCTTTCAAAAATACCTCGTCGACGGCGTTGGCTGGGATGTCACTGCTGCCAAGTTTTCTGAGACTCGTATGGAGGCAGAACGTCATATCCCAGAAAGGGCAATGACCGGTGTTGGGATGAGCTTCGACCCGCTTGCCGGTCTTCAGGTTCCCTCTCGCGCCCGCCAGCGTGGGACTTTCAAGCCAATCGAACAATCGTTACGTGGGCGTGGAATCAAGAGTGACCGGGCCGCAATGGCTCTGCGAATCAGACATGACGCTGTCATCAAGGGAGACATGCCTTCAGCGGCGGCAGTTTTCGACCAAATGCTTGCCCGCGGTCTGTACCCGACACGGCACCACTTCAGCGCCCTGATGGAAGGATATGCGAAATCCGGAGACTTGGATGCTGCCATTCAGATAATGGAGTCGACGACGTTCCAGCCAGATGTGGTCATGTTCACTATTCTCATCGTCGGCTACGCAAGACAGGGCGAGCCACAAATGGCGCTTGACACTTTTCGTCGCATGGTCGGTGAAGGGATAAAGCCGGATGTACCCGTTATCGACGCCGTGGCCAGCGCTTTTTTCTTTGTGGGAGCATACGAGATGTGTTTTCGCGTCCTCACTACTCTGTGGCCCCACATAGGCCCACTCCCGGCAGATATCAACCAGGCCTCACTCAAGTCAGCGGTGGTCTACTTTCGCTCGCTACACAATAGAGGCCACATGCCCAAGATGTCGCTAGAAAGTCGACGACAGCTTTCTGAAGACTTGAGGCGTTTGACTAAAGAATGGCGACAGTGGTTACTCGAGCATCCTCGCCATAGACGGAGGAAGCAGAAGAAGAGTTGAATGTAGATTCGGTGTTATAACTATATAAAAATACAGAATAATTCGTTACTGGGACAGAAACTTGCTATCCAAAAGGCGCAGTGCTTCGCGGACCGCATCGGCCCGGACCTCACGAACATTGTGGGCATGGGGAGTCGAGCGAGCAAGCTCTTGCTCGCGGAAGTGAGCATGAGGATCGGTGAGGAGCACTGATGACTCAGAAGACGGATCAACATGGTCGGGCGGAGGCGGAGATAGCGATACCGTCGAGCCTGAACACTTTGAGCGACGAGCGACAACGTCGGCAAGCATATCCAGATCAGAAAAGTCAACATTTGGATGGGCTTTGAAACGACGCCAAGCATCGCTGGTAGGTATCGTCTCGTTCGACTCTGGAAACGGAGGCGAAGCCAGTCCTGGTAGCGATGGAACTGGTACGGCCAGGACAGAATGGGGATTTCCTGAAACACCATCCGTTTCACTAGAAGGCAGGGCAGACAGCTTTTCGCAGAAGGCTTTTCCAAAGGAATCGTCAGCACAGGCTGAGCAATTGGATGGGTCGCCGGAGCAAGTTGGTTGTGGTGGAGATACCTCAAATATGGTATTGATCTGGGTAGTAGGCCCGCGAGGTCGGAGTCGGAGAGGGACTGCCGGCTGGAACGGAGGTAGATTGTCTAAAATAGAGGGTTCGTCTGTAGGCGATGAGGCCCCAAGCACAATTGAACGAATAGTTGGAGGAATGACAGTCATTTTGGGGTCCTGGGTTTGCTGAAAAACATCACGACACACGCACGGGGTGTCTGGCGTGCAATAGCCACAGTCGAAGGTAGGGAACCCTCCAGGCTCAGACTTGAGTTGGGAGAATGTCACGAATGTGTCGGGCTGGGTGTCAAACGGAGTGGAAGGGTAACGTGAATCGGTAGATGAGTCCGGAGAAGAAACCATGGATTGTGGCGAGGCGAGATATGGAGCGCCAAAGCGACTCTCCGTTGTATCATGGTCTAGCTTGAATTTTTTGCGAGAGCTGGACGCGATGCTGGATGCTGGGGAGATGTCACGCCATCGTTTCTTGTCATTGAGTGTCGCATCGTGCTCCTGCTCAAGCTTGGCAATTCTTTCCTTTAAGACGGCATTTTCTTGTCGAAGAGACTCGTTCTCCTCCTTGAGCCGTTTCGCGACACCTTGCAAGGCAACATTCCGTTCAATTTCGCCTTGCTCGTATGACTGAACGCGTGCTTGTAAATCGGCGAGTTGGGATTGTTTCCGTTCTCGAAAAGCCCTTTGAGCCGCCCGGTTCTGGACTCGCCTCCCCTTCATAAGTTTTCGTCAGGACGATTCACGTTGGCTAATAGTCATCTCACCTGCTCGTCGCTCTGAGTCGGTGTAGCCTCTTTCTTGGGCTTGCGGCCAGGTTTCGGCTTTGGTTGAATAACCCATTCCTTGGATGCGGTTGCCCAAAGCGTGGGTGTGGCAGACATTGGGGGAAAAGACTGGCACTCAGTGAGAGATGAAGAGATTAAAAAGAGATTGCGCAAGTGATGGGTCGGCCGATTTCGGCCAAGTCTTGGCCTGCTCACTCTGTTTCCCAAGGTGTTTACCAGTCAAAGTCGCACGCATGGATCGTTTCCTAATACGATTAAGCTATACTACACGACTTCTTCTTCTTCCACTTGATCAATGAGCTCTTCAACCCAAACCTCAACCACTTCCTTCTCTGGTGCATCTGAATCAGCTCCGTGTTTGCCCCGGCCTTTTCCGTCTCCCAGGAATTCGTTCTTTGTGCGTTGTCGCCATGCATTCCACTCGTCCACAAGCCGCTTTCTCAGAGCAATAAGCTCGGCGCTCACATTGCTTTCTTCTGCAGCATCGTCCTCCTCAAATTGTCGACTGTACTCTTTCAAGTTTTTGCGGATGTGCCGTTGTTGCTCTTTTGACAGCAATGTCCTCGGTCTGGGTCGCCAAATGAATTGTTTGAAGCGATCTTGGATGAGCTTTGTTATCTCTTGACCACGGAAGTCCCAAATCGCATAGCCATTTTCGAGCTTGTGCCGAGTGTCAGTGTTCTCGATTTTACGATATGACAAGGAACCTTACTGTGTGCGTCCACGAACTGGCACTCGTGGCCAAGTAGCGACCTGAAGGATCCCACTCCACATCCGTAAGGGCGTAGTGGTCGGCAGTACCAAGTAATTGTATCCCGCTGCCCCAATCCTGGTTCGCCTTTTGTTGACTCTCATCAGTTGTGAAATCAAGGTCCCAAAACTCGAGCTCAGATTTGCTAGATGACCCGACGGTTGCTAAAACCACGTGTCGCCCACGGGGAGACCAGCGAATCGCATTGCTGGTCCGGTTTGAAAGCGTGCCTGAGAAAATAAGACTCGGGTTACCTTCGGAACCGGTGGTCTATTTATGACTTACGGAGCAGCTTAAAGTCGTTTTTGCCATGGTCGAGCTGATAGAAGCTGACGTCCGTCTTGATTGTGATGCCAGGTCCACCATTACCGAGATTGGGGTCGCTGCTGGCCACAATTGCGAAACGTTCGCCTTTGGGCTCCCAAGAAAAATCGGTTACGGTGTCTGAAAACTGTCAGAACCAGTCGTAGACAATGACCGGGAGCCACTTACCTTTCAGTTCGACTACCTCAACTGGGTAATCTTTTTCTCGGACCCGGAATATCTCCAAGTTACAAAAGATCGACTTCTTGGTCTTGGTATGGCGGTCTACTTTGACACACAAAAAGTCGCCCTGGTTTTGCCAGAACAATCTACACTGGAATCGTTTCAGGACATTTGCTCGTGAGAAGGCCCCGGCGGTCGTACCTCCGTGACATTGAAGAGATTCTTTTGACGCAGGATAGCCCGGCTTGGGAAACCTAGCAGAGTGACACGGGCTGGTTGATTCGCAACTTCGGGAGTCCAATATGCAAGCATGTTTTCTCTTGGCTTCTTGGGTGTCTTGCTGGCTTGGTCTGCTTCCTCTCGGTCTTTGTCGCCCAACGGACACCACTCGAAGTCGACGACGCCTTCGATTTTGAGACTCTTCTTCCCATGAAGATACATGGAAGGCAGCTCGTGAACGCTAATCATCTGGCCCGGAGTCACCCGTGCCACAAATTTATCGTCTGGACTCCATTTAAGGGCAGGCCATTGAATCTGTTTCCGGCTTTGGGGGTCATTTTCGTTGGCAGTTGAGAAAGTACGGAGAAGGTGGCCGGACTTGATATCCCACACAGCAAGATTGTTCCCTTCGTCGTCTGGTGAAAGATATTGCGGTCCCTGAGGTGCCCCGTCGGGTACCACAATTGGCTCATTCGACCAAGTAACAAGGTATTGCTCGCCAGGCGAAAAGTCAATAAGCTTCACCAATGGATGGGCAAAGCGTTGTTGAGGCTTCCAAGATGTCCCACCCCATAGACGTACTCCTTGTCGGTGTAGTGTTGCGATATAGGTACCCAGGGGCGACCATGCGACATAAAGAAAGTCTTTCCAATCCTGTGTAACCTCAGCCACGATTCATCGGAACCGATTCTATACTTGCAGGTTTCATTGCCGATTCTGATTGGGAAGGCTTTCCGTGCCAGTGAATTTCGACCTCTTCCCCACGATACGTCACATATTGGTCGCGTCCTTGCGGGTCCGCAAGCCAAGCTTTGAGATGCTCCTGCAAGTTTTATTCAGTTTACAGATAAAAGCCTGTGGACCTATTGACTGACCCTGGGAACATATTCTTCCACTTCAGGCTCAACGTAGGTTTCGTCCATCTCGCTGTAACGCTCGATGTCGGTGAACCGGTTGATTTTGAATGTGTGTTTAGAGTCAAATTGATAGTTGTGCATAGCGGCGATGGCCAAGCTGGCTTCATCCGCATTCTTGAATTCGATGAACAGGAAGCTGTGAGTAAAATCAACTCTGAGTCGAGGCAAGAATATTGGAACGCGAACCCTTGGTTGTTGCCCGTAGCATCGTCCCATGGCATATATATTTCCTCGGGTTTGACAGGAATACCCTTGCGGGTGAACTCCTTGCAGATACGACTGAGTAGTTTGTCGAGTTTTTTCTTGTCGATGATTGGGATACCATCTACGACGACAACGTTCTCGAGACTGTCATCAAGATGGACTTGGTACCTGGTAGGATGCAGTTAGCGATAACTCCAAAGGCCTGTAGCGGCGCACTTTGCTTCAATGTCAGAGTAGTCGATGCCTTCGTCGGAGTCCATTTGGGAGAAAAAAATGATCGATCACGTGCCGACAGATGTTTTGTCGCCGACCAATTCTTGGTACACCTTTCGTCCGCCGCTATGCCTCCCCGGTAGAAAAGAAACGCGCTGGATCCGCGATACAAGAGCATCTAGATCGAATTGCTCAAACTGGGTCTGAGGTTGTCATTCCAGACATTGAACGCCTTCGCCCTAATTCTCATGCTTCCCCACACTCGCCTCTATATGCAACGGAATACACTAATCTACTCAAAAAGCTGACTCATGCGTTCAATGCGAAGCAACTCCGCCAATTCATGCAACTCTACAACCTTCCGCTGCCAACAGACCGCAAAAAGGACCCTATGGCCATCGCAATTATGGAGCAACAGTGGAAATGGCCTTCTCTTGCAGCCATAGAGAAAGAAAAGCGCGCTGCCGAAATGGGAGTAGAGAGTACGCTACCGCCTATATTGCGTTCGTATGAATTCCAACCTGGTTCAATATAGCACTTCCTTTAACTCCAAGAGACGCCGTATTGATTCTCGGAAAAGGTACTGGAGAGTCGGTATATACCTAAACGAACTAAAGAACGTCTTATCAGACGGAGCGGAATCGCGTGCCCTATCCCACCAACATAACGTTCGGTTGAAGTTCCAATCCCATCCTCTTGCTTTGCGAATTGAAGGAACGAATGGTGCATTGAAGGAAGTCATCAAGCACATAAACCATCTCAAGACTGTACGTTAAAACACATCCTATGCATTCTCTCAAAGTCAAAAAGTCCATAGTCGAAGAGTTCTTTCAACTACCACCAGGAGCAACGATCAGCGCCAATATCTTCACTCGCATATCGCGTCTTTCTGGGGCTCTAGTGGAAGAATTTGGGGAATCGAAAGTTAGCTGCAAGACTTTCTGACTTGAACGATTCTCAGTATCTACAGGTCCGCATTTCGTTCCTTGAACATCATTCCAGGACCGGACATCTTGTTCGACGACTCCTTGCTCAGTGTTTGTGTGAAGTAAGCGTCAACCATAAGAAGAAACGTGCGTATCTGATGTTGTGCTTAGGACACTCGTCCACAACAGTCACGATTATTCTGCCATCTCCCACCGACTGTTCCCAGCTCCTCCTCGCTGCCAACATCTTCTGCTTTTGCTCACTATTATGCGCTGTTCCCCTTTTTATCGCCGCGTTTTCTATCCTGGAGCACAAGCACTCGTGGCGTTTTTAGAGTGCGACGCGTTGAAGATTGGCAAGGCCCTTCTGTTATTGAAGACCTCAAAAAAACTGGAGGATTGGTGATGGGCCGAGGGCGGCTGTTAAATATTCACCAGTGAGTTTCTTGCGCCCTTAACAGTCTCACCGACTTATCTCACTTAGGCAGGATGTTGAGCTTCAAAGTCTTCTTTCAAGCAATGTACCGACTACGCACTCGAGGAGTGTTATAGCCACGTGAGCACACTTGGCAGCAATGACTGTGCTGACCCAAGACAGCATGGGCCATGTTCTTCTAACATCCCCACCGGGTAAACAGTTCCAAATTACACCTCCGCTTCAAGGTCATCTGAAGATACCTGGTATGTTGAATTGGATCAAAACTTCTACGGAGCCCATATTGTTTGCGCCAACGTGAGCTTCTTCCTTGATCGAAGTGTTGGTCCTCATTGGCAGTTGAGGCTGCCTGCTCCCTCTCCTGGAGAAGTGGCATCTCATAAAGCATTGCACCGCCTGGTATATCGTTCAGTCAATACCCCAGATGATGAGACTTGCCATGTCATCAAAGTCGAAGTCACACTTCCTACTTCTCAAGCAGACACCAAAGGAGAGGACCTGGAATGTCAGTGCACAATGAGCCAGCTGGTCGACTTCGATATCCTGATGCCTGACCGGTGAGGATGAAAGTTGTGCTACTTTCTATATATTCAGAATCCTACAGATCCGCTGACGTCCGGCTTTCAACACTCGATTCGATCGAGTTGCCTCCAGGAGACCTGCCGTCGACGGTTGGCAGCTACCTCACAGAACTTGGTTCATTGTTGGTGACGATCTCTTCTTTGACCGACGCTAACAAATTTTGTAGCATTGACTTCAAAGATCCAGATGCCCTCCAACCTGAACCCCCAGTCACTTTCAGCTTTGAAGGAACTTCTTATCTACTTCAAGCTTGTACCAACGTTCGACAAAAGGTCGAGCCGACGAACACCCCTTCTCTCAGTGTCATCTTAGAGAGCGCTGTCGACTTAGAAGGGGAACAAAAGTCAACCGCGCATCAGGTAGGACTGTTTCCATAATATAATGTTACTGTTGACCACGGGCCTCAGGTTGTTTGCAATGGTGATTTGGGCGACGAAACCGTCTGGAAAGCCTTCTTGGCCTTATGCGATGCCATGACGTCCCCAACGACAACAACTAGCATTCCCTCGAGAACTCCTTTACTATAATATTCACTGTAGCACTCTAAATCAAGCTAATCCATCTCATGCTCATGACCGTCGACGCTTTTTGTTGGCTTTCTCGACTCTCTTCTTCGCGCGGACCTGAAAAAACCATCAGTATCGAGTCAAAAACGCAACCCGATCCATAGGTATTTACCTCTTTTCTCATTCGTGCATCCACCATGGTGTACCTTCCTTTGACTCCCTTGGGACGACCCTGGATGCCCTTGTGAGCCCCCTTAGCCACCACCACCTTGATGTCCTTCTTGGCCTTCTTTCCTGACGACAACCCTTTGCGCATCACTTTCTCTATTTGCTGCGCCTTCTCTCTCTCCGACATGTCAGTGGTTGCATTCACACCCTCGGCTTTCTTCATTGCCTTCTCGAGTTTTTGGGCCGCCTTGAACTTTTTCCGAGCCTTTGCCTCGGCGACCTTCTTGATCGGGCGAGCGTCCAGCGCACGCTGTTTGGCACGAAGCGCGGCAACAGCTTCTTTCGTTATCGGAATGTTAGGTTTATAGTGTTTGGCTTCTTCATCGAGGAACCACTGTGGCAATCCTTCCTTCGAGTTGAGCGAATAGCGATTGAAGCCGTCATTGATCAATTGGGTTTTCGTCTTCTGCCGGTTGACAAGTTGTTGGGCCAAAGTTACAGCCTCCGCTGTGGTAAGCCCATGCCCTGCGACCTATTCAGACCAACTATTGGAGCACACCTATAATGAACGCACTGTCAATCTTGTCTTTCTTTATTTGATCTTGGTCTTGGTCTTCGACATCCCACATGTCTACGTCCTCTTCCTCGGTTGCTTTAACAATTTCGAAATCGTCCTGGTCATCCGAAGCTTCGGCCTATGCCACCGTTAACTCGTGTGCTAGAGGTGAGAGAAACAATTTACCGTCTCTGCCCAATCATTTTCATTGCCGCTTTCCTCCGCCGAAATATTGTCTTCTTCGATATCGACATCAAGACCGTTGAAAATGTCTTGGCTGAACCATAACTTGGCAGCTTGACTTGAAGTTTTTGGTTCACGGAGATCGTTTACTAGTTTGGGGCGCTTTGCTGCTTTTGTGGGAACGGCGGTGTCTGGCTGCTGTCGCTTAAGATTTGGCCGGGGTTCATCGTCATCGCTGTCCTCGGAGGAAGAGCCATCATGATCGTCATCTTTTGCAGCCTCCATCTCATCCCAGCCACCATCCTCCTCTTCACTGTCAGAGTCCACGTCGATGGGTTCTTGACCATTGATGCCTCGCCATTCCTCACGCTCAGCATTTTTTTCGCGGGACTCCTTCACTTTGAATTTGGCATCGCGTTCACGAAGTCGGTCGCGATATGCCTCGTACAACCCATCCATCTCTTGTTCCAACCCGTCCACTTTACGCTGTCTCTCCTCGTCCGAGTCCAGAACAGAATCATTGTCATTGTCGTCGGAGTTTTCTTCGTCAGAGCTCTCAGCATCAGAGCGGTCACCGAGCGCAGAGACTCCCCCTCGTTTCCGTAAGCCTTTCTCTGCGCCACCCAGGTCAAAGAAGTCTCCTTGGCCTCCCAAAGACAAGTCTTGTTGCTCGAGGCCGATATCCAATGGCGCTGTCATTTGCAGCTGCATCCGTTGAATTGTACGTGTCTTGATCTCGTTTGCCCGACGTCGTTCGCGCTTGGCTCGCGCAGCTGCTTCAGTATTGAGACGTTCGAGCTGGTCGTTGTATTGAGAAGGGGACTTGGAATATGAGCTCAACAACAAACCTCTTCTTCAATTTGCTGTTCCTCGTCGACTTCTTCGACAACCTCGACTGTTTCGGTTGCATCTTCAACGTGTTTCGATTTGTTGTCGATTCCAAGCTAGATGATTTTGAATGGAATGTTGAGACTAGAATTGCATTGGCTCACCTCTTCTCGAAGGGCTAGCCGCCACCTTGTTAGCAACTTGAAATCACCCTTTCCTAGGACTTTCAAATCATGGAAATTCGCTACAACATCTCCAGTCGTGATGTCAAGCTTCAACCACCTGAGGACAGTCAGAAATGAATGGACAAGATTGTATTACGCACTCTTTCTCCTCCTCCGTGGAAAATGTCATCTGGTTGACTCCACCAAGCACAGAGATTGGGTCTGAACTTCGCACAAAATCGGCAACAGGGACCTTTTTGAATAGCGTATAGTCGCCTTCGTCGTAACCATCACGCTTGCGTCGCTTTTTCTCTGGCTGGAAGACATTGGCTTGTGCATTGTTGGCTGAAGCTCCCTTGTCGGTTCCAGAGATAGAGGCGGAAAGATCCTTGAAAACGTGTTTCGGGTCAAGGAACTTTGGATCCAGGTGCTTCGGCGCCAAAAAATCGCGACAAACGACGAAAATTTCAGCAGAAACATTCCTGAACCGTGTCAGAAAGGGCAGAACTTTTAATTCATAGGGATAGTACCTGGAAGAGGGAGGCTTGGTAGCTTCCACCTTGGAGAAAAGTTGGTTGAAGACCCACATGAGGTTGTTGTAGTCGGCGCTACGGAAGACCTTGGTGATGAAAGTTCCGCCTTTGACGAGAAATTCGACAGCCAGTTTCAAGCTCATAAGCACGAGTTCGGATTGGGCGTATGCATCCTGGATCCAAGCGGTACCAACATTTGGTGCACCATCGTGAAGAACAACGTCCGCCCGCCAATCCTTGAGTTCCTGACGAATAAGCTGGCGACATTGAGGAGTAGTAATGTCAGAGGCAAATGTAACGACGCGAGGAATGGGTTTGATTGGCACAAGATCAACGCCTGCATCGAGGTTGAATTATAGTTCAGCAAAAATTTGCAGCGCCGTACCAACAATGACACTGTTTTGGGGCATATATTTGCTAGCAACTTGGAGCCAACCTCCTGGCGCAGCACAGAGATCGATACAACATCTCGCAGATTCAAGGAAGGAGTATTTTTTGTTTAGTTGAATAAGTTTGAATGCAGAACGAGCCCGATAACCCTGCTCCCTGTCAAAAAATGAGTAAACGAAGGTCAACCAGGTAGCATAGTTGACGCACTTGGCTAGTTTGTAGAATTTGTCTAGACGGCCCTTGCCAGTCTTTTTCTGAGCTTTGCCCATCGAGAACGGAAGAAAAGTGTGGGAAGCTGTCACACCGGCTTTGGGTTCCCTCCCACTCAACCTAACTCAACTTCCAGCTTCAGCGCTCAACTGAGCCTCAACACCCTATTTCGTTCCGATCTCTACCTGCATGAATCCCAATCTCCTTTGGAAGATAGGCAGCGGCTTTGTCGCTACTGGCGTGATCACTGGCGCGTTTGGGGCCCATGCTCTCTCCACCCGGCTTTCACCTGAGAGCTTGAATTCTTTTCGAACGGCGTCAAGTTATTCAGTTCGTCCATGGAATATTCGCGCTGTCCCCCACACAAATTATTATAGATATTCAACGGGCTTGCGCTGCTTATTATATCAACGCATCCACGGTTTTCTGTTCACCGTTTTGCGGGGCCGGCAATTGTTGCAGGGGCAACCGCGTTCTCTGGCAGCATTTTTGCGCTGGTCTTGAATCGGGATCTGAAGTTTCTTGGTCCTGTTACGCCGCTCGGAGGGTTGCTGATGATTTCAGGGTCAGTCGCTGACGATGCGAAACGTCCTACTTTCCTCACTCTTCACAGCTACGTTTCGATGATCTTCTGAGTTACACACAAGCCATGGCCCATAGGAGTGTAGCTTCTATAGACTTGGTATAAAGAAATATACTACTTGGTCACATGTAATGATGGAGCGCGTCGGTCACATCGTGACATAACAGTAAACAATTCTTTCTCATCGTCCACGATGACTACTCCAAGCGATGCCCCGCCTATCCTAGACGCGCCGTCGAGCCAAACTCGCCCTCCCCTTCCACTTTCTGCCTCTTTTCCTGTCCTCCCCACGACTAGTTCAATCTCCCCCTCTCGCCCACTAAAGCGACGACTCGCGTCGACCTCGGCTCTCAATTTTTTTGTCCCCGCAGCCGACACCTTCAAGCCACTTCCGTACGCGCCAAATGCTGGTGCATCGCGCACTTCTCTCGCTGAGCGTGTACGGCCTGCCACTCAGCATCCAGCGTCGACTGTCAGCATGGACCCATCACCCGCAGACCCTGACGCCATATTTCTCCGTTATCCATTCGCTTCGTTCCCCGACCAAGAATTATATCCAGATGGAATCACCTACACAACTCTCGTCGAAAAGCCAAATTGGTTTCTTGTGGCAGAGGACTACATCTCAGAGAAGGGCACGAACCCTGACGCGGTCGCCTACCCGCTCTATCTCGAACCTCCTCGCGGCTGGTGTCCCGCCAAGAAGAAAGATCTCAAAGAAAAAGGACCTGAAGTTTGGCCGGACGGTGAACAGCCTCGTCTTCGTTGCACCTTCTGTCGCCGGACGTACGCGGGCGTAAATGCGAAGAGTATGTGGCGCCGACATGTTTTCGAGAAGCATAAAATCGCAATGTCTAATCGCCGCAATGACCTTGAGCGACCACGTGGTCGAAGCTCCTCTAACAGTACGTGCATCGAGCGTCTGCAGGGCGCCGTATTCTAATCGCACTGCAGAGGAAAACAAACGCGCCAACATCACTAAAGCTCTAAAGAAAGAGGAGAGCCACGAAACCATTGTGAACCTCGACGACGACGACGTAGAAACGCTCGATGCGCCGGTTGATCCACTAGCAGCTTCGCCTGACGTCGATTTCCCAGCTAGTCCCGCTCCCGAGCGCGTCATTCCTCCAGCATCACCCTACGACCCCCTGCTTACCCCATCATTCCGCCATTCACCTCCCCGTCTTCCTTCGGATCATCCTTGGCGATATAACAGTCCCAGCCATCCATTGCATCGCTCACGAAACGTGTCTTTGACGATGTTGCGCGGAGACAGTCCTATTATCCAAACACCTCTTCTCAAGAAAAGCATGGATGGATTATCGAGCCCCTGCGGCAGCAGCACTCTTGCTTTTCGGACGCCTGAAAGTGTACTGAAGATACTGCCTTTTCCACGATCGCTCTTTGCTCGCAGTAAACTAGGGAGCACGCCCCCTTCTTCGGTAACGCGCCACACAAGAGCCTCGTCTGATGTGTCTGAAGCTTGGGATGCGGAAGGGTCGCTTAGCTTAGACCCCTTTATCACTACTTGGGATGATGACGACAACAAGAGTCCTCCGACATCGAGTCCTGCCCGCGCACCGAAGAGTCCAACTCCTGTCGTCAAAGGTGCTGGAGTGAACCTTTTGGCGCCATTTACCCTTCCTGACACGCCAGGAAACATGCTGGAGATTGACGATCTATTGCAACTCGAAGTAGACGACGAAGAGGAAGTCTTCGTGTCGCTGACATGTAGCCAGACCAGCAATGGGGAAGACCCACCGTCGAAGCGACGGCGCACTGGCGATATTGGGATTTGAGTATATCTACTGCTGCTTTGCTTTGTTTTGCTGTGTGTATAATTAACATGTATCCATCTACCATCTACAAGTATCTATAGCTACTTTCCTGCTAGGACAAATGAATTGATCTATGGTCATAAGAGGGCAGGTCTTTGGAATAAGCTGTTGTGTAGGTAGTATAGAGATGTAAATAGGAGGAATATGATAAGTAATATCTCTGAAGAAACTGGGGGAGACAAAAATTCATATATAAATGCAGAAGTGCATTATACATAGGTAAAAATCTACCTAGCTTGTCCACAAGGCCATATGAAACATCCCCAGCCCTGAGCCACTGAGGCAACTCCAGGGAATAGGTGATGGTGTAACACTCACCTGATGTACTCCCAGCCACAAGAGCATAACAAGACAGCTCTGGGCAGGAGACAACTGTGGCCTGGACCAGCATGACACATGACTGGGTGGGAACCAACAGTAGCCAGCCCCCCTAGAGCACATAAGGTGGGGCAATATGTGAATAGTCTTGAATGTTAGGCCAGATGGTAGTGCTGAGCTAAGAATAAATGAATGAATAGATGTGATCTACTATACAAGGAGTTGTGATTACCAAAAAAGGAAGAGCTAATAGTATCCTAATTTGGATAGACAACTCAACCAACCCCGCAGCTTGGTGACATTGGCGTTTTGGGCATTAAGTTTCTAGTACATATGTACTTTTTCTCCCAGATTTTCAATTCTTCTATGCCTATCGATAGCCCTTGAAAATCTAAGACTTGTGATGTTTTTATTTTTGCATGAAACCTAAAATTATGTGTGCTAGAGCAAAAGTCTCTGAGGCGGCTGATAAGTCCTGAGCCTTTGCTTGGACTAAGCATGGACCAAGCTGTCAGACGTGTGACGGTAACAGTCTTGGATGAGCCGGATGGGAACTTTCTTGTCCATAGCACATATAATTTTTTACATTCACGCAAAAATAAAAACATCCCAAGTCTGAGTTACTTTTTGCTAGCCTACTCAGTTAGGTTTGTGAACAACACCCTTGGGCAGTAGCTGTAAGGGGAGCATGTGATGTGACAGCTGTGACTGATCACGTGACTGGTCCGTGCGCAGATAGCCCTGTACTTAAGTAGTTGGCCGTGGGGCTGTTCCCCCGGCTTTGGTATCAACTAGGCACCTGGACCCTCATCCCCTGACAGTAGCCCAGGTTTTGCTAGCAAACCTGGGGAAGGGCCTAAGGGTCACAAATATAACACTCTTAAAAAAACTATTTTATTTATATTTTAGGGTTAGATCATAGTATTAATGATAATATTGATGCCATTGAGATAATGTCATTGATGTGGAACGATTTTTGATTGACATCAGTACTTTTGATAGCTATGTCAAGATACATCAATTTTCATCTAATTAGGATACATACCTTTGCCCCAGATCACAAGCCTACCTAGATGTTTATATGGGTCTTCGGCCTGAAAAAATAGTGATTTGCCTTTCCATATCTGGTAATAGCTTAGTCATAGCTATCAAACTCATTAAGATATTCACAACTGATTGAATGTCACATTTCTTGTCACAGGACCCAGTATTGACTTCCTATATAGCTTGCCCAGGTGTGCGTGCAACACTGTTGGGCAGTATCCCAGGTTTTGCTTGCAAAACTGGCTCCCTGTCCTGTTTTTTGCGCAGACTAAATATCTGCAAAAACATCTAAATAAAACTTAAAACAGTAGTATATATGATTCTGAACCATTTTAGGAAGAAATATGTAGATATCTGAAGGGCTCGGCAACGGTGTGGCCTGATGGAGAATCCTATGAATGTCTTGCATAAAATTGTTTGATCTCCCGTAGTGTAGCATAGACCATCTCTAGTCTATATGACATATCAGCTGATGACCACTGCTATCCACCTAGCTTAACCACAGCTTATTCCTTGCCTCAGTTAGCTGTCACTTATGTTTTGCCAAACAACCACGCATTTCAACGCTTGCATACTGTGCAAAAAATGGGAAATTTGCCTGGACAACGACGATTGGAACAAATGGAAGATGAGGTGAAGGTTGGGCAAAGGAGTTACTGAATCAAGCTTGTTTGATGGAAGTCACATCACGGTCATATGTCACGCGCCCACCCAAGCACTTCAAGTTGGTCATAATAAGTTACATACTCTAGAGGCCTGTTTTTTTAAAATACTGTATTACTGCTAGACAGGATCTATATTACTCTTCCACTCAATTGTTCTGCCACTCTACTATAGAAGCAAAGATATAACCTTAGAGACTGAAGTGGCATAAGTTCTGAAGTGGCATAAGTCCTTCAGATGAGCTAGAGCAGTATATTTGCCTTTTTGTATCATCAGACAAGGACAGAATCTGATGATCATCCCCAGGAATCAAAGGAAAATCAGTGGATTAAAAAATAAAAAAAATTAAGAAAGGCAATGATAAAGAGGTTCAAGATGAGAGTCCTGGTAATATATCAGAGGAACCTCCCTTTCAGACCTGTCTGGCTGCTCCACTCTACCTAACCCTTCCAAATCACTTCACTCTGTACTTCCTTAGACTCTTGGCAATATCATCTATGTTAGGCCCTGTTAGCACTGATACACAATAACCTCCTAGACAGGGCAACCCTGGAGACCCCGACGAAAGCCTAGCAGGGGAGGATCCAAAGCGTCAATAAAAAGCTATGGAAATACATGGAGGGACCGACCTAGCAGGGGAGGATCCAAAGAGAAGAAACTCTAAGGGCCCGCCTACTAGGGCGCTAACTATATACTGGTCGTACGTAACTACCAACGTAGAGCACAGAAGGCCTGAGCGGCGTCGCAGGCTCTGTCCCAAGGTGATCGTTAGGAGGGTCTTGACAGATCGGTGATTGTACAGGTGAAGGAGGCCGAAGCTGAGGGTCGGGGGTGGGTCGGAGCGTCCGAGGGGGCGCCAGTCGGATGTGCCTCGGATGCGCTTGGACGGTCCAAAGGAGGCCGAAGGAGGGGTTCCCCTGACAGAGGATTGGGGACACAGATAGGTGAGTTGGACCCAGATGTATCTGGAGAGTCGACAACCATAGGCAATAGTATAGAACTCGGTGCAGCTGCAGGAGATACAGAAGACTCAGGCTGACCAATAAACGCAGGTGATGCCATAACGACTGCAGTACTGGGAGTAATACCGTTTCGAAGGAGATGAGCAATTTGAGTTAGCAGAGCTCACTCTGATGAGGTAGAACTAGCAAGAGGATGTGACTCAAACTGTTGATCCAATTTTTCAAAGCGATCGATGACAATGTTCTTAGCATTGAATAGGCCAACAATTGACATCTTGACTTTCTGATAGCCTGTCCAAGCTGGCTCCAACAATAACACATCTGGTCCAAACTGTCAAACCCTGGGTTCAAAAACCCTTTTTCTTCGCCCTTTAAACCTTTTATTTTGGCCCTGGTTGATAAGATAAGACAAGGAGGAGATAAGATGGACGATAAGATGGTGATTGGATCATCAGATGTCGATGCTGATGTTGATTGACAGCGTGGAGTTGGACATGAGGCAAACAGCACGTAAAGGCATGGCTAAAGTATGACGTCATTGCCTCTCGTATTAGGCATGGTAAACACATGGTAGTAGTGTATATAAAGTAGAGTAGATTTCGTCTTGTACCCCAGTCTTCGAATTGCATCATCTTTACGATATCTTTTCATGGTGCTTCTTGCTTGCCTTCACTGGCCAACTGGCATCCTCTGAATTGGTGTTGTTTGTGACACAAACCGAGTCAACATTGCTGAAATGAAGAGCGCCTGATATCTCAAGGTTATCGAAACCAATGTTGAATGATGCGTAACGTCCAATGAACAATCCCATTCGTAAGCTCCTCATCTGTCACATATAAGAACGGTTCAGCAGCGATATTGATCTAATATTTTATAGGAGAAAAACTGGCTGAAGCAGCATCCATATAGAGCGTTTTCTTGACATCTAATGCCAGTGTTTCAATCCAGGTGCTGCACATTAGCCTATTTGCTATCCAGGCCAGAATACTGTTCCAATAATGTTTGTACAGCCAATCACATGCTAGGTAATTGCTAAACATGATACATTCACATTCAAAATGTGAATATAACAAATTGAGCGCCTGCATACTGTCAGCGCTACTAATAACCTGCTAGACAGATGCTAGAGCTGTTGCTGCCGCAATTGAGCTTGGATCCAACCCCAGATAGTTAGAGATCTGAACAAGTTGCAAGTAGACATTGCCATCAACTAACATATTATCAGCCGCAATACATTCACATGCTTGTCTGACATTTGTTAAATTGTTGTGAAGGGCAGCAAGGGATAGGAAGGTTATAAAGGGAATATCATCTGATTCAAAAATAAATATCTTGTAGGTATAATTATAATTTCCGACCTGAGTTTAATGTTTGTGATTGCCAAGTAGACTTAGATGATATTCTGACTTCTGTTTCACTAAGTAACAGCCCTACCCACTTGCTGCCTTGCGACTGTAGTCCACAGTCTGAGCTAGATACTACTGGGAATTATAAAATTAAAATTCCAAATGAACAAAGAAAAATTACCTAAGATATGAGTTCATTTAGTTACTCTCTCTAATGTCTTTCCTAGTCGCTTCTTGACTCCCCCTCACTATCATCTTCATTAACTCACTCATCTCTCTCTTCATTGATATAGCTTTCGTCATCAAACATCCTTGTCTTTCCTTTTGCTAATTATTACTTTGCTGTCGCTAAGTTTTTTCTTGACTTTTTGCTTCAGCGCCTGAGTTGCGGCTGATTTTCTGGATTTGTTGGTCTTAGCCGCTGTGGTTTTGAGAGCATCGGCTTTCTTTGCACGTGGTTGTTTAGGCTTCTTATCTATAAGCGACAGTTTAGTCGAATCAAACAGAAGCATAAAATATAACCTACCTGCTTTCTTCTTTGTTCTGTCCACTCATAACTTGTCAGCCCAACTGGGTATCTCTCCCTATGAGCCCAGAAATGGTATATATCGCTAGTATTCAGCAGCAT